TAGTCCGCGAGAATACTGTTTTAAGTATCTATTTAGATCCGCGGCTTCATCTACAGTTTATCTACTTTGCTGGAGTCCCTGGTCTAGTAATGGATTGTGGTGTTTCAGTCAACCACCTCTCACTCGCCATATTTCCCAGCAAAAGGCTTACTGTCAAGGGTTGGCTCATCCTGCGCCTTCTCATAAACTCACTTCATGCGCTTACACTCCCCCATCTTCCCCAGGACCTCCCAATCCAGCTCGTAGCAAAGGCGCGACAAGGTGTACGGGATGCTAGGGCTGGCTGGAAAATTTGTAGGGTTCGTTATGCCAGACTATATCAAGACGGCCGAGGACATCTTCAGTTCAGTACTTTCATGGTAATATTAGTACTAAATAAGACGCTCTTGTAATTGTGGGCCTCTCCAAGGCGAACCGTACCACGGGTTCGTATGTCGGTAACGGTCAGAAGTATAATCAGCCGTTTGGGTGACTGCGGTAGCCTGGGACCAAATCTGACCTCGGGAAATTAGATGAACAAAATCGGTGGGACAACCTTGTCGGTTAGCACCAGAGGACGTTATCTCTCTTCTACGGTGCAACTTTCGAGAAGTGAGAGGACCGAATGAGAGCTGTAGATGTTCGGGGGGCCTCTAGAAGATATGTCGGTGCTTGCACAAACCTCGACATCATACAGAGTAATGGCAGTTGCCCGCTGAGTCTCCAAGGCAGAACGCGGTTTTATCGAGTTACTGCCGACAGATTGTCTCGCTGGTGATGTTGTCGTGGTCCTGGCTGGCGGCTCGGTGCCATACGTTATGAGACCCGCTGCGGAAGGGAATGCGCCGCCTGATAACGAGTTTAGATCGTTTGGATATGCATGCATCCACGGGATCATGGACGGCGAAGTATTTGAGACAGAGGGATTGGGTGGGCTCAACCGACGAATTCGTGTTGGTGTGATCGGGGGAGGAAGGTCGTTTCGGCCCTCAAATTAGTCATAAGCAGCTGAACCATCGAGGCTGAGCGCAAACTTACATTTCTCTTTCTCTTTCGAGCGACTGTTCCCTGCCTCTAGGCTGTACCCTGAGTAGGACCATTGATAAAGACGTTCATGCTTAGGTGTACTACGGATTAAAGGCTGCGATAACACACGTTTGCAGGTGGGATCCCATCGATATGGGCGAATGGCACGCACTTACGCCGCTGAGTTGTTCTTGTCCTCATAACACCTTGGGATGGAGCGTTCATCCGTAACGGCGTTAGCCCGCCTCACGAAACCTTTGATGCCTTCCTCCGCTCTGCAGAGTCGTGTCCCCTGTGCCGGCTTATACTGGACACATTCGACAAAGATGAAATTGGCGAGTTAAAAGAGAAAGCTTCAGAAGGGGAACATCGTCACGTCGACGTTGAGATCAAAGGGGAGGTCAACGGCCAGGGTGTCAAAAACCTCGGCATTCCATCACAAACAGCAGGCGCAGTCGTGCACATTGGGTGGAGTCTTGGAGGTCTAAAACGTCGCTGGAGGCTATGCTCTAATTCGTGTAGGTGTAGTGGTACCTTGTACTTCCGCGGGCTTCTCTGATGGCAATTGTAAAGCTAATTTGATTTAGATCCGGGCTTTTGGCGACTGTATTAGGAAAGCAAAAGCCCCGTCACCTTCTTTTCGAGAGTTTCGACCGTCGTCGAATGGCTTAAAGATTGCGAAAATAACCATCGGGCTTGTAGGCAGCCATTCTGGGCAGAACCAAACCGCGACTAGGGTTCTTGACGTTTCCAATCTTGGAGGGAAGGAGCTTCGCCCTTGTGCGATTGTCTGATCCTCTGGAGAAGCTGGAGTATCTGACTCTCAGTCATTGTTGGGGAGTGCAAGACCACTCAGGCGAAACTAGGGGGTCTATATGTCGTCCATTGCATACAACAGCCTGCCGAGGACTTTCAGCGACGCCGTGGATATTGCCCGTGCCCTGGGCATCAGATATGCGTGAATAGACTCTGTCTGTATCGTTCAGGATGATTCCGAGTATTGGAAACGAGAGTTATCCAAAATGGCCGCCATATATCAGCACTCACTACAGTTCTCCTTCCCCCTAAAATAGGGGTATCCCCCTAAGATAGAGCTCTGCAAGCCCCTATATAGAGAGATAAAACGATATAAATTAATTAATTAATTCTGGCAGTCTTATAGATTCGGAGGATGGACGTCTTCGCGCAAAAAAGAACCGTCAACAAAGCGCGGAGGTGCCAGTTGCGGACCGGACTCTTGAACCGCTGTACGGACTGCAGAGCGTCGGGAAATCGTACTCGACGAGTTTCTGGTGGAAAAGGGTGGAGGCGTACTCAGTCGGACAAATTTGCGGCAATCCTTGGGCTAATTTGGCTCTTCGAGATGACCACAGGCGATGAACCGGTTCTGGGACTTTGGCGCACGGATTTGCTCCGCCATTTGCTTTGGTCCGTAAGAGAGAAGCCGAAGTGGGTGGATGAGACCGATTCTCTGTCTAAAGATGAGGCCGGTCGCGAGACTTTGGCGCCCTCATGGTCTTGGTTTTCCTTCCCATTTTCCATGGGCTCGATATCTAACGAGCATGTAATCATGGACAGCAAGAAGAACATGCACAGCATTGCTGCCGTGTTGGGCATTGATATCACCTGGGAAGGCCAGGAGTATGTCTCGTCGCTGAGATATGGCGAAATTTTGATTCGAGGTCAAGTGAGCGAAATGGCGAACGGCGTAGATCCTTTCTACGCCGACATCCACCTGGATTTGGGGCAGGTGAAAGACAAGACATACCTATTGCCAGCAGTCCTGTCTTGGACACCCTCCTGGTCCAAGAGGCCTAAGTGGGTTGAGAGTGTGTTTGGGTGGCATCCATTCAAGAAGTCGAAGGCCTTCGTCGAGTGCCTCGTCTTGGAGGAAACCAGTAGACGGATAGGAACTGCCCGTGCTCGAGTTCGGTGCCGCGGAAAGAAGATGAGATTTGGCGAGAAAAAGTCTGTCATTCTAGTATGACTGGAGGGCTCGTGGTTGTAGGGTAGTCGTGGTATTTAGTGTTTCCGTGACATCAACGCCATCGGCAAGGGAGGCGCGAAAAGTGAGCAAGTCTCGAGCATCGGGCCAGCTTGCCAGCGCAAGAAGGTAGCTAGCTGTCTGGCATTAGGCAAATGGTTTGGCATTAGGAATGAGATCAGGCCCGACTGCGAACGAGAGGATGAGATGTTGCGCAAGCTACTTGTCGTGGATATCTTACCAGACCTCCTTCAGAACCACAGTCCTATATAGCACCATCAGCAACGGCCCTAGACTGTGCAGCATCCCCACCAACCTGCACCTCCATCGTAACCCCATCACCACTCCCCACCTCACTCGCCCCATGCGCCAGCTTCCCGAACGCTTGTAGCAGGTCGTCCCTAAGATCCTCCCAACTCTCAACGCCAACGCTCACTCTCAGCAGCCTCTCGTCGACATCCGAATCCGACATCCTGCGCCACTCAATCAAGCTCTCCACACCACCCAAACTTGTTGCGTGGTGGAAGAGCCGCAACAAGGATGGGAGTTGCCGGGCTTGCCGGGAAGTGTGCGTGTAGAAGGCGAAGACAGGGCCGAAGCCGGAGGGCATTTGCTGCTTCAACCAGTCCATGTCTTTCTCTTGCAGACTCGCGTGGGTGACCTTAGATAGCACTTTCCGCACGATCTCTGCGTCATTTCCTTTGTCGTTGAGGGCGTCGTTGAGCCAAGCCACAAGATTTGTCGCGTTAGAAGATTGTCGTCGGACACGCAGATCCAGCGTGCGTAGACTGCGCACACCCAACCAGCCCTCCAGACTCCCCAACACACTGCCCAGGAAAATCCTCTCCGCCCTCAGGACCTTGGCCCTCTTCAGCCCCTCCTCGCCCTTGTTCGTAGCCAGGATGCCGCACAGCATATCGCTATGACCCCCAATGTACTTCGTTCCACTATGCATTACGACGTCTGCACCCCATGCGAAGGGGTCCTGAAGGCCTGGCGGCCCAAATGTGGCATCGACGCTTAGTAAGGCACCTCTCTTATGCGCTCTCTCCGCATACTTGGCGATGTCATAGGCTTCGCCTGTGGGATTGAGCGGTGTCTCGAGGTGCACGATATCGCCATTTCCAAGACCCGCCGCATCCCATGCTGCATCGTCCGCGTGCAAGCCCACCGTTTTCATACCGTGCATTTTAGTATGCAACCCGATAACCCCATGGCAACCATGATAACCCCCCGATATCGCAATGACCTTTGGCACCTCATTAACCAGCAGCGCGTGAAAAGCGCTCAAGCCACTACTGTAGCTGACGACATGATTGCTCAGCTCTTCCAGTTCCCCCTCTTCAGCGGCGGGATACAATAGTGGAGCAAGGATTGTTTCCAGGCGGTTGATATTGGAAGAGGCGAGGCGGGAATACACGAGCGGTGTCTGGAGGTCGACGAACTCGGCGTCTGAGGGGACAGGTTGCAGGTCGGCGGCATTGCCGGGGTAGCGGAAAGTGGTCGAGGTGTGGATGGCGGGCGCGACGTCGGTCAGGACGTTTATGCGGTCGTCGGCGTGGATGGCTGACGTTGCTGCGGCGAGGGGTTTGGGGGGAGGCATTTCGGCTGTGGCAGGAGCGACTCGACGGCTCCTACAAAGGGTAGCAACGGGGTAGGAGTGTACTGTTGACGCATGTTGACATGCACGCCCTACGCCGACTGGCTGAATTTGCACGCTCGATTCCAAGGTTGCTGGAGCGCGCTAGAAGCACGCCATTACTCAAAGCACATGAGACGCGGACCGAAGCGTGCAGTGGGCGGGCAAGGTCGGCGATGACGCAGCCAGCATGACGTTTTCGGATAGTGCGGGGTTAATGAATGTTGGGCTGAGGTGGGGTGAAGGTGCTTGCCCCTCCTTGCGACGCAAAATTTTGCGGCCGTGGTCGTGCGATGCGAGCGGCCATGCCAATGGCCCTTGGGCGCAATCATCACGATGGAAGCTGTAGAATGGAGCATGCGCATTATCGTCGGTAACTCAGACTGTCATTGAAGCTACTGATCCGAGTGCCCAAACTTTTGTGACAACCAGCTGACCGCACGGGCCCGCTGATTGCACGCAGAAGACCGTGCCCTTGCCGTGCCCTTGCCGTGCCCTTATCCGTTACAAGTCGTGCATCTACTGCTGGCCGCAGGCCGCGATGACGGGCGGCTGCTGGTACTTGATGGTGCCCGAGTTGGTGCCGCAAGCCTCGATGGCCTTGATGACGCGGACCGACTCGGTGTCGCCGTCAGGCACCTGGCCGAAGACGACGTGCTTGCCGTCGAGCCACGAGGTGACGACGGTGGTGATGAAGAACTGGGAGCCGTTGCTGCGTTGTGTTAGCAAGCGTCACCAGCGCGGCTCCTCGAGCAGCTTACGTGTTCGGGCCGGCGTTGGCCATGGAGAGCAGGAAGGGCTTGTTGTGCTTCAACTTGAAGTTCTCGTCGCCGAACTTCTCGCCGTAGATGGACTTGCCGCCCGTGCCCTGTCTATGGTCAGCTGTCGCCCGGCCCGTGTGTGGGTCGCGGCGAGGGGCAGCGAGGTACTCACATTGCCGCGGGTGAAGTCACCGCCCTGGAGCATGAACTGGGGGATGACGCGGTGGAACTTGGAGCCCTGGTAGCCGAAGCCCTTCTCGCCCGTGCAGAGGGCGCGGAAGTTCTCGGCCGTCTTGGGCACCACGTCGTCGAAGAGCTCGAAGTTGATGCGGCCGGATTGCTCTGGAGGGAGTGAGGACGTGTTAGCAATCGATCGATGAGCCCGCAGCGGATGCAGGCTTGATGGAACCGCGCGCATGGCGATGGCAGAGGCATAGAGGGGTCAATGACAACTTACCCTTGACGGCGCCGGTGTTGGTGATGTTGCCCTTGGAGTCGACCTGGACCTCGGGGCCGGTCCAGGTGCAGTCGAAGTACGTCTTGACGACCATGTTTGCTGCTGAGGGAGTAAAGAATCGCTTGTTGAGGGGTGCGCGGAGTGTGGTGGTTGCAGAAGAGCGGACGGAGGCGAGCAGGAGAGTAGAAGACCTGAGGTGGGGCATGGCGGGGTACCTTTGTAGGCGCCTGTGAGTGGCTGTGAAGTGTTAGCGCCGGGGGCGAGCGCGGACACAGGTTGCCCATGCCGTCAGACGAGATGGCGGCTTGGCGGTGAATGCGACCTGAGCATTGCATCGCGATGCGCGCAGCTGCAGCGAGCATCCCGAGGCCGGCTGCTGCTGCTGCTGCTGCTGCCGCTGCCGGGGGCAAATTTGGTGCTCTTACCGGCCAGACACCAGGAAACCCGGAGTGCTAATGTACAACCGGCAGACTGGACGCGCAGAGAGCTTCAAATGGGCACGAGAAAGACGGGGCGGGGGCAATTGGGCAGCTATGCAATACAATATGCGAATCGGACGGTTATGATACAATATACGATACACAGCGGCGTCGTCCGGCAGACGGAGGCGATGGAACTGATGCAGGAGGTGAGGTGAGACGTGAAATTTGCAGAGCTCGCCCTCTGTGGATGCGGCCGGGATAGCGCGGGGTCTGAGCGTTTCGTTTCCAAGCCCAGGTGTGCTCTGGCGAACGACGCAACCAGGCCAAGAAGAGGAGTGTTCGCTCGTGGCATTATGGGGGAAGCCTCTACAATACCGTACTGCTACCTTTGTAACGAGCCCTGGAGGGATTGATCATTCGGCACTGTTCCTTCCGCCAAGCCAAGCGGTCACGTGATTCCCCGGTCGCGGCTTCCCCGTGGCTCCTCGTATACTGCATCGGCACACGTCCTTGAGCGCGAACACCCAAGTGACAGGTCGCCAGTGAAGGAGGCCTCTTCTATAACTCTTCTCGCAAGCTCGATTGGCCGTCCACGTGCAGCGCGCAGCCCTCTCTGTCGGAATTGGCTGGCAGTCGACCGCTCAATAATAAGCTGCCACTTCAACCTCTCCCTCGACGCTCCCACCGCAACGCCCACCCGCCCGCCACCATGGATTTCTCAAGCCTGAAAGACCAAGTGAGCAACCTCACGCTCTACGACCTCAAAGCTGGGGTCCGCAAAGTCCAGAATGGTACGCACAGCAAGGACAGCTGCCCGGCGAATGCTAATGCTCCAGGGCAGCGGTGATGAACTACACCGAGATGGAGGCGAAGGTGCGGGAGGCGACGAACAACGAGCCCTGGGGTGGGTAACTCTGCTACGGTGCATATACGGCTACTGAGAGGAGCAGGTGCTTCGTCGACGCTGATGCAGGAAATCGCAAACGGCACCTTCAACTAGTGGGTACATTCTCCTTGATGCCGCGGGCCGCGCTGACCATGACAGCCAACTACTGAATGAGATCATGCCCATGATCTATAAACGCTTTACCGAGAAGGCGGCCGAGGAATGGCGGCAGATATACAAGGTACGCACACCTGGAATTTCCCCATAGGCATGCTAACCCTCGCAGGCCCTCCAGTTACTCGAGTTTCTCATCAAGAACGGCTCCGAGCGGGTCATCGATGATGCGCGCGCACACGTCTCGCTCCTCAAGATGCTGCGCCAGTTCCACTTCATCGACCAGAACGGCAAGGATCAGGGCATAAACGTGCGGAACCGTGCCAAGGAGCTTGCGGAGCTTCTCAGCGATGTTGACCGGATCCGATCAGAGCGCAAGAAGGCACGAGCCAACCGGAATAAGTTTGGGGGCGTCGAGGGCGGCATGGGCGGCGGCTTCTCCGGCAGCGGGAGCAGCAGCAGATACGGGGGGTTCGGAAGCGAGTCGGCAAACTTTGGCAGCTACAGCGGAGGCGTATACGGCGATGGAGGCGGCTTTGGAGGACAGGACTCTGGCTTCTCTGACTCCCAAGCTCGTCGGGATCGTTTTGAAGAGTACGACGAGTACGACGAGGGAGAGACTGCGCCTCCACCACGGCGGAACCAGACGACTTCGGCGTCATCAGGCCAAGTCAGGAGGGAAGTCAAGAAGGAGGAACCAAAAGCAAAGGCACCGGAACCTGTGGCCGATTTGCTCGCATGGGACGATGAGCCGGCGCCCGCCTCTACCTCTGCCGGGAAGCAGCCTGCCGCTCCCACAGGAAACGATTTTGGAGACGATGACGATTTCGATGACTTCCAGTCTGCTGCACCCTCAGCCCCAACCGCACCAGTAGTAAAGCCAGCAGCGTCGGCATTCATTGCACCGCCCGCATCTACATCGACGGTAGGATCTACGACTCAGTTTGCAGCGCCTCAGCCGCAGTCTGCCACACAGAACAACAACTTCAATGATATCTTCTCGACTGCCTCTCCTCCCCCTGCGGCGAACAAAGGTGCTTCTCCAGCTATCGCCACCCCGGCTTCCGCTTCTTCGAGTATTGCACAGCCTTACAGGCCTGCAGGCTACGAAGCCACGGGGGCCAACTACTTCACCTCCGTTCCTCTGGCCTCCAATGCCCCTTCCACTGGTTCGACGCCAGCTCTCATGTCTCCTTGGATTGGGGGAAACAAGATGGGATCAGTAGCTCCTAAGAAAGCTGGCGGCGATGCATTTGCCTCCCTTCTTGCCGGTTCCGCCCCGAAGAAGTCGGCCACGCCTACACAGAAGGTCACAATGGCGGATATGGCTAAGCAGAAGACGAGTCAGGGGCTGTGGGGTGCGCCCGCGTCTGGCTCCAGTACGCCGGCAGCCCAGCCTCAGGGTGGAGCGAAACCTGGCGGAGCATTGGGTGACTTGCTTGGTTAACGTAGAATTGGGGAAGCAATCAGGGGGGCTGTATTTCTGTCACGTTCTCTGCGAATGGCGTCGGGAATCAAAAGATGGTGCCTAGGCGTGGTGCTTGTATTCAATACGGAGCTTTAAGAACGATGATGTCTGTTCATGCCCACACTGTCACAGTAATTGCATTCGGAGCGGAGTTCTTGTTCTCCGCAAATGCGGGCAAATGATTGGTCAGCCCCTAAATCAGGATCGTGCACGTCCGAACGTCTCCCTCCGTGCGCTTACATTTCGGGGCACACCACTTCCTCTTTCCTTTCTTTCGCTCCTTTCCTTACCTCGGTACCTTTTGAGAATGCTTCAATGCAGCTCTCGCGCCTCCTGTTCTGCGTCGCCCTACTCTCGGCCCCGGTAGCCCTCGTCGGAACGACATGGCTGTACTTCTACCCGCTGTTCGACGACAGCTGCGGCTTCCCCCAACCCCCGAATTCGATCGCGCCCTTCAGACTCCTCGCACTCGGTGACCCGCAGCTCGAAGGCGACTCGTCGCTCCCGAAACCTGGCGCTGCCGTCTTCCCCTCCCTCCAATACCTCGCCAATGATGTGCGCAATGCCGGATCATGGCGCCGGGCGTGGTATCTCGCAAAGCAGGGCGTGATACCCGTGCCGAGGGATTTTCTGAAGTGGGCCGAGGGATGGAGAAAGAGGATCGATCTGTGGGGCAATGATTGGTATCTTGCGCACATTGTGAGGACGTTGAGGAGGAGCACGGCGCCGAGCCATGTTGCGGTCCTGGGCGATTTGCTGGGCAGCCAGTGGATCTCGGATGAAGAGTTTGAGAGGAGAGCCGAGCGGTATTGGAAGAGGGTGTTTAGTGGCATGGAGCGCGTCCCGGACGCCGTCATGCTGGGAAATGCGACGCAGGGGGAGAAGAAGTGGGGTGGCACGCTCGAGGTTCTGGGCGCAGACAGTAGCTGGGAGAACAGGGTGATCAACATTGCAGGCAATCATGATATCGGATACGCTGGAGATATAGATGAGGGCAGGATCAAGAGGTTCGAAAAGGCCTTTGGTAAGGTCAACTGGGACATTGTCTTTACGCTGCCGGATTACCTACGTCCCACCGGTCCTCTCGATGTATCTGAAGCAACTCAATCGATGGCCGAGCTATCTTTACAAGTCCCAGCCCTCCGCCTCGTCGTCCTCAATTCGATGAACCTCGACACACCCGCTTTCGTCGAATCCCTCCAACGCGAAACCTACGACTTCATGAACCACATCATCACGACATCTCGTCCCGTAACCGACAAGACCCACGCTACAATTCTGCTCACACATATCCCTTTCCACAAGGAAGCCACTATCTGCGTCGACGCACCCTTCTTCGATTTCTTCGAAGGCGGTTCGGGCGTCAAGGAACAAAACATGCTGTCGGACTACGCGTCTAAAATCATACTAGAGGGAATTTTCGGTCTGAACAGCAACCACGAGGCTGAAGGGCAGGGCTTCGGACGCCGGGGTATTATCATCAATGGGCATGATCATGAGGGCTGCGACGTCTTGCACTACATCACGCAACCGGGAGCTGCAAGCCAGTGCCCGCAAAACATCGATTTCGAGGATATACATACGCCATCGGACTTCCGCTCCAACGCCTCCTCTACGCCGGCTACAGCAGAGAACGCGGCAGGAGAGCGATCCATAAACGAAACTCAAACCGGCCAGGAGGCTGGGCCGCAAGAGGAAGAACAGCCGGAAACCCAGCGGCCGAAATGGCAAGCCGTGCGCTTTCCACATCCGCCTTTTGCAGTCACTTCAGACGGCTCCTGCGTCGCTCTAAACCACATCCCGCACATGCGCGAAATCACGCTCCGCAGCATGATGGGCGAGTTCAGCGGTTCAGCGGGCTTTCTATCCGCGTGGTTCGATTCTACGTTGGGCGAAAAGGGCGCATGGAAAATGGAGTTCAACACTTGTAAGCTCGGGGTGCAGCATTGGTGGTGGGCTGTGCATGTGGTGGATCTAATCGTGCTAGTGGCACTCGTAGGCGGGGTTTTCGCAAGTGTGGCTAAGGGTATGTGCATGGGGGATGTGAAAGAGAAGAGGAGGAGGAGGAGGAGTAGGGAGAAGGTGATAAGAAGGCCGGTAGGGAGTGAGAAGAGAGCTGTTGCGAATGGGCCTGCACTGGGGAAGGTTGGCGAGAAGCGCCGAGAGGGCCATTCAGTAGCATAGAATACACTTAGAATTAGCATAGCGTGGTATTGGTGTCTCTTCAACTTGGAACTTGTATGAAATTTGTGCAAGTTTAATTAGTAGTAAGGAATACACAGTGCGGTGTGGCCGTTCTACTCGTCAAGCCTCGTCACCTCATACGCGTAACTTCATAATCGTAGCGCATCTCTTCCCCTGAAGGCCTCTCCTGTGAAGCAAGCCATCCATCCAGTGCTGAGCCTTCCAATTCCATATGTACACCCAGCGCCTTGCGCCCTTGCTTCATATGCTGACGGATACTGCCCTCTAACTTTCTTACATATCCCTTACTCTATCTTACTCCTTGGTCTAAGCAAGGCCAAATGCACCCTTCATTCTCCTCCAAAGCTCCGTACCCATAGCCCTCCTCGTATCCTCGGTCCGCATCGCAGCCTCCTTATTCTCGCTCGCCCTTCTCAGCAAGAAATTCAAACACTCGGTCGTAGTACCCCAAGTCATGCACTTGACCACTTTAGCCTGTATATCCGCCTGTTTACCCGGGTTCTGCACGAGCTCTTGTGAAATTTCGTCAGCCATGCCTTGGAGTTGCGCATAGGCTAGCCGAGGAAGTGACTCGGGAGGCGAGGAAAGCAGTTGGGCGGCGCGAATCTTCTTGGCTTTCTCGACAGAGGCGATATTGTGCGTGGCCAGGACGATGTTGACTTCCGGGAAAGGAATGCCTGGCATGGAAGGGGCGACTTTGTCGGTCCATTCACGCTTGAGGACTGCTTCGGCACAGGCATCGTAGCATGCGTCAGTTCCCTCTTTGTTCTCCCAGACCAGTTCTCGCGGTTCCGAGGCTAGGTATGCGCCGCGCACGAGCTTCACGCCCGCAATATATCCCTCTTTCTGCGCCGTCTCGAGATGCTGTGCCAGTCTCCCGGGGATAGATTTCAAGTAGCATTGATAGGTTGTGTACAGGATTGCTCGGCCGCGCGTATTGTACTTCTTCTGGAGTCGGAGAGTCCATTTCTCGAGGCCGGGGTTTGTGGCTTCTTCTTCAGCACCGGGGAGGAGGGCGACGTGCTTTGTGGCCGCGGCGTCGCAAGCGGTGATTATGGCCGACCACATTTCTGGAGTGGGGTCTTGTTGGGTTTTCAGGAGGTGCAGGGCGTGGCGGCCAAGGCCAGACCATCTGTGGAGTCCGTTAGTATAGGGCATGACATGTGTGGGAGTAGGAGTGCTCACTTCAATCCTATGAAGTCACCCTCTCTCGCCATGTCGACACTCTGCAACATGCCCTTTTTCCAGACTTGGATCTCTCGGGCCGTCTCCTCGGCTGTGGGCGCCGTTCCCCCCAGAACTTCCAGTGCATACTCTAGGATGATGCCATCGTATCCCAGCAGTTCTCGTGCCGTGCTCGTGTTGCGTACAACCTCATTCTTGTTCTCACCCGCACAAAACTGGGCGTAGAAGGTGGACTTGAGTAATCTTGAAAGCAGTGGATTCTTCTCAATGCTCATGAGATAGGACTTGGAATCGAGCATTCGCCGCAGGATGGTGAAGCAGAGGGTGAGCAGCGCGGGCGACGAGGACATGCGAGTAATGAGATAGGAGCGTAGAACAGATGCTGTTGGAAGACGGGCGAGTGTTGCCTTTGAGTGAGTTGGACTTTGTGGAGACGTGGAGGAAAGGAGTTGCGAGGGCACTGGTGACGTGGATGGTAGCGAGACAGGGCGCCGCGAGCTCGAGTGGACGAATCGAGGTGTTGCTGTGAGCGTGCGGTCCAACTGCGAGGCGGCCAGGCCTTCGAGGCGCTGCAGATGGCGGATCCGTGGTGGCATTGCTCCAGTTGTGTGTTGGTGGTACGCCTTCCTTTCAAGCAGTGCGTGTTGGGCGCGTCGGTGCTATATAGATAGGTACCAAGGTCTGCTGTGACTCGCCACGCAGGACGCCAGCACTCACACTCTCTTCCAATTGTGAAATTCGCAGGACGGCGAGTGTGCATGCGAACAAACGTTGCAGCCCCGACTTTATACACAGAATCACGGTGAAGCAACTGGTGGCGGGTGTGGTGGTTCGCGCGATGGGTGCTCGGCTTCCGTCGGCATGCACGATGATGCTCCAGATGCCTTATCGGCGCTGCCAGTGGCGCTGCTGATTCGTCAATGGCGCCAAACGGCGCTGCAGGGTAAGAGGCACATTTGAGGGGTGCAGCGAGAGGAGATAATGGTGCAGGCCATGGTTGGAGGGGTGCAGTGCGTGGAATGTGCCAAGCCATGCGTCGTGGCCTTGGACATCTCCGTGGCTCCTCCTTCATCTGCCTCTGCAGGAATGCTGTAGAATAGTTGCATGGCTTCCAAGAATGCTAGGATAATTCAATGATTTCAGCCAGCCAGTAAGCTGCGTCTCTTCCGTCGAGTAGTCGAGTGCGAGGAGGCGGAGACTACCCGATGCCCGATGGCGTTAGTGCCATCCGCTCTTTGTCCCCTCGGCAATCTCCTGCCCAAGTGTCTGAACCGAGCGTCCCCAGCCGCCTCTGCTCTTATTCCAACATCACCCCGCAAGCACGGTGCAAGTTTCTTTTGCCATGACAGCACAATTCCCCACCTGAGGTCCAGATGATGCAGCAGGTGCCGGTGTCGGCCGTGTTGGGCTCGTCCATCTCAACGCCTTCCTTCATATCGGTGCGGCAAGCGTCGGGCTTCCCCCTTTCGGCATCATGGGCAAAGCCGTTATCTCTTCACCATCATCGTCCACTTCCTTCTTCTCTTCCTTCTCGAACGAAAGCTTTCCCAAACTATACATCCGCAAGCTACCCTCGCTTCCCTTTTCGCCCGTCCAGCTCTCCTTGCACGCCACAGACGGCTTCTTCTTCCTCGGCGACAGGAGTCGCTTGACTTTGGTGGCCACCTTCTTCGGCGTGCTCGGTTCCTTGGCCTTAGCTCCCCCGGGAAGCGGCAGCGGGGGAAGAGGCTCCTCCGTCGGCAAAGGCTTCTCTGCTGGGTCATCTACAGCTTTCATCAGCCACTGAGCTCGCCATTTGAAGAGATAATGATACCCGGATCCATTCCAGCCTGCCACCTGCGAATTCTCCTAAGCTGCTCGGCCGCAATGCGCTTCTCCGCAGCTACGCGCTCCGCTTCGGCTGCCTTGAGCTGCGCCGCGTGCTCATCCATCGCTGGGATGATATCGAGTGGGAACGACATTGTGAGATTGTTAGAATACAATAGGGTAAACGGTAGCGCTGCAACAGCCTCGTCGAGTTAGTGGGTGTTGTTAGGGTCAAAGGTCAAGAGCGGGGAGGGAGTGTTACAAGGATTTTGGCTTCACTGCTCCGCCACCCCACAAAAATTTGCACTTGGGTTCACTACTTCTAAAGTGCTTGAGGTCCTTTTCACTCGGGGCGAGTCGATGCCTCCTTGGTCAGTTTGGTTGATGAGACAGCGGATTCTAGATGCGCTGCAGCGAGACTGGTCAAAACCCCCGACAATTTGGACTACCCCTTCAAGCAGTCCAGGCTACCTGATCCACTACCAAAACCTATACCCCTATCTACCGCTCCTTCAGTGCACCAGCACCACCCTAGTACTTCCATGGATGACCCTCAGGCCTGAACTTCGCTCCAACAAACCCGAGCTTCACCGGCTTCCCCTCCTCGATATCCCAGTTTTCGCTCACAAATCCTCCACGCAAGAAGTCCACCTCCTGCTTCTGCAAGTACATAGTAAACACTGCGGGCAGGGGCTGCTTGCCCTTCGCGAACGGGGCGATGTGATCGATGACAGCGCCGCGACCGGCGGCGGCTTCGTCGATGCCAGGATGGATGGAGAATGTGCGGAGGTTGGGCATTTCTACAGTAGAATCAGGATCAGCGTCGGAGTGCTGGTAATATGAACGAAATGACGGCAGAGAGAAAGTTGGTTATCGAGATCCAGGTCCTCGCCCAATTTGATAGCAGCGGGTTTAGCAGTGCTGTAGGACGAGAGATCTGGAGCGAGGAAAGAGGCGCCCAGGCTGACAAGGTTGATGAATGTGCCGGTTCCGTTGGTAGCGGTGGTGAAGTGGTGGGCGAGATTGTAGGTACCTTTGACGTTGACTTCCTGTCCTCGCGGTCGGCATATCTATGCTCCTCTCGCGATGTCTTTAAATTGCAGAATAGGGAAACTGACATGGTCATTCCACCATTGCGCCGGCTCGATCTGCTCAATCATTCCATCCACATTCATAACGCCCGCTGCATTGATTACTACATCAACGGTGCTGAAATCTGCGAATGCTTGGTCGAAGATGGCCATAACTTCGCTCTTATTAGCAATACTGCCAGCGCTAATAATCGTTTATTTCCTAAGTACAGAGGCTATATGCTTAAGGCGCTTCTTCACGTCCCAACCGACGAGGACGACGCCTTTTGCGCCGGCTTCGGACCATGTTCAAGCTATCTCCTGGTGTAGACGTTAGGGGGGGAATCGAAGACTTTGTGCTCGTGAGAAGACGTACGAAACCGAGACCGCCTCCAGCTCCCGCGGCCAGCACGACATTTCCGGCGGCTAGATGGGCGAGCTTCTTCTGATCGGTAGCGGCATAAACATCGCGTTGCATACTCTCTGTGAGCTGGAGAGGGGTTGTGAACATGTTGGGATCAATGTTGGCTGCCACCTTGACGGTTGAAGGTCGAATCTCTGGCTTTCCGCGATGGGCTTGGGATTACTGGTTCGGAAAACCCCAACTCGTTGGAGATTCTCCAGTTGGGTCGTTCCGCTTTCTACACTTCCTCCTCACCGGGTTTTGTATTCACCATCCGCTCCTATGTGCCCACCAGCCTCATATCTTGGACGCCGAGCTCATCACGACCTGACAAAGAGCTCTCGGCTTTTCTGACAAATGCTATCAGGGCTGTCGCATGTATGATTGCCTGAAAGGGAAGCCGGAGATGCTTGGCGTGGTGTTTAGTGTCCGTGCGGTGATCGTTCCTCGGAGCTTTGCTCATTTCTAAGCGGGTTGTCATCCTTCGAAATCGACTGCAACGGGCGTAAAGCTGCCCGCACCCTCTTCATCACTCTGGCAACCGTGCCGGGAGAGCGTTGAGCGATGTCGTTGGTCGGTGTTGTCGCAGCCTTCCCACACCCAAGGCCCGCTTCTCGTTCATGCGGCGCCGTCTCTCATGCTTCATCTCCTTGGACACCTACCGCATCTTCTGCGGCGCCTCTCTGGCACCTATGTATGCGGCTGCTTATCGCCGCTAGCAAATATGCTGTCAAACAACAATATGCCGTGGGGCGAGTGGCGCCGAAAGAGTCGCCCTTCCGTGAGGACGTATCCCGTGAACGTCTTCTACAGCGAGCAATATATGAATGGCAGATTCTGACCGAATATTGGAAGGCACATCATATATCCACGGCTGACCTCTCGAGCGATGACCAGAATAAGCGTTCAGCGATTTCGCCATCAGAGGGAAGCTCTATGCAGCTTACGTGCGAATGATATCGGCGGCGGAAGAGAAGAGCGTGGACACGAGGCGTCGAACTTGCCGCTGATAGTTGGGTTATCGCTCAGCCGGTTCTTTCGTCAAACGCACACGTCGCAGCTCGATGGGAAATAGGTCCTGTCTCCATCGATGTAAGCGGGAAAGTTGCGGAAGCCTAGGTGTCAAGGCTGCAACGGCTTGAGCAACGGGAAAGTCGACTCTTGAGACCCATGTCCGTTGCTGAGGCTTTGGACCCCGGACTGCAATCTCACAACCAGATCGCCGGCGCTTCTACCTTGTCCAAGGTCTGCACTGCGCCCCGCAGCCTCCTCAGATGCGCACCTGTTGTGCAGATAAGACCCTACCGTGTAGGAACCTTTGCTTGCTTTGAAGCAAGAACCTGAGACAGCACCGGACGCCTTCCTACTGGGACCATATATACGGTCATATACCCTACGCGCTTCCACTCCGGTGCAAGGAATTTGTAAAAGGGGTCCTGGGGAAGTTCAGCAAATTCGGCCGTTTGATTAGGGGAAAGACCGTTAACCAAAGCTGGCGGCCCTCATTGGATATGCGATGTGTCCTGCATGGTTCGCGGGGTTGCTATTAAGCCCTGCCCGCTTCGAGGCCCTTCAACCCCTTTGTACCTCCGCGGTCTCTTGGTTCCCCCCTCGCTGCAATATCCTACCTTTGGATCCTGGTTGTGCATCCACGCTCTCAATGAGTGTCTGTACTCTTCCGGCCTCCTATTGCTGCTGTTCCTCCACCACTACCATCGATGTCCGGCTAGATATCCTTGCGGAGGAGCTTCATCGATGGACGTCGCGCCGAAGAGTGTCGTGGATTTTTCTATTGGGATCCCGGCTCGCCATGTCCTAGAATCATGCCAATTCCCCTAGAGTTCCTGCACGTTAATTATAAGAATCCGTGTCCTACTCGCCGGTTTTGCGGTTCTCCTGCCCGCCGATTCGTCAAGGAGATGGAATAGGGGAAGGGGTTTTGTCAAAGTCTGCGTAACCGCTCGTTGGGCGGAGGAGGAAAAAGATTGGCAGGGCAACGACCAGCGGTGCGAGACTGGGCCTGCAACGGGTCAGAATATATGGACCGGAGTGCACACTTCTCTGTTTGGGTCTTCATTACCAACCGACACAGTTTCGAGTCCTAATCGCATTTGCTCTCCACTATAGGGGTTTGCACAAGCGATCTCGGTGAATCCTTTGACGTAAGCCACGTCTCTTTTTGACCCAGGCCGCCTTCGGTTGTCAGACGTCGATGATTACGGCATTATCCGCGGGAGCTAGAGACTTCAGAACCTCCCCAACAATGTCTATCCGGCATACCACCCCTGCGTCTCGTTCCTCCAAGAAGGATCCTATGTACCTTGTATTATCCCCTGTGACCCCTTGGTCTCCTTGTAGGTGACGAGGTGGACGGCGCAGTCGATGGGTCTGGTCGCTTAGCGGATCGTAACGCAGTGGGTATCGAGGACGACCGAAGGAGGAGAGTAGGCCCGACTCGTAGGTTGGTGCAGGGTCCCTTATTGCCTGGATTTGGCTACCGATTATCGTCAGCATTGGTGTTGTTCCTTCCTTAGAAAGTCGATTCCTTCCTAATCTGTTCTCTCATTGACCCCTTGGCCTTATTGTATGTTATAAAACGCTCCCTGCGGTAGGTCGAGAAGCGTTTAAGAGTCGGAGTTTTCAAGGAGCACATGGCTAGAACCAGTGCAAAGGAACACGCGGAACGAATCGAGAAGTCTGCAGACCGCTACTCAGCCCCGGTCCCTGTTCGTTCATCGACAGCATACGTGTTGCACATCTCTCAGAAGTCGCCAGACGGACCGACTGGCGACCAGGAAAGACTAAAGAGGTGGGATTTGGCGGCGGTACGAATCGAGGACGAGGGAAGACGGTCCCGCGTTGGAATCGGCCAAATCCACCAGAGCCACTCCTGCACCTCTATCAAGTGTAAGTATCTTCCTTGCGTGTTCCTCTAAGATTCTTTATTCCTCTCACGTCCTATGGGGATGCTACGGTCGGTCGGCGCATCGTCGACAAGGAGGGAATCGGAGAGGAATGAGCGCGAAGAGTGAGGAGAGTGCATTTGAATTGTAGGGGTATCGGCGGCGGCTACTAGTCACCTATACTGTAAGCTTCTGCCACCAACAGGAGTGTCTTCGCCTAATCAGCCACACCAATCGTGTTTATCCAAACGTCTGGCGAGACTGGATACAGAGGTTCTATCGCTGCTCGGAACCCCCGAGCTCGCGCTGGAGGTCGATAGGAGTGTGTGTCCGATCTCGATATGCCTGCGCAGCACAGCAACGGTGTCCGCAGGCTGTCTGCCCTTCGCCCGGCGGCGATACCGGCGGCGGTTGAGGATGCTGTGTTTGACATTGGGCAACTATACCCTCGAGGTGGACTAGCACCGCAATACAAGAAATTGTCGGATAAGGCGGAGCTGCCGAAGATTCCGAGGGAAGGATATGCACCCTCGGGGTGTCTAAGAGGTATGCGCGGTGCGTTCCGGCCGTCTGTCAGAACGCACCTGTACTCGACCTAAGCGCAGTAGTGTCAGATTATCGAGTCAAGAGGAGGGGTCTCCGCGTTCGGGGAGGGCATACTTTGCGACCGCGAAGTTGGAAGGTCTCATAACGCTGTACATCAGTTGGAATTTGCCGAGCGGGGACGCAATGGACATACCTTCTGCCGTTTACCCAGAGCCTGGCTGGCAATAACCGCGAGGGTGGCTAGAATGGTATGAACGGAGGCTGTAAAGATGGTAGGCGACGTTTAGGGAGTGAGACGCCGCCTGAAGGTTTCGGACTCGGCGCATCGGCGCAGGCGGAGGAGCAGGCGCATGCCTTCCACCCTAGCAACCCCCGTTGCGTCCCCATCTCCTGCTCCAATCTACTATACCTGGAGAAAACGACCTCTTCGCCTGGAAGAGCTTGTGGCATCCCCTTCTTTGGCGTTCGAAGGGTGGTGTCGTCCGCTTCGATGACGGCGGAGTAGGGTGCCGGTCGTTGTTCGGGACGCGTCCATGAGAGCCGAGTCTTTTGAAATATCGGAGAAGGTCGAGGTCGTTGAGGATACTCGGGGAGTTGCAGAGTATGTGTACTCTAGCTGCTGAGGATCGCGCTTTGGTGTTTTGAGTGCAAGAGGTGAAGCGCTCTTTGGCCGGAGTCTGTCGAGCACGGTCTGTCACTGCAAAGCTGCAAAATCAGTATTATCCTAGCAACACATGCCATACTACCCTATATATCTCCGCCACTCAGGCATTTATGGTGTTGCATTCGGATTGCTTGAATGACACCCATTTGTGCGCCATCGCCGTCGGCGCAAATGGCGGAGCGCCAGATACCCAGGGGATCGACGAAGCCGCGCCGCACCGTGTCTCCACATCTCAAAGAATCTAAGATAGCTACGAAGTTCTGCCAAATGACTCTCAAAGCTGCTGGCACTTCTGTTTGAGCGTTCTATGTCTCTCCGACCTCTTCTAGCAACCTCCGGTTCGCGATCACGCCGGTTCTTATGGAGCAACACTTTCGAGACATTGCGCAAACTGTCTACCCGGCCATTCCGCTCTTACATGCTGTTGCAAAGTACCTCTTATTGACAGTAATCTTCGTCCTCGATGCAACTTTTAGGTATTCCGGTCGCAGTCCTCTCCGCCCGAGCGCCGCTTCGCTGCTATCCGCACTTCGAGACTACTCCCGTTATGCCTCTCTACACAGCATGGCGACGCAATTTGCTCATAATCGGCTTGTTATGAAGGCCCGATACATGTTGGCCGTATCATGAGAAGGCCCCTGCTATTCGAAAGAAGGCTGCGAGAGAGGCGTACTGCACACGGCTATACGGTACCTGGAGTTAATAGATACGCTCACGGACGGACCAAGTATCACGGAAGACGATGGGTATACAATGTTCCACGGTAATCGCGTATTGAGCTCCATCCTGCTATGTCACGTTGGCGGAGGTCTGGCGGTCCTCAACACCAAACACCTATCACGGATACATCCCAAATTCTCGGCATCACCACACCCTCTTAGCACTTCTAGGGGTTTCGAAAGCCATAATATCAGCTGTAATCTATCATGCTTGTATCAGCAGGCAGTGTTACCCCTGTTCAAGCGCCACATGCTCGAAGTGCACCTGCGATTTCACGACGCGCAGCCAGCGAAGTCTCACTGAACCTGGCTCACATCAATCACTATCACGGCCGCAAGACAACGCACAATCCCTCCTTTAAGTCCTCAGAATATGATATCATATAGCGATGGTGGGCGTTAGGCTCCTTTTTCCCATGCCACGACTCCAGCGAAGCTCAACGTCAAACACTATCGAGAACAGCAGCGAGAACGCCTACCACACACTCTCTCAATACCACTACCTGTTCTCAACGAAATAATATCCACCACAAACCTGCTACACCTGCCGCACCCACAATACCAGTCACTGTTCCTTCCACAGCGCACCCCACCCTCGTCCCTCACAGCGTGCCACCAAACCATCCAGCCATGCCCCTACTCAGTCAACCCCGCACAAAAGCCCAAGTACAGCCACAATCTTCTTCCTCAAGCCCATCGCTTAAGCCATGGAACTCAATGAAAAAAGAGGTCGATGCATAAATGCATGGGTAGCCAGCAAAAATTAGACGCTGAGGGCCGTCAGTCCCAGCCAGGAGGGGCTAGTCCTGGGACCTAGCTTGAAAGGAGTCCAGCGCCGTTGTAGGGTTAGTATGAAGAGAGAAGAAGGGGCGTGACAGGGCAAGGTATGTAAAGATGTGGATGGGCTTGGCGAAGACTGGGAGGCTGAGCGAGCATGTAATCTGGCACGGACATGGATGAAGGTGGGATTAGATAAGAAGAGCGTTTGGGCGGTTGCTTCGGGGATGAAACGTGTTTGTAGTGGTGGATTGGCGAAGTGACAGAAGGAGGGCGGAGTGAAGCAATGGGAGGTTAGCTTGGCGAATCACGGTACGGTGAGCCATAGGAAGCTGCGCAAGCTGTGTGGAAGGTGGATCTGCATGTTTGAGAGGCTCGTAGTGACATAGTTCCCGCCTTCTGCCTGGTGATTGGTGTGTGTGCGCCATCTGTCCGAGAAGCGGTTGGCTCAACGGGCTTGGGGCCCTTCACAGCGAACTTCAAATACGAGTATAGAATCCATAGATTAGCAGAAATTAGGCTCATTTTAATGCAAGAAGTCAAATTTGGCACCTGGAATGTCCCACAAATGTGTCAATGCGGCTCTAAGCTATATAGAGAGGGGAAGTGGGCGAGCAACAACTTCGTACGCGCTCCGCAGCTTCCACCAACTCTAATGAATACTGACTAGCCATCAGCTCGAGACGCCTTCCCTGATCTTCCCACTAAGCTTCGCGTGGTCATCTACCAATTCGTATTCATGGATCCCGGCGGCTTCATCGAGATCTGGCCCGAGACAGGCGACAAGCATCGGGACTATTACGCGGGACGTACAACTTTCCGATCGCACTTGAGGGACATCCACAGTGGAAGTCTGCCTGTTGTTCTTTTGCGTATCTGCAAGAAGATCAACGCGGAAGCTAACGATCATCCTCTTCTTGGGTAGGGTCAAAAACCCTGTACAAAGCATCCTCAAGAGGGTCCAGTGGCCCTCATCCTCAAAGCAAGGCCATTGCCCCGGCCCTTGCTAATCCATTTGATCTCCCGTTTAGCCCCCTATAGTCTTGCTGCTCGAAGGTCTCCCACAATCAGACTCGGAGACCTAGGGGTCACGGCACAGCCGCACTATCCCGATCTCCATCGACGGCTTGCACCCGGTAAGTTCTCAAACACATTCCAGATCCTGTCCTGACCTCAACCGTCGCAACACGGATGCCACTCGGGCAAGACCAACGATAGCTTCCTGAGGTCGCTCTTGAGCAGTGCCTTGAAAAGGAGCACGCAGACTTGCTCGTAGTGTCGAGTATCTTTAGGATGCGGAAGGTGGAAGGGGATGCTGTCGAGAAGATTCGAGGCCGAGGTTACGGAGTCGACCATATCGTTGCTTGCATACGCTCCTCCACGGCTTGCGCACCAGAACGGCATGAATATCATGAGCTTTGGCAAGAGCTGGGAGTAGCTCACCCCCATTTACATGACAAAGGCCGCTGCTAAGGACGCGCAGTTGATGTCTGAGAAGCGGAAGTTGAACCGGCCGTAGTAGATGGGCGTAGCTTATCGGCCACTATGTGTGTGCGAGACTGGGAGTTCCGAGCATGCGACTCTGGCGGTTTCTTCCCTAGTGATTAGCATGATTTGATAGACGGTTTGAGAATGAGATATGCCATACCTACCATAGCAAAGTCAATCGTCCGATTCTGTAAAAGGCACCCCGACATGATTCACATACTATACACAGAACATCACGGAGCAAGACATGGCAAATGAATCGGTATCGCCGACGGCTTCCGCGCCACCAAAAACAAGGACTTTTCATTCATGCTTCCCTCTTCCCTCCCCCTCTCTATCTACTCGTCATCCTCATCCTCCTTCCCCTCATTACTCTTCCTAAAGGCCCTCAGGCCCCAATCCTCCCTCTCATCCTCATCCTCATCGTCGTCGTCGTCGTCATCGTCGTCGTCGCTCTCTTCCTCTTCCTTCTGCCATCTTCTCCTAGCCGGGACATCACCCCCGGCTAGTACTCGAGCTCGGGTTCCGGCGAGGAGCGACGGAAGTCGTCCAGGTCGCGGTAACCCCGACCGGAGCCAGCCGGCCGGGGATCAGAAGGCGGCGGGAGCTGGGCGGGGACGAACGGCGCGGCCCTCCACGGCGGTAGTCGAGGAGGGCAAGGGAGCTGGGCGGGGACGAACCGCGCGGCGCTCCACGGCGGTAGTCGAGGAGGGCAAGGGAGCCCCCAGAGCGCGAGGTCCTCCGGGTGCGGAAGGAAGAACGGCGGTAGGAGAACGCCGCGCGGCTATGCGTATTGTTAGCAGTCTGAGCATTTTAGGGAGGGCCTTTAAGCTGTAAAGGTTATAAAGGTAGAAAGGGTGTTACTTACAGGGGGGCGGGACTGCTGGACGGGCTGTGTATATTCAGCGTTAGCAATTAAACACCGTACAGGCCGAACGGCTTCAGAAGGTGATCGGGAAGAGGATATAGGTACTTACAGGCGGAGGAGGCTGCTGCTGCTGCTGCGCGGGCTATTTAAGGAAATTAGTACAATATAAAAACCAAAGGCCATCGGAGGGCAAGAAAAATCAAGTCAAATCAGCAGAAAAGCCAGCTATATATACTCACCGGATAGTATATGGTATACCACGTCTTGCCAAGTTCCTTAACTAATTGGCAACCGGTCGAGAACTCAAACAGCTCCTCCAATCCATTCCAGTGGAGGTGGGCTTTAGCGTAGGTCCTGACCCAGTCGCCTTTCGCGTCCACCCAGCCCAGATGCAGGCTGATGTGTACGTTCGGTTCCTGGTGCCACGGCTGCGTCACCTTAAGCTCAGCCTTGACGGCATTCGGCGGTGGAGCCCCGACCGTGACGCCGCGGGCCCACCACCCGATGATGGACTGCGGCGGCAGCGCCTCGATGATCGCCCGGATCTGGGCGTGCAGCTCGCCGGGGACGTTGCCGGGTTCGATGTAGAGGCAGGGCGAGCGGCTGCCGGTGTTGAGCGACATGATGGTGGCGATTAGAATGGAGAGGACGCTCGTGGCTTGTGGGTGGTGACTAGCTGGTAAGCTGTGAGGGTGGAGAGTGAGGGTGGAGAGTGACAGTGTGCAGTGGTCAAGGAGAGGGAAGACGCTACGCAGTCGAATTGACGGTTTTATTTTGTGGCGAGCTACAGCAGCCTGGTGAAAGGCACCGCTTCTCCAACCCCTAAGACAACCCCAACGCCAATGGGTATATGAGATGCACGCCGACGCCTTGAACGGAATCCCCTTCAAAAACAAAAGGAAATACATAAGCTCATCCCCTCACTCACATAATTGTGCAGCCGATCTTCTTTTTCGGGGACTTGGACTTTTCCCTTGCGCCGCTCCTCAAGTTATCGAGTCGAGACTGCGTCCTTAGGTGCCCCAAATGTGTCCCCGGCGGCGCCGAAAGCGGCGCCGGATCCCGCCGCGCCATTGAATCACCCAGTGTAGTCAGTCTAGGAAGCATAGCACGTCTGGCACTTGACCTCGGTGGTGGTGGAGTATTCGATGTTGGCATGCTGGCGCGGTTGGGCAAGGCGCCTGGGGCCAGCGGGCGACGGGGTATACCAGCATCAGGGGCGGATCCTCTACGTCCCGCGTCAGGACTGATTGTAGGTGGTGTGCGTAGATCCACTGTGCTCTCGACGGCTCGCCGCGTGCGGGCTGCAGGCCGGCTTGTGTTGAGCAGCGAGGCGGTTGCTTGGTATGCGGATTGGCTCTGCGCCGGTATCATGGACATCTGTTGTGGCGGGGAATGAGCTGCGGAGCTGCGTCTGCGGCCAGGCGTTGCTGCTTGAGGACTTGGATAAGTTGATGGATGGAGGAGCGACGGACGGCGTTCCTGTGGCGGCGGTGCGACTGTCAGATCGGTCGACGAGATGGACTGGAGCCTTCCACGCGACTGATGCGGGCGAACAGGTACAGGTTGAGACAAATTCACCGTTGCTGGGAGCGGAGGCACTGGGGGAATGGAGGATGCATGGCTGGAGGTGCGTGCAGGCACCGGAGCGCCCTCTGGATGGCTCAAACTGACGCTCTGGGCCGCTTCGGCCGTCGCGGTGTATGCCGGCGGCGGCGGCACCCAGTTGTCCGCATCGCTCTCGTGGGGAAATTCTCGAAGCCCGTCCGCGCGACGATACTCCAACGGTCTGAACGGAAGGGCCCTGAGATGGCGCCGGTTGGCCGGGGAGACTGCGGCCACAGTAGCTGCCCTGGCCAACGACATCTGCGACCGGGGCTGCTGATTGTCGTACGGCGCTTCAAAGGCCGCCTGCGCCTCCTCCGCGGTCAACTCCTCGTCGTCCTCGATGGGACGACGAATCGAAGCCGGCCGCTCTCGGTTTGCCGTGGTGCGCGCGCGGCCCGGCGTGGACCCAGCCCTCGAGTTCCGTCTTCCGTCACCCGACCGGTCCTGAGCTCTTCTCTGCGCCATAGTCCGCGTCCGCACCAACTCCACCTCGCGGTCGAAATCAATTGAGCCCTCCGGCAGCGTCTCGCCAGGACACAGCGGGTCGAGGTCGTACGCCGTCTTCGTCGACGCAGGCACCGGGCTTCCAGCCGGCTTCGACTTGTCGAAGTCGAGGACAATGATTACGCCCTTTGAGCCTACCGGCGCACCAGGCACTTCGCTGCCCGACACGACGCTTGAGTTCCCCACTGCGACAAGCCGCTGCATCGTCGGACTGATGCTAACCCAGCGCAGCGCACAAATCTCTTGATACGTATCCGCGCCGTCGCTCAAGATGGGGATGCAGAAGCACGGCTGGATAGGCGACTCGGCGGCTGCCTTGGAAGTAGCCTTGAAATCCCACTCCGGCACCTGATAGATCCAGATACTCGTCGTCCCACGCATTCTGAGCGCGACGGCGGCAAGGTCGGCATTGGGAGACACGGCGGGCATGGCATCATCGACAAACTCGGACCGAGTCCAGCGCTGCTGGTCGGGCAGGAACATCTTGCGCTGGGTAAAGCGCTGGCTGGCGATGTCGTACACGCCCCAGCTATCTTCTTGCGCATTGAAGGCAAAGAGCTCGTTGACCTGGCCGGTGTCGGCGTCTGGGAGGAGCGTCGCTTGCCGTGCTATCTTGGCCGTTTCCGGGAAGAGCACCGATCCAGTCCAGACCTGCTCCGGGGCCGCCGGCACAGGCACGCCTTCCTCGTTCAACGGCCCGTCGTAAAGGCCGGGAAGAATGAAGAGGGACGAGCTTGCCGTCTTCCGCGCGTAGCTGGTGATCAGGAGCGTGCGCGCGTCGTCGGAGAATTCCAACGTGTCGCCCACGGGGCCCGAGATGGTCCGTCGCGACGTTTCAGGGGCATCCGGCCCTATCGCAACAACCTCAATGCCGAATTTGTTCCCAGTGATCAGAATGAGCCCGTCCGGGGATATGACGAGCGAGCTGGCCTCGTGCACCAACATAATGGTCCTCCTCTTCCTGATCTGGCGGTCCTGCTCCCTATGGATATCGTACAGGTCCACCTGCGAGGGCCTCGAGAGCACTGCCAGCAAGAAGCCATTGTCGGTAATGTCGATAGCCACCGGTTTGCGCTTCACCTGCAGCGTCCTCGCCCACAGGCGGGGCAACTGGTCCGTCTTGATCAGCCAGATGTTTGACGACGAATACACGGCGATGAAGTAGCCTTTCCGGGACACGTTGAAGTCGAAGGCATCGGGCAGTGCAGAAGAAGACGCCGTGCTGGATGCGAGCTCGAGAAGGGTTAGGGTAGGGTGTGCGTGCGGTGAGGGGCTTGTGGGACTCGACGCGCTGGGCCGGTCGTCGTCTGTCATTGCCGAAGTGCGCGCCGTCGAGTGCCCCGAGATGGCAGAGGACGTCGATATGTCGGTGTTGCCCGCCGAAGAGGCCGACAGATGGGTGTTGACCTGCTCATCTGCGGACGAGGCCTCGGAGCTCAGCGACGCGGCGCGCGAGCGGTGGGGGACTGCCCGTGCAGCAGCGCCGTCATGTCTGGCAACGCCCTTCCCGTTGACGTCGGTCCTTATCGCCAGATGCTGTGCTTCGTCGAGCGGGGTCCTCCTCCCCACCATCTTCTGTCCGGAGTCGCGGCGGACGGTTCGTGTGCGGATGCGGATGCGTGGTGCGGGAGATTCAGGAGAGCGTTGGGCGAGACGCCATGGAGCATGCCGGCGCAGACTCCTCTCAGCTACGCTCGACGGGCGCGGAAAGCATCTCAAGGCAAAGGAGCGTGGTGCAGATTCGACAGGGCGGGCGCGGTGGTGGAGTGTGGACGATGGTGGACGAGCACGCCGTCAGATCTCGCTGGCCAAGCCTCCGCGAGCGCTGGGCCCGCCCGGCTGCTGATCTACCCCAAACCAAGCAGGCCGGCATGCTGCCAAATATAGACCTCGTCACGTGCGCCCAACGGAGTCGCCCGTCGACTGTCGATTGCCACTGTCTCCTACGCTCTGCGCTCTGCTGCTGGCAATGTAGCCGCGGGGACGCTGCCAGACTGCTCGCCGTTTCAGAGCGTGTATACTTTGCGCCCAGCTGGCACCCCCCGACGGCGCAGGGGGAAGACCGCAGTGTTCACTGTTCTCCCCGCGAACGGGCAGCGAATCGAGCGGCGCCGATTGCCCTAGAAGGGCCCTGGAAGCTGCGGAATTGTCGCCATCCCTGCGCCTTCGAAACGCAACGCCGCGCCCGCTTGCCATCTTCATCCACAACGTGCACATGGGCAGCAGCTCGCGGAATGGGACAGGCGCGTGAGAGCACCGCCATCAGGCCTCCGCCGCGATGCCATCAGCGGCACCAAAGGGGGACACCCTTCCGCGCGGCCCATTTGGCCACCGCCCAAACGCCCTGCTGCACCGCACACGCATGTCGGATGGTGCTCTCCAGTAATGGGACATCGCGCCCGGCCCGCCAACGGTAGGACACCGCAAAAAGCTCCATCTGGTGGTAATCACACTCCGAGCCGAGTCGTTGCCGCCGAAGCTGTTGTGGTTGCATCCGCCTTGCCACAGCGTGAACGGCAGAAATTAAGGGACAGCCAGAACCACACTGCACGCTCTCCCAATGAAGCTGAAACGCTTGTAGATCTCCTGCATCGCGCTGCAATAATCGCCACTGGAAAAGTCAACTGGCTGGGATGCATGCGGACAGCTGCACTGTAATCTGCCCCAATTTTCCCCTAGCTTGGCTGACTTGTCAAGTCCAATGGTTCGGCACTCATTTAATGTAATAACAATGAGTGGACTTGGAGCTTACGGAGCAGGTCAGGCCGTCAGGAAACCACTGGGGAAATGGATAGTGAAACGCCACGTTTGGTGTCAGCCACCTTCCGCAGAATGTGGTTCATACAGTACATACGCTCCCGTTCATCATAGCCGGGCAGATGTGCGGGCCGCCATCGCCACAGCCCTCTCGTCCCGAAGCATACAAGACTTCTGGAAAAGCTCCTCCGGACAGCGAAAGTCGACGTGGAATGGCACATGCGACAGCGTCTCCGCTACCGGGGGCGAACCGGTTTGCTCCCTCAGCCGCCTGATCTCGGCGTACTGCGTAAAGTACCCAATCGGATTCACAGACATAAAGTCCGAGTTGATTGCCGCCTTCTCCTCCATCGCTTTCTGGACCTTGAAAGCATAATCCCGCTGGATGTCGTGCCACTTCTCGTTCACGTCGTTCCATTCCTTGGGGAGGAACTGTCGAATGAAGTCTTCGGCGGTGATCTTGGTCTTTCCGACCCAGGCTTCGATCGATCGGTCACGAATGTGGTTCTTCGTTGCGGCACAGTCGGGCGACAAGCTCCACCACTGGTCCCAGAACAGCTGAGGGCCCTCGTGCAGCACGAACCAGGTCAACCAGGAGTTTCCCCTCCGCAGCAGCCGCTGTCCATCGATGCCGCATCCCCAATCGAATATCCATGGCTTGTAGTCATCGCCGTAGTTGGAAATGGAGGTTCGGAATGCCGAGGATAGCAGCATGAACGTGAGCTTATAGTCTTTGGCCAGCTCGTCGGATAAGTCCTTGATGTACTCCAATCGCCGCGACAGAATCAGGTCCTCCCTCTGCTTGAACACGTCAAAGTTGTACCGCGACGGATGCACTACTTTCCAGGCCCGGTTCATTGTCGACTTGAGCAAGGTTTTCGGGGATAGCCTGTAGACCTCCTCGGAGATCATCGAGAGCCGCCGGAGAACACGCCATCCGGTTGCGACCCGAGCGCGCAACCCATCGCCGTAGTCGTCCTCAGCGGGTATGCCGTAGCGTTGCGGGGCCCATTCGTGGGAGAAGCGGTGCCTGTCTACCAAGATGGCAGCCAGCTGTTGCGGTATAAGTCCCTTCAACCAATCGATCGTGTATTGGGCCGGCTCGCTGGGCGGGGTCAAGAGGAGCCTGCTGCGCGGAAACGTCGAGCGGGCGACCGAAGGCGCAATGGTTACGATGTACTCTGCGATGAGGTTTCGCGTCTTCGAGCTAGTCAATCGCAGACTAAGGAGCTCATCAATTCGACACTGCGAGAAGACCAAGATGAGCACATCGTCCGGAAGTTTGTCCCACCGTCGCCGGCCGGGTGGTCGATTCGGCGACGGTCTGCGGCGCATCAGGGGAGGCATTGCGACGCGGAAGCAGGAGAACGACGTGAGGAGAGTCGAGCTACGGGCGTAGCATAACAAACAGCGTGTCTTGGGGGAGGTGCTGAGATGCTCAGGGAGAGCGGTTGCGGCATGGACGGGGCCGTTGGAGCTGTGGAAGCCCGGAAGAAGCTCGGCTTCAGGACGAGCAGAGGCAGCGCCCGAGGCCGCCGTAGTGCGTGCCTCCAGCGACAAGAGAGATGCAGCAACATCCACGACGGACTTCTGCTGAACCGCGTCAAGGTAGGAGAAGCGTTATCGGCCCCGGCATCTTCTCAATCGAGCACGGCGATGGAGCAACATAGTCTCCGCACGCGCTAGCTTCAATCATTGTTTCTCTGCATCAGCACTCCCGATGAGTAAGCGCCTACCTGACTCAATGACACCGACAACCTCCCCGACGGCCATCCAACAACCTTGGAGCCGTCTTGAGATGTTCTGATGTGAGGGCGAGTCGTGGCGGCTGGGCGACGTCCCTCGGGTACGGTAACCGGTTCCGCCAGCGGCCAGGCGGGGTCGCTCTTCGCCTGCCCCTCTACCAGCAGCGAGTGTGCCGGCAGCAGCTTGCAGCGGAAACGGTGCGAGGACAGTCATAATGAGGCGCTGATCGACTGCTCACTACTTCTATGTAGATCCCGCCTACGGTTGCCAAACTGCGTTGAGCGTCGTCGTGTCGGCCAGACATCCCTCCGTCGCCACAGCTCCACATTTCCAGCCAGCTGTAGCACAAGAGAGCAGCTGAGAATCTGCACGATGCACGGTTAAAGACGCATCTTATTGCAGCCTGCGTTGCATAGCAGCCCCGATACGCCTCGCCTAGCTGTCGTTTTCCTTCCCGCAATGCAGGCTGTCTTCAGCTCCCGCAGTTTGTTGACCCATGGGACTTGCTCGCCAAGCGGACTCATGGCGCCCTACGTGCGCCACACCTGAAGTGTCCGGCAATGAGTCTTTCATGAACTCTAGCCTTCAGAGGTCTTCTAGATTGATACGACAGCGGCTCAGCTGAATACTACCATGTGGAGACACCATCCCTCGAACGATAGGCGCTTCACTTCACCGGGACGAAATGAAACATATGCGATTGCTTATTGGACAGAACTTCCCTTAGAAAGGATAGCCCACCCGCCGTCCCAGGGTCAAAGAGACAAGGCGCGGGCTGGACGCTAAGCACCCGTGTTGGTCGCATCGTGGCTTTGTTGTGGGCCTTCCAAGCCCAGTAGATCAGCAGCTGAGCTGTTATTTTAACGAGCCGACAGCCTTCTTTGGCATAGCTTTCGCACCTCACCCTCAGTCCTTGGGCATCGCTGGCTCTGACAATGGCTGGAAGACTTCCCATCACTTTCCTCACAGTTGTATCCTGGGGAATCTTGGCAAACGCCGTACCTGCGGATCCCACGATTACGACACCGGCGGTGCTGCCGAGGCAGGCTGATGCGGCTTTTATAGGCTGGCTGGAATACAATAGCACATGTACGTTCGGAGCTACCCGGGTCTCCGCGCCGTACCTAACGAGCATCAAGGGTACTCACAAACGTGTGAATCTGGTCTCACCTGGTATCAATCTGGGGACTATGCTCAATGTTGTCCGGATACAGTCGCTTCATGCCCAGCCCCAACAGCCTGTGTAGGCGGCTCTCAAATCTATCCATTGGGCAGCACGACCATAACCACTGCCTGGTATGTGTAGCTGACTCTGCTGAGTGACATTCCTAACATCGACACAGCACGGGAAACTATAACAACTCTGCCTTCTCAGTGTGCAACACTGCCTTCATCTTCGAAAGCTTCGGCGACTCAAACCCGAAAACCGACATCGTGTGCGGGGACTCATCAGTGAACTGGAGCTACTACCGGAAGATCCCGGCTACAGCCACTGAGAAGTCATCGGAAGCTCGTACGTCTGGTACAGCACTCTACCTGTACACCCCTACTAACACTCACCACAGCAATATCTTCTGCGTCTCCCGTCGGATCTGCAGGATCCGCCTCCAAGCCGACGCAATCTGGCACGTCAAATGATGACGATGGTGGCTCCAAAGCCTGGATCGCCGGCGCGGTCGTAGGACCTATCGCCGGTATCGCGCTCATTGCCGGACTCGTTTTCTTCCTCATGCGTCGGAGAAAGAACAAGGATAAGAGCAGTCTACCCCAACAAGGGACCGCCGCGATGGGTCCACCCCCAGGAGTCCAACCATACACCGACGCGAAGCCGCAAATGTCTCCCAATCCCTCGTACGGCCAGCCCTCGCCCGGATTTAACCCGCACGATTCGTACAACCAGCAAGGTTTCGCCGGACAGCAGCCAACTCCTCCCAGTTCCGGCTATGCTCAACCATACAATCCTTCCGCGTCACCGCCTCCTCAGGGCAGCGCATACGTGCAGCAAGACGCGAAGTACGGCCACTACACGCAGCCGAGCCATCCTGAAGCTGCAGAATTGGGAGCGGCCAGCAGTCCGACTGCTGGCGCATCGCACACTGCTGAACTACCGGGTGAGGGTACACAAAGGTAATCGAGGAAAAGCTCTCGCTGGCACGTATTTGGAGTTTCCCGAGCGGGATCTACAATAGCTACTGAGGTATGGCAGACATGATGTAAGTAGGCTTTAGCGGTCGGCATCACATCCCTCAGCGTCTTATCTAATATACTCTTTCGACGCCATCGTCGATTCTAGATATCCTGTTAGCACTGTATATCCTACGTAGCATGACCTTAATGTCAATATGAATATCAAAATGTCTCTTTCGACGTTTTCAAACCGGCCCGCGCATGCACCTCTAGTTTCGCCCCAAATCGTAATTTTCCCAGTTCGGACCCATTGATCAACCTCAGGCATCCCACTACTTAGGCCAGTGACATCAGCAACTAAAGGAACGATTTTAGCGTGTGCGGCTTGGAATAGCGTGGCATTGCTGCTCTTGGGGAAGAACACCACATGCGTTCAGGGGCTCGGCGAGCGAATGGTGTGAGAACCGAGAGCAGGAGGGAGCGGCAAGTCACAGCACGTGGTGTGTTTGGGGAGACTCTTTACCGCGATTGCGGGCGGAGAGATGGGGCTGTGCGTCCTGTTGGCGTGGGAGATTTGTTGGCTACTGGGAACACTAACGTCGTAGCAAGCGGAATGAAAGACGCAGTGTGTCATTCTCTCAAAAGGTGCCAGGGCCACGTCTTTTGTTTGGTTACTAGCTTTACCATTCTCCATTCTCGTTAGGTGATCCACGCTCGCTCGTGCCTCGATCTCGCGGTCCTCTTGGTCTTCTCTCAAGGTGGATGCGATCCGGGAAGTTGGGTATGACGCGGGTCTGTGTTTCTGGTTTGTCTTATTGTCCGCGTATAATATGAGTGCTGGCGTAGGGAACGTCGTTGCGTATGCAGTGACCCGCGAAACTCGTGTCAACCAGTCACCCGGTAGCATTATGTCCTAGCCTGCGGGTGAGGTTATAGGGCGCCGGAGACTGCGACGCATGTGCACAAGAGAAATATGATGTTTGCTCGGAAGATGGAGCTATGATGACGGGAGGACGAGACTCGTGTTTGCGCGATATGAGAACCATCGTAGGAGGTAGAAACAAGCTGTGGCTGGCATAGGAGGCGTACGTGATCAACAGACCCTGGTGCCATCGCACGGCTTCATGCAGGGCGCCAGAGGTTGTTCGGGAAGTGGCGTACGTCGACGCTTGGGAGTGGTGGGAGTGTCATGAAGCAACCCGAGACGGCGGTCCGAGCCCAGGGCGTCCAGAACAGCCGCATCCTTTCGGTACTTCCGAAGCAAGCCTCCACACCCAAACACGATACTGACATACTGTACATATGAACCCAACATGATGCTGTTGGGCGCCGATTAAAAATATTCCTGTGGGATGCCGCTTACTGTGCAATCCGAGACATCCGCCACGATGCGCGCCCGCCTATCGCACTCGAAATCTCCGTTGCAGTTCCTCGCAGCATGCGGAGGACAAGGCGGCATTTGCGGTAGACCAAGAGATATGCCAATGCTACGAGCTGCTGGCCCGCCGAACACGAGGATAGAGTCGTTCAACGCGGCGTCGCGAAGCCGGCAAAAGGAGGGAAATGCGAAATCTAGAGCGCTCGTACGAGGCAGTCATCTTTCTTCGCTGCCCCTTTATGCAGGAACCTGCCGCCCAAATATAGCCTAGACTATCGCTTCTCGATAACGCGGCATCGACGTTGGCTCGTCAGGCGACCAGCAGAGGGCCATTCATATTCTAGTTCCTGCCCCTGAATGGTCGCATATTTGCCCAATCAAGCAGGCTACTACAACACCCACATCACGTGAACACGCACTACTGCCGATCGCTGCACATGGCGTTCGCTGGGCCAGAGTTCTCGAAAGCCGCCATTATGCACAAGACACCCAATCTTTCGATCGCACTGTGCGCCAATTGTGGTGTGCGTTGTGCGTACGTCACGGATTTCGGCTCATCAGGCGTGCAGTGATCTGGGCGTACTGTGGTAGATGCAGGCCGGAAGGAGCGTTGGATGTGTGTACGGTAGTCTACAGTCAATTCGGAAGGCACGCTAAGGGTTCGTCATGGGCTATGATCCCCGTGCGCAAGGCTGAGCGTCCCTCTTCTGACCCCCGCCGCTCTCCTCACGTCAAACGTTGCCGCATCTTGACGCTCTCTTTCACCGGGCCTCGCGTGGTGACGGCATATATCAACGTCCCGCTCCTTCTCGTGCTGCTCCTGCGCCGGACTCTCCCTCACCCTCCCTCACCGCCGACATCCGAATTGACAGCCTTGAAATACCACCTTCGCTTTCGACAACCATGAAGCTCGACAAGGTCCTCGCGGCTGTACTGTCGCTGGCAGACGCAGCAGCAGGTACGTCACCCCGGTGTTCGCTCCAATTGGACCCCGACTGATCCGTCCAGTCTCTTCACGTCAAGACACCACCAACGTCTCCTCAACACCCGCCCTCGGCTATGACGAGCTCTGGCTGCTGCAGAACGAGTTCTATGAACGATTCATGTACCCCAACAACATCAAGGAAGCCCGGGCTATCAACTCAACCATCTTCTCCGATGACGTAGGTTTCATCCACCCCGAAAGAACCTCCGACTGACAGCGACACAGGTCCAAGGCCGTGTATCTGATACCCGCAACTTCGAGGGCCGCGAGCTCAATACTGAGTACATCTTCGGCCTTTTCACTCCCACGGACGCCGTTAGCGTCATCGGTCGACCAATCGGCCCCTACGAAATCCTCCAGTTTGCCGCAAACCAAAACATTGCATCCGCAACTACCCGCGTCGGCTTTATCTTCCCTTCCTTCAAGAACCTGTCCCTCCCCGTGACCATCGATACCTGGATCAGCTGGAATTCGGAGCGCCAAATCACCCAATACGACGTCACCTTCCGCTGGTTCGGGTACCTCTTCGAGACCCTCCTCCTCTCTCTGGATTCTGATCCGACCAACGCGACCGCCAAGGCTGTGAATGCGCTCGCCACGTCCATATGTTCCACGCACACCAGGTACTGCAACGGGACGAACACGCAGTACGATTCCCCCGAGGACTGCTACCACTTCCTTACCCAGGAGATCCGCGTGGGGCAGAGCTTTGAGCTCGGCATGAACACCCTGATGTGCCGGAGTGTGCATGAGATCATGGTTCGGTACCGGCCTGATGTGCATTGCTCGCATATCGGGAAGGATGGAGGCGGCATGTGCGATGATAGCATGTCGTATGCTTTCAAGGTGGATGAGAAGTATTTCACGAATTCGCCGTGGATACCGCAGGTATTTTGATTGTTGATGAATTTCGCGTGGCTTCATGTATTTAGTTTTCGCCGTGTTTTCGGTACTTTCCTGTCAGGATGATAAGGATGCTAATGGTCGGATCGCAGATCAATGGCTCTCACGAGTCAGGCACGTCAACGTCGAGCAAGCCGACGGCTACCATGCCGACGTATACGACTCCGGTGCCTACAGCGTCATCGTATGCTCCTCCGCCGTATACGCCTCCTACTAATGGGGCCCAGTCACCTGGTTTCTCTCCTTCCTCTTTCCTGTACCTTCTTCTCTTCTTTTCTTCCCTTCATCTCTTCCCCTTGGCTTTTTATTAGCCCCTTGGCTTTAGCCTGTCCTCATTCATGCATTACGACGGCATTCGGCGCATGATGATGGTTCTAGCATTTTCTTCCATGTGTTTTCTTTGTGGAAGCTGAATATAGCGGAGTACCTATCGTGCAGAGACGCCTCGAATTAGGAAAGACTAGGAGGAGAGAACTGGAAGATGAATAATGGCTCACATGGATTATGGGAAAGCATGGAGTCTGGTTGGAAGACATGCATACCGGGCATACTACGAGGGCAGCGTGTCATATTGCAGAATGCAATGAGAACCCGAAAGACTTCAAATTCCTCATATTGCTACGCTTTGTGCTCCACACTATGCGAGGATCGGTTAAGGACGACGCAACGACTGACGAAGACTATGACGCTGCGCCCAAAGAGCAGGACACCACACCACTCCACCCCACCCAGTATCACCCACCCTCACGAACTCCCTATCTAGATATCCCGGCGGAACCACTTAGTCCACTCCCTCAGAAATCGACTTCCTCCTCCTCTCGCTCGGAACCATAGAATGGTTCTCAATGAACTCATTCTTGTCATGCCCATTCGCATTTACTTTCACCGGCACCTCAAACCCCAACTCTTCCATCGCCTCACTCGTAACCCTCACCTCCTCCTCCCCTACCCTCCCACAACTCTGGAAAATATGCAGTGTGCTCGGCGCCGGCGGCTTTAGAAACTCCTGCAGGCGATCTGGCAGATCCTGCTTCAGGAAAGTCTCGAAGTCGGTTGTTGGCATTCGCACGTCGTGGTGATGCTCGAGCTGCGAGGGCGGCGAGACGAACGGCTCGTAGTACTGGAAGTTTTTCGTGTAGTTGAGGATGTCGGCAAAGATGTGGCCGGTTGGAAAGAGGGCTTCCATTTCTACGTGTGTGAATTGTTGGTAGGTGCACGTTATGCCGGAGATCGCTGTGAATAGGGTGCAGATTTCGGTACCGGAGAGCCATTGGGAGAGCGCGGCGAGGTCTTGACGCGGGGGCAGGTTGAGGATGAGGGTGCGGACGAACATGCCTGGGTGATGTGAGTTTAGCAGCTCCAGGGGAGGTAGATTGGGGGATAGACATTACCAACGTCGTTCGCAACACATGTCCAAGGTAGCCTCGAATTCGCCGGGGCCGTCGTCCCAAACGTAAACGCTCCGTCTTCGCTCTATCCCCGCGATTAGTATCTCCCCTCGAAATCAACATATCTTCAGCTTACCTCCTTCAACACCACCCCATAATCCTCCATCCTCAGCCCCGGCTTCAAAAAACTCGTCTTCGCCGCCAACTCCGGAAAATACCTCGCATATGCCGCCGTTTCCCACCGACTCATCACCATACGATGGCCCCGCTTATTCGGTGCCTGCCTCTCGGGCATGTACGGAAGCGTGCTCCAGACAAACCTCTCGAGCGAATCTACGTCCGCAGCTGCCTCGAGGATGCTGTACCCGATGCGCTTTTCGATATGGAATGCAAAGTCTGCTACGGTCGTTCCATGGACCGAGGCGACAATGCGTGTTGACGGATTATGGAAAGTGGCATAATAGTCGGTTACGGCGAATATCGCGGTTGCGTTTGCAAAGGCGGTGCGGATGCTGAGTTCGGACATGAGGTCGACTTGGACGATTTCGACGCCGCGAGCGAGCCATTGCCGGCTGCGTTCGCAGCTGGGTAAACTCGTGAGACCTCTGATGGTCCAACCGGGAATGGAGAGGAAGGCGTTCGCGACGGAGGTTCCCTGGCGGCCGTTGATGCCTAGGATGACGAGGAGGGGCATGCTGGCGGTGGCTGAAGTGGCGATATAGAGTTGATGGGAAGTAGCTGTGCGCGATTTCGTTTGCTGATGGTGTATGTCTGCCCGACCACGATTGGTAGGGACTCAGGATCTAGCGGTGGAAAGGGGAAGCGTATGTGAGGCTTTGCACAAGAAGGCGGGGTTGTCGGGGTTTTTATTTGACGATGCTGAATACGCGGTCAGCGCGCAGTGCCATGGTGATGGTGAATAGGCGCTTTTGAATGTCCTGATATCAGTATGCGCTATGTTTGCTTCCCGAGCATCCAACCTCTTGTCCTGCAGACCAAACACCCCGGATCCACGTCCATCGACCTCGACGGTTAGAGGAGACCTCTGCAACACAGAAGCCTCCGTTGACGCAACGAGTTGTCGTTTCTGCGGTATATGCAGCTTCTTCGGAACGATATGTGTATTTCCAGCCGAGATATCGTCTGTAGAGCTTACGGTTGTTTTCCTTTGCTTTGTAGTAGTAACACTAACTACCGCTTATATAATAAGGGCAACAGACACCTAGTAGTAGCAGGCTCTTCCTGTAAAATATTCTCTAGGTTTAAGGACCCGTATAGATACAAGGTTGTACGTCTAACTGTACGTGCCACTGTACCAACCTGTGGAGGTCTCCAGGGTGCCCGTTGCATGGGTCGTTCGATAAGAGTCTCCTGCTCCTACCATGTACCGAAATTCGTCCTCTCCATAAAAGACCTCGAATGCCTCCTTGTGTGCCGTCTTGCACGTTCGAAAGAAACCGAGATTGGGCTTTCGGGGTCAGAGCATGCGGTAGTAGTAGCGGCCGGTGAAGCGTTGAACAAAGCCATCTCGGGGTAAAGGCAATTCAACTATAATCATCGAAGAGGAATTGTTGCCCACAGAATAATACTGCAGTCTGTGATCTATATACGTCCGCAGTATATGTGCGTTCCAATGAGTCTAGCAACTAGATTGGAAGTGGCCCAGCGCATGGAAAAGTAGGCTCCTCAGAAGTAGGTAAACAGCCAGAAGGAGTGAGTAGACAAGAGGTAGCAAAAGCTGTGGGCGTTGGCTGACTTTATAGTAGATCGGAAGGCTGTCGTTGGTCATGCCTCCGGCCGACGGCGCGAGATTGAATCACGTAAAGTCTTCCCAGCCAGTCGGACCAATGGAAAGTTGTCAATCCCTCAGGTGATTGAATCTCGTGCTGTGCCCGGAGGTAAGTGCACAGCTGAGGGTAGGGATGATTACATACGCAGAGACGCCGTCACGTTTACCACATCCTCCATGACGAGTGGCTCACTGAGGCTGAGGCATGGAGGGCTTCCCCCGCGCTGGGGTTTCATGCGTGGTTGATCCGGCGCTTCAAGGCGATGACTGATGGTTGTGCTACCATTAAGTATGCGTACTTCCATAGACGCAGCCGCTGGAGCGTGTTGGAGGGTGTGCCGGAGGAGTCCAATCCGGCTGAAACAACCGATATGGTGCCGGACGTCGTGAGTGGGGATGACTAGGTCTGACGCGTGTATGAGCGGCGAGATCGCAAGATGGTAGATGGGCAACGTAAAGTGCCTGTCTTCTCCCCACACGCTAATTGTCGCTTATTCCCTAGCTCTTTGTATATTTTCCAGATACTGCTGCGAAATAGTCCCGGATAGCAATGTAATGGATAGGAATGTTAGCGTAGCCCGGAAGGGCGGTAAGAGTAATTGAACCTGTAGCTATCCTTCGCTGTACCTAGGTATTAAATCTCCTCTTTTCAGTACACGCGACTCGGAAGACTTAAAATCTTGGATGCATGGAAGCTTACGCCTATGCGTCTGTAAGGCATTTAAGTAGAGAATTAATGTGTGGAAATAGAGGGTCTTGCTGAGGTCTTTGCGGGCCATGCGGACGATCTCGATCTCCAGGGTTGGCTTCGCAGCGAGTAACTTCGTGAATGGGTCCCACATTGCGTCTTGCGTAATCGTCGTAGTATTTGTCATCGTAGGGCCGCTGATAATTGGAGTAATCCGGCATGACAAGCGCAAGTTTCTGGAACGTCTCGATACGGCTCAAGCTGTCGATGAGATGAATGAACGAATCCCCGTACCCAAAGCTCTTGTCGTGCCATGTTCGGAAGGGAGCTTTCATGTAGAGGAATTCATATGTGGGCCTCGACCAAGGCTTGTCGTTGTCCTATCCGCCACCTTTACCCCGACGATAGAAGGGCATGGCAATAGTCAGGGATGTGAGCCACTGAGAGTGGCGTTTGTAGATCTTCCGGACGAAGAGGGTGCGCCATCATCTGGCCGTTGATGCCCGAGAACCGGAAGGTATTCTCGCCGTAGAAGACCTGCGATCCTTCGGCGTTGACAGCACAGCAGGTGCGCAGGAACGATAGGTTGACTCGGCGTCGGCGGAAAAAGAGCTGGGAGAAAAACTTCCGATTGTCGACGCGTACCTAGTAATCATGGTTCGTGGTGTCCGTCTCGGCGCAGAACTCGATCGGCTCCGAGAAGGCGAAGTGGAAGTGGTACACCTTGATCCGAAGTTCCGCGGGAAGAGATATGAATGGGAACGCGTCTTGGTCTGCATTTATGTCAGTTGGGCGGCGTTGCATATATCCTGTACAGATATGGCACTCCTTACGAAATTGCTCGCGAACTTCATTTCCCTAAGGATCTTCGGGAATCGTCGATAGGGCTGGAGCTCCTCCTTAGTGTAAAGCAGATATGGAATCGACATCTGCTTCCGCTTCCCGCCTTTGCCTCGAACGGACTTGCTTTTGGCTCGGCGATGCTAAAACAAAATATATAGATATTTAATATTGCTTTATAAGAGAAAAACTATAAGAAGAAATAATTTGCGCCATCAACGAACACGTTTACAGCTAACTTCGCGGTATTCCGCCCAGCCTGCCCACAACCCCTCCCATCCCATTGCCACAAGAATTCTGCCAGTCTTTCAACGCTCAGTTCTACACAACCATCCTAAACTTCAACTTATCCTCTCCCACAATCTCATCCCTCATCGCCTCCAACTCGCCCACATCCCATGTACAACTGACATACCTCCCACTCAACCAACCCCGCTTCTCCCGACTCAACCACACACACATGGCGCCCGCCAACCCCTCATCGTCGCTCAGGAGCGGGCCCCACACCTCCCCCTTATGCCCCTGCGTCTGCGGTGTCAGCACAGCGCCCGGATGTAGCGCGTACGCCTGAATGCCGTCTTTAGGGCCGTGATCGTTGGCGATGTGCTCGATCAGCCTGTTGCACGCGATTTTGCTCACGTTGTAAGCGATGGGGCAGATGGTGGAGGCGGGGGAGTGCGCGGCAAGAGAGGTGCTGCAGATGAGCGTTTGGGGCCCATCTTCAGTTTGGATGAGCAGTGGGAGAAAGGCTTTTGAGATCCGCCAGGTACCGAGGAGGTTTATGTCTAGGACGCGGGACCAGTCGTCGTCTTCGACGAGGCCGACGGGAAGGTTTGAGTTGCCTTCTGCTCTGTCGACGTATTTGGAGATGATGCCTGCGTTTGCGATGACGGCGTCTGCTCTTCCCCATTTGCTCCGTACGTCTTTCTCCAGGGCTGCTACGCTCTCATCGGATTGAGTATCACAGATACTCTTCAGCACCTCGATCTTCGGGTTGAACTTTCTGATCTCCTCTTCCAGCTTATCAAGGTCCGCTTGCGTGCGAGAAGATATCGACATACCGGAGGCGCCGGCTTTAGCATAGGCGAGCGAGATGTGGTAGCCTAGACCTTTCCCGGCGCCAGTGACGACGACAATAAATGGGGATGGGAGCTTGATCCTCGTGGGATCAATGTTCGCGGGGATCTTCGAATGGATTGTGGGCGTAAAGTTGACACCGAAATACGGTGGGAGGATGAACGGGGCAGGCGTATCCGAGGCCATTATGGAGCGTGATTGATTGATCGAAGGACGAAAGAAGAAAGTACGATGGGTGGACTGCGTTGGGGTCAGATGGTAGCGTGGAGGGGAATCCAAAGCTCTTCAAGGGAGGGACCTGGATGCGTACGAGCGAGTTGATGCCGGACTTATGATTGTTCCTTTGCAGAGCAAAGATTTATGATTGCTGACAGCTTGGGTATTGTGAGATTGTCCGTAACCAGGTGTTTCGATTACTTGAGCTGGCCGGAGTGGGGCTTTCCAACTCTCTTCCAAAGAATGAATCCTCCGATGTCTCCTCCAAAGCTTCTTTGGGGCTGTCGCGTTAGAGAACAAGCTTCCCCCGAAAGTATAGTATTTCAAGGGTGTGAAAGTCGGAGCAATAAGGATCGCGTAAAGGCCGTGTCCCGCTATGCAGTTCGGGCAGCGCAGATATATAATCAAGAAATGAGAGTTCAAAGGATTGCTCGGGGCGATTAGTGAAGCCAGCGACCGGGGGCGGATGAATCGAGAAACGTGCTTTTCGCGCGAGATAATGGCCGTGTATGCCCGATAGAGCGAGGTGTGAGACAACATGGGAAGGACATGGCACCACGTTTGTGGGGAATTAGGTGGTTGGTTGGTCGACGTCGAGCCGTACGATTCATGTGGGGCAGGATGCATGGGCTTGGAAGTGTGGTAGACTAAGCGCGCCTCGACTGAGGTCTGATATGCTGGGAGTGGAAATGTCATGTTTTAACAGAGAAAAGGAGACGTCACGGATAGATGCTTTGAGGAAGCGGCAAAAGATAAGGGGTATATATCGATCTCATTCAGATCCAACCAGACTCGCTCATTACCATACCATGTCACCAGGTAAAATTTTGTTGTACACCGCCGATGCCATGCATATGCAAGAACCTCTCGCACCGCTTCCTCTCGTCCACCAAGTAAACACAAGAAGCGCAGAAAGCAAATGGTGGTATCGCAGACAATTAACACCATCCCGTCTCAAGAAACGAAGTCATGCATGCGTAATAGAAGATCCCAAATACCGGTACCCAAAGAGAGAACGAAAGAATTCGCGCTTCGAGAAGGTAGTAGGATGCTTACAGCATGAAGACAGCGGCGGCGACGGCGCCCGCAAGACCGAAGCCGGCCTTGAGAGCGGAGGCAGCGCCGGTGGACTCTGGGGGGCCGGTCGAAGTGCCCGAGGGAGCACCGCCGGTCGGGGTGCCAGCAGTAGCCGTGGTCTTGAGCGACTCGGGGATAGTCATGCTCTTGGTGGGGTACACGACGGTGGAGTTGGCATGGCCGGTGCCAGTCGGGACCGGGACGTACTTAGTGGTGGTGGTGCAGAAAGTGGTGCTGTTGGCCGGGGCGGTGGGGTAGGCGCTTGAGGAAGGAGTCTTGGTCTCAGACGGAGTGACGGTCGGGTAGCCGGACGGAGTGCTGGAGGGAACGACCTCGCAGTCGTCGGTGGAGATACCGAACTGAGTCGAGTACTGGTACTGGCCGGTGATGTCGTCGATCAGCTGGATGCCATAGCCCGTCGCATCGGCGGTGGGCTCGAGATCGCCGGAAGGAGTCCAGACGAAGCTGCCGCTGTTCTCGATGCCCTCGACGATGATGCTGAAGGGAACGGCGTTGGTGGAGGGGCCCTTGAGGAGCTGGAGGGAGACGGTGTTGGTGGTGGTCGGGTCCCACTCGATGGTGAAGGGCTTGCAGGCCGGGACAACCTGGGATGGAGGTTAGAGCTGTGTTTCGTTTCATTTGCGCAACGCGCGCAGTATTGCGATTCGCGCAAGGGTGAATCGACGTACCTCGAGCAGCGGACGAGTGATGGGGTTGCCCTCAGGGTCGCCGACGGGCGTGTGGATAGCGGCAGCAATGCCGGCGAAGAGGGCGAGGGCAGAAAGCTTGGTGAACATGGCGACGGAGTTACTCGAATTAGGGTATTAGCTGTTAGGTAGCTGGGTAGAGCGTGAGGGCGTTGTTATATAGGATGGAACGAGCGGCAGTAAAGAGTGACTGGTGCAAAGAGCGGCTGAAGAACGAGGTCTTCGGAGGGAGGGCCTGCAGGCGGTGCTGAGTAGACTAGGAGCGGCGCAGAGGTGAGAGAGAAGAGAGAGAAGCGAGGAGGCAGAGCTGGTCGGGGTGGATTATATTGATTTCGGCTAGGGTGCAGGCAGGGCCATCGCTCGAGGCTGGACCCCGCGTCCAATCTCGTCTCGCGCCATCCAGGCCTGTTCCTGCAGTAGCTGGGGCCTGCACCCCAATCACGGCCCCCGGGCGCCCGCTCGTCTACACACGTCTAGCCGCAGCGGGCTAGGCCCTGGACGCCCGGCCAATCAGACGCGCACGCCGCTAATTAAGCTCGCTCGTGTTCACGGCCTCGGCGTGCCTCAGGAGCGTGGATTCGGCCTACGGCGCGCCCATTCAATGGAAATTGGCCCTCAGCCCGCCGCGTCTAATTTCCTGGAATAGCTGGGCCAGGCGGCGGCCTTGACCGGATTTCAATAACGGCGCGCCACGGTCAAGGAGAAGGTAGCATTTCTCCTGTCAGCACGGCGAGACTGGCTGCCGCCTGGCCGCAACTCTGCGCTGAGCGCGACGGAGGCGCACTTTCATTTCGCTGGAAGAGGGGGGCCAGAAGCGAGGCGGTAAAGAAGAAGCAGCGCAGGGCCGGCGGAGGAAGAAGTTCGACGTTGCTTCTCCAGATTCACGTCATGTCGATCACGCGAAACAAGGCCGATCTCCGCTGTAATCGATATGATGGACCCTTCGTTGCACACCCGTCGTCACACAGGCACACCGCAAGTGTTCACAGCCAGTCAGCTCGGGCAAGCCGTCGCACAGCGACGCAGGGCCGCACACACGCAGCTTTTGTTCGAAATTACGGCGACGACATGCCGAGTCGAGCTGATGGGGACAGCCAAGCGGCACGCCGGCACCGCTTTCCGTAGCCCGTCGGCACAGCACCAGCCAGCCCATCGTACGAGAGCTCATTTCCAACAAGCAACGTTATAGTCAATTCCTGTTATGTTACAGTAGAAAAGGACTGTGCTCGCTCCTCCTTTTGACTGCCTGAAAGATTTTGGTACAGATAAATTGTGGTTCCAGCATGCGACAATGCGGCGCAAAGAGAAGAGCTGAGCTAAGTGGATCTGGGTAGTCGCCGGGCCCGGAGTATGAGGGCGCACCAGAAGCGAGCGCAACGGGGTATCCTCGAAGGAGATTCGTCGAATCGTTACTTGGCGTGAAGGGGACCGAGTGGGAAGGGAAGAAGAGAAGAGGAGGCCACATGAGGAGAGCGAGTGTAAAAGGAGACGAGCGCAAAGTGTGATGATAAAGCTGCGAAGCAACGCCAAGCTCATCGGCCAACATGCGATGAGCTTGGAGCCCAGGCGGATGCTTAGCCGCACTGGCCGGGATCTGCGAACCATTAGCAACCCTCTCCGACCACCAATCCTCCGCCGCGCAGTAAGACTTACACTTTCGCGATGTCAACGGCTGCGGGAACAAACCGTTGGCGAGCAGATCCTGCATATCCCATTCGGGCGCACCCTCCGTCTTCCACGTCCAAAAGATCCAACCGCTCGCCTTCTCATAAGCGTCGAGCTGTGCCTCGATAAACTTGCCAATATTGCTCTTGTCAGCGCTCGACAGGGCCGCAACTGAGCCGCTTGACTTGCCGGCACAGCTACCGGTCGCACTCGCGCCGTTATAGGTCCCGTCGTATCGCGCACCTTTGTTCTTACCATTCAGCCACTTGGCGCAGTCGGTGATGCCGCCCGTCCACTCTCCTGCGATGGTGTTCTTCCCGGTGCTGGCCATTTGGTTGCCGAAATCGCATGCCATGCCGATGTGTGCGCCGATGTCCTGTGAGACCTGGCTGTTGTCGAATATTTCATAGTGGTGGGTGTCGAGCAGAAGATTCCACATGCCGGAGCCCCACGAGCCCCATGCTGTAACGCCCTCGAAGGCATCATGGAAGGTAACCGCGACGTCCGAGTCCTTGAGGTTGCCCCAGCCGTCCATGTAGAACTGACGAACAGTGTCCATGTTCAGACTTGGGCCCATGGGCTCGTTGAGCAGTTCGATGGCAGAAACGGCTGGGTGCGAAGCATAGTCGTCGCGAATCTTGTTCAGAACCTTGATAGTATGGTCCACAGTGTCGCCCTGGGTCCACGCAATTGACCCATAGCGTCCAGAATTGTCGAAGCCGTTCTGGGAGCCAGGTGCTAGTTACCTTGTTAGCGGTAGGAACCCAGGCAAGGTGTTTTCCAAACTCACCACCGTGCAGGTCGATCATCACCTTCAGGCCCGCACCTTGGGCCCAATCCAGTGCCTTGCCCAGCACCTCGTACGCGCCTTGCACGAAGGGTTCGCCGTCAACGGGAATCACGCTCCAGTATCCGAGCGGAATCCTCACGTGGTTCAACCCAGCTGCCGCCATCTGGTTGAAGTCGTCTTGCGTGATCCAGCTGTTCCAGTGATTTGACAGCGTGCTTTGTGCCGCATCCTTCCCCAGCTCCTGGGTCAGGGTATATTCATCGACCGCACCATTGCCTTCGAACAAGCTTGGTGTTATCCAGGGCTCGAGCACAAACCATCCACCGGTGTTCACACCGCGAACCTTTTCGCCGCCGTAGTTGAACATCGGGGCTCGCTTGTGCGGCGTGCTACCGGTGAGTTAGCATGAAGCGATTCAGTGGGCAAGACACAATCCGCGAAGCTTACAGAGGTGACGCGTTGGTGCTCAGGACGAGCAGGCCAACGGCCATGACACTATTCCAGCTTCCCAACATGGTGTTCGGTGTTCGTTTCAGAAGGTTACTGTTGTCTTCCGCTACCTTACCGGTCGTTACAAGAGCACAAAGATTACACGGAAAGAGACAAGCGCGTCGTTTTGTGTAACTGAAGCTAGGAGCAAAAGGTAGCCGAAGCACTTAGTCTAGGAATCAACGGCTTTAAAAGATCAGTCCACGAGCTCCAGCCGTCCCCGTCACGAGAATGTTTCTGGGGATCATCATAGAGTAAACAACGGCTAGTCATAGTTGCCAGCAAAGCTATGCCCCACTCCGAAGGCGGTGTCAAGGTTGAAGCTGTAAAGCAACCTATCATGTGCCACTTCCAACGAAAATCTTTGCTGTCTGCTCGGAGCTTTGCACAACCTCGGTGTTGGCACTTCCGTAAGTGACGCAGCGGCGCGGAAAGGGATTCACATGGCCGCTACCGTGTATAAGCGGGGATTAAGGGGATCCAGGTCAGTGCAGGGTGTCCCGTGGGAAGGCAGGACAGCTAGCTAGCTAGGTCAGGTACGGCGAGCTGATTGGCCGAAGCCTGGCCCAACCCCGGAACGATGATGGCAGAGATCGTCAGCGCAGAACCAAGGCGGATGGCTGGAGCCACAAGATGCCATCACGTTCAAGAAAAGGGTCTTTGTGTTGTAGATCTTAGCGTTTGCAGGAAGCCGGAAAACTTGAAAGATTCCTCGGCGGATGAGCCGTAAGGCTGTATTTGCGGGGGACCTGCTTTTTGAGGCTGCGATCTTCAAACCGCATGGGAAAGTGAGCATGCCAATTCTGCCGAGCATGAGTAATGATGCAAAATGGTCAAGCAGCCTGGAATGCAAAGTCCAGCGCTTTGGAAGACAAGGCGTGGAACAAGTACGTACCGTTGTCGTGTTCCATCCTTGGTGCAACCGACGTAGTTCAAAGTAAGCATCACCGTCATCCTCTGAAGTAGGCACGCAATTCTCACGACAATTGCCGCTCACGAGGGCTCCTCGGATGGGAATAAGGCTCGTGAGATGCAAACGGCTCTTTCCGGCGAGGCCATCTTCCCCGCACCGACCAAGCTTTGGGTACTGCGTCTTTGTTCGAGACGGTGCGCTGCATGTGAGGTTCGATTCGTTCGGAATCTTGGTGCGTCACCGGTGCCTAAGTTAATTTGCATCGTGACGGATCAGCTTGGCGGTTCAGCAGGCTCGGAAGAAGATTGGTGCGAGGAGTACTTGAGGGATCACGCGCCCAGGCGATCAGCTTTGTGTGACTTGTCGCTCGTGCTGGGCTTACGGTGTTTGGAAGGTTCGGTGTTCAGATGCTGCACGTATGCCATAATGAAAGCATCTCCTCTGGAGGGGTTCACGGCGTTGTTGACGTGATGAAAAGGCAGCGACGTCGGGCGAAGGCATGATAGATGGCGTAGCGGGTGGAGACGGCGACGGCTACGCTCTAAGAGAGGAAGAGAATTAGATGATGTGCAGATGGAAGGGGCTGACATCAGAGGTGAAATGTAGTTGGTGTGCTGCACACTGGTACGGTTTCGTAGATGGCGCATGCAACTGTTCGCTGATGGGTTTGAGAATTCTTGAGGGAAACTGTGGTAGCTTCGACGGACAACGCAGCACGGCTGCTCCAGAAGAGAATAGACGGCCGGGGCGAGCAGGACGGCATTTGACGGCGACTGCTGATGAAGCGACGATTATTACCTTAGGTACTGCCGGGGCGAAAACGTTTCGAATCCCGCCAAGCGTATGCCGTTACTAAGGCTCGATGGGTGAGATTTCGGCGCGCGAAAGAACGCGGCCAATGCGGGCGGAGATGCAAAAGCCTCCGCGGGAGAAGCGAAGAAGCAGAAGAAGCAGAAGAAGTGGGTGGCTGCTGCCCGGCGACGCTCTGTTTATCTGTTTATTCTCCTGCCAGCGAGGAAGGCGCGATGGGGGCTCGGGACTCAGGAAGGCACGCATCGCCTTAGTCATGCACGTCAGCCGACAATCGAGGCCCCTCGTTCCTTTCCGCGCCGCGTTACATGAAAACCGGCACCCACAAAAGTACAGTTACCTTACACGCTTGGGCATCATCTCTCAACCCGCCCGCTCATCGCCTCCCTGCCCCCAAGTGTGCCCGGCCTAGTTCCGCGCCCTCTCGGAAATGGGCCGCCACGCAAATCCCGACATCCGGCGCGCCTTCGCTGAGTTCCAAGATCAGGACACGCCGTCCAAGGTGAGCCCGCCTGCCACGCGCTTTTCCATCGCAACACGCACCCATCTCTACGATCCTCCCCGTCACTAACCTCCCCAGTGCAACAAGGTGCGATGTCTGCACTGCGGCTTCGTGCGCGCGAAGAACACCACGCGCCAGATCGAGCATCTGCAGGAGTGCCAGGCGTACCTGGCCTCCCCAGAAGCTCAAGCGCACCTCGCCCAGAACCAACATGGCACGCCCGCGGGCGTCGACGCCAGCATGCCGCAAGGCTCCGGTGTCTTGAGCGGCCAGCATCCGAATCCGAACCTCCAAGTCCACCGTCGTGGCCCGAACACGAAGCGCACGCGTGACGGCCAGCCCATCGCGCCGCACGTTAACATGCAGCCGGCCATCTCTCCCTCCCTGACCGCCCACCTCCTGTCAGTGTGCTCCTCGCCGTTTACCCAAGCTACACAACAACCCTTTCTCTCCCACGCGGGCTGCGGCTCGTTGGCTCCGGGACCGCTGTCGCAATGGCTGGTGCAGGATGGACACCATGCGCGAGGCTACATACGCTTCGTGGGACAATTACTAGCCAAAATCCGTCTGCCGCAAACCTCGAACTCGCAGTTCCACCCCATGTACAGGACTATGGACCTCCTCATTTCCGCCTTGAATAACATGCGGCGGGAGATGCAGTTCTTCGAGATCACGGCCACCAAATACGGCCTTACCCTAAGCCAGGAACCCCCTACTCCCATAACGCGGTCGCTGCTGGATCTCTTCGTAAGCGCAAGCAGCTCGAGTTCTTCGCTCCTCGAGGGTATGGTCGTCCTTTGGGGGACCGAGCATGTAAGTGAACAAGCATCTGGCGTCGTCAGCTCCGACGAGACACATCTTGCTTGGCAGCATATATTGAGCAGGATTCAGAAGCAGGTATTGAGCTCTGCTTCGCCCAGCCGTCTGCGTCAAGCTAGATAATGGTCCACCGGAAGCAGTCGACTCCTATATGGCCCTGTTGCGGACTGCGCTGACTCGCCTCGCAGTGCTATCGCTCCGCCTGGCAATACGCGTCCTCTTTCAGCACCTCACTCTCCACCCCAAGCTCCGACTCGCATATCATTGCCCTCCATCAGGCACTCATTCCTAACTGGACATCGCCCGCTTTCAGCAAGTTTGTAGACGCCACGCGCGCCCTCGTTGACGAATTGGCCAACATTACAACGACTCGAGACGGCAAGGAAGAGATGATGCGGTGTGAGGAGATCTTCCGCCAGATCTGCTGGCTAGAAGAACGCTTCTGGCCTGACGTCGACGGTATGGGCGAGGAGGACGATAGCGCGCGGCTCGGCCCCAGTCTTGGTCCGATGGGAGCAGGCATGGACAACGGCTTGCCCATGAATGGACCGATGAATGGGCCGATGAATGGACCTATGAATGGACCTATGAACGGCCAAATGAACAACCAAATGAACAACCAAATGAATAGCCAGATGAGCGGCCAGATGAACGGGCAGATGAGCGGGCCCATGAATAGTCAAATGAGTAGCCAAATGAACGGACCTATGAACGGACCGATGAACGGCGGCGACGGCACTCCAGTCGGAGATGGGAGGAATAGCTTTGGTCTTCCCAATGGCAGTGGTCTTGAGGGCGTCGGTCAGAGCTCATGACTGCCTGAACAGACAGTCACCGGTTACCTAGCGTCGCTGCGACTGACTCACCAGAATCCACTTCGCGGAACACTCCATCCTTGAATCTATAGGATGGAGGGCGTTTCCTAGCTGCTTTTCGCTGGACATTGACTATTTAGAGAATGAAGATAGGGCTATGGCAATACGGCGGTCTTGTTGGCTAACCGCTGTGATTTCTGTCTGTGGAAAAAGAGATATCATCTGTGCAGGAGTTATGGTCGGTCTACTGACCTGATGGCGTTTCAGGGTGTGGCTTACGGTTGATATCACGGTACTATTTTCGAGGAATATTTCGCCCTGTGTTCAAAATTATAATATGATATCAGTGTCGATCTTCAATTTCTGGTATGCCTCTCTTAGATGTAGTCTGACATGCTCCGCTATCCGCTCAAGAAATGGACCTGCAATCGTGTCTGACTCTCATGATGCGCAACGGACTTTGAAGGCCACTAGGCTAAGTGTTGGTGAATCCAGCATCGGGAGATGGATCTAAGGATAGGACTCGTCGTGTCAGGGGTACAGTGTAGCATTGCTACATATCATTAGCGCGTATCGTGTTGTGCGAATCATGCGGACGACAGGGTTGGTGTGTTAGAATGCATGCGCATTCTGAACGCCGAAGAGCATTTCAAGGGAAGTTTGCGGTGGGGTTAGTTGACGTATCTTTCGGTCCGAGTGAAGGAGCCATACGCTCTCGTGCCCAGGTGGGCCTGCTTTTCCTAGCTGATGGCTTTCCACGTGGCTGCTTTGGACCATTATCGAGCTTATACGCACTTCACAGCCTAGATTCTCTCCCGTTTGTTATACTCGAATAGATGCAATCGGGTGGGCTCAATCGTAAAGCTACCCTTGATCATCCTCGACAGCCATAGCTCGGACGGACATCACGAAAGAAGGGTGACTTGCGGGTTATAGGGAAGCGCAAAGATGGCTGTGCGCAATCAAGAAGGTGAAAGAACGGAATGGTAGAGGCAGTCGCCTGTTGACTACAGCTCTAAAAGACGAGAGCGGAATTGCAATATGCCTGAAGGGCATTAAACTAGTTCTATTGATGTTGGGCGCAGGCCTGTCTCTCTAGGTTGTTTGGGCTGGGGCAAGCCTGTTAGGCCAATCTAGGTCTATTATGTTATCTATATAATCATAAGTATATCGTTGCTGTTGCTTGCCGAACAGGTGTCCACGAATTACCCCAGTGTTCTTACGCCTCTCATCACTTCCGCTGTCCTCCACAACGCAACACAATCCACCACTCACACCGCACTCGACGTAACTCTAATTTCATCCGTTCTCTTAATCCCCCCAACCCCCTCCTCAACAGTCTGGATCGGCAACCCATGCTTCTTATCCGCCCTCAATATACTCTCCTCACTAGCATTCTCACTGCCCATCTTGACAGTCGTCTGGAGTACGCTCGCGCCAGGCCCCATGTAAATCTTACTTGCGCTGTCCTTGCCGCTGCCGCCACCAAAAGCTGCACTGCCTTTCTTGGAGTACTCGTTGAGCGGGTAGGAGCGCCCGCCGGAGGAGTCGCCGCGCGAGCCGTACGCGATGCGCACGTAGAGAGGTCGCAGGACGGGGATGCAGGCGCAGATTATAGTCATAAGGACTTCGGTTGACGACCAGAGGAGCATGGGGACGGTGTCGTAGACGTATTCATTGACGGAGGAGAGGGTTTGGAGCTCGTAGGTGCGGATTATGGAGCAGATGCCGGCGCTGGCTAAGGTCAGGATGTGGGGAGTGGGGAGTACGGGAAAGGAATACGTACAAGATACCGAGTGAGAGGCCAAAGGCTACGGTGAGCTTCTCTTTGCGCTTCATGTTCAAGCCCAGCACGACATGCCAGGGGAGAATTGCGAGGACGAAGTCCATAGCTGCGGACCATGCTGTAGCTGGGTTAGCAACCGCGTTTCGTTCCACTTCAACTGTCGCGCGCTTACCGCCCATAGTCAAACCCACTGACGTAAAATCCAACCAGCAGACACCGCCCTCAATAGTATGGTCCCACAAGAACGCCGCCGGCCGACACTGTAAGAACAACAAAGTTGTCGTGATGGTGCACATGAGGGTAGTGCTGACGATGCAGAACCACAGAATAGCCTTATGCCATTTTAGCAGCACGATGCGCAGAAGGAAGAGCGCGACGGAGGACTTCGATGCGGCAATGCCCATGATGCAGATTCCTTGGCCGATTGCTTCCCACATGATGGCTTTTGAGTAGGAAGCTGGGGAGACTGTCGCATATTTCCTGCCGATGCCGTAGGTTATGCCGACAGAGATGCATGCTACGTAGCCGATGAACGTAATCTGAGGGTGTTAGTTTGGCTGATAAGCAACCTTTTGGGGGACGGGAGTGTTGTTCAAGGAAACGGCAATCCAGATTGATCGAAAGCTTGCAGCTAGAGAGGGGTTTTGAGCAATTGACTTACCAGATTGATGACCATGACAATGTCGTCCCACCCAATGCTGTTGATGATGAAGTACCGCGTATACATTCGCAGTGCGATGAAGATGAGAGCTAGAACGACCTGAGTCCACATGACCCCGTTGAGGATACCAGCGAAGTCTTGAACGGCCATGTTGGCTGCGATGACTCCTTCTGGAGCTCTTCTCGAAATCTTCTACAACAGCTCTTCTCCGTCGGCTTTTGAGATTGAGGGACGCCAGCAGCCTTAATCGGTAGTCGATAGATGACGACCTCTGAGGCACTGCTCGCCAACGAACAATAGCAAGCCCGAACGGAGCGAATAGGGCGACGAGGAGAACAAAAAGGGGACAGCGAGATGGGGAAGAAGGCGGAAAGAAGGCGGAGATGTCAATCAAGCAAGCCGCTGCACTCCAAACTCTCTCCCCTTCGAAAGGAAACAAGACGGATTGAAGCCTCCTCTTCAGCGGTCGTCACGACGAGGGGTGTGAAAGTTTAACGACGGATGGCAAGCATCATATAGAACTAAGCACAGTCCGTGGATAAGTAAAGCATCCTAGCACTGTGATCGACCTGTGCCCTTGCACCTTGTCACAAAAGGACTGCTGGTGTGGGGTCAATCGCCGTTTGTGACGGAGAGTTTAGGAAGAGAGAAGTGCCGTGAAGCCACGAATGCTTGGTAAGGTGCCGCAAACATTGAATCCTATTTTCTTCTTCTCCTTTACGACTGTATGTGAGGCTCGAGCTGCCAGAGCTGGGACGCTCCTGGGCGCAGCGTTTGACATGGGGTAAAGATCGCTATCCTTGTTCCTGGCACTATGTCAAACGGAGCCGTGGCGCTAACGCAAACCCATCACCAGGCGGTGAATGTCAATGCACTTGGGATGAACTCTTGGACGCTTGCAGCTAGCTCTCGGATATAGGAAGAGTTTCCCCTGCCAATCCTGGCACCACAGGGGAGCCATTTGTGCTTGGATAGGTAGTAGAGCTGAGCCCGGGCTGCTCTACCTGATCTCTTCGTTCTGGTGGCTTTTCTCTTCAGAGAAACAAGAGCAATCAGAGACTCAGACGGGGCCTGGAAGAAACTGGCAACAATATTAAGTGCAAACGACGACGTCTCGTGTTTGCTTACCCGAGTGCCGTCACATCGTCCCGTCTCCGTGTCCGGGCCTATATCGGTTCCAGAGCCAATGTCAATGCAGGTGCCCTTTCTCGGCATCGGTACTTGATAAGAGTGACAGAGCGACGCGAATCCGCCGTCTTGTGAGGCGTCTTAGAAGGTTTCACCGGCGCCCAATGAAGTTGTCGTCAGCACGCCTCGTTCCATGGCCTCGTCAGAGTATTTGCGTGGGGTCCCCGCTCGAGAAGATACCTTGCTAGATTCATGAGGGGTGCATTGAGCCGCCATTTCCTGGGGTGACGTAAACCAACGAGAAGCTTGTCCAGAGGGTGTCCGCTGCCAAGTTTCTGGAGCACTTTGGCCCAGGGACATATCGGTATCCAACCTAAGAACAAGCTTGAGCCCGCAATGGAACCGGGTGCGGGCCGGGGTGATAGTGGCCGGCGGGGCAGCGGGTCTGGAGTTGTCGTTTCGACTCGCGCTTGACGCTTGTTGGGCCCGATCCCTGTCAGCCATCACCAGAGCGAGGCCGCCCAATCGGGCCACAGCTGCCTCCCGTCCCCCCATTCCCTGCCTGGCACCTTCAATCACTTCCTCCATCCAGCAATCATCGCAGAGCGTCCAGGCCGTGGCCGTCCACGCCTCTGTCCGAATGCCGTGTCACCGTCTTGACGCCGATACTAGTACAGCCGTCTTCGCAAGACGTACATGGCTTCGGCGCACACCAGGACATTGAAACCAGACCAACCGAGTGCTCTGAGATGCAGGGCGAAAAAGTAACATGGAACCCTTCTAAGCTGTTACGCCCAGCGGGTCTTGGACGGCACATCCCATTAGCCAGCACGTTCACAGGGGCTGCCGCCCCAATACCGTTTCTACATCACGCCATACCCCATATGGATCATACAGGTATCCGAAGCAGCCACTGGCCACTAGCTGACATCGATCCAGCATGCCGGAACCTGTAGCACGAGCAACTCACTCTCCCGCATCCGTCAGTGATTGGCCTTCCGCCCCACCACCTGCTGGATTTCTGACCGCGGACGCATCTTCATCAAATGAACGCTCGCCGAATCCAATCAGAGACGAGCCTCAAGTCCTTCGTGAACGTGCGCAGACCCTGTTCAAGAACGTGCATCCTATCTATGTACGCTCGTACGACCTTGTCTTGCGAGGGGAGACTCCTCGGGTATACCTGAAGGCTGAAGCTGGCCAATTTATGTGCGCCGCGCGCGTTTACTCTCATTTGCCGCGTTCGTTTCTTTGCAGCCTGTGCTTTCCCGTTGGTCTCTTTGCTTTGCTTGTGAGGCAGCCCGTCGTCACTTTCTCCACGACCCAGGGCGTCGGGATCCTACAGCTCAACTTTTCCTCAAATCTTCCTCCATCTGCTGTTACACCACAGCTTTGGATCACAATGGCGTTAGCTACCCTGCTCGTAAAGGTCTTCGGCCTGGGCGCCATCGTGCTACTTACACAGTATCTACTTGCGTACTTGAGATCCCCACTCAAGAAGCTACCAGGCCCTTTCCTGGCCAAGTTCTCGGACCTGTGGCGGTTTTTTAATCACTACGGCCAAACGCACATTGAGACGCAGAAGGAGCTTCACGCAAAGTATGGAGACGCCGTTGCCATTGGTCCCAAGACTGTCAGTGTCGCGGATCCCAGTCTGATCAAGACAATCTACTCCACACGAGGCACGTTTCTGAAGGTAAGTAAGCCCACCTACCTACTCAGTCTATGGATAGATGCTGACAGTCCGGTAGAGCGACTACTACTCCATAAACGACGCCCTCCAAGACGGCCACATCCTGCAAAACCTCTTCAGCACCCGTAGCAATGAATTTCACGCTAAAACCATCAAGCCCGTCCAGAAGCTCTACTCCCTCCAAGCGGCCCAGGACCTGGAACCGCTCATGAACAACACCATGCGCGTGTTCTGCCATGAGTTGGAGCAGCGCTTCATGGAGGGCGAGAACAAGGGCAAGACGTGCGATATCGCGGATTGGATCTCGTATTTCACGTGGGATTTCTTGGGAGACATGACGTTCAGCAAGCGTATGGGGTTCATGGAGCAGGGGAAGGATGTTGGGAATATACTCGACAGTGCGGAGAAGGTGATGCGGTACTTCTCCGTGGTACGTCTTCCAAACCCTAGCGAGCGTTCGCTTTCCCCAAGAATGAACTGTTAATCTACCCTGCAGATTGGCCAAATTCCCCAGCTCGACAAGCTCCTCGGCAAGAATCCCTACCTGCCCATCAAGTTCCCCGACTTCTCCATCGCCGCCGGCTTCTGCGTCGAGCGTTTCATGGAGCGCATGCAGCACATGGAACAATTCAAAGACAAGAAGGACTTCATGAACGGCTTTCTGCAGGCGAAACAGGAGTATCCGGATCTCGTCACCGATAGCGAAGTCATTGGCTATCTCATTATTAATATCCTCGGCGGCGCTGACACTACGGGTATCGTCATGAAAGCTATCTTCTACCACATCTTGAAGAATCCAGAGGTTAAGGAGAAGCTGGTCAAGGAGCTCCATGCTGCCTCCCTGAACTATCCTCCTAGCTACACGGCGCTGGAATCCCTCCCTTATCTCGACGCTTGCATCAAAGAGGGCTTGCGTATCCACCCTGTCGTCGGCCACATCCTCGAGCGCGTTGTGCCCCAGTCCGGCCTCACACTCTCCAACGGCGTGACGCTCCCGCCCGGTACCATCGTCGGCATGAACCCCTGGGTCATCCACCGGAATGCCGATGTCTTCGGTGACAACGTCGACGCCTTCATGCCGGAACGCTGGCTTCAGGGTTCGAAGGAGGACAAATCGGCCTTCGAGGTGCGAACCAAGCGAATGAAAGACGCAGACCTAAGTTTCGGCAACGGGAACCGAATATGTCTGGGACGTCCACTGGCGCTGGTTGAATTAACCAAGGTCACGGCAACCTTGTTTGGGAAGTACAAGGTATGTTATTCTTCTTCGCGAGATGCGATAAATACGCTAATGGTGATGTGTAGATTGATCTCGAGGACCCGAGCCAGGAGTGGGAGCTGCATAAGCAGTGGTTCGTGTGGCCGCACAAAGTCAAGGTCAAGATGAGCCCGTTTTAGGTGGAACGTAGAAGAGAGATGGAAGATCAACGGCTCACAACGAGGTAGCGTTAGTCTGTAGATGAGAATTTGTAGATAGGACGGAAGTTGACATACAGAATGTATCCCTTCTTATCACTTACTCTCCGGGCTTCAATTTTCCACGCTCGGCAGACCTCCGTCTCGTTTGCGCGGCTATGCACGTCTTCTCGTATAAATCGGCCCGTTTGCTATGTCGACTTTCAGCTGCGACAAGCCTCACCCTCTGGGCGGACGAGGGTCGCATACTGGTACACAAATGTTCCTTTTCGCACCACCCCCAGCGAACGCGCAATAGAAGGACCGAAGTTCAAGCAAGGCTTGGTCTGTTGCGGATCCTGGATTGCTGGGAGCTCCATGGCTACCCTTATGGGTCGGTCCCTTCCCCTCCCGCATGTGCGAGTCATGCGTGTATGTAGAACGAGACCGAGGATTTGGAAGGCACCAAGGAGCGGCCACAGCGGTAAGGTCTAATAGAGCGAAGCTCAGAGCAGATAGCTAAAATGATGGCGAGGAAACCCAGCGGAAGAAGAGATGAGCAAGAAGGCAAAGTGCTGCTTGTGCAATTCGAATTGACATTCAATCTTGATTGATTCAAGAGAGGAGAGTATCGTACACGTCAAAAATGATGACCTAGGGATATACCATGGTCATGAGCCTAGGGCAAGTCGCAGCTGCCACAAGTGCTTCAAACGCCGTTAAGAATTCTCAATAATCCCCCATATCACGCGTCTCGTACCTCTATATCCAACCCCCACCCGCATCCGAGTTTATTTCCTTCGGTTCTGACTCATAGCTAGAATCTGCACCATCCGGATGAAGATGTTGAGGAAGTCCAACTCAAGTGAGATGGACTCGTTGACGGCATCCTTGGGGATCATGCCGCGCTCAGCCATGCGCGCGTGGTGAAGCACCTTCTGCACGTCGTACAGCGTGAAGCCACCGAAGACAGCCAGTCCACCATATAGCCAAATGTTCTCGGTCCACATGAGCGTTCGAGCCGCAGTGGCGGGGACGACGAGGGGTGCGAGGCCAGACAGCGCGACGATAGCAACGCCGGCGAGGAGAGGTCCACCGAGGTAGAGGTACTTCTCCTGCTTGGCGGTCGCACCGACGAAGGCAATAGAGCCCATCATTCCGGCGGTATAGAGACCTGCGCGCGCGAGGATGGCCGGGTGCATAAAGAATAGCGGCGAAAGGAGCATGGCCTGAGTGACGTTGAAGGCGGTCCAGAGGGCATATTTCTGCACGTAGCTACACTTTGTTAGCTTCCCTTTCCTTCACCGCAGACAAAAAACACCGAAACATACTTCTCCGGTCGTGTAGCCATAGTTCCATACATGGTACCGATGCTGCCAACAAGTCCGACCCCGAGGACAAGCCACGGGTTTGCACTCATGAGGCGGAAGCTCCATCCATTCATGTGCAGCGCGCGTGCAGCCATACCAATGATACCGATGCCGAGACCAGTGTGCATGAAGGTATCATTGAGATATCGCCGTTCGAAGTCCGGCATGCCGCCATCCTCGCGAGTCTCGCGGTTGAAGATGAAGTTGATGCCCAGAAGCGTTGCGCCGAAGATTCCGGCACCATAGATCAGCCGCTGGCGCAGGTCGCCGTGTGACACCGGGTTGTATGCGGCCTGCTGGTACGATCGGCGGAAGGTCGTTCGGAAGCGAAGGACATTCTGTGAGGTAGAGATTGAGGGCGTTTTCGGCGAGAAGAAGTTGGGTTGCGGCTTGAGTGGCGTGTTGTGGAAAGCGCGCAACGTCACGGACTGCGCGGATTTGGGTGCCGTCGTTCGCAGCGTGGCCGTGAGGGCGAAGGGCCGCCGGAGGATGAAAGCCATTGTCGTCACCGTCGTTGAGATGCGGGTTGAAGAGTGGACGAGATGGGGTCCGAATAAAAGCGCTCGGGTGGCAGTCGAAGTATGACGTGCATGTGAGAGCCAAGTCTGCTGACTAAGGGGTTGGCAGAAAGCGCGAGAAGGGTCCAAGCTGTGGCACTCCACCACGCCATAAGCTACCGATTCGTGACGACTATCCACTATTGCACGACTAATCGAAACTGGTAGTGACCTCGTCCTCGAGGCTGAAGTACAGCGTTGACAATGCGACAGTCAAAGCAGCCACCATCCATTGTCCAATACCAAACCCACTATCCCTTGCCTTCACGATCACATCGTACACAACTGCAGTGATGAAGCTAAGTACCAACACAATGAGCAAAGCGAAACATATCGCAGGCTTGTTTGGCCCTTCCATGATATGTATGCCCCACCCCTCGCGCTGCTCCTCTTCTCTTAAACACGAAAGCAAACTCTCGCCAAGTTTCTTTGGGAGTCTTCCAACGTATCGCGCGCTCGAATGTTTCTTGTGATTCCAGAAGTAGTGCAAAAATGTACGCGAATCAATTGGTGGCGGGCTATACTCCCACTGTTTTGCTGCAATCACATCCTCGGGAGGCAAGGGTTCATCCGGGAACAAGTCAACGCGATGGCCAGATTCGACGCCAAAGTGTACGAATTTGATGCCGGCAGGTCTGTAGAGTAAGCGACGCCATGTGTGCCCTCGGAAGGCAAAGTAGTGATCGTAGATCTTTCGGAAAAGAAGTCCGTCTGTACATATGGTCGAACTGTTCGCGCTGTCGGTAATGATTTTGATCTCGGCTAATTTTGTCTCGTACGCGCCGACGTTGACACAGAGTTCGAGGTACTTCGTCCCCACGGTGGTACTACCTGGCTTGGAAGAGAAGCTTTGCGAGCTGCCAGACCCGATATAGGTACTGCTAGACCCCGACGTAGGAGAGCTTGCATTCCCGTTAGGGCTTAAGCTATTGGATGTAGACTGGGATGAAGATAGATTAGAATGGATGGTTCCAGACTCGAGGTCGGGCGGATTGGAAGAGCCGTGTGGCACTGTTCTAATCGCAGGTGCTGGCCTCATCAAAAAAGCTCGCATCTCCTCAAGCTCTGTGGTGTTCGTGATCGGCAAGTCAGCAAAGCGCTCCTCGCCACACTCCTGTGCATGGTCAGCTTGAGTATACTGATCCGAAAGAGCAACTAACACAGATCCATTCTATTCGTTGGGTTCCTGGCGGCGGAGCCTTGCGGAAAAGCTTCTTCCAGTGCCCCCAGGCCGAAGATATCGTGGATCCCATCCAAGGTGATTCTTTCTGGTTCTATTGTAGAGTTAGCTGGTCTATTCCTAGAATGCATGATAAGACCAAGCGAAATTCTGGACCACTCACCAATCTTTGATGGAGAGATGTTACATCTTGGCGTAACATGTCAATCTGTTCTAGTACTTGGTTTTCAACGGAGAAGGTCTCTGGTGTTCTTTCAGAAGAATATCCTCTGGCGTGGCTATGTTTCGATTCGTGCGCTGTATTTACACGATCGTGTACAGTTGTCGTGTCTCCCATATTTGAGCGATTCCGTAATTGATAAGGACGGACCGTGTTATCCGAGTATAAGCTTCGTGTGGAGCTTACATTTGGCTCTGTCAAGAAGCCAACGGTGCTCCTTTCTTCAGCCATCTGTCCTTGAATTCTACCGTTGTAATCCGGTGAGTCCAATGTGGACTGAGGTGGGGCTGAGGGCGATACTTCTGACATTTCACTGGAGGGAGCATGACTCTCTGATGCGTCTAAATCGTCATGTATCCTGTACGATTCGATGTTTGCTGCAGGTGCAGACTCATTGCTAACGCTGTTAAACCAGTGAGTCGATCGGTTTGAACATGTTTCAGACGCTATAAGATGCCTTACCCTAGTTTTAGATTTACCCAAGTCAATATACGACCAGCATCTAACAGATCCTTCTGCTTAGATTCCTTCAACGCTGCTAGAAATGTTTCAACGAGCTCAATAGGGTCGGTCACCGTGGTCGGTTCTGGCTCGGTTACCGGAGGCGGAGGAGGAGGAGGCATCATCATTGGGGGAGGTGGAGGCGGTGGAAGTGAAGCAGGCGATGGTTCTGGCGGCGCTGGTGTAGATTTCCGTGGGGGTGGAGTAGGAGGGCGTTGCATTGGAGCAGGCCAATATCCCCATGGCACCATCGTGGTTCCAGACAGCATGGAAGGTGCGTATCCACTAGGTGCATAGCCGCCGTTAGGGGGGGATGCAACGGGAGGTGAAAAGGGGTTTATCATTGGAGGCGTAGGCGCATACCCCGGTGGGTATGACCAGTTTGAGGGACGTCCTGGAGCATACTGGGAGCTAAGGTCCGTATGATAAGACGGTGGTCGACTCCTCTGCGGTGACGGCTCGTGATCCCTCCTCCGAATTCTTCCCGAGGTGGCGGGCTTACGTGGAGCTCCTCCTTTCTGTGTTGGTGTCTTAGTGGAAGCTCTCGGTGCAGGCCGTGGAGCATGTAGTCTCTGACGTGGTCTCGACGCGCTATCCCCGGGTTCGATTTCATCCTCAATAATATCCCATTCTTCACCCGCCTCTTCATCACTTTCTCGTTCATCTTCAGTTCCATTGCTATCATCACTGCTTCCGTGTGAGATTGTGATAAGACGTTTACTGGCGCGGTAGCCGGATTCAATCGGAGGCCGTCTGGAAGCAGTGTTCACTTCCTTGGCAGTGTTGCGAGAGGTGACACCACTTGCCGTTGGCACTGCTGTCGTAGTTTGCGATGAACGAGTGGCGGCCTCGGACCTTTGTGCTTTCGATTTGGTGACCTCCGGAGATTTCCACGAGACATTCGATGGTTTGGAAGGGTCTTTCGAAAAGTCTCCGAGAACAGTCGCGTCCTCTCCACTGTCGCTTGTATAGTCCTCGACGGTGGCCTGTAGGGACCTGGGATCTGTTGAGGTTTCATCAGCCATTGCTGCCTTGCTCGCCTGCGCATTGCCCGCCAACCCGTCTGACATATGCACGGCGTCCATGTTTGCGGATTGAGGTATGGGATCAAATACTTCGATCCGAAGGGGCATCACAACACATTAGATGCTTTCGCCCTTCGAATTGGACGAGGGAAAATGTGATGTGAACTGAGAATGCTTGAGGTGGGGCATCGAAGGCTGAAATACCTATACGATGGGCTGCTTACTTTCCGCCTCGGGCAGAATTCATACCTGCATAATGCAAGCCTATCATGTACCGACGCTGTATGCAAGTCTAAGCCTTATTTGTATGAGGAAGCACTACGTGGTCTTGACCGGTCAGCCACACTAAGTGGGTGAAGTCTAGCGCTGTCCGCCGCTGTTAACAGGGGGCCGGGCCGGAAGGGATACGCAATTGTGCTGCCGAGTGTGATCGGGCCGTCCCGCTTGAAGTAGAGATTTGAGGAGAGTAGGTACGTTGGCGGCGCGGCCGTGTCTTGCGCGTATGTTGTATTGTCGAGTGTGGAAGGCCTTCTCAATGTGCGATACTGCGGCGAGTGCCGTGCTGCAAGCCGTCTTCGAACAAGGCCGAAGCTGATGAGCTGGCTGGGCCAAGATGTGGTGAGGCTGAGTTACATCAAATACCCCGCAGAAGGTTGCAATTGCCTGCCCGAGAAACCGATGTATAACCCCGGCCATTTCTTGAGCAAGAACCAGCCATGTTCAAGATCTGCGATGCCGCCGAGGCGTGCCGCAAGAGCCTCCAGGAGCGCGTCGGCATCCAAAATCTCGTGGAAGACGAGCGTGCGCAGCTGCGCCTAATGGACTTCAACCTTTGCGACGCTAGAATTGGCGCAGCCGCACGAAGTAAGGCGCCTCTAGACAATCGACTATGCAGTGGCTAACATATTACAGATGCTCATTTCGAGCGTGGAAACATGCAAACATGTAGATAAGGGCCGTTCTGTCACTTGTTGTCTTTCGGATGCGTGTACTTAGAGCTGCTTTTATGGTACCTGGAGAGATACCGTGGTCTGGAAGCATTCCGTGAAGCAAGAATGGGCCAAGTTTTCCCCGGCGGCCCAGTAGACGAGGGATTCTTCTACGGGGGTATGGAAGACGGTGGCTCGGCATAGGCAGTACTACAAGAAGTGGTTCAGGCGAAGATCGTGGAGTTGTTGGCTCGAACTGTAGACAAGCTGCGACAACTAGTCGGTGTCCCTCGCTCATTGTTAACGATCGACCCACACCATCGCCCAGCAGCCGCGATATTAGCAGAACGACTGGCAACGCTCGACACAGATAAAGGCGCACAGCTAGAATCAATAGTTTTGAGAGCCGAGTCTCCGCCGCAGTCTCCAGTTCCAAGGCCATTGAGTTCCTTGCCGAATTACATCCCGGATAGAGACTTTGGCCATTTAATAAAGGCTACGCCACCACCAGAAGACTGATGACGTACGATGCGGTGGAATAATTCGAATCGACATCTTCGGTATATCAGCAAACGAATAGAGCTGTGAAGTCCCTCCGGGAAGAGGTACCCTCAATCGCGCTCTCGAGGTCCGGGATGCCATTTCGGACTTTTCGACGCTGTGTTGGTGAAGATTACGAACCTTTTCTTTCAAAAGTAGTCTGGCGATATGGGATAGTGGTGTACTTAGAGGGAAAGGATTGCTGAATGTAATCTCCGTAGTTACATATACTTCGATCAATACGCACGGCCGGCCGCACCTTCCAAAACTTCTGCGCATCTCCATACTCCGGCTTCTCCTGCATATCGCTTACTCCTTCGGATAGAAACTCCTAATATTCAACGCCACGCTCTCCTCAAAATTCTCCCACCCCTTAAGGCCCAAGCCCTTCAACATGTTCACACTCCTCTCCTGCGGCACCCTACTCATTTCCTCCCCCTTGTCCTTCGGCATAATCGGTACCTTCTTCCCCATCTCCTTCTCCAACGCATGCGCCACCCTCTGCCACGTAAACGTCTCCGCAAACCCAAAGTCCCTCTGGCCCTCGACACCGTCTAGAACCGCACCCGCGACATGCAAACGCGCCGCATCCCGAACATCCACATACCAGTGCGGCTCCAACCAGTCGAAAAGCTCTGCGTTCTTGCCCTCCCAGAGCGAGCGCAAGAAGCCGGCAGTCGTGGGATAAGGCTGCTCCGTCGGCGCGAGAACGGGGCCGATGCAGGTACTCGGCATGACGCTGTTGAGCACGAAGCCGCAGTCTGGATGCTCGCGCACCCACTTCCAGCTCTCCTGCTCGCCCTTCGTCTTACTAACGACGTACACCATGAGTCCCACGGCCTCTTTCGGCGTATTCGGGTCTGCGAGGGCTTCCTCCGCGCTCGTGTCATACGTATCGTAGGTAAGCTCCCTAGGTGTGTTGGGCTTCGGATACGTAACCGCCCAGCTCGAACTCGTCAGCACGAAGCGGCGGATCTTTTCGCCGTTTTTGTTAGCTTTCGCCGCAGCCTCGAGCGCGTTTAAATTCGCGGCGATGGATTCCTGGACGACGTTGGGGTCCCCGGACATCGAGGTGCTGCCTGCGGTGTGAATTACCGCGGATGCGCCTTTCATGGCATCGTCGTAGCAGCCGGGGACGCTGATGTCTGGGACTTCGACGATGTCGAGGGAGCCGTTTGGATGCCGCTTTTGGAACAGCGGTTTCATCCAGGAGCTGCGGGCGAGGGAGCGCACGGTGCCGCGCACGGCGTAACCGTAGAGGAGGAGTTGGTCGACTATGTGCGAGGCGATGAAGCCGTTTGCGGCGGTAACGAGGACGAGGGATCCTGGGGGTAGAAGCGGGGATTGGATTTGCGGCGCCATGTTGTTTTATTGAGGGATGTGCGTAGATAGAGCTTCGATGGGTGCGGGGGTGAACTCAGGTAGAGATAGGCACAAGGAAAAGAAATGCGAACGTTACTGGTTCGAGGAGGAATTCGCAGCTACGGCAGACATCGACATCAGCTTACGTGCGCTTTGTACTTATACCTGCATAGTGGTTCAGCGTTGGCATCCCCACACCCGTCTCCGAAAACTCGTGCGACAAGTCGTCGAATGAGAGGCGTCGGATAGATGTTTCTGCATCTCGCTACAGGTTGATAATCGTCCCATATTTATTGCGCCCCGCTTAGGTGATCAGCTCCCGTCGAGTACTCCTCTTGAGCATGTGTTTTTGCCCAAATACCGGAAGTTTGGGTACTGGTTGCCGAATGAGCGCCATGTGCGAGTTTGGGTTAGTGCTCACATTCTGGAACTTTGGCGCCTAATGCGGCGTAAGTGAATTTGAACCGTGGATTTGCGCTCGCGATCGATAGGCGACCGAGTGTGCAGAGTTTTAAGGAGTGCAGATTTGATGGTGGGGTTGACGGATATGAATGTTGCACGAAGTGGCGATCGGCGGCTTGCAGGCCGGACAGAAGAGCAAAGACGCGCAGGGCGCTGACCACTTTCTCACCGATTGCGCTGGCTCGCTTGAGGAGTCCCATTTCGAGTAGACATTGCGTCCTGCCGTACACGCGCTGGCGCGCAACAGGAGCGAATCAAGTCATGCGCCCTGCAATCGCGTGTTGGGCCTCGCATAGAGCTTGCAACCGCGGAACGGTCCTTCTAGACGAGGGGAAAAAGCAGAAACAGTGGGGGAAGAGATGGATGGATAATAGATCGAAAGTAAGCAGCAGAATCCATGAGAAAGCTCATCTTGGAGGATTTTATAGCTTCATTGCTTGAGAGAGTACCATGAATAATCAATCACAACCCCAAGAACCTCAGGAACAAACGAGGGGAAGCCGGAGCGATACAGCGAGATGCCGAATTTGAGGGGAGCGCGGAAAAGAGACTCGTAATATCGAGCTGTGGTCTTAATTCTGAGAGGACGGAATGTCGAGGACTCTCTGCCTCAGGTTAACCGGCAGATTTCTCTTCTCCCAAAAAAAGTAGACGTTTTGGTCAATCCAGTTGTCGAACCCAGGTGTCAGCTGAATGGTAAAAAGGAAAAACAACTTTGCGAGCACGAGCCGCATCTCCGCGTATGCAAGGCTGAACTGTTAGTCCATTCGAATTAACGAAGTGGAGAGGGAACGGGCGTACTTCTTGCCTATGCAGCCTCGTGGACCAAGACTGAATGCGTGTACGGCATCCAGCTTATCATTCGCAAAACGCTTATCGGTGCCGAGCCAGCGCTCCGGGATGAAGTCATCAGGGAGGGTGAAGTTGCTAGGTGAGCGGTAGGTGGCGTAGTGGTGAGTGTAAACGTTCGTCTACTGGTTGTTAGGGAAATAGGGACTTTAACAGCATGCAATCTTACGCCTTCTGGAACAAAATGACCATCGACATATGCTCCTCCGGGAGGGGGAAGCCGACTCAGGCCGGACGCAACAGGGGGATAGAGGCGTAGCCCTTCTTCAATAACCGCGTTCAAGTACGATAATTTGCTGGTAGATTGGAAGGTGATATCGCCTTCGCTAGCGAACGCGGAATGAACTTCGGAGACAAGTGTTTGCATCGCGATGGGAGAATTGCACAAGAAGAATACAATACCACAGAGAGCAGTTGCGGTGGTTTCGGCTCCAGCAATAAGGACGCTGCTTGCAATCAGGTGCTGCCGCATAAGACGCTGAAGCCATGCAGGCTTACATATACGCATTCGCATGGAGTTCATCCCTGCTCAAGACGTCCTCTTTCTGCGGGCGCTTTTGTCCATGTTTTTCGCTAAAGCCATTCTTCAGCACCCCAGACATCAAATCCGGTTTCTCGGCGCCCATGGCGATTCGTCGGTCGACCTTGGCAGCGGTGAGGTTGAAGTGATGCATCTGCTTCCGAAGCAGGCTTCGGGGCACCATCTTCATCAACAGCCATTCGAGTTCGGGATACGACTTGACGGCGAATGTGTAGACCAAGGTCTTGATAGAGATAAACAACAGACCGATCCATGGATGAAGTCGGCCTTCGGATAAGCATGCGAAGTCCTCCCCGAAGATCAATGCGCCAGCTATATCGAAGATGGTTGAGTTAAACCAGTCGTTGATGCTGACGGGTCCTGAGCTGGATAAGGTGTCTAAGCGCTGCATGAGCGCGTCGACATAGTGCATCACCTGCGAGCATCAGAATACAAATCATCAACCTCTTAGCATCATGTGAGATCAGTCCCAACACTGGAGTGTCTTCGACCTTCATCCGTTGCAGGCTTCCCTGAGGATCTTCCAAAGCCAGAATGAAGACATGCTGGCGTACTACTTACCAGTGGTTCCTGCATCTTGAGTGCTTCTCCCGTAAACCCCGGGGCCCACAACTTCCGCTGACGCGCATGATTTTGATCGTCAAGGGCTGTAACGAGATTGTCGACGCCGTTAGGAGGTGGAGTGTAATGGATCCTGTTCTTTTTGAACGCCCGTGAACCAGTCCTTTGGTATATATCCAAGAAGGACTGCCCCGTGAAGAACGCCAGGGTGTCTGGCGCGATGCGGACTACCGGACCATACTGCTTGTGCAGCTCTAACATGCGTAGGTGGCCACGTCCGCCAATCAGCGCGCTCTGAAGGGGGAACCTCGAGCATGCCCAGAGTTTGGGGCCGGGGTACGAGCGGAGTGGAGAGAGGCATATGCAGTAGAAGGTGCGCCAGATGCGGTAGAGAAGCTGTGGATAGAATTAGTGACATGCCCATGCGGAGAGCGCGTGATGCATACCGCAATGACCAGCCCTGCTACGATAAACTGGCTCAGAGACGGCATCTTGAAGTGATTTAGGCGAGGCTATGGCAAGTCCAACCCACAATCCAAAGTGGGCGACTGAAGGGTTAAACGGACTGCTGCTCTGCGCGCACGACATATTGTTGAGGTGCACTGAGCAAGGAAGAAGGTCAGCAGGCTGAGCAGAAGAGGTCTGTCGTATAGCAACTGCATGTTGATACCCCGAGCGGCGCGTCGCGTCTGATGCTGGTTCGCATCAGAGAATGGGTAACGAGTCGCAATTCAGCAGGCGTGACGATCCGTATGTGGTTGGTTCTGAGTGATGGTCTCCCCGCTCGAAGGACCCCAGATGCTTGCGCGTGCAACCTTCGGCATTGTTGAATTGCGGATGAGGTGTGTGAGAGCTAGTGAGCTGTGGAGGTCGAGGTTGGAGGTCGTAGGCGTGCCCCCCGAAGTTTGAGGGCCAGCCCAATCGGACTAGCGCGTCATGGAATCGTTGACGCGCCGGCGCTGCTCTCACGATGTCATCCCGCCGCGCATCATTTGGCCGGGAATTGGTCGCTCGGCTGCCTTTCTTGTGCTGCGTCTACGGGTGTCGATGGTCGGAGCGGCTGTCGGCTTCGTCGAGAAAAAGCGATTCGAAGCCGAGCGCGAGCGGCGGAGCAAGCCCCGCCTCAGCGTCAGCCCTTCCCGGCCCGGTCGAATTCTCTTCTTGGCCGGCGCGAGGCATCTCCTTCTCAATCTCGACCGCGATCGCAAAAGATAATACGGACTTCGACACACGCGCTAGACTTTCGATCGCATCTTCTGGTCGCATTTAGCACATCGTTATGCTTTTGAGCGAGGATCTAAGATACCTGGTCGAGGAAGAGGAACCCCCGCCATTTTCTCCAAAACCCGTGACGCATCCGAAATACACACGGTGCCTCGAAGTCGTGAACGATCTGGTCGGTACCCATACTCGGGAGCCTTCGCACGACAAAATCTAACTCATACTAGAGGTCAGGATCTGCCACGGTTGATTCAGTCGATGTCCCCGACGACCAGCTGGAAGCCTGGTTGGATCGGGCTGTAGGTCGCCAAACCTCGTCGTACCGACTCGACTGAATGCATCCACAGCTAGCTGTTGATCCGTCCGGTGTGCATCAAGGAGAGGGCATTAGCCCTGGGATCCGAAAAGTCAACCTCTTGTACGTACGTCCAAGGCTTGGGAACCTGATGGGGTCCGAACTGACTTCATAGACTCTTGCCTGTCTATGGACGTCTTGAATATCGCACACCGTTTTCCAACAACGCTGTCCGAGGCGCCCTCAGCCTAGCTAAAAAGCCGCATGAAGCATTTCGATTGCTGGCGCGGGGCGAGACTCAGTACTTCGACGTGCCCATGGAGAAGCGTGGCAAAGGAATCATAGTGCGAATGGAAGGCAACAACGAGCGACTAGTGAACTCTGCTTCCATGATAGCCATCAACAAAGACTGCACCCAAACGTGTGTCATTCTCCGGGTTTACGACCGTGGTGGCATGGAGTTCTTCGTCGACCGCATCAATGAGCTCAAATCGTGCGTCTGGCACCCGTGTGTCATGGCCACGCTGCAGATCGAGCGGCGCCTCACCAAGATCAAGGAACAGTTGCAGGACCACAAGCACCACCTAGAGGCAATGGAGCGGACCGCCGGCTTGTATAAAGCACACCGGCTCGATCCGGAGTATAGAAGAGGACAGGGAATGATGCAGCCTTGGAACTCGAAGTACTTCGAGACGCTTGGAAGCGAGCTGACGAGCGTGAAAAGTGACGTGCTGTATCAGCAGTACAAGTGCAGTCGCTTCCTAGACATGCTGGGCTTCCTGGATCACGTGGCAGCCCAGCTCGATGACTGCCCCGAGTTCCGCATGAAGTCGAGGTTCATGAGAAGCACGATCAGTGGATACGAAGAGCGCTCCAGATACCTCTCCGCTCGAGCGGAGGCCACGATGCAAACGGTAGGCAGGCACGATCCTGATACCTAGGTAGCACGCACGCTAACAGCTTTTCCCAGTACTTCTCCCTCATGTCGCAAAGGGACAACCAACTCAATCTCGAGCTCGCCAATCTATCTCGCGACGACAACAAGCGGATGCAGGAAATGGCAGCCGCGTCGTATCGTCATAGTAGCGACATGCGCGCAATCACCCTCATCACGCTCTTCTTCCTTCCCGCCACCTTCGTCGCCACCTTCTTCTCCACCACATTCTTCGACTTCAACAAGGACCAGCGGATTGCGTCCACATATATCTGGATATACTGGGTTGTCACGGTAGTACTTACCGCTGCGGTTCTTGGCGGGTGGGTGTACCATTCGGATGGTTTTCGTAAGAAGGCGCCTAAAGAGGAGGACGACCAGGAGGGCATAATGTCGGGGAGGGAGGATGCAGAGCCGTCACCCCAGGGCAAGTAAGCGCGAGTGGTACCTTCACCTCTCATCGTCGCTGCGCTCATACGCCAATCGCCTCAACGTCAGTATCTCTTCCTCAACAACACAGCGTCGCTGTGATAGCCAATGAAAAGAAGGCGCACCAGCATGTGGACGCGAAGGGGTTTTCCAAAAATTCCCTGCCGGCCCGAAGGCCAACAGAAGCGGTCGTAGTTGTAGTTTTCAACTAGCAAAAACGCTGTCTCGGACGAATCCTCACTGACAAGCGTCAAGCCCGAGCACTTGGATGGTTGGGAGAAGCTGGGGCGGGGGCGCGCGATGTTTATATAGGCGGAGGGAGCGGGTCTGTGCGGTGGGTCAGGTGACATTGATGCCTGCCCAGGTGCTGACGAGAAGGCGCGAGCGGGGCTTGGAAGCGGCGGTGAAGGCGAGAAATTTGCTGGAAGGTGCGGGTGACTCCTCTCAGCACGATTGGAATCGGATGGAATGCTGGGCTGACCGCTTTCAACATCTCGTGGAGGACTCTACTCTACGAGGAACTATGAGGTCTCGCCTAAACCGGGATTGCCTGCCGCGCCGCGCCTTCCTTCCATACCACGAACGAGGCAATCGCGTCGGTTTCCTCCTTGCCATCCAGGACTGTCTGAAGGGCTTCATCCTCCGCTTTCCTATCTACGCCAGCTACTACTCTTATCCCCGCATTGTTCTGGACCATATCCTTCCCACCCGGTGGCACGGCTTCATACTCGAATCAGGAGCGCAACAAGCATGCGTCTCCGGCTTCGCCTGTCGGGCAGACGCGTTGGACTCGGCAGCAGAAAGCTAGGACTTGTACACCCTTCTCCTCCGCCGCGAGCGCTCCGGAACCGAATTTGATACCACAGCAGGGCACGCGTCAGCCAACTCCGTCTGCTTAACGCGTAGGCCATCTCGGTTACGTCGAGGGAAATGGGGAGAGCCCTCTCGGATCCTGGAGCTTTCCACAATCCCCAGCATCCATCGCCGACGATATCGTGCCTTATTTGAACGTCCCCGAGTAGGGTCATCCCGCTGACAATGCTAGCGCTTCTCTACTACGAATGGTTGCCCACGGCGGGGCTCGCAGCGCCACATACATATCGATTTTCAGAGACCTTTCTCCCCGCCGGCCGGCGTTCGCCGACGAAGCCCCGACGGACACGTCCATTCGCCACTAGTCGGCCAGGCTACTGATGCCATTGTAGGATCGACCACCGGGACCGATGGGGTGAACAACAAGATGAATTGTGGACATATGGCAGTACGTAGTAAGAGAGGCTTCTAAGTATAAGGCTTGGGCAGTCCTTTGGGCAGTCCAACGCGCAATGGCTCAGTAGTAGGCAAAAACGAAAAGCAACATGCAGGAAATTCCTTCCCACAGCCCGGACCATGCATACGGCTTATCCTCTCCAATGTCCACCATATCTGCTACCACTTCGGCGGTTTTCCGATTTGGGAATCGTGAGGAGGCCATTTGACTTACGGCCAAGGATGACAGTCATTACCTACCTACGTGACCGGCGACATCCATTTCCATTGCCCCACCCCGGGCGATTGATCGACCCCGACCACATCTGAGCACACGCGCTTCGGCCCGCACCTATGGTCAGTGCACTCCCGCCTTTTCCCCGGACTCTTCTGTGTATCCAAGGGCCCCACGGAAGTTTACACTGAGCTTTCCAGCCTATCTCTACTTTCATCCCGCGCTCCTTGACGTGCATAGGGTCAACCCGCTCCAACTCCCGTGCATCGACACAGACGGACCGAACCGGACGAGGAATGGATCCGACTCATCTTTCAATGCCATCGCCAATCGGACAGAACTATAAATGGGATGGCCTCTTCGACGAGGTTCATGCCGCTTCCACTGGAGGGCATGTCTCCCAAGACAGCTTCCTCCTTCATACACCCCCTCTGGCCTCGATATCCTACGGACCGGTCCGCGACCTGCTCACTCAATACAAAAACCAGTCTTACTACATTGGCGGATCGGAAGCAGCGTACAACGAGAGCATCGATCCTTATTGGGGTATTCTCTGCCCGGAGAATCCTCCCGCGTCTATGCAGCCCCCTTCTACTCCAACTACGCTCTACCGACTGAGCGAGCACCAACAGACCTTTGCGAAGTATGCAGTAGAAAACGTGCGAGTTGGATTCCAGCCCAACTACCCCAGTGTGGATCGGCAACTGATCGAAGACGTCGAGAACGTTGATCCGCGGCTTCTAGAAGCTGCAGTTCGGCGTCCCACTAGCAATCATGCCAGGCAGATGACTGGCCAAGATGATAGCTTGTAAGCCATCCACCCTCTGCACGAGATAATGATCACTAATTGATCGCTCTAGGGGCATGGTTTTACCTCTGTCTGACTTCTACCATCCGCATGATTCTACTCGGGAGGTCACTTCTCCCCTTAAGGAAACAGCGCAGACCAATCTGCAGCGGACCAGCAGCCGGGCATTTGGCTCGGAGGCACAAAAGAGTACATCTGCTTACGCTCAACCCACCAAGGAGAACTCCGATCCTCTTCATTTAGACCCTGCGCAGCACCCAAAAGGCCGTGAATTCACTGGGTCTCATGCAGGGGTGCAGTCACACCGACAGCTAAAAGAGAGTGACAAGCCCATACGCTTTGTCTTTCCTCAAGAGGGTGCGCATCCTCACGCAAATCAGCTAATCCCTTACACCCAAACCACACTCCCTTGCAAGCAACCGGATCTTATTCACGCTCAACGTAAGGATCGTCGAGAACCATCTATGCAACCGAAGCAAGGTGAGAATAACCAGCCAAAGGAGCGTGGACGCCATCCTGGTCGGAAGCCGGTTTCGAACGGCACGCCTATGGCGAGGTCATATTGGTATGGTCCTTCACCTGAATGTGCAGCCCCTTGGCTGTGCGTAGGTCCTCCCCATTACGCAATGGCTCCCCAGTACGCGACTCCTCCCAAAGACGTGACTCCTCAATACACGACTGCTCCTCAGTTAGCAGCACCTCCCCCGGCATCTCCTCAGCATGCAGCTCCAGCCCCCAAGGTTGAATGTCAGTCCGATGCAGGCGACCTCCCAGCGGACTACTCTCGCACTTCACTGGCCTTCAATAACCACCAAGAAGCCTTTAACGCCTGCAAAAAAGATGTAGCCTCCCTCAAGACGGCATTCGCGCCACCAAATGACGACCCCAGCATCCCGAAGAACGACGAAGAACGAAAGGTAGTTGTGCGTTGCTTGCTTGGAGCAATGATAGACACCTCGCGGTGCAAGGATGAAGAGGGCAAGGCTTTCAAGTTGCGCTGGGGTAGCGGCGAACTAGCCTACGATGTGCGACACATGGAGAAGATATGTTGGGATATTGAAGTAAGCCCTCCATTTCCTCAGTCTTACCAATTCTAACTATCCTAGCTTCTAGCCGAGCGGATTCACAAAGAAGGTCCGCATATTCTGCCGATTTTTGACACGGTCTACCTCAAATCTGTCAAGAAGAGCAGCAAGTTCACTTTTGAGGAGCGCATCAAGTGGCTCGTCGAACTGCTGTCGGTGTTCAAGAGCCGTGTCAAATCGCTCATGAAAGGCGATAGCCTGTACTACACTGTTGCTACGCCTCGAGAGACAGTTCTTACAGCGAGGAACAGCATGGAACAGAACAAGAAGCGCCGGGGGTTGCTTGTGGAGGGTAGCGCGGCGGCGAAGGCCCTGAATGAAGGAACGGGTACGTATCTGAGCCTGTGCGTTGCATACCATGACTAACGAGATGCAGCGCAAGATCATGCAGAGACACCGAAGGGTGAAACTCAGCCGAAGCAAGATGTGGAGGGCGAGATGCATTCCGGAGGGACGAGCGGCTCTGTAAGCCACGGCCTCGATGGGTCTAACCTCTTCGCAGTCGAGCCATCTCTCCAAGCTACCCAAAAACATCAGGATCTCGGGGCCCACCATGAAATCGATCCAACAGCTTTCCCGGCTCGCACTCCGCCGTCCGAAGAGGCAGTGATAGGGTCATCAATGGGCTCCGCTGCTCAGGGTAAGTTCTTAGTCCTCCGCATTCTCTGGGCGTATACGCTAACGCACGTGCAGAAGTTCGTGGCCAAACTCACCCCGGCGGCGCCATGCTCGAAAATGAGACTCCGCCGGATGATGGCTCTCGCAAGCGTGGTCACGAGGAGAATGACGAAGATACCAATGGCATGCCTTGGTCTGACGACTCTCCTAGCTGCCCAAAGCGCGCTCGTCTGCTCTCCGACCGCTAATTTCCGTAAGAGTACTGCGCTCACCCCACTTCACGGATGTTGGTTCTCTATTTTGTCGCCTGGGCGATTCAAGGCTAGCTGGGCATTTGCAAGAGCCTTTTGGCTTTCAGATATTCTCTACGTATTGTACGTCATGGACGAAGCGGCTTTGCTAGGCATTTAGGTCTATGGTAATGAGTTGGGTAGAGATGGGATATCATATAACGCTAAACGGCACGCGCGCAAGTGGTTAGGCATGCCAGCGTCTGCCCGCTAATGGGGCGGCTCTCACTACAACTCGACGTTCCTGGGCCTCACAATTTCCATCAACGTATTGTTCCAGCACATCTCTTGCGAATGCGCAACCTGCTCGCAGTCTATATGGGAGTCCCACGCCGAAGGTATAATTAAGGTAGAGCGGCATTGAGTTGTGCGTAGTAAACGGAGACTTGTTACCTGTTACTGATGTCTACTCCAACTCTCTCAGCTTTGGTAAGTGAGCATAGCCACAGCAACTCTCTCTTTTCTATGGTTGTGAGACCTTCTCCCCTATACGCAGCTCTCTACGGTGCCTTAGGTTGGCTCATGTCTTTCTCTACTCATCCTTCTCCGCAGGCCCCTCTTCACACGCCCTTCTCTACTTCGACTCCTCCGACCGCCCAACTCAACATGCACATCGAAGTATATATCTTCCGACAAGATGGTCAGTTCAATTGCTTAGATGGGGAAGCTGATATGGATACCAGGTACACTGGCTTCTCCGCGTTCTCGCCAACACCCGAGGTGGGCCAGCGCAACAAAGTCAAAGTCACATGTCAACACCATATCCACCATTATTCCATCTGGCACGCTCTGCTAGAGCTTGGTCGAAATTGTGCCAAGCCGCTGGCCCGTGGCGCCATCGACACATGGTCGAAATGAAACCCTTCACTCGTACAGAGAGCCCTGGAGACCTTCCGCAGTATATTACGTCAATCGCAAAATCAGCGCCTACGAGCGCTTACGTTCGCGTTATTTCCCAATCGGGACTGTTTATGTCTCTTTGCCCAACAAAATATCTGGTCTCCTAGGGAATGAACGCGTGGCGCAGAGCTCCCAAGACTTCATTCACGTGTTTTCGTGCTTTCTCGCGCACTGAGGCTCACTTTCACCCTAACAACCTCGCGGCGCTCGCGGCGCCTTCGAGTATTTGAAGCGCTCATCGCCCTGGCTCTACTGTTTCAATTGCACCACTTCACCCACCTCGCCGTTCACGCAGTCAACTCGTACATTTTGTGTATTGGTCAGTCGGGCCCAGCAATTTCGGCGTACACCTCGACCACAAGACCTGTTTGTACGTGAATAGGTTAGCACTACTCTGGCCAATCTTCTCACGTTTTGCTAAGGACCTAGTCTACCATCCACGTTGTCTGAGGGTACCTTACAACGAGGCCAATTCGCGGTTAACATCGAAGGCACCTCCGTTGTCACGACTCAATCAATAGCTTTGGGTACGTCATCAAAACATTCTCTTTCTGAGCAGTTCACTGATCTCACAGATTGTTAACGCCTGACCAACTTCAAGACCGGCTCGGAGTCATGGCCAAACAGCCTGACATCAGCCCTGTGCATGCGCACGTCAAGAAGGAGGAGCTATCATCTCCATCCGATCCGCGTACTCCTCAGGTGTCCGCCCGTCCTGATGCGTCTCATATTCTCACTGACCCTGTCTCTCGTCAACGTGGAGGCTACTCAGCTTTCCCGCCAGGTCATCGCCCAGTTCTCGCCCCATACACTCAAGATCCGCGACACCTTGCACCAATGTCGCGGGCTGCTTATGGTGGATATGAAGACGGATTTGACACTCTTACCACCCTTAAAGATAATCCTCGTCGCTACGGTTATCAGCCTCAGATGGTCCAGCGACACCCGGCTCCGGCTATGATGTACGGCGTTCCTTTGAACTACCATCAGATCGTCAACGCGCAGAACCTCCATCGTCAAGGCCACGGTCAGGTCTATGCATTCGGTGGTCCTCTTGACTATATTCCGGCTGATCTTTTTGATCGGGCCACGGCCCCGCCGGAGCCTCGGGCTTCTGCACAGTTCGGACGCCCACCTGTCAATCTGCAGTACCCCCATATCTCTCAAGATCCCACTGATACTCCGGTTCACAGCTACCATCATCGCGTCTCTTCAGTTGCTTCCGGAACACCAGAAGCGGAGCAATTCGAGACCCAATCGTCCAACAAGCCGAAGCGCGGCCGGAAGAAGGCAACTGCCAACAAGGTGGAGAGCGAAGACGAGGATGGACAGCACGAGATCGACCTTTCTAAGTCCGCTTCTGATGTTACGCTCTACTTCAACAACCGTGATGAGGCAGTTCATGGCATGAAGGCTCCGAACTGGTCCCCGCCCGACGATGATGAGACCATCCCTGATACCGACGAGAAGCGCCAGGATTGTGTCCGCAAGCTGGTCGCTGCGATGTTGGATCTCTCGAAGTACAACGACAAAGACGGCTCCGTCTTCAAGAAGCGCTGGTATGTTGTCGGGGAAGGTCGCAAGGACTTCTATGACCCCAAGGCCATTGAGAAGGTGTGCTGGGACATCCTCGTAAGTTTACCATACACATTGATCCATGAATAGACTACTGACTAGTCTCACAGGACTTCACCGAGCGTCTCCACCGCGACGGCCCCAAGGTATTCAGCTGCTACGACCCCGAATTCCACAAGACCCTCGCTCGATCCTCCCACCTCACCTTCGCCGCGCGCATGAACGCCGTCATCGAGCTTCTCACGCACTTCAAGGGTCGCTGCGACAAGCTGCTCAAGGGCAACATCCTGGAGACGTATGTCGGCGCACCGGAGGGCATGATAGAGACCGCCAAGCAGAACCGCCAGAACAACGACAAGCGCCAGGAGTGGATCAAGATCGGTCGGCCTCCAAAGGCCCACGGCGTGTTCACTGCGAATACGACGCCGGCTCCTCAGGAGCGGCCTCTTAGCAACAATGAGCAGTCTTTCACGGAGCTGGAGGCCACTCAGAACTTCAACGACGGCTATGGGGAGACTGAAGACGCTGCTGGTGAGACTGAAGACGCTGCTGGTGAGACTGAAGACGCCGCTGGTGAGACTGACAGCGCTCGGGGTGAGACCGAGAGCACTCTGGATGAGGGCCTGGGTGATCTGAAGCGCAAGTTGGATGAGGTCGAGTCTGATTCTGACGGCGAGGCTGATGATGAGGCTTCAGTCAAGCGCATGAAGGAGGACTCTGCGGAGTAGATCAGGCTGGGTAGTTTACCTTTCTTGGCCGTGTGATGGAGAAATGGGCTGAAGGGCCTCGGGATCACGTTTACCTTGAATAGAGTCACGCGCTAGCTTTGGGGCAGGCGCTTACGATAGATATTCATACAAAGCTTATGATAGATGAGATAATGCTTTGCGATATCAGTTGCAGTGATGCCTCGTGCTCGCCACAATTAGCTCATCCTGCAATTCAGCAAAGCTAGGTCTGGAGGTCATCAAGACCTCACACTACCCTTCGAGGCCTTGAAGAGTGGATCTCCATTGCTGGATTTAGACATGCTAGTTTTCGCTCTTCGGCATGATCGAGGGCCAAGCGCATCATGATGGCGCAGCTGAGATGGGTTTCCATTCGATAACAAACGGCCTCACCCGATGTGTTAGAAGATCATATGAGACGTATAGCGGGACAGATAGCTTGTAAAATAACTTCAAGATGATCGTAAAAAACTCGGTCTGCTTGCCCAAGCATATATCAATCGTACCTGTATATTGAAGGCTGTTCGGGATAGGTTTCCGAAGTTAATACTAGTGCACGTGTCGCGAAAGAAGCGAGTTAATGTGTCCTCAGTTGGCGTGATTGAAGTTACGGCGTGATCCGATACATACTTTACTTCATCGTGTCGTCCAACGACAACCACCAACAACTCACGACACTGTTAACGATCAATCTCGTTCTTGCGTTTGAAAGCCTCGCAATTATATACAACGTCGAACGCTGTTCCGCGCACAGCCTTCCTCAGGTCCCAGCGTGCGTACCGTACACCTCGTACAACGCCGTTCTTCTTTCAACTTTCACGCCCAAGATGTCGGAGATCAATGGATTAGACTTATACGTGGGAGTCTCCTTTATTCTACACTCCGAAGAGTTTGTGCGTTATTCTCGCACAATGGCGTGGTCTCCAGGTTCCCCCGGCCGGTGCCCCCACCCTTTGGTGCGGGCATCGCATTGCTGCGTGTAGAGAACGAGAAGGGTTCTTATAGACACATATCTTAGCCTCAGGTGTAAGAACATCGCCCATTACTTATCCTCTGTTCACAGGCATGGGCACTGACAATACCACCCTCCAACAGCCAGGCTTTATCAAGTATCTACCACCTCTAAAGAGATGGAAGAACGTGCCAAGGCATGAGTTGTGAAATCACTATGCCCCTTCCTTCCTCGGGCGGGGTGAAATGGTACCGTTCTGGCACGTTCAGCAGACAACAGCCACAGTACTCACGCGCATGTGCTTCGCAATTCACCCCAACACCAGCCACTCGCGCGCTAGCGTGCGTCCTTGCGCCGCGCCTCCCACCTCTTGAGCACCTTCCCCACTGCCTTTTAAGCGCATTTCCTCTCGCACAACTTGCACTCCCATACATCGACCTCGTCACAGCACACAACAGCAGCTACCGAAAGCCTCAATTGCACTCAAGCTCGCTTTGACTTGTCTTCTACTCTCCATTCGCTTCGACCAGTTCCAATCGTATACACATTCCCATCGAAATGGACTCCCAAGCTCGTCGCCCCATGTCTCAGAACGGCCGCCAGCAGCAATCTGCTCCTCAGGCACCGTCCCAAGTGCCCAATCGAGCTCCGTGCGCCCAATACCCACAGTATCCGACGCCAATGGCTGCTGAGAACTCGCATTTCCCCGACATTGCGACGGTCATGGAAGGCCATGCGTTTCCGCACCTGCAAGGCCAACAGTATCCTCAGGATATGTTCCAGCAGCAGTATGGTTCAGCTCAAGGCTTCCCAAGCTATCAGTCCGATATGCAAGACCATCGCGAGAAGAACTCTCCGACCGGTCACAAGCATCACGGTTATAATCCCAGCTATATGAGCTCCTCGCCATACACACCGGGTGCTCCAGACAATCAACAACTTGCACAAGCTTCGCCGACGACCCCAGCAGCACCCGCTCAGCAGGGTAAGAACAGTGCGACCCCCGTGTACGGCTCTACCAAGGAAGGACTCACCAATATCAATTCGGATCGGACCACTCTGGCGCAGCAAGTCCCTCCGACCGCACAGCGGGTGGGCAACGAGCGTGGCGGCACTCCCGTGAGCAACCACTCTGCGCACGCGGGGCCTGCCCCATTGGGCGATCTCCATGAAAATCAGGCTCAACAACAGGTGCCTGAACATGGTGGCAACGATCCCGGCTCTGCGGCTGCTACTGGCGTGGGCTCTCGTTCGGAGCGATTCAGCGACTCTGGATTTGAGGAGTCGTCTCCCCACCCTGGTCGGTCTCCATGGAATCGCTTCAATCCTGGCCAGATCTTCTCGGGTGGAGAGCCGTATTTGGCTCCTCAGATGATGCAGGGTGGATTTCTCCCATATGGACGCGGTTATGTGCCTTACCCAGGTGCATCTAGGAATGGAGGCCATCTCTCCGTTGCGCTCGAGCAAAATGTCCCGACTATTGCTTACCAGCAAGCATTTGGACCTGCACTTCCTGATCCCCAGAACGCCTTTTATGAACAGTACGTGAGCGCTCAAGATCAGCAGCCCACGTATGGCGTCGGATTTCAGCTCGATGGTAACGGCCCGCCCACGACCACTCACCTTCAGGCAGCGTCTCCTGCCGCCCTCCAGCCAACGCAGGGCCGTGGGCGACGAAAGGACCGGCTTGGAGAAGTTAGCCGGAACGCCACAGGAAATAAAGTGGCTACCGTTCCAGCACTGGCTGCGCCTGGAGCAGGATTCAGCGTGCCACCTGCTCAACCACAACTTCACGGTCAGGTCCCAGCCCACATCCCTGCTCCGCGCCCTGCTCAACAGAAGAAGAAGGGTCAGGGCAAAGGGGAACTGCAGGAGCCACAGCGGGATCCAGTAACTGGCTTGTTCTTCAGCAGCTACGACGACGCTGAACAGCGGGTTACGCTGCGCGCCAATTGGAAGGCCCCAGCCGATGATCATACAATCCCTCGGACGGATGCCGCCAAGCAAGAATGGGTCCGTCAGTTGTATGCCGCGTTCACAAACGTGAAAGGTGTTCTGGACAAGCCTGGAGCGGTACTTCTGTCGCGGTGGATACAGCATGACAGCAATAAGCAACCGATTCGCGATGAGCGCGGAGACTATCTGCCGCAATATAGCTATTTCAATGAGGCGGCAATTGAGAAGGTCTGCTGGGACATCCTCGTAAGTATCCTCTTACCTTTAATAGTAGGAGCCCTATGCTAACCGTAACCAGGATACCGTTATCCGACTGCACGAAGAAGGCCCCGGCATGTTACCTATCCACGATAAGGAAGTTCTTCGTCAGGCTAGCAAGGACAAGGATCTGACGTTCAAGAAGCGGATGGAAGCAATCATGAAGGTCCTTCGCCTTCACAAGAATCGCTGCGGTGATATGATGAAGGCCGGGAATATACTGGAATTGGTGCTTTCGCCAGGCGCGAAAGATAAGTCGTCCAAAAACAACCTGGGCGCGAATACTAGGCGCCAAGAGACCCTGAAACGTGGGCGAGAGGCGATTCAGCAGGAGGAGTTGGACAAGGAAGGAAAGACGGCAAAAGCGAATGCGACGGCGGCGAAGAAAGGTAGGAAGAAGAAAGACGCAGGACATACCGGTAAGTGGTCCCTCAAAGTCACTCACGCCTAGTTCATCACTAATTAGTCCCAGACGCTGCCGTCGCTGTTCAGCCTGCCGCTCAGCCGGAAGGCGCTGTCCGAGTCCAGCATGTGGCCCAGCATCAGTCCGTGATCGACGACAAGACTGCAGGCAATGCTCAGCATGCTGTGCAGGATGCTGTTCACAATCAGCAGGCCTTGCAGGGCCAGCAGGTACACTTTGGCTCTTCTATGGGCCTTGGTCAAGGCGCGTACCAGTATCAAGGCCATCTTCACGACCAGGCTGCAGGCCATGCTGAGCGGGTGACTGAACCCCAAGTCTCCACCTTGGACCGAGACGCCGTCCACGAGCGGGACGAACTCAATCGGCCCGGCGCCGAAGACTACAACGAAGTCGACGCGGAGGTGTCTCCCATGGTCCAGCAGGAGCCTTCAGTCGAGGACCTCGCACCCTTCCCACCCTTCCCACCCGATCTGAATCCCAATATTCCGACAGATCCGGTATTATTCGGTTATAATTCGTTGGGGATGGACGACTCCCCTTTCGAACTGGATGCCGAGACTGATGCCCTCTTCAATGGTCCCATTCGATTCGAGGGTGGAGGCAATGGCGCGAAGGCTGATAGCCCTGTTGGCGACAACTTCGAGGGCCACAACCAAGCTCCACCGTCTCCAACCACTGCTGACACCTCGCGTAAGCGGAAGCGCCGATCCTCGCCAGACTCGGAATATAATGTCGAGGAGGAAGAGCGTGCTAGCCCCAAGCGGGCGCGCACTGAGTCGTAAGCGTACGGCTCATCATTTGGTTCGATCTAGAGGGTTTTGAACGTCGTGCTTCGTCGATTTCCCTAACGGGCGACACGCACAAAAGGTCATAGTGGCGTTTCGAGCTGTTTTGTGGTGCTGGAATGCACAGTTTCTATCGGAGTAAGAGTTTTGTACGAGGACACTGGTATGTTCAAGCGCGAATGTGCTTGGTGGTTTCATATGGTTATGCTGGCTCGGTGGGGCTTTGGTATCGTACATTGTTTATGCGCGGATGTTTCTCGTAACATCCTTTGAGCGGCGGTTACTGCATTTTCTTTATTACGGACACGGGAACGGTTTCTTTTACATCGGCATTTTCCAGCGGACATGGTTGCAAGCTTGAGCGCTTGTAGCGTCATTGACGCACTGTTAGAGTTGAGGTATTCGGTAGAATAATCTTTGAAACCTTAAAGTCCTAAAGCGATCTCGCGTCTCATGCTACTCACTCCCCAGCCCTTCAAATCCTACGCGTAACTCTTCATGTATCCCATCTACTACGGTCTCCCAAGTCTCTCTTTGCTAGTACAATGGCGTCCTCTAAGGAGGTATTGCTATGCCATACGATCTGAGCGCACTATCTCTTATCCTGGACACTTCTCAAAAACCCCAGCCTCCTGGTAATCTTGATCTCCACATATCCTGACTTTCTCTTCGTAGACAGTACTGTGTCGCAGTCTGGATTCTTGCATTCGACGCTCACTGTTCCCATCTCCTTCCTGCCGCAGTACATGCCCATCGGCAAAGGAGACTTCGTGTGCCTCATCAATCGCCTGAATAGCGCCGGATCGTAAGTGTGCATATGAGGGCAAATCGGCTCGGATAGGTTCTGGAGGGCGGCGCGCATCCGATGCGATGAGACCGCCTCTTTCGACGAAATCTCGAAGAGGCGTAGCCTGGACTTAGACGTAGCGATGCGCGACGGGAGGATATCAACCGTGTATTGGTGCCCTAGATCATACTCATGATAGGGGCAAACGATCGGCCCATTGTCCAGAAACTCGAAGTGATGCCTTAATTCCCAGAGATTGAAGGTCATGTGGCGGCAAAGGCGGAATCGGTTTTCCGTACCGTGGCAGACGCGTTGGAATGGAGAGCGCTGCACTTGCTTCGGGGAGAAGGCAGATCAGGGTTGCTTGAGGCCGCAGAGTGCGCAGAAGAGTTCCTTGCGTTTCTCGTAGGCGCCGAGTGCCTCCTCTTCTTCGGCTTTTGCCTGGCACCAGTCAGCATTAGTCTGCCTTCGACCTCTTGGTGTTGGAGAGTCTTCGTGTTCGCTGGAATCTTTGCGACCTGGCTCAAGAGGATGGAGCGGAGTAGTCGGCTGGTCGCAGCTAAGCAGAAGGTGTCAGCGTATTCCGGAAGGTAATCCGCAATATCCAAAATTAGTTCCGGGGGCATCCTGCGGATTGGGCATGTCCTTGGACTCTGCCCGGGCTCAATCCTCTTCGTTCGCCACTGTGGGAAGTGTATTTTTGGCCAACCATAACAAAAGGTTCGCTAGTGGCCGACATGAGATTCGCTCTTTCGCGTTTCATAGCTCGCAGCAGGGACTTGGTTCTGTGACAATGATTCGAAGGAAGGCTGCCTCTTCGATGCGCCGAAATGGAAGGAGCCACGCGAAATCGCAACTTGCGAGTGGTTAGGCATAGTCAGTAGTGTTTCTGAAGCCTGTTCGAGAGGTGCTGTCCGAGACGTATATGTACTGCGTCGTGAACCTGTGGGAATCCCGGCACATTCAAAAACTGAAGACGAGTATTCAAGTGACCGAAGGGACGCTGCAAGAGGAGGGCAGCGTGAATTTACTTCTACCTTATAACAATTCTGGGTCTTGTTCCGCTTCGTGTAGACCATGGAAATCTAGCCTGCAGAGCAAGCTTTACCGAGGGTCGTCTCTCGAGAGTGTACTATTCGGTTAGCAACAATTAGTGTACCTATATACTTTCTAAAGATTGCTTCAACCTCGTCACAAAGAAGACGAGAGAATTAGGCAAGCGCCGAAGAGTTCTGACGCCATCCTACACTTCGTACTTTCGACAACCCGAACGCTCTTATACATGGAGTAATATGGAGTAATGCCGCCCAACCTCCTGGTATGAGCACAGCGTGGGTCGGTTCGTCCAGCTGCACCCAGGAGGCCTTCACCGCATTGTCGCAATCCTAAAGCTCAGCATACTCTTCCTCATCTCTCGCCTTTCTCCTGTCCTCCTTTTCGCTATTGCGTCGTCCCCCAATTGGCTGGATTTCCAGGACACGCTAGTCCCAACGTGTACTAGTCGAACCGTAGGCCTTCTTTCCTCAGGGCTGCCCAGGACACGTTCTCACATTCACTTCACACGCAGACGGGCACTTATTGACTTCTGTTTCCGGGAAACGCTACGGAAGGAGCGAAAATGCGCGACTTTACGATCACGTTCGCTGCCACCGGCAACTGCGCCTTCATTCACCCTCACCCGCAGTCTTTCGGCTTAGCCACGGGCTCTTGGCCTTCCCGAGGCCGCATTTTGACAATATATTCGCTAGCAAGATAAGGACAGAAGCGCACCGTTTCAAACATAATTGCACTGGCAGATCAACGAGATGAGCGAGTACAAGAATCAACCGAGCGACGGCGACAGTTCTTACAAGGCACCGGACTTCCTGGACGCGATGGCTTTTGACCAGGATCACAGCGTGGAATTCCAACCTCAGGGGGAAAGCGGGGACTCAAGATTTGCCGGAAATGATGCCTCTACGCCTGCATATGGTGGAGCGACACCTCACTTGGGTCAAGAGCAGGTGCGCACAAAGCTTATGGAGTCATTCCGACGTAGTTTGTAACTGACCATTGCCAGGACTCCCAGAATCAGGCATATTGTGGCCGTCAGTACCCATTTGGCTTCCTGACACGATGCACACCAGACCGCGGACAGCAGGAGCGCGAATTTTCAGCTGCATCGCCGTCAGGACCGTGGCCTCAGCAAGAAGGAGGCCCTGTTCTCGAGGGCACGAGTGAAGATGCGTTTAAGAGCCCAGGCCATCGAACTCGTAGCCGGTTGGATAGCGAAGACCTTGACGTCCAGCAGATAGCCAACCAGGTTGTCTCGCAATCGAGCATGCGACATCCGAAATTCGCGGACCCTCTCTCGGCGCAAGCACATCTTTTGACACCCGTCTGGCGTCCTGAGTCCGGCGAATACGGCATCCCTCAAAACAGCGAAGGCATGATGCCGTTTGTGTACCAACTGTACAACGCCTTCCTCGACGTTAGCGAAGTCTACGACGCCCACCTGAATTCACACTACGCCGCTCACTTCTCCCCGGGCGGAGTATGGAGCCAGAACCTTGACGACGTCGAAGCGATCTCCCACATCGTCGTCAGCGGGGCGGTAAATCTGCACACCCGCGGAACTATAGGCCTACAGTTTAAGCATATGCCCGAGACGCTTCCTGCTCCTGGCACACCCGGTTCGAGGCTCACCTTCGGGCAGCGTATCTGGTACTTGGCCACTCTCATCAGGCACTACAAGATCCATGCTGAGAGCCTGATGCGTCAAATCCGGATTGAGGATCATTTGGTGCTTGTATTCGATATGCTGATGAAGCATACGGATTTCAAGGAGAAGTTCAGCGCTCGCCCGGAGTACGAGAGGGAAGTGGCAATGCGCGAAGTCAGGGAATTGGGGATTCCCCAGCCGCTCCAACAGAACCAGAATGTGTCAGGGAATGTTGATATACAGCACATAGGTCAAGGTGGCTCTGCCCACGCCACGGAACGTGCCAAGGAGTTGGTGAGGCAGCGTCTCGCCCAAATGGCTGCCGCCGGCGTGGGATCCTCCCAGCACATCCAGGCCAACATGGGAAACCATTTCCATGCACACAGCAATGGCTTCTCACCACAGCCTCAAGGCCAATTTGGGCCGCAAATAGGCGCTCGGGGAGGAAGTCAGGCTTCAGTGGACTCTCAAGGATTCGACCCGTTCTCTGGTCGGGACCACCCGACGTTACCCGAGCAATGGCAGATGCTAGGCAGTCCCGCCCCTGACCCTACCTCGAGGAGTACAGCACGCGCCTGGAGCTTGTTTCATTCTGGAAATGAGCAGCGTTCGGCTATTGGACGGTCCTACATTCCCGGCCATTCGACAAACAGTGGTTACGTTCAAGTTCAGGACCCTTATCATGGCCACTACGGCGAGTCGGGAGTATTCGTGCAGGAGCCAGCTGATGATGCCTCTGGGTATCACTGAGGCTCGCAGGCTCGCTCAGCTGATGGCGTCGTGATGTTGCATTTTCGCTGACATTCGGTGAAGGAGGCAGTGGCTGATCGGTGTATCAATGGCTAGGCGGAGTTAATCACCTGTAGCATACAGATCCAACCCGGAAGCTGGGCATAATAAGACGGTAAGCATGGTAGGACGGGTGTTTTCCTAGTCCGGCGAGAGTTACGAGATATACGGCATCAATGGCATCAAAACCTAATGTACCAGAGAATCAGACAGCCGGAGACCACTAGACTGGAAGGTGGTGGTTACGTAGATCAATAATCCGAGTGTGTCGTCATATCCGGAGCCAAGCAGGCGCGATGCAGAAATTTGCGTGCGAGTAGGTGAAATGGAAAGAACGAACCGCGCGCCCAAAAACTCAACTTCGACTTCCCTTCCACCACCCACGCCTTTACTCTCTCTCCCACCCGCAGCCTTTCCAAACATCTCACTTCAACCTCACTACTCTTCCATCATCACACCATGTCGCAAGAGAAGACCCCAGCTCCCCAGCCGTACCGCCGACCGGGCGCCAAAACAGTCCCGCAGCAGCGTCCGCCTCTTCCTCCAACGACAATGCACCCGCCTCAGGCCTCGAACCCTGTAACCGCATCTAGGTTCTCGCCACAACAAGTGCAGGCCCTGATGGCGCATCCGACCGCACAAGAGGCCATGAGGCGCGGCATGAATCCCCAGCATGTCATCGGGTGGCTTCTAAGCAGCCGTATCCGACCAGCGGCCCCCGGCACGCAACTTCAGAGACTAAGCAGCATAGCAAGTGGACAGCCTCGTGGCCTCCAAGTGGCAGCTGGCACGCCTCCGCTCTCTCACTCGGGAACTGCTGGTCCGATACCGAATACCGTGCGCTCGCCAGCCCAGCTTACGGGCCCTTCTATGCCCAGTCAACAGCCCACCAACGCTCCTGTAGTCGCCCAGCATTCTCCTCGTAAAGCGCCGTCTCAGCAGCAGCGAAGTGCAGCTACAGCACGAACACCGTCTTCAACCCCGAATGCAGCGCCGAGACGGCGAGCTACCGCCGCATCTCAGGCAAAGGGGACGACAGATGAAAGGAACATCCGACATGGAACGCCTTCCGGCACCGGCATACTTAAGAGAAAGCGCCAATTTACACCCGGGGATGGCGGGCAAACTGGACGGACTCCTACCGCGAGAGCCGACACACCGTTGCGCGAAGCATCGACCGCGGATGACGAAGACGACTTCCCCTCTTCAAGAGCAAATCTACGCTCGGCAAATCGGACAGTCGCGCGGAAGGGCCGAGCTAGCCTGACAAGAGGAGACACTCCAGGCCGCGATACACCACACGCGACTGTAGAGACGCCAGATACTGCAGTCAGCGGCATGCGCAGTGCTCGTAGGCGGCGTATAGTCTACGACGCCGAAGACGAGGACTTCGCGCCTGCGAGTCCTGCGCCCGATGCCCGAGGCGCCACACGGTCGGCAAGTCCTGAGGAACCTTCAGCAGTACACCGCCATCGTAGGCCCCAAAATGTAGAAGCTGCACCGCAGCTGGACTACGATGTCCCGAAACAGCTTGAGAGTACGAAAGCGGCCATGGGCGAGCCCAATTGGATCGAGTACGTGAAGCTGATGGAAGCGCATTACGACGGAGCTATTCTTATCGAGGAATTTGATCGAGCGGCAGCGCTGCTGTTTCGTGTGCACGACGAGAAGACACGCAATATGATCAGGCGACTCGTGAACAAGATGGTCGCGGACGCCAACGACGTTCGGACTCACGGGCAAAGGATATGATCGGCGTCAAGGCGGAACGCAGGTAGGCGTTCAAAAAGGATATTTTTAGATGTATTTCAACCAATGCGATGACAAATCTTTCATAGGATATATACAGACCGCACAGGTAACCAATATCGCCCCAAAAGGCAGCCAGCCTCTTTACGTGCCCACGGCCTTCGCCTTCATAATACTTGCATCCAACCCTTCAAGTTCAACCTTAACTAGAGATTCCCCCTCTGCACTAATCATCCATCCGCCACTCCCCCAAAGCGGTTCCACATTTTCAACCGCCTTCGGCATCTTAATCTCCGCCGTACCATTCACCGCCGCACTTCCCTGATACACAGCGATGACAAGAATCTCAGCGCCGCTCACCCACGCAGCTGCATCAATCAATCCATCCCCCCCGCTTGTCTCCAGCGGCATCCTCTCCGCACCAAGCAAAAAGGCTGTAACATCCTGCGCTCCAATGACAGTCGCCAGCTCCGAAGTAACGCTCTCCACCTCCGCGCTCGTCGGATAGATCCACGCCACGATGCCCTTCGCGCCATGGTTAACGCGCAGCAGGCCCATCACAGCCTCCTCTTCTCGCGTCGGCCACCTGCTCCAGAAGCTGTTTGCGTCAAAGAAGCCCTGCGGAACGCCCCACACGGGCTTCCTATACACGTTCCCGATCCACTCCTGATACGCGTACATATTCTCGGTGCGGTCGAGGATGTCGAGAAACGCGTTGTGCACGTACGCCGGGTAAGCGGGGTCGGCGACGTGGCAGTTGTCGCAGCCACAGTCGCCGTAGGTGGCGTTGCAGGGGGTGTTGTAGACGGGGGAGAATGTAGAGGAGAGGATGAGGGGGTACGTGTCTTCGAGGATGATGTCTGCGCCGGCGGTGTATTCGCGGAAGTAGAAGTTTGCGCAGTTGAGGACGAGGCTGATGGGGTGGTACTGGTCGATGGCGCGGATGGCGTTGTAGGCGGTGGATGTGGCGTCGAGCGGGTCGCACCAACCGTCGGGCTCGTCGGCCGTGTAGTAGAGGAGCAGGCTGGGATGGGGCTGTAGGGGTGCGAGTTGGGTGGCGATGGAGGTGTTGTTTTGGTAGGTGTGGCGCATGTCGTACATTATGTAGAGTTCGAGGGCGTCGCAGATGTTGAGGAACTGGTCGAAGATTGTGTGGTCGAAGGGGTGAGTGCCGCCTGGCGGGACGATGTGGATGATGTTGTAGCCGAGCTGTCGGAAGGTGGTGAGGTTCTTGGTGGCGGAGGAGTTGTTGATGGTGGAGGATATCCAGTCCCAGGACGTGTAGAAGGAGTAGGGGAAGATGGGTTTCCAGGTGTTGTTTGTGAGGGAGGATGAGACGGAAATGCCGCCGTAGAGGCGGTCGATGCGCGCCGTGCTGCCGGTGTCATTCCGAGCGGGTAGGGTCGTGATCTCGGACATGGACTGGAAGGTCTGGATGGCGTCCGGCGAGTTTCCCATGACCGTCAAATGAGTAGTTCCATTGCTCTTCAAGCCCTCCAGACTGACTTCCACCTCATAGCCGCTCGCATTTACAGGAACCCTTAACCAGTTCACGAGCGGCTTGCTGGTTGCGGCGCTATCTCTTACATATAATTGCAGCTCCGTGAATGGAATTTTCGTGTTTGGACTCGTTTCCGGGTCGAATGTTTCATTCTTGTACGGCGTCCCGCGGAGAGAAGAGACGGGAGAGTCGACGATGAGAGTCGCTGTCTTTTCGGTGCTGAGATAGTAGCTGTAGCGCGAGTAGACGCGCAAGTCGAGCTTTAGCTGTGTTGGATCAGCCGGGCTGGGTGGGTCGAGCCAGCCGCCGGGATCGAAGGATGAGTTCTGATAAGGGTTAGTTGTGGTCGTTTGATGTAGATGTAGACCGCGGTTCCGCGAAGCTTGGAAATGCGTACGTACTGTCGCTCGGTACGCCTTCCCACACCAGATATCCACGCCCGGGGGATTATTAAACGGCGGCTCACTCCTCACGCGTCCGCCAAAACCCAGCAATACCTGCAGGATTAGCGCGACAATCATGACGGCCGACGATAGCGGGAAGAGGTAGAAAAGGAACGAATGCATGTTGAGGGAGACGCAGGTACGGCGTTATTTATCCGATCGCACACCCCAGAATAGCCCGAATAGATAGCGACGCTATGGCGAAGGATGCCAGGTACAGGATGCAAGGGTCGTAATCTTGGAAGACGTTAATTGCAACCTCGGCGGGGTACAGAACGCGGAAGATCGCCATAGCCGCAGCCAACCGTCGAGGCGAACGGTTATCGTGGCCAAGATTGTGCGGTGGTAAATGGTTGGAGCCATGGGCTTTGCGCGACAGAGCATTCGAGGTTTGCAACTTCAGCAGGCAGCATAGTTCAAGTAGTCTCCTAGCACAGTACCTATAGCCAAGCGAACGTCACGTGATCGGTGGCCGGTTGCGCCCATCTCACGACAGTTGGAAGATATGCCCTTGATCAGGATCTATGGGAATTAGCTAAATACAAAAGAGGAAGAAACATGCATCCCCAATGATGAAAATTGAAGAATCAAGAGTTGAATGGGTAACGAAAGGTAACTCTGGCGATCCTACACCAACGTTGTGCATGTGCTGTGCGACCACATGTCGTTCCGCTCGGCCCACTAACTCTGACCGGAGTGGCCTCCTTCTGTCTCCAAGTCGTATTCCAGACGTATCACATTCCCACAGTCTCGTGAGAACATTGTCCATGCTGGCAGAGTCCACAGCGCTCAGCACATGTACCCCCATCACCCTGGAATGGAGACGATCTGCCCGCCGTGCTGAAGAGGTTGCCCAGGCTCAACTCGGACCTCCTCAAACGCTTGGAACCACTTAGCCGTAGAGACTCCCCCTCGTTCGCTCCGAAAACTGCGTCTCGTTGTGAAGGTGCTGAGTCACTTCAAGAGTAGTAATGATGTGATCGTGGCTCAGCTTGGCGTCCTTCCGTGAGGCAAGCAACCGGGCGATCTTGAGGATATTCTTGATCTGTCGACCGTTCATATTCATGCGCGCAAGCTCTTCCAGCTCTTGCTTAGTAATCGAATGGTCCTGGGGTGACGAGTCGAGGAAGTTCTTCCACACGGTCCGGCGAGATTTAATGGACAGTTCTTGGTAGTCCAATGAGATATGGATACGCGACTGGAAGGCCGGATCGAATGTCTGAACGCGGTTGGTGGTGAGGAACATGGTGCCTTCAAAGTACTCCAACACCCGGAGGAAGATCGATACGAGCTTGTTTCTCTCCAGCTCATGCAGCGACCTCTGCTCGAGGAAGACATCTGCCTCGTCTAATAGCAGGACACTTTGCCAGCGCGTGCACATCTCAAGGATGTCTTGAAGTTTCGTCTCTACTTTGCGCGGATCAAGGCCAAGGTCTCCTGCACTCATCATGAACAGGGGCACCTTCATCTCCTCGGCGACCGATTCGGCAGTGAGCGTCTTTCCAACTCCCGGCGGACCACACAAAAGTACAATCATGCCTCGTCCTTTACCTTCAATAACGTCATCAAAGGTTTCGCGGTATTTTCGTTGAGACTCGGTGAAGCCGAGAATAAGCTCCTTTTGGTTCTTGGGCAACACCAGTCGATCGAATGCATCCTTCTGCCACTCAATCTCCTTGACCGAGTTGACGAAGAAGTTCAACCAGAGCTTGCTCTTCAAGCTGTATCCACGGAGAAGGGGCGTGCAGATAAGCTTCTGTTCAGCCGTCAGGGGTAGGCGTCGTGCAGCGTCTTCCTCGTCTGCGAAATGGCCATCCATGGGCATCCCGCTGTCGTCGGCATCGTAACCACCGTCGCACTCTTCCTCGCCGTCACTCTCCTCACCGTCTTCGTGCGACTCTTGTGTGGGCTCTTTCTGAGTGAGGGGCGCGACGAAGATAGCGTAACTCGGATTAAAGCGATTCCAGCCGTAAGTGTCGATCACAATTCGCCCTTTAACATTGTACTTGTCCTTCGTGCCAAACGCGCCATGTCGCCAGCCGATGCCGTGATATGCCCTATAGTTCGGGCCAGCGAGAGCCTCTGCCTTGGCGCCTCGTTCAATCAGGCGAGCCTTGAGTGCCTTCGCATCAGGGTGGTATTCGAGCGGGAACGCTCGCAGCTGCGAAATGTGGCGTGTGCCTTTGTATTCGTAGATGGACAGGTTGAGCTTGCTGGTGCCAAACTTAGTGCCATCCCAATCGACATATTTGCACGTGATCCAGAAGCAGGGGTTGCCTTTGCAGTCTTGGCCGTATCTTGTGTCCTCAAGCGTCATCGCCATTTCTTGACCATCCTGTCGTGAGAAGACGGCGATACCGGGTTGGAATAGCGTCCAAAGGAGTTCATACGTGATGACACGCTTGCTCTTCATATCCTGCGACGTATCGATGAGACTCTTAAACTCCTTCACCAGGATATCTTGAAGAAGATTGGCATGCTCCTTCGTCATCCGTTCATCTTCGGTCTCATCACCAAGCTTGGCGATAGCCGCTTGGAGCTCCGCCCATCGGTGGATCAGAGGCTCGAACTTGCCCGACAGCTCCAGGCGGTTTAGGCCGACCGCAATGCCAGGGTAGCCCTTCAGGACGCCGGCGAGCAGTTTCTTGAGCAGCGGGCTTTGAACGACGATGGAATGGATGGCCAGCACCTTCTGGGGGTCATTGTAAACCTTGACGTTCCGGACGAGCAGAGCCCACTTCGCCGTCTTATCGTTCTCCGTCGGGTTTCCGATGTCCTCGGGGATCTTTTCTTGCCATTGGTATCGGCCTTTCTTGTCTTCCTTGCCGGAGTAGAAGTTCTTGAAGCCGCTCTTCATTCCGGGGTCAATGTGCTCCTCCGGCTCCTCCGACTCGTCGGACTTGTCATCATCTTTGCTCACGCCGTTCGTGGTGCCATTGGCCACTTTTGCGCCATTGGTGATGGGCGCCTGCTCGTCCTCGGACGACGAGGCGGACGAGGTAGAATCAGATCGGATTCTTGAAGGCATCTTTTGTTGGGATTGCTTGGGGAATCAAACTCAGCGGCAAATGTGGTGAGGGGGCAATAGCTGGGCGTGAGACTGAGCTCTGTGCGCCCGGATCACAAACAAAGTTAGTGGGACGAAAAGAAAGTGACTCCGCGAGGCCTTCAGGGACGTTTATGTAGGCACTTCACAGCCTTGTTGCCTGTTACCTTTTACCGGTGCGTGATTCGACGCTAGAGTCAACAAGTGGGAACAGTTGGCTATGCGCATGACATGGGGCGAATTCTACCTTTGAGGCATCCGCACGTGTATTCGCAGCCTGGTGCGCACCGTATTTTCCTGCAGCTGTGAGTGGACGAGTGGTGTTGCACTACGCCCGTGCTGATGCGGTCGTGGAGCGAAGCGCGTGGCGGTGAGCCCTTGTGGCGAGGGTAGAAGGGCGAAGTATCACCCTCCTGATCAGTACGACCTCGCTCATCTCATGGTGTTTGCACTCAAAGCTGCACTTTCACCAGGCATCAGCCGCCCGATTGGGACGGGATAGACGAGCGGCCTCCGCTAGTAGAGGAGATGCAGGCAACCGGTGAGCTCGATGGTGGCCTAAGCGACTGCAGTCAAGGGCCAAACGGATCAGTGCAATAAGTGCAATAACCGCAATTGTACCTTGTCCTATCGTATCCGCTTAGAAGAGCGGTCGTCAAACGCATTGCGAGGTTTCTGGTGCTCACAGGGGTTCGATAGGAGGAGGCAGCTGTGGCCGTGCGCTGCCCCGCGATATCGGCGTCGGCGTTTGCGCCCCACCTGACGTGGGTGCTTTTTTGGCCTTCCGGGCTCTGGAGTCACGTCCGCCAGACTTTTTATCCCTCACGCTTCCCCGCCGACGAAACCTCGCGCGCACTCCCCAATGCCAATATGGCCACCGTTATCAGAGTCCCCTGCTCGTCGGCGAACATTGGCCCCGGATTCGACGTCATTGGCCTGGCGCTCAACCTCTACCTGGAAGTGCAGCTCACGGTCACGACGCAGGAATCCTCGACGCACTCGCTCAATTGCCGCATAACCTACGAAGGCGTAAATGCGGCATCCGTCCCCCTCGTCGCCGAAGACAACCTCATCACCAGAACCGCCGTCTACGTCCTTCGCTGCCATGGCATTCGCGCCTTCCCCGCTGAGACCCATGTCCACGTCAAGAACCCCATACCGCTGGGCAGAGGGCTGGGATCGTCGGCTGCAGCAATCGTAGCTGGCGTGAATTTGGCGAATGAAGTAGGAAGTCTGCAGCTGTCCAAGGCGAGAATGCTGGATTACTGTCTGATGGAGGAGCGACACCCGGATAATGTGGCGGCGGCCTTGTACGGCGGCTTCGTGGGCACGTACTTGAACGAGCTTTCTGCCGAGGACACCGAGCGCCTTGAGATCCCGCTCAGCGAGGTGCTACCAGAACCTGCCGGAGGCATTGACACTGGTACGTCGAGACGCACATGGTGCTATGATATGCTCGGCCGTCTGAAAACTGAGCCTGGAGGCCTTCGGCGGCTTATGCTAATGTACGGCAGGCCTCCGCCCTCCGGAGCCTCCACGGGACATCGGTCACTATACCAAGTTCAAGTGGTCACCTCAGATCAAGTGCATTTGCGTCATACCTCAATTTGAGGTGTCTACCGCAAAAGCTAGGGAGGTGCTGCCTCAAAGTTACTCACGGAAGGATGCCATATTCAACATGCAGCGTTTGGCAGTTCTGACAACTGCTCTTGGACAGTCACCGCCGGATCCTGGCATGATTTATACTGCCATGCAAGATAAGCTCCACCAGCCATACCGTCGAGGACTGATTCCAGGGCTCACCGAGATCCTGCAGTCTGTCACTCCTCAGTCGCATCCAGGCCTCCTAGGAATCTGCTTATCTGGCGCTGGCCCTACTATTTTAGCACTCGCCACTAACAATTTCGACTCGATAGCCAATCACCTCTTGCAGCAATTTCACAAGGAAGGGATTACATGCGACTGGAAGCTGTTGGAGCTTGCCGAGGAAGGGACAACAGTTGTCTGGCCAGCTACGTCCTCTCTGCAGCTGGAAGAGTCGCTGACGTACGCCTCCGCTGGTGTCAGTATCGACGCTGGGAACGTCCTCGTGAAGGGCATCAAGGCATTGACAGCAAGCACACGGCGTCCTGGAGCTGACGGCCAGATTGGTGGATTTGGCGGTATGCTCGACTTGGCAGCGGCGGGCTATACAGAGCCACCGATATTAGTAGGGGCGATTGACGGCATTGGGACGAAAGTCAAGATTGCGTTCGAGATGGGCAAGCACGACACTGTTGGCATCGACTTAGTCGCCATGAACGTTAACGACCTCGTAGTACAGGGCGCCGAGCCGCTGATGTTCCTCGATTACTACGCCTGCAGCAAGCTCAATGTCGAAAACACCGTCAAGTTCGTTGAAGGGGTAGCGAATGGCTGCCGACAGTCTGGTGCCGCGCTCGTAGGTGGCGAGACAGCTGAGATGCCAGGTCTTTACAAGGAGGGCGAGTATGATGCGGGAGGCGCTGCCATCGGCGCCATCGAGAAGGGTGCGACTATACTGCCCGACACTGCAGCCATGCAAGAGGGAGACGTACTTCTGGGCCTTGCTTCGAGCGGGGTTCACTCCAATGGTTTCTCCCTTGTCCGCAAGATCATTGAGAAGAGGGGCCTTTCGTTCCATGACGCCGCGCCTTGGAGTGCCAGCGAGACGATTGGCGCCAGTCTGCTCACACCGACGCGTATCTACGTCAAGCCGCTGCTTGCTGCAGTACGCAAAGGGCTTCTCAAGGGCATGGCTCATATTACGGGTGGGGGCCTTCTGGAAAATATCCCTCGTATGTTGCCGGAGACCCTTGCTGCCGAGCTTGATGCGTCGACATGGCCCGTCCCGCCGGTCTTCGAGTGGCTAAAGCAAGCCGGTCGGCTCGAGGATTCGGAGTTCTGCCGAACATTCAATACCGGTCTCGGCATGGTCTTGGTTGTGAGCGAAGAGAAGGTGCGGATGGCCACCGAAATACTCCAGGAACACGGCGAGAAGGTTTACAGAGTCGGATCGCTTGTTAGGAAGACGGCCAGGGACTGCACGGTGCGCAACATGGACGTCTGGAGGTGAAGTATGGATGGGGTCTTGTCAGTTGCTGTTAATGCTTTGAAGGGCTTCAGGCTTGCTGTTGCACGTCCGCGGGTGCCCTTGAAGCAACCGGCGGGTGTGGCAGTCTCAGTGGAGACGGTGGAGACTTTGATGGCTGGTCAGTATGCCAGCTCAACCATGGACGGAGTGCGGAGGTGTCGGCCACCTTTGACGTGGTCTTTCAGATGCTGTGAACCAAGGCTGCGGTTCCTACGAATATGGCGTGCAGGCGGCGACGATGTGTTGCGGTGTCAAAGGTCAATTCAGATCCAGCGCATTTGGGTCAGATTAGCTGCATCGGACTAAGCTGCAGTACCACCTGGGTATACGTCGGGTGGGATGATTCGCAGCTCGATACTCAGGTTCCCTGCCTTATTATTAGTGTAGAGGCCTTCGGGATCGCCGTTTTGAGCCTCCCTCTTAGCGGATAGCCAGCAGTCACAGCGATCGGCCCGTCTGCTTCATGCACGACGCTAAAGGATACTCTATTCGACAAGGGTGCTCTGTACGCAGAATGCACACATCATGACGGGCGCGCCAGGAGGGCTCCGCTGAAGTAACCAAGCCTTGTCGCTGCCTGGCGCCGGACGGCGTGGGTTGCCAGTTGTGTGCACCCTTTGTGGCTGCATGGCGTTGCTGCAGAGTGGCGTGCTTTTTGTGGAGTAGTGAGTAGTGAGCTCTGACGCGGAAGCACAGCTGGGCTGGGATCGGGGTGTTTATCTCATATCAAGCTGTAATGCAAGGCCAAGGTCCGTCTCCCGCCCTTCGAGAAGGCCAGGCCAGGCCGGCACGCTCGCCTCGCCTGTGGTGTGAGTAACGACATCCCGCCGGTGATTCACCCGCATGTAGGACTCACCGATTGCGCCCGCGTACGAGACCCGCACAGGAGGTCCAATATCATTAATCATATATTGGCACCGCAGCGAATTGGAGGCGTGAAACTGGGAGCGCGCCGCCGTGAGCAATATCAGCTTTTGTTGGGATGCGATATCCACATGTCAAGCAGTAGAGGCGTGGTGGTGTGTAGGCAGAAGCGAATCGCGACGCGCAGGCCTCAGCTGCTGGCGAGCTGCCCTCTTGAGCCGTCGACTATGCCTGCGGCAGATAAGCCACAGCGTGCCCTATCGGCGTCGCGGAGTCCCACAAATGCGCTTCTTTGAATGCTTCAGAGTATGTATGCGCGCACAGAGCCCTGAGTGAGCCGGTGGGGGCCGTGCGCCGGTTGATAGAGTAGAGGAGGAGAGTGCGGGAGAGTGCGCTGGCGGGGCGGGCGCGGTGGCGGAGGTTGAGGTGGCACGAATGATGGATTAAGTATGCGGAGGTACTCCCAGCTCGCGGTGCTTGTTCTTCGCGGCGCGGATCAGAGAGGAGGATGCTGTCGTGGTGGATGCATCAATGATCAGTATGGGCCAGCTGGGACCCAGTGTCTTGTACCGGCTAGCAGACCCGTAATATAGCCACGGATCGGATCCCTACTATTCGCCCACCAGCACCCCAGCCCGCCGGACCGTTTTCCAGACTCTTTTTTGTTTGCGGTCAAGGCGCGTCCGATTTTCTTACGCCGCCGCCGGCCGCCTTGCTGCCTTCTGCTCCCTTTCTCCTTCTTCTTCTCCACCATGTCCTCCCTCCTCCCCGCCAACCCCATCGAGCCCTCGCCCAACAACACCAGCTCCTCCGCCGCCACCTCGCCGCCCGTCGAAGCCGCCGCCACGGCAGACCACCCGCCCGCCCACAAGCCCGACCCCACGCTCGAGTCCAATGCCGCCAAAAGAAGACTCTCCGCCGCCGGTACCTCCTCCACCGCCGAACTCGCCCGTCTTAAGATAGAGCTCAAGCGCGCCCTGCGCCAGTTCCCGGACTTCCCGTCGCCGGGCATTCTGTTCGAGGACATCCTGCCCATCTTCGCCGACCCCGCCCTGCACGAGCACCTGCTGCGCGCTCTCGAGCTGCACGTCTCCCAGGCATACCAGAAGCCGGACGTCATTGTGGGCCTCGAGGCTCGCGGCTTCCTCTTTGGCCCCAGCCTGGCGCTGCGGCTTGGGGCTGCCTTCGTGCCGGTGCGGAAGAAGGGCAAGCTCCCCGGGCCTTGCCAGACGGCGGGGTACCAGAAGGAATATGGCGAGGACTTCTTCCAGATGCAGAGCGACGGCGTCAAGCAGGGCCAGAAGGTGCTCGTGGTGGACGACATCATTGCGACTGGTGAGCACCTCCCACGTCACGAATCACGAATCACGACCTTTGGAACATATTGCTGACCCAGTACAGGCGGCTCCGCGGCAGCAGCAGGCTCTCTCGTGAAGCAGCTCGGCGGCGTCCTACTCGGCTACGTCTTCATGCTCGAACTCGACTTTCTGCAAGGGCGCGCAAAGCTCGACGCGCCCGTCTACACCCTCCTCTCGAGCCAGGAAAAGTAACAGGGTCCCTTGGACTCAATCGACACACCACAATTCATTTCCCAGTACCCCATAGAAGCAGCTTGCATGGAAAGGCGTTGGTTCACTTCATTCCGCTTAATACCTCGGGCGCGCACGACCCTGTGCTGACGGATGAATGCTCACATCAAACTCCACACAACATGGATTAGTCTGCTTTGGATCTGTTTTGCTCATCCTTCATCTAATACGTTAACACAGTTCTCGGCATTGATGATTTCAGCGGTACATAGACGGCGGCAGGCGGTTTCGGGCGGAATAATGGGCTCTTTGGTTTCGGATTCAAAGTCTGCAATATTATATTGATGACACTCTTCCCGTCGCGACGACGCGGTCGCCCGAAAAAAATGGGTTTCTGACTGCCCCTCCTTCGATCACGCCAACCAGTCGCGTCGCGCACCGGGCGCTCCGTGCTCGGAATCCCTGATGCGCCTGCCCCTCAGTGCTGCCGATTCGGAACGGTGTGTCATCAGCGGCGCCGACGATAGCCTCGCATTGCCTGACCAGCACCACACATGCAGCGCGCTCCCCTCTTTACGCTGCTGCGACTCGCACGACTGCGCTCATCTCTTCCTCGACCCCAATTTCGAAAGCCAGCGCGATTGAGCGTCGCACAGTCCCGCACCATGTCCGACATCAAGAAGGTCTTCACAGCCAACGCCTGTCCGCGTACGTAGTGTTCACTCCTTGGTATGACTGAGCGATGCTGATCAATTGCAGCCGCTGGGCCCTATGTACGTCCTCCGCGGCGTTTCCCCTGCCTTCTCAATCGAGCTACTGCCCTCACATCAGCTCCTCGTGTCGACCACCTCGCGAATATACTGCCGAAAGCCACGATCTCGATCTCGCTTCCGAGCACTCCTGCTGAGCATTGCTGACGAGATATAGACTCAAGCCATTGTAGCGGGATCCCAGATCTACGTCTCCGGCCAGATACCCGCGGATAAGGAGGGCAAGCTGATCGAGGGGAGCATCGCGGACAAGACGAAGGCATGCTGTGAGAACATCATCGCGATCCTCACAGAGGCTGGAACAGATATCACCCGCGTTGTGAAGGTATACTAGCTCCCTTTTTGCCAGCTATTTGACCTCAGAGGCTGACAACGGACGCTCGGGACAGGTCAACGTCTTCCTCGACGACATGGCCAACTTCGGCGAGATGAACGGCGTCTACGAGAAGTACTTCGCCCACAAGCCGGCCCGGAGCTGCGTCGCGGTCAAGCAGCTGCCGAAGGGTGTCCCGGTGGAGATTGAATGCATTGTGTTTACCGGTACGAGTGCGAAGCTGTAATGGCGTGAGCGGAGTTGATACGTTAGCAGGTTAAGAGGCGACTGGGGACGAAGCCACTTGGATACATGGTACGGAAATAAACTAGAGGGACCCAAAAGTGTTAGCGATAAAGTCGGCATCTGCAACCACAGTTGTCGAAGGTCTTTCGGCACAGCGCCTGGACTTTGGAGTCACTGGTTTAAGCAGCATCCTTGGACGGCAAGAAATTCAGACCTTTGTGTGAGATTCTGTTCCTCCCGCTCTCTGTCGCTCTTCTTCACAGCTTATTCATCGCATGGCGTTCGCTACGCCCCACTCACTGCGTGCCAGGTATGAAACAATATCGCTCGGCAATATGCTAGATTCCGAGCGGCCTTCTGACGTCTGTGCGGTATTGGGGAATCCGGGGAATCCGAGAGATGCTCCGGTCTGGGATTCTCCTCGCAATGCCTTCTTCTTCCAGAGGATCGTTCTGACTATAGTGCAAGCGCAGGCCTCGGTGGCGGAGAAAGAGGAGCCTCTTCCGAATCTTTGAAGTGGGATGAGCAGGTAGTCGACTTGATCCCTTATGGGATAGGTGCTGATGCTGGACTGCAGTTGCTCGGCCACGGTCCGCTGCGGCTTGGAAAGCCGGCCATGCGGACATGCATCTACTCAAACGGCGACGCTGGGCAAGACTCCTAACAATCCACACTCATCCTTCTTCATGGGGGCAGTGATTTCGAATAGGTTTTGGTACTTTTCCGTGGTCGTCCTAAAACTCGTCTCTAATGGAGTCGTGCGCATTTCATTCTTGCCCAGAGTGTAAGTCGATTTCCAAGGTAAGATGCAGAGCGATGTACATTACATGTATATGCTGACCTTAGCCTGGCGCTCCTCAGCCTACTTTGCGGCTCTTGTCACCTCCCAAGTCAAGACCCGGCTTTCAATGGCAACGCTGCACGGGACGCCTCAAACGCTCCTCTTCTCCCCCGAAACTCCGGCTTATACAATAACCATTAATCTGCACAGCCACGGCGCTGTCTTGAGTATATACGTATATACATGCGCAGAGGTAACGTCTCCACACCAAGAGGCTGATCGTAGGCCGCTCTTCTAGGCGACGAGCCTTACGAGGCTCTCTTACGGCAGTTTGCTCAGTGCTATTGGCCCATCGCGCACCTGAAACTTGGGATGCCCAGGATTCCAAGTCCTTGGATCGTTACGGCTTGCGGCTTATACCAGGACCGATTAATTTCCGGCTAATCAGGTGCTGCGGGTGGGCAGATCTTGGGTCGCTTTGGGAATACCATTTCGGCCGGATATGGGAATTTCATGGCGTTTGGTAAGAAGGGTGGAGTGTAGCTGCTGCTTCTTCTACGTTCTTTCTTTCGTTCTTCCTTCACTCTTGGGTGGGTTGAGAAACAGTGCTTGGTCGACAAGATGTATTCTCCTCTTCGGAACACCGTTTGGCCTACCGCCTTAGCCCTCCTCCTCAGCACAGCAATATTCCAACGCGCAACCGCAACCGTCGGCGTACTAGACATCGACGACCTGCTGCACACCAAAGACCAACAAACCTTCTCCTCAGACGACTCAGACTCCCCCTGGTCACACGACCCGCACTGCACCGTCTCCACAAGCCTCAGCACCCTCGGCCGCAAATACTGCGTCTACACCTCCAACTTCACAGGCCCCACCGGCATCTCCATCATCACCACGCCCAGAATCGCCGCTGCGGCTGCCCCGCTGCTCGACGATAACCCGCTCGACAACTTCCTCACGCCCGCGCAGGCCGAGGCACTGTACTTCAACGCGCCGCCATACAAGGTCGTCGATGTGCCGGAGAAGGGCGGCAAGGGCGTTGTAGCGACGCGGAAGATTCGCAAGTTTGAGACGTTTATGGTGGACCAGGCGAGCGTGGTGGTGGATATGAGTCTAGAGCGGGCGGTTTCGAGGGAAGAGAATTGGAGCTTGTTGCGGGTGGCGGTGGAGAGGCTGCGGAAGCCGGGTGTGGTGCGGGAGTTGAGTGCGAAGCATGCTGATGGGAGGGAGGAGGAGGAGGACGAGGGCGAGGAAGAGCTGCTGGGCAGGCTGGAGGAGGATGTCATGATGACGAATGCGTTTGGGAGCCAGATTGCGGAGACGAAGTTTCGGGCGCTGTATCCGCTTGTTTCGGTGAGTTTTCGCAGTGCAGAAGCACGCTTCTAACTGAAATGCGGGCGAGAGTGGAAGAAGGGCGAGCGAGCGAGTAGAGAAGAGAGCTTACTAACTGTTGAACGTGTGCCAGCGCATCAACCACGCCTGTCATCCCAACGCCTTCGTCCTGTTCTCCCGCGCGGGCATCTCCATGGCCGTAAAAGCCTACCGGGACATCGAGCCCGGGGAAGAAATAAGCATATCCTGTACCTCTTCTTCCCTTCCCTTTCCTTGCAACCTACTCGGCTAACACCCCACAGACGTAACACTCGGGCAGCCCTATCCGAGGCGCCACGACGCACTCAAGCGCTGGGGCTTCACCTGCACCTGCGCGCTCTGCTCTCTCCCCACGCAAGAGAAAACCGCATCCGACGTCCGGCGCTCCCTGATCGCACAAGCCGAGACGAAAATCATCGAGTTCTGGCAAGCGGGGAAGCCCACCGAGGCGATCGACCTCACGCACGAAGCTATCGAGATCATAAAGGACGAGGGGCTCGAGCACTTGCTTACAGACGAGTATGCGCTGCTGGCGAAGCTGTATTTGTTGATCGGGGAGCGCGAGAAGGCGGAGCATTATGGGAGGATGAGTTTCGATTTGCTCGCTGATATGGGGTTTTTGGGGCATGATGTCGATAGGCAGCGGGTGGAGTTGGATATTGAGAACTTTTTGGAGATGGTGGGGGATGGGATGAGGGAGGTGAGGGGGACGTATGTGCAGGAGGCTGAGGATGAAGAGGTGTGATGAGGTGGAAGTAAGGGGGTTGACAGTGGGAATAGAACAATTGGAGTTACTGGCGTGCAAGTACAGGAATATTTACCCACTAAAGACGCGCAGAGGATATCTGGATATCGAAGCGCCGAGCCAAAGAGCCTCGTTCGGAATATCTCAAACTGCAGCCTCCGCCGTTGTTTCCTTAACCTTCCTCACCTCTTCGCTTTCCGTCCTCGGGTAATGAATCTTGGGCTTCTGACCCAGGGCCTCTCTGATCTCCTCCACGGACTTGTCCGCCCATGACTTGCTTCCCAGGTGACTCAGCGGATACAGCAGCTCGTTCTCATCGCTCAGCACGAACTCATCGGTAGCTGGTGCAGGGCGGCTCATGATGATGTCGATGTCCTTGCGGATCTGGTCGCAGAAGGCGTCGAGTGGGAGATCGTTGACGTCGTCGCCGAAGGGGTTCTCGATCTCGCGGCCGATAAGCCTGAAGCTGTTAGTACCTAGGAACAGATCTGGGGGGAAACTCTAAAACAGGTAGGACTTACGCGATTCCTAGGATAATGTAGGCGGCGAAAACGGAAGCTGGGATTGTCACCCAGCCGAGGGACTTGAAGAGCTGGAAGGGCAGGAGCAGGATGTAGACCCAGGTAATCTGGCCAATTGCAATGCTGTATGCGATGGGAAGCGGCGTGTTGAGGATACGGTCTGTGCCGGTGAGGACGTCGTTCATGGTAGTGAGGGCGTTGAGGGACTGTGTTTGGTAGATAGAGACCTTGAGCGTGCCGTTGTCGTACACCATTTTCATATATGAGGATAGGTGGTTGAGGATCTCCAGGGGGAGATTTCCCAACGGTACTTTGGCGCGCTTGATGAGCTTCCGAGGATTCGACGCCGCCATCGGAAGGCCGAGGAATTGGCCTGCTGTCTTGAAGATATTGGGCTTCTTGCTCTCGTCTGGCTTGTCTGCGACCTTTGCGTAGGTGCTAAGGTGTCCGACCATGTGCACTATGTCGTCGTAGTGCGTGTATGGCTCGAATCGCAGCTTGTGCTTCAACGCGAGGGAGAATGCCACGATGAGGTTCAAGCAGCTGATTTTCGAGAGCAGGTCCTTCTTGCCCACTTCGGGATCCGTGTGACGCTCGTCCGCGTGGATCCAGATCAAGCGCGCAAGGTTCTGCGAGGCAAGCGTTAATTGCGCCCAGTACTTGCGCCCTTCGTTGTAGCGCTCGTATGCCGTGGAGCTGCGGAAACTAAGAGCCAGACCGACGACGAAACCGAGGACTGTGAGGAGGAGCTGGTTGATGCCGACTGGGAGAGGGTGGTAAGTATGACTATTGGGATTGGTGGAGCCGTGGGGACTCACGATTGTGGACGAACTTCGATATGCACGTTATCGCGGTTGCCCATCCGCCCACGAAGAGTAGCGGCAGAATCATTTCGGGCGTGATACTCCCGTGGAGGCGAAGGAAGATTGGCCATTTCGAATGATGGTCGAGATCTCGTGGTCCAACCTAGATCGACATCAGCGGTGTTCTGTAGCTACTCTACAGAGCACGGCGCTTCTCTTACGAAGTAATCATCGAGATCCGTGTCGTCAGACTTGGTCCTCTTCAATTGCGGCGCGGGCGTCTTCGCGCCATTCGAATCGCTCGTTGCCGGGGACGTTTTCTCAGCCATTGTCTTCGACGCAGCAAGCTCTCGGTTTCGATTTCTGTGCGAAGGTATCAAAAAACAGGGTCTACCACAGTTATATCATAAGTCGCGTGCCCCTGGCCCATGACGTTCTGGGCCCCCCGGGTCGTCTTTGATTCTTTGGCAGGCGTTGCGCGACTCAGAACCTTGATTTGAACTTTGACAGCTGCACTCGGCAGGCGAATCCAATCGTGCCTTGTTTCGTAGCGAACGGCGAGCTGAATTGAGATGCGGGCCGACTTGGCAGTCATTTCGAGCGCGTAGGCGGGAGGCGAGGCGAGCGAGCGATGCGCTGGCGCGTCGTGATTGAAGGTTAAACCCTGTGACGATCGTATATTTTCATACTGGAGAGCGGAACCTTGGAAATTTGGGGAATGGAAGGCTGCGATTAGCTCTTGAGACGAGGTGGAAAGTTTGCGTTTCGGATTGACGAGCTCGTTTCGTTTCGCATCCTGATTCGCCAGCGCTTCCCTATTTCTCACCCAGACTCTTGCGGTAGGGAATTCTAAGGGCTCGCTGTACAAGTAAGAAAGTTTGGCTCGTCCATTGTACGCACTCACGAAGACCTCCAGAGTAGCTGTTGCGCACGTCGTTCTATCCGGAGAATTCCACACCGTGAGAGCCAGCATCCTGGTTCAGACTTTTATCAAGAGGAAGCTAAAAGGGCCTTGTATATTGAAGGATACTATGCACCCTTCACGAATGAGGGATCTGGTGAACGTTGCAGGAGGTGTTCAATTGTTCACGTGACAGTGCGTTAGCGCGTCGCGTCGATCACGTCCCGCTCTTATCATTGGAACTTGAACCGGAACCATCACTGTTCTCCCTCTTCCTCATTTCACCTCGACATTATTAATATCGAAGAGTCCCCTTTATCCTCCAACCAACATTCCTCACTAAGATGGGATAGGTGTACGGAACGCGCGCAGTGCCCACCTAGGCGCCGTTGCAAAGCACCATTGCAACAAACCTCAGAAGTGAAAGTCGCAAGCGAACTTCTCAATCTTGCGACTGGAATTGGCGCTTTCACTACAAGGTGTTATTCCATGCTAACTATTGACAAAAGCGCACAACTCTGGAACCTTCGCCTCGCGCCTCGAAAAGTCGTGCGCGCAGCGACATGCACTGTGAATCAAATTGATTCTGACAACCCGGAACGGTCGCTCTCGTAATACGGGTCAGTCAGAAGAGGAGAAGAGATCAAGAGGTGGACATGGATGACACCCTCACCACCGCGGCTGTGGTTGGAGCTCAATGGGAAGACACGAACGACGAGCAGGAATTTGATGACAACGTCGAAGAGCACCGGCCCTTGCACGAATCGCTCCTCCACCAAGCCGTCGCAGCTAAGAGCGATCACAAACTCGAGAACGCCGGCCGAGACTTAGATACCGCTTCTATTGTCGCTCACGTCGAGGGCCCCGGCCCCTCAGTCAGAGCTCCAACGACAAGTCTCGACAAATACGTCTGCAAGGCCGAAGCGCGATGCGGCCTCCCCCAGCGCAGCACAGCTAAGATCTTCAACCATGCTCCCAATGTGGAGATTCCCAAGCTGGAGAAATTCCGCTCCAACCGCATTCTAGTCTACGCGGGATGCTTCAATCCGCCACACCGCGGCCATCTCGAGCTACTATACCACACATACCTCCGCACAGACGACAAGACCATCGCCGCTATGATCTTGCCAATGGCCGATGACCGCTGCGAGGGCAAGGCCCACACCGAAACTTTCACTTTCACAAAAGAGCAGCGGGCGCAGCTGTGGTACGACGAGGTGCTTATGCGCTTCGCCTGGGTCTTCCCAGGCACGCATAGAGACGTCAAGAAGTTCATGTACTCGATGAAAGAATTCGCGAAGGAGGACGGATTCAGGCTCAGCTTCACGGCACTGTGTGGCGCGGATCACGCGCGCTTGGACGGCATGCTAGGACGGAGCTGGGGCACGGGAAGCGTGATCACGAGCGATATTACAAGACCTTCGGAGCTGATGGTTGCTGGGTACGCCAAGCCGTGCCCCGTGCTGGGATGCGAGGAGTGGTACGAGATATGGTCTGCCAGGGGCGTGCACCCGATCGAAGGAGTGGCGGCTTCTTGTCCTTGTTGGGCCTGTTGGAAACTATCGAGAGTGTGTCCGGAACTTTGGAGCAAGGGCACAAAAAGTCGTAAGTGATTCACTATCTTTGATCATACGGAAAGCGGCTAACCTGCCAGATAGATGTAGAATGCTTCGGAAGCGATGCACGCACCATTTTGCATAGATGCCATCAAGCTGGAAGCAGCATTTGGATGGCAAGCCGGGAGGGAGGAGGAATTCTCTGGTTTCTGCCCAGCGGACGACAATACCCAATTGACAATACTCGCACTCAGATAAGCTCCACTGCAGTACGGCAAACCCTCGCCATGTATTCCGCACCTCGCTTCAAGCTGTATAGGGATTTGGCATCGCTCGTACCCCATCCAGGCCGTCTTATTCGTATAGTGCAGGATAATGGATGCTGGCTGAAGGGCTAGGAGGGAACACGGATCTCGAACGCCGGAGAATTTCATTTTCGTGCTGGACAATTCGGGGTGCGTGGTATTCGGCGATGTGCCTCTACCTGTGGGGCTTAACGGGCCGTGATGGGCTGATCCTGATCCTGAGATACTGGGCAGCGCGAAAGCAGAAACCCGTGGCGGTAGTGGTGCGGCAATAGGGCTCAGGCATTGTTGGTGCGGTAAGACGAGGTGGATTTCGCAAAAGAAGGAGGAGTAAATGAGTCTGGACAATGAAGAGAACAGGAATGTCTTTGGTGTCGAATGCACAGTACGCTACTGGCAAAGGTAATACAATTACATATCGAAGAAAACATCTCGGTTGACCAGAACCGCGAGCACACACCAATCCCACCTATACGTATATCTAATCTCCTCTTAGATCCCTCACACTAGGATCGCCATGCCCTGAGCCGTGCTCCCCACGCCAATAGCACCCAGCCGCGCATGCTGCACAAGCTGCTTGGTCTGTGCATCCACAACACTGATGGCCGCCTCGCTCGTTCCATTACCTGGACTAAGCGCATAGACGAAACCCCCAGCGGCCTTCAAATCAATGAGACCGGGATCATTTGCGCTCGCTTGCTCCTGGCTGAGATCGATCTGGCTGATGATGCTCGCGTCCTCGAGGCTCATCTCAACCATGCGGTTCACGCCGACGTCAGTCACAAAGGCGGTGTTGGTGGCGCCAGAGATAGTGGCCCAGCACGTAGCTTTCTGGCCGTCGATGGCTTGGTTGGCGATGAGCGTTGCTTGCATGTCGCCGCCCACGGACAGGATTCCAGCACCGAAGGAAGCGTCCGTTGCGAAGATCTGGTTGTTGCTGCCGGGGATGACTTGCGAGCCGAAGAGCACGGCGGTCCCGGCGGGACTGGAGCGCGTCTCTTGTGTGGAGAGGGTGCCGACGTTGCCAGCTGCTTGGCCCTGCGCCGCACATGCAGCACCTGCCGTGTCGTTGCCTTGACCTTGACCTCGGCCTTTCCCTTTCTGTTTCCGGTTCTTCCGTGCCTGTAGGTTGGCTTGGCCGGCCTGAACGGGGAAGACGCTCAGGAAGCCGGTGTTGTTGACGGCCGGGTCGCCCTTGACAGTTGTAAAGAGCATACTCTCATCTTCTGAGAAGAAAGACTGAGAGACAGTGTTCGTGGGGCCGACGGGTGGATCGCTCTGTCCGATGTCGAAGGGTCGTAGGCCGTCCATCTGCCCAATACCGTTCTGCGCATCAAAGTTTGCACACGAGATACCGGCTTGAGAGCCAGTAGTACCGACACAAACGAGGGAATTTTTGGCGGATGCGGCGACGGTGTTGGGGAAGGTTCCGGGGATTGCTGCGGGTTGGCCGACCAGCTGGAGGGAGAGCGGGTCATCGGGGGATATGGCGAGCATGGACACGGTGTTCGAGCCTGCATTTACTGCAAAGATGTGCTGGAGGAAGGTTAGGTTCGAGAGCTTCAGGAGAGATGTGGATGGCGCATACATTGCCTGCGATCGTCAGAGCAGACTGCCCTACAAGCGCATCAGGCACAGCTGGCTTTCCATCTGCATCCACTGCGATCGAGCCACTACCGCCAGTAGCTGTAACTGTCGCATCGCCCAAGGTGCCGTCCGCATTGATCGAAATCGCAGCGACTGCATTCTGTTGTTCGTCGTTGGTGATGACGTAGGCGGCCTTTCCATTGCCGCCATTCTGTGCCTGCCGTCGACGGATACTGACACCCTTCTTGGACAATGAAACGGGTGAAGCAACGATCGTTGATGCAATAGATGCAATGAGCAGCGAGCGCGTTGTGAGGAGCATGGTGATAAAGCGGCTCTGCCGAAGCTACCGAAGGAATGTGATTGGTCGAAACGAAGCGAAGGTGAATTGAAAGAACGAGACGTATCAAACGTTGAGAAGTAGAAGACGAGGACAATTGAATAGAAACCGGAGCTGATGTGCCTTCAAACTGGGGAGACATTGTCTCTATTTATCTTCTTCTCTGCAATTCTCCGTTCAGCAGGTCGAGCTGTTGGCCCCGTATGGAGACACTCCGCATTGTATGGAAAGGCCCATAGGATCTGCGTGACACTGATCTGCGACGTTGATTCCTCGATCCCAAGTTCCCTAAGGCGGTAAGGTGATCAGGTACGCGAGCGGGAGCGCTAGCCGTTGTTGGCGATTCTGATGAGGAATCGTGCTGAAACCGTGGGCGTCTCGCAACTCCATGTGCGAGATCGGGAAAGGAGTGCCTCAGGTAGGACTTGGCACCTGAAACCACGGAAAACACGGCCTGAACCATACTCATAAAGGGTCGGAGCGTTACTTCGACGCGAAAAGCGTTCGAAAGACACATGGCGGACGTGCCCCTCTGCATCCTTCACTTCGTCGACGGTAGCTGAACGCATCGAACTAGAGCCCGTGACTTCCTGGAGCGCATCCATAAAGAAAGGATTCAGGACTGAATAAACGATAGGAGCGAGATCGGTATCCTCCAACTGTGTCTCCATCCGTTAGATTCCTCGTGCTCGCTCCGCGGGAACGGCGACGTCACCAGTCGGCGTTTCCGAACACATAGCGTTTTCCATAGCGATGCTTTTCCACCAGCAAGTTAGCATTCGGCGAACGCGATGGGAGATTCCAGACTACAGAGTTTAGAGAGAGAATGATGCAAACCGGTTGTAGGTTCGCGAAGGCTGAAGGCCGGGTTGGCCCCTGAAAATCCGCCAGTTTATTTCTGGCTAGCGTCCCTTCGCGATTTCGCGAGACCTCGGGACACGCATACCTTTCTTCCTTCTATCCGCGTACTTTCCACAAAGCTAAAGACGCTCATATCGATCCTCATAGTTTAGGAAACGCCTTCTTTGCGATGCATTAAGTTCAGCCACTATTCACGGTTTGAGCTGTTGATAGTGGCGAGCAGGCGTAGGCAACCACAAGCAGCGCCAGAAGAGGCTGATTAGTGAAGAAGTCGACAGTGGGAGTACAGGTAAGTAACTTTTATTGGGGTTGACTATGCTGAAGCGATGCCGCTATGCCGGGCCCTGGAAACTGGATTCGAACTCCGAATAGAGGGACACATTCCCGACGCCCCACAAACCCACAATCTCGTAACCAACGCCCACAACTCCGTATCCTGAAAACAGGTCAGACGCCTATCACAATGAACCCTTAGACATCGACGTCCATCGTGTCCTTGTCCACCAGAGACTCCGCAGCAGCGCTGCCAGCCGCCTGCTCGCCTGACTCTTGACCGTTCTCTCCGGGATGAGCAGCCTTGGAACCATCGGTAATATTGCCTGGAATCTCCCCCTTATTTGCCTCGATAGCGTTTTCCTTCTCGGCGGTACCAGTCTTTGCGTGCTCCTCCACCGGAACCGAAGCCGCTGAGGGTCTAACCTTGCGAGGGCTGGTCAAATCGATTGCTTCTTGAGAGGTTGCGCCCGCACCAGTGTTATCACCCCGACGTCGACGCTTTGGGCCGGGGTCTGGAGCTTGGACTGCTGCTCGCTTGGTTGATATCGTGGGCGGGGCTTCATTCGGAGCTGCATGACCGCCCGGCGGCTGCGAACCTGGATTGGCTGCAGGGACATGTACCAAACCACGCATGGCAAGCTGAAGTTCCATATTCTGGAGTGCCAAACGTTCGAACCATAACGGCTTCGCAAGGTAATCCTCCTGCAATAGATCGATCATCACGTTCGCAGCGAGGCTCTTGAAGTGACGTACCAGTCTAGCGAAGACTGAAAGACGGTCCATGCAGGTCAAGCGCGCGTCCTCTTCTGATGGGTGGTGGTCCGGGTCCTTGAAGGGCAGACCGACTACGCCAAGGGAGTGAATACGGATTGCTTCCGCGACCACGAAATAGGCCCTGGCTTCGATATCTTGCGCCGTCCACACCCCATCTTGCCTGAATTTTTGAACCGCCCAAGGCTCATAGATCTCGTCCAGGGGGTGTCCGGTATCCGCGAGCGCACTCGCGATAGAAAGGACACAGGACGCCGCGTCGTTATCACTCATAGGAAGACCTTGGGTGCCGGAAATAGGTCTCCAATACGGCTTGTGTAGATGAGCTTCCGCCTGCTTGGAATCTTGGAAGAGCAGACGAGCCTGAGAGTTCTCGAGCGCGTGGAATCCGTGCTGACCACTGCCAAATTCACGGTTCGGTTGAGCTGGTTGAGCGCTTCCTGCCGCTGGAGACGCACGCAAGACGGAATGAGCAGAGGGCTGGACATCCGGAGCTGCCACCGAGGGTGCTGACTTCCGACTCCCGGATTCACGTGGACGATCATGTCTACGTGGGGCGGACTCCGGAGTGGTCTCTGCATTCTGCGCAGTTGCCGACGACTGCGAAGCGTGACTTGCTGGTGTTGGTACGGTGGCCGTCGCCCCGTCGCGCGGTTCGCCTGTCCAGCTGTCAGTTTTCAGTCCTTGGGATATACTTGGTGCCTTTGGCATGGACTTGCCCCCATTGGTCTTCGAGTTCTTGCCTCGAATTGTCGTCTCGCCTGTCGCGCGGTCAATTTTGCAGTTCACAGCGACCCACAACCGGCGGGGAGTAGGCGGAGAGGGGCATACCTGATACACCTGCGAGCTCCGCTCCAGGCTTGCTGCCCGTAGTGCTCGATTGCTTGCGCTTGATCTTGTCCGCCATGGTGGATTGAATCTGCCTAGTTCTGCTAGACGTTAGTGCTGTCCTGGGGTGGTGGTAGAAAGCGAGGCGGGGTGGTTATATAGGGAAAAAGCGCGACTGCAGGCACGGGCCCCTTCGTCTAGGAGTGAAGGGCGATGTGGCAAATTGCGGTGGGGTTGACGGGCTAGCCTTTCAAACTGACTATGGGAGCTGGAAAGAAGCTTCCCGGTAGGCTTTTGTTATTGTCTGGTGCTGCCTGTTATTCTGACTGTCCTATGTGGCATCCTCTTGCGGTAGGGAATTCTCCGAATTCAAGAGCTCGCAGCCAAAACAAAATTGCTCGTATAGCTAAGTATTATACGTGCTTTTGTACGCGTCTGTGAAGGCCTCCAGGGTGGCTTTTACGCGCGTCGTTATATCCGGAGAATTCCACACCATGAGGGGCATCACTAGATGCAATCCGGGCTTTTGTACTGCGTCTATCTTTATTCTGGATGTGCTAGAATATTAACTGTCAGCTACTCCAATGAGGGAGCATTCAGGTTCTCAAAGCTGCTGCCTGTCAGATGAAAAGTACAATAAAGACTTCTTCCAACTACTGTTGTGCCGCGATGTACAATAGGGGTGGTAGCGTTTAGCATGCATTGCACAAATTGCTCATCACTTGTAGGAAATACTTGAAAGCTAAAGATTGATACTTCTACAGTCCCACGTGGATGAGAGAATGTATAGGTATCCGTGCGTGAAATATAGCACCTGTGTCTACGGTTCGCTAGTCACGCGCAGGTATGTCTTCACCAACGCAGTCAAAGCTATCAAGTGTGTTGAATAATATCATTAATCTGCTACCTAGCTACAGACCGGGTTCTAGCCAAGACGGTGAACGCGGTGAGCCAGTAGCGTCTATCTCCCAATTCCCAGAATCCAATCCGTTACAGGACACCGTATTGAAGAAATGGACACCTCCATCAAGCCGTTGGCATCCCCAGTAGTCACCGTGAATATTGAAGTCAACCTCCCTGTAGCTCTCGTAGTGCACTCACACGCCGAGCAGCTCACTACGGTCAGAGTTACCCCTAATTTAGGGAATTCTCCGAAGATTGCCCCTAAAAAGACCCCTAATTTAGAGGCAGTTTTCGGAAAATTTCCCTAATTTAGGGATTGGCGAACCGTAGTGAGTGCCCATGCCACCGTCCTCAACCCTAGCGCTCTCAGCCTCGGCCCCGCTATCGTAGATGCTGTCTGGCTTGCCGCCGGTGGCGTCGGTCTCTTCAACCTTGATGCTCTTGTCTGCAGGAGAGGGTGTGGTCTTGCGTACCTGTGGCGCGGCGAATGCGCCAACCGGAGGTAGACCGGGGATGTTCTTGCCTGTGGCTACCATCTCTTCGAAATTGAGAGGTGGGATTGTGGTCTTGGTGGCCTTGGTCTTAGTCTTGGTCTTGAGTGGCGGGTTAGAAGTCGGCGATGGAGATGAGCTGGCGGACGAGATGACGATGGCTTCTTGAGGCGAGGATGCGGTAGCTGCGACAGGCTTGGCGGTGGAGACTTGGAGAGGAGCGGGGGGTGAGGACTGATGCTTTGCCAGGCGTTCGGCTTGATGGACTTGGTGGGATGAGAAGAGTGGCAATGAAGGCGTCGAGTTCGAACGAGCGGAGGTAGGGCCCGGAGGAGCTGTCGCAAGATTTGCTCGTGTAGGGGCACTGCTCTTCGTAGCCGGGTTGGTAGGCGGACCTGAAGCCTGACGTTTCGCAGGAGGGACAACCGGCCGTGAGGTAGCGCTGCGCTTCTTGGGTACGACGGGGGCCTTTGCAGTTGGAGCGGGTAAGGCTTGGGGTGGTGGAGTAGCACCAGCATTGAGGTTGCCTAGGAACTCCGAGGCAGCCTTGTACTTCTCCTGTGTCTTCCTACGGGTGTTGTTGTTGCGCTGGTTATTGTGGGTAATCTGCAGATGCTATTCATCAGCTGGTGCACGTCTTTTTCAAAGAGCGGTTTCTTACCCTGTAGTATGCGACAGGTCCCGCAACATACGCCATGATCTTCTCGTTCTTCATGATGTTCTCGCAGACGGACTTCCACTTCTATATTTCTTGTTAGAACCTAGGTAGGGAGAAGTTGCGGAGGGGACGGGATTGCTTACGGAGAAGAGCACGAGGAGAGCGTTGATGCGCTCATCGAATGTGAGCTCGGGGTTGATCTTATCGCGGAGCAAGCGGTCAAAAATGGGTTCGTGGAAGCCCTTCTCGTGGATCTTGATGGCGGCATCCTATCGTCTGTCAGCAAAATAGCACGCAGGTGTTTTCAATGAGCTACTCACCAGGACCTCCCGCGAGATGACTTCAACCTGCCAGCGCGGAAACATCGACGCCGAGCCCTCCACCCAGTGAGACGTCATGAGCGCGCTCCTCTCGTTGTCATGAACCCCATCGATGTTGAGAATAGCTTCCGTTAGGTAGAAGGTGATGACCACCTTGTCATGCTCATCCTGCGGCGGCTCAACCCTACCTTTGGGAGGTACAAACGAGATGAGGTAAGCGTTGGTGTAGATTCCATCGTCATTGGGCGAGAAGTCGTTTACCGACATCTTGGTGAACTTCCCATTTTCAACAGTGTTGGGGAAGTGATTGAAGATATTGTCGATGTCGATGTTGAAGATGACGGCTTGATCTTTCATCCAGCATGGCTTGGGGAACCTTTGTATCAGCTCAAGACGATGATCGTCCTGCTCCGGCTCTTGCTGGTGATCCAAGAGCGGCGAGATCTGACCCGCAAGCTGACCTGGAGCGTCATCCTGGGGTGATCCTTCGGGTGTGAGGGTGTGGTCATGATGGGATGTCTCTTGACGGGAAGCCGCAGTCACGGGCTGAGCTGGGGTAGAAGCTTGACGTGGTACCGGAGGCGGATATGAAGTCGCAGAGGGTAGCGGTGGAGCTCGCATTTGGGCTTGTTTATGCATCGCCGTGTAAACTCTAGCAGCGAAGTCGTACTCAATGCTGCCCTTTGGAAAGTGCACAAGAGTCCATACCTGCGCTTTCATTAGCAATGGTCTTGTGAACGCATACTAGGTAGCACAAGACACTCACGGCGTTCTGGGAGATATATTTGAAGTCAGGGACGACCTGGTCCGCCATCTCGAGGAAGGGGTTTGGTTACGAGCGGCTCAAGTGTTGACTGGCTTGGTTGTGGGGTTGGGCGCGTTGTTTTCCTCTCGCGGGAAGCGCGCGAACAGCCCAGGTCTAGTCATCATATACTTGTAGCAGACGCTGTTAGCGTCCTGTGAGGAGGGGCATCAATGGAAAGGGCATTCGAAGATTCCCTGGAGTCACCGGTCATTCAACAGCGGGGAGTGTGGCACATGAGAGGCGGTGAATGTCCTTCACTCAGTTCTATTCGGGCGACAGTAACCTAGATAATCCTTGACTTTAGCGTACCCCCACTCAAAGCGGCTTCAGCAACGGCACTCGCCTTCTTTCTTTTCCAGGGTAGTGCACTACTTTCTTTTCAAGTTTTGTGAAAGATTGGGCACTGACAGCCACAGTCACCGCATCCACGGCCATGGCGAAGTCAGAGCCTACAGATCCGAAGCCGCACGCGACGCTCGGCGAAGACCCGCTCCAAAACTCGTACCTCCCCGCCCACGGGCAGCTCTTTTTCGGCAGTGGTGACGACGCTGCCGCGGCAATCGACAAGGTCCAGTGGATGCCGGCGCAGGACGATAGCATCCCGCATACACTGGAAGCAGAGCAGGCGTACGTCGAGCAGCTGGTGGCGGCTTTCAAGAACTTGGAAGGCACCAACGAGGGGCCCGCCAGCCCGTATCGGCGCCGGTTCGCGGAAGGCTTCTACGAAGACTGGATGATAGAAGCTTGTGCCTGGGATATCCTCGTAAGCAATTCGCATTAGGTATCCTGATGTGCTTCAACCGCTTACTCACTTAACAGAAGATGGCCGAGTCAATCCACGGTGAGGGTTTCAAGGCCCGCATCTACGACAAGAACATCCTTCAATCGATCAAGCAAACCCGGGACTGGACTTTCGCGGAGCGCATTCAGACTCTCTGCAATGTCCTGAAGGTAAGTAATCTGGTCAACGCTATAACCTTTGAAGGCCTCCTAGAAGACTAATCCATATAGGTCTCCAAGGGCGTCGCCGTTACCCTGTTGAAGAACGAAAAGATGATGATCGCCATCGGAGCGCCGAACAAGCTCTTCACCTCAACGATTGCCAACCACGCTCACAACATGAAGCGAGATCGATGGATCAAGGAAGGCAGAGAGCGGGATGACGCTGCAAAGAGCCAGCGGGAACGATGGAGGAGATGGCAGAGGACGAAGGTAAGGTCATGGCTCTCTCTACTTACTTCCAGTCTAATCGGAGCTGTAGGATATCTCGATCATTCAAACATGATGGAGGAAGACAAGGAACCTACTGCATTTCTCCTTCCACAAATGGCAAAGAACAAGCGCGTCAAGACCGAGGGTATGAGATCAGAAGCATGGGATCCGGATGCCGACCCGCTCGTCCAGGGAGCCGCGAGTGTGAATACCGCATGTGTGCTGGGGATTCTCGATGCCCGCTCCAACGCCGAGAGCAACTGAAGACACACGGGCAGTCAGAGCGCCAAGCCTAGTCCTATTTGTACTTATCGATGCACCAAACTGTCAATCTGGCATTTTTTCTACCAGGGAGATCAGCAAGTTTGCTCTAAGGTTGCCAGCGTCTTACCACGGAAAATGTACAACAGCAAGGGCTTGGAGAGAATAATGCGACGTGTCCGATATGAGGGGACTGAACAATGGGATGAGGCGGTATAAATCAGATGATGAGATGGGTTCCGAAAGCTTGCGTGTCCAGCCGTCTCATGCATGAACCCTATCAAGGGAGAATGCCACTCTTCGTTCCAGTTTCGATCGTAGTCGTTCCAAAGCCCAGTCTCTTTCATGCTTCAGTTATGCGAGTTCATACTGCTGGTACTATTTAAAGACTCTTTATCTACGCGGCTTGTAAGCACCCTCTGAATTCCGCAATTGCGAGTCTACCTGTTCGACCGCACGCCCTACTCCGCCCACATCTCGAAACGGTCGTGAGCCGTTGCATCACCAAGACATCCAGTTCCATCAAGGCCGCGGCGGTCAAAGGTCGCAAAGATGATAGACAGACGTTCCGAAAAGTCGGTGACGCTGTTGACGCTGCAGGAGGTGAGGGGATCGTGTTTGTAGTGGCGGAATGCAGAGGTAGTGAGGGGCGAGTGCGCTAAACCTTGACGGCTGAGCTAGTCTAGTTTGCCCACGCCTCAAATCCAACCTCAACTCTTCTCTTCCTTTCTCCTTCTTCCTCCACCAAGCTTCCAGACCTCTCTTTTCCCCCCGAGCTTGTCTGCTATCGCTGCAGGATCCGTCGTCGCAGATTGTGTGATGATGGGTGCTGTTTGCATCCTGCGTTTTCGCGATGCGAACCCCCAACACTAGCTTGGGAGGCCGTCTCTCTAGGTAATCGGTCTCCTATGATCGGAGAGGGAGGGAACCTCATTCAGGGCCTTGTTGGGCGTAGCCTTGAATCGTGGACGCTCATTGGCAGGTGTTCAGCGATATCGGAAATCACAGGGCGTGATGGTATCGCTCACCAGGGAACAAGTGAATGCACGATCCGAACACGGAGGCAGCAAAGCTCGTCACCTTCTCACCCCCGTCTCTCGTCCTCGAAATCCTTCTCTTCTTCCGCCTGCTGTCTTCGACACTTCCGACTTTCCTTACCCCCAACACTATTTCCTGCTGCATGGCTCTCTGCGTACACAGCATGGGGAATTCTCTGTTCGCAGCTCTCAGCCGCAGTTCTCCGCGGAGGCTACAGTCAGCGAAGCAGCTTCCTATTATACTATTAGGCTGCCGCCCCTTCACGATACAACACGCTGCACGCCTCGCCTGCCTGCGCTTTTCCTGCGTAAAGTCAGTATCCCTGCATCACACCTTAGGCCTCAACTCACAACAACAATCAGTGGCTTCTATGGCATCAGAACGACCCTAGGCATCTAACAGGCGAACGTCGGCCTTGCGGATTCCCCCGAACTGGCATTCCAGCAGCCCAGCAGCCGGTCAAAACCCGCGCCCATGACAGAGCTGAAAGGTCGCTTCCATCCATCCGCATCACGTTAGAAGTGTCCTTTCGATGCACCGTTTAGCGTTGAGGGCGAAACGCTCGCTTATATGGTAAGCACGGGGATCGAAGTCTTTTGCCCCTCAAGAGAAAGTCGAGCCAAGCTGGTCGCTCCTGTACAAGACTGGTAGTGTTCACTTGGAATTCGATTACGCTCCACGTCGACTACCAATGCCGGATGTCGGTCAACGGAAGACAAGCTTGCCAATCTTATGTCCATCCTTCGAGCGTTTCCCCCTTTGGACTTCAGCTGATGCTTCTAGACTCATTTCATTTTCCGATTGTTCTCATCTCCCCTACGGTATATGTTGTGCTCAGACGAAGGCGTTCAGATGCCTTCTATCGTTCCAAGATGCCGACACCACCCCTCTGCCATGGTATGCGATCGGCTCCTCATGCGAATGGGTGTTGCATATCGCTGCAACGATGCTGCCGCCCCAGCACTTGTCGGTGGTTCCCGTTGGTCCCCGAGTATGATGGAAGCGAACGTACCGCCCTGCCGCCGATTGTGCTTTGAAGAGGAGGATGCTGGGACACCTGTGTCTGCTGTCAGCTCTGGATATTTGTCTGATTGCCCATGCCCGAATTCGACCGCAAGTCCAAAACGAAGCCCTTCCCTCCGAAGACTTATCCGACCCACAACTGTACGAGACCGGACTCTTACCTGTGGCCACCCCATATTGCGGCCTCACCATTCCCCTCTGCAAACTTGCTCAGAGAGCGTCAGAGAAGAAAGCTACCCGACTCCGGATACCACTTTCGGGCGCCCCATACGTGTACCATACGAACAGGAGCGTCCGTCCAAAGCCGACCGGGTGGGCACCAGGGCGGAGTGAAACGATTGCATCCGAGGCGGTGTGCACTTTGGCCGAAGAGGTGGGAATTGCTTGTGGGGCTCGCGCCGTTTGAACGGTTTGTTGCTAGCGCGACAATCCGGTATAAACGCGGAGGTCTAAGATAAACAATGCGATGCACGGCGCTCCCCTCGCCATGGAGGCCTGTATGAGAGTCTCGAAGTACGTCAGGAAGCTGGCCTCATGACCTCTGCCCCCGTCGTGCTTGGGAGAGGGCCAGGGTGAGGTGGTAGAAGCTCTGGGCCGGGCCTAATTGATGGTGACCGTCGAAACTTCGCGCGCTCCCCTTACGCCACGCCACTGCTGGTGAAAGCGAGCTCGTCAACTGGCGAGCGCACAAATGTGTGGCAAAAATCCTCCGTCACCCTGAGTTTCCCGTCTCTCCCACACCCAACCTCAATTGCTTCTCTCCTCTGTCTCTGAGCGAACCATCTACTTTCGCACCTCGCCAACGCGACTTTCGACGTTCCCAAGCTTCTTGTACGACTTTATCTCCTCCAACAGTTGTATCTGATCCAATTCGACTTGTCGGGTGATTGACCATGTCTCAACCTGCCGACAGTCCACGCTCCGGCGCTTCAGCTCGCGGTGCCAGTCCGTTCCAGTTCAATCCGCTCGCTCCTGAGTTTGTTGCTGGCCGTTTGGATACTCCTACCCTTTACCAGGGTGTGGATCCGTTCTCCAACTTCGAAGCAGCGGCGCCCCTGTATCCCATTACTGGCGGGGCGGACTACACCATCCCCGGCAATACTCAGGCTGACATGTACCCCATCTACGGCCAAGCAAGCCACATGTACGGTACCTCCAACTACTCCAACGTCTACGGCGGACGCGCCGACCTTCCCTTCGGCTTTGCCAACTTCAACGACGTCGACGGCTACCCATACCCCGGTGGCGTCAACCCTCGCTGCTCGGGTGAGCGTAGCACTCTATTTGAGCGCCAATCTCCCCCGGTCGATCCTGCTCTCATCTACGGAAACGTCTTCGGCGCTAACCGTGGTCCGGGTGGCGCTCGCAGCGCGGCCTCTGTCGCTGACGATGTGCGCCTCCACCATTTTCAGGAGGACCTTGGCCTGGCTGCTAGGATCGAAGGGCACGCCCCTACTCCAAACATGAGCGTCTCAGATGTTGGACAAATCACGTTTGGCCTTCGTGGTCACTCACCGTATGAGGAGAACGATATTGACGAGGATGCTGAAGGTGACAGCGAGCCGGAGGCACCTCAGACTGCCGGCCACAGCTCGCAAGTCAGCTCGCAGAACGTCCAACAGTCGACACCAGAGACGAGCCCCCAGTCTAGCTCACAGTCTGTTCAGCAGGCTACTCCGCAGGCCAGCCTTCACTTCGATACAATCGAAGCTGTCATTGCCGCTGATGCGAAGGTCGCCTGGCGCGCCCCGAGCGGCGATATCACCATCCCAGGGACACCGGAGGAGAGGCGCGCAGTCGTCCTGAAGCTTATCGAAGCTATCAAGAACAATATAGACTGCAAGGGCCAGACGAGCAAGGGCTTTACCCGCCGCTGGGTAGATAAGGACTATTATAACGACATTGACCTTGAGAAGCTGGCATGGCGCCTTCTCGTAAGCGATCTGGACAATGCAGTTTCGTTCTAAGCTAACTAGAAACAGCATAATATGCTCCAAATCCATGAGCACGGATGGACTACTCCGATCTACGACTACATGTTAGCGCGGAGCATCTTCCAGACGAAGGAGTGGATATTTCAGAACCGCTTGAACACTGTTATTGTGCTCCTCAAGGTATGTATTTCCTTTGGCTCGAGCGCGTCACTGACCCGAGCAACAGTATTCCAAGCGTACTTGCGACGACTTGATGAAGGACGAGAAGATGTGGTCGGTCGTAGGCGCCCCACACATGCTCGTGTCCCGCACCTCAAGCAACGACGCGTCCAACAAGCGCAAGGCCGTCCGCATCGCGTTCGCCACGGAGAACATGAAGCCGGAGGATGTCCCTGTTATCCCGCGCAACAATAAGACGACCTACGCCTCCAATCGCACAAAGCGTGCCCGCACTGAGAATGACGACGAGAGCAGCAAGTTCGTGACGTCCAAGACGCAGAAGAAGCAGAAGAAGCAAAAGAGGGTTGGCCGCGGAAAGCCGCGCAAGGCTAAGGACGACGGCGACTAGGTAAGCGAATCCGCACACGCGGCGCCACACCGTACCCCTTCTGACGCAACAGGTCACCTCGACTCTCCTCGGCGGCCACGTATTGCATTTCTGGAGTTCAATACCCCGGATTGACGGCGTTCTGGGTCGCTACGATTTTCATCAACGGTGAGTACCGATATGCGTGACTACAGCTGCCAAGCTGCCAAACTGCCTCTTTTCTTTCTTTCTTTCTTTCTTCCTTTCTTTCATTCTTTCGTCGATGGTCTGCGATAATGGGTGGGGTGGTTCGGAGTTATGGGTGGTGGTCATATGGTTTTCGAAAATTCGACAACGAGCTCGGAATGATGGATGGGTGGCGGACCAATGGTCTGCACAAGTTCATGATGATCTCGGAATGAAGAATGGATGCGGTATGGAATGGCATGGTTTCCGGTGGTTTATGGAGAGGTCGGCATGGTGGATGGTCATTGTGCGATTCTGGGGAGTTGATGGCATGCTCGGAATATGGTGTGGTGGATGGTTTCATGAAGACTTTCTGGCATGTGTATGCCTCGTATGAGTAGCGTATCTCGAATGCTACCTCATCCCCTATAGCCTCTTCCTACGCTTGCTATCTTCGTGACCTGTCTGTACCGGTACGCTAGGAGCATCGCCCATCTTCGACTTACTACCGGCCAGTATGCTACATGATGTCTCGAGTGCTATCTGTCTTTGCTCTACGATGCGGAGAGAGACATGGCCTCCTCCATCTAACCTCCAGACACGGGGAGCAGCGAGTTCACGGGCCTAGTCTCTGGACTCCCTGTCTAGGTCCGGACAGAAAACATGAGGTAATGCTTTACGACTTGCGCCGTAGTTCAACCCAAACGGTCCGTTCGTCTAGAAGCTTACTGAAGTATATCTATTCTATGAGATTGTCTCTTCCGAGCCGCGGGTATGCTGACGGCAGCGTCCTTCCTGAGCGGGCTCGTGCAGCAAGCGCATACAATCATGCAGATAGCCTGAGTGCGCCTGGCAATTGCCATCCGTTTTCTCTCGAGGCGCAGTTAGAGAAATCAACCAGGCTGCCCTCGTGATGTCGAAGGCTATTTGGTCAGCTGCGTCATGCCTGCATAGAGCTGTGGAAGCTTGGGGGAAGTGGCGAGCCCTTGTGACAGATAGACTGTGGCACATGAGAGATATCAGAGATGGAAGCTTAGGATATGCTCGAGGTCATTTAGACACTCTGCGTCTAGCTTGACATAGCAAACCTAGCGACTCGTGATCCTTGGAAGCTTTACCGTTTGCACTCACTGTCTTCGAGAATATAACTCGGGCTCTTTCCCCCTCCGATTCGAGGTCATAGAGCATCTTCCTGGGTTCTCTTCTTACTGCTGAGTGAAGCACAATTGCGGGGAGGATGGAGCGTTCTAGGGGTGTAGCCAGTTATCGCTTTCTTTCCCCTCCTTCTAACTCTTGAAATGGAGGTGACGTTGACGGCTAAGTGACGCCTGCTTATTTGCCGGAGTCGAATTCACCTTTGTTCCATTCAGTGCTCTTGGGTATATAATACAGACTCGCACCCACAAGTTATAGCTACTATCATCAGCAGCTTCCAAGTTCGATCGGCAACCTCCAGCGACTATAGCATCCGTCCGCCAGCAACTGCAACTCCTCAGCCATACCTATCACCCCTTGCGATCAAGATCCGTCAAGAGCGTCAAGATGTCCGGCAACCAGCAGAGCAACAACCCCAACCAACAGCAACCCGCACCGACCTGGGAATCCGCCTCGCTCGCCACCTTCCTACGTTCCTACTTCCCGCAAGGCAGCCGCGCAAACTATGACTTCGCCCGCGAGATCCAGCAAGCGCGCAGCATCCTCAACTGCATGGTAAGTCTCCAGCGCCCATTTCCACTTCCTCCCACCCCTCCTCTAACTTCCAACGCAGTACTACCTTGATCAGCAAGGCAGCCAAGCAATGCACCGCATCGTGCAGGAGATCCAAGACGCACCTCCAACAGGACAAGATGTGCCTCCTCGCTTTCAGAACACGCCGGAGAACATCCTAACGGTGACCCTGCTGCTGCTGTTCCATGCCGATCGCTTCGGCGGCTTCTATCTGCCGCCGTTGCCACAGGCGAGAATCGCTCGGGAGCAGACGCCACAGGGACGCATTACCGAGTACCCACGCTTCCCCCCACCGCCGTATGTATAGTTGTTTCTTCTTGTGATATATGAGACGCTAATGTTGGCAGGGGTGCTGCTCCACCGACTGGCTATACCCCGGGGCTATTCGCCGGTCAGCAAGGTCCAGGGGTTGGCGCTCAGCCGCCTCCTCTTACTCCCGGCCAGGCTGGATTCGGCCCCGGATGGGGTCCTCCTACCTACGACCAGCCCATACCACTACCTGGAAGTATGGCCGGTGCTGGCACAGGAGCTCTCGGTGGAGGTGTTGTTCCCCCTCGACCTCGAGACCCTTGGTCGCCGACTCTCGGTGGCCTCGGGGCCCCTGGCGATCGTGGAGGCCGTCAAGGTGGTGGACGCGCCCAAGGCCGTGGACGTGGTCATGATCGAGGTCGCGGTAGCGGCAGCGGCAGCGGTGGACGAGGACGGGGATGGTATGGTCGAGGTAGCGGACGCGGATGAAGAGGATTAAACAGTGACCTGACCGACGATGGACGAATGAGAACCAATCCATATATCTGGAAAGCGGGGAGAGCGGTCTCAATGATCTCTCTCAAAGGAAATCAATGCTGAGTCCGGAGACTTCAGACGGATCTTTTCACGTCTAGTGCCGTATACCTGATGAGAACTGTGAATTTCCTCGCTAGCCTTCAACCCCAAAAAATCTTCCCACCAAGTCTTTTCTGCCAAACCCACTTTCTTGTATACTAACCTCCGCCCGCTACCGTCTCCCCATTACCGCCTATCATCCCTCTGTGATCGTCAAGATCGTCAACCATGGACGACGACCTGAACTATATCGGCAGCAAATCAAAGGAGTTCCAGTCTCGCGAGCTGGACGCCTTCCATGAAGCGCTCGGCAACACTGAGCCACGATTCACCCAGACCTATTCTCCAATGTTCAGCTGCAAGTGGGCCAACGACGAGCTGATCCCGTTCCTGCGAAGAGCGTACGCCGGCAGGCCAGGAATCACCGACGATCGCGACTGGTGGGCGGATCTGCAAAAGGCGGAGTGGATCGAGCCGCAACACATGGTCGGACTGCAAGCTCCAGCGAAGGGTTGTAACTGACGGTATTAGCCTAACTACCCAATAGGCGATCCGATCTTCGTTGAGCGGCTGCGGCTGGCTCTCGTCTCGCCGGCTGCTGTACCTCGCCCGAGCCTAGTTGCGAATGTTGCCAACGACATGGAGCTCACTATCCGGCTGCTGATCCGTCGCTGCGTGCTACACGGTGGACCGTTCAGGCTTGCTTCGCTAGCGGACGGCGTGAGGCAGGAGCTTGCAGAAGATGTGAGAAGGGCGAATGAAGCGGACAAGAAGGTCACTGGGCTGTTTAGCGGCAGGTAGGATGCGGAGAAGCTAAAATCAGTAGATAATTCAAAGGAGGAGCCCAGTTGAGGCATCCAGGAGACTGACTCTATACTGGGTTCAGTTGTGAAAAGTTTGAATCATATCCCTTTGTTGTGTCAATGGCAGAATCAAAAAGGTGGCATATCTCGTTTCGCCTCCCTCTATGAAGTCCTTCCACCCCATTGATGCTTCATCAGAGACAGCAGAGCGCAGCATACCCAGTGATAACATCAGTAAGGTACAGACTCACCTCTTTTCACATGCGCTGAACGCGTAAATTTCACGGTAGGGTCGATACTTTCACCACCTGCGCGGGGCGGTAGCGCGCCGTAAAAGTCTCAAAGCCTTGTCGCGAAATTTCCTTCTCGACCCACCGTCCCACCGCAACCTCAACACCGTCCCGAAGCCAAGATGTCGCAGCGGGTGGACTATCATTGGGCGCAGCAAGAGCTGATACCCTTCCTGCAGTCCGTCTTCGAGTGGCGTCTCGGTAACCCCGGCAGGACGAAGGCGCAGTGGGAGGCCGACATTCGTCGTGCGGAGGGCCGTATCAACACCGTCGTAAGTATCTCTACGTGTCTCCTCCGTCTGTGCAGCCTTGTACTGACGTATCGCTTCAAGCGCGACTACGATGACAGCATCATCACAATCGACCGCATTCGCCTCGCATTCGCCAACCCGTCCGCTCTCACCGCCGCTGACCGCGTCCAAACTGACACCATCATCGACGATCTCGATCTCTGCCTCACGCTCTTCGTTCGACGCGCCATAAACCACGGCGCATACCGCCTCTGCAGTTTGGCCTCTGGGTTGAACCCCGCCGCAATGCAGGAGCGCGAGATCCTCCGCCAGAAGGGTGAGAAGGTACCGGACATCCGTCGGGATCTTGCGAGGTAAGTTGCTAGAGCACTTCTTCTCTCGAACTCTTGCTAATCAAATCCAGTGCTAATCGCGGTCGCGGTCGTACGTACACTCGCCGAGGCTCAACTCCAGTCAACCCCATCCATCTCTTCCAGGCCAGCCCCGGCGACTCCGGCTTCTATGGCAACACCACAGCTTCAGCCTCTGGCTTCCAAGAGCAAGCTACACGCGCGATTCCCATCGGCTCTGATCGGGTTGTCGTTCAAGACGGTGGTGGCGGATACCCTCAGAACTACGGCCAATGGGTTCTCGACCAGCGCACCGGCCAGTACGTGATGGGCGCAAACATGGCGCGACTCTCTTCTCCTCAACCTGGCCCCGTCGATGAGTACGATGTCGTTCAGGGTGTCAAGGCTTTGTCTCTTCGAGGTCAGCGAATCGGCTCCAAGCGCGCGATTCGGTCAACTCTTCGTGCGGACGCGCCGGAGTTCGTGCCTGGTAGGCTGTCTCATCCCATCCGCACCCTGCACTAACTCTGGCAACCTGTTACTCGGTCTTTCTGATGAAGCCAATCAAGCTGAAGTGCGGTTAGACCACGGTGGATGTTGACGCAGTATATTGGGTGTATGCCTCCGCCCCAACGGCGTTCGGATCTTGCTTTGCGAGGTCGTAGGCGTCTCCCGAAGGGTGTGGTTGGTGTCTTCATTTGGTTTGTCTCGTATAGGCAAAATGTAATACGCTTGTTGGCCACCTGAACAAGAAGATCATGCCATGCATGCTGGAGTGATGCCTGAGTTGATGTCCTTTCGGTTCGGAGGTGAAAATCCGCGAACGCGCTTTACCCCATGTGTACAAGTACAAGCTAAACCATTCTGGTCTAGCGCGCTGCACCATCCTTCTTGGCGACCCTTTGAACATCTCGTCAACCTGCAGATCCATCCGCTGCACCCAAGTGATGATTGTTCCATTCTTATTTCGAGAGCTCACTGCACCAGTACTTCGCCTGCTTCTGCTCTATAGCTCCCGCCCCAACAACTCAACAGCGAGCATCAAATCCAGCGCGACGTTTTAAATTCCAAGCACTCGCCGTTTGAAGGAATGCAGCCTCTTACGCAAGTGGATGCCCGCTACCCGCCGTAATGCATCCAAGCCGAGATCTCGCTAGCCCACCACCGTACACCATATGGAGGGTTTAGAACAGCAATATCTTTTGGGTCCATTGATCTGAGATGACAGGAGCTATTACGTCACTCGAAATATCTGCACAACAATGGCCGAAGGAAAGGATTCCGCCAGTGACATCCGTGAACGCGTATTCGGTCGGGCCAAGCTAAGCCACGTTCGGCACAGTACCGAGGTCCCCTTTTCCCCGAACATCTAACCTTTCTTTGTCCTTTGTTCTTCCCCCGTCCCAAGTAGGAAAAGCACTCCCCAACAACGTCAAATTCCGGCTTTTGCCAACACTCAATGCTGTTAGCTACCTCGAGATCCAGGCTATCCAGTCCGATCTTAATCCGAGGTGGACTGACTTTCCTGCTTCCGCGCCGTGCTATAACAACTCGCTTGCAGTAAGACAAAGACGTTTTCAGTTTCAACAGCGAGCCGACCGGACGAACATACCGGACTCCGACAAGGGCGACCATTCAATCCTCCCGGCCTGGCTTAGCTCTCGGACTTTACCCACCATGACGTTCGCGCACAATAGCTCAGGAGTTCTACCTCCGTACATGCGGACAGTTTCCATGGGACCGGGAGCGTCGGTGACTTTGAGTATTCCCTTCCATGGACAATAGCGACCAACAAATGACGTTTATTTCCGAGACGCAATGACCACGATGCTGGTAATTGCGGCAGGAGAAAAAAAAGCTTAGCATCCCTTCATCCTGCTTTCCCCGTGAGGTGGCGCCTTTGTCGACAATTTCTGCTATCTCTAGCGCACGTAACGCCCGGCCAACCCGCCGTTTCCAAGGTTTCCCACGTTTCCCATCTCTTCTAATGACTCAGCGGGTGCGGTCCGATGGCGCCGACACCGAGCCCCCTTGCCTGTAACGGACTCTTCCATTATTGTGGCTGCAGCAGTGGATCTTCGGCAGATAGAGCATTACGCGAGCCCGTACACCCCGTACGAATATATGAGGAAGCTTATAGGGGGCTTGCGACCCTGGAGACCCGACGGTCTGGTTCTCCTTCTTGTTTCCGCAAACGACTGGTCCGTGCGTTCATACAAACCCCAATCGAAAGCCATACTTCTACTATGCCAGCCACAACGTGAGTACTCAAAGGGGATCTGCGGTCTTCATATAGCTGATGGAGCATACAGTCGCGGTGTGAAACGTTGCTGCGCGGCGGCAGATGTTGGGAGCAATACTGACTCTCTATCCCGTCCTCGCAAGAACGCTAGAACTTCGATGAACTCAATACCATCAAAAAGTATATCTTACGAGAGCAAGCCGACGACATCAAAGTTCCTAGAGTTCCCTGCAGGTACGTGAGCTTTTTCCACACTCTGATACTCGCATGGCATCACTGGCAAAGCGACTAACATACCCGCTCAGAGATACGCAACCGTATCTACGACTTTGCCAAAGAGCAATCCTACGAAGGCTGGTGGAACCCCGTGCCCCTTCTATCCCGGCGGCAGTCCGACCAGTCCCCCAGCCCATGGCCAATCAAGCACCCTCACTCATCAGCCCGCAATTACTTCGGCCTCACCCAAGTCTGCAAGCAAATCCGCACCGAGTACCGGCCCCTCTGGATGCGCAACTCCTCCGTGCGCGTCAAGCTCGAAGCCCTCAGGCTCTGGATGTGGGTCTTCTACGCCGGCAAGCACCAGCACCAGAACGCGCCTCAGCTGCTGCAGATTTCCTGGGCCAACGAGGACGACAGCTCGTCCTCCGAACGCATGCTGGACCTCACGCCCTTGATACAGCTGCGCGCGCACCGCCCGACGTTCACGGTAGAATTTGTCGCCGACGCGCTTGTCGAAGGACTCGGACGGCCGCTCGTGAGCGGCGAACTCTGCAGCGTGTCTGGCGAGCCGCTGCTCACGCAGGAAGACCGGCAGGCCAAGTACGACGACTGGATCCTCATGCAGGAGGCCGAGCACAGCTATCTCCCTGCCTTGAACGAGTTCCTGGCCCACGACAACGCGCGTTGGCTCTCGCACATTCGCGACCACAAGGTGTGCCGCGTGAACTGCACTATCGACAGCTGGTTTTCTAAACCCACAGTGTTCATTCGCTTTCCGACGGACGGCATGCCGAAGGACGACGAGAACCAGGGCGAGGGGATCCGCGGCTACCTCAAGAAGGTGGGCATTTTGGATCTGCCAGCCTATCAGGAGCTCGGCGTTGAGGTGAGCTTTAAGGTGTAGTAACATGGGGTTCTAAAATTGAGAAAGAGATTTACAAGTTATCGAATACTATATCTCTGGCTTTGAAAAGTCTGCATAGAAGTGTGTTTTGGTTTGGAGGGTTGGAAGGACTGGCAAGATGACGGCTGCGGATTTCAAATGGAAGACACACAAGACGATTATCTGGGAATCTCAGCGGAGGATAATCAGGCTTTCTACTTCAGGGCTATGTATCTAGATTTTCAGGTCACTTTTGAGGTGGTATGAGCGAGCAGACTAGATTGACCGTGGATGAGGTGTGACCTCTTATGGGAAGTACAACGGGTGGCTTCAGGCTTTGGATTTCATGGCGGAATAAATTAGCCTGTCCTGCGAACATATGGCGAGTACAGACTTGAATGGAAACGCTTTGAATTTTATCTAACCACTATGCTTCATTGAACTTCCCGCAGCTTCTCTCAGACATTACAATGTGCCCCAGGGGAAATGAGAAGGGAAGGCAGATGAGCTCCCGACATCCGAAAATATTGGAAAGATGCTTGCTCCAGCCGTATAAATATTCTCAGTAGCTTATGATCCATCAATTCCGTCCCTTTGGTGAGTCACCCATGAAGGACATGGCGAACGTGAGGCCGAGAGAGCCCACTGCACGAACCTAGGACCCGATCGTCTGGCTGTTATACGAAGACTCCACCGTCGTAGTTGGGCTGATACGACTCTATCCCGAGAGCGTCGAGGGCAAAGCGGTGCCGTATGTGGGCCGGACGAGGGAAGTGTGGTTGGTGGTTGCGGGATAGGAAGCGGTCTCGTCGGAGCTCATGACTGACGAGGCCGTGGGAAGATAGACAGTCGCGGTGACCGTAGTGGAGTTTAGATAGGGCGGGATCGTGTTTGCCCAGCGAGGAGCTCTCGCGAGGAGGGAATTTGCAGCGGCCGGGGTGCCGCTGACAACGGAAGAAGCAGAAGTATGAAAGTGCGTAGGGGTTGAAGTGCCCAAGCCCAAGCAGGACGTTGTCGTGTTATGCCAAAGTGCGGAGGTGCGGCTGCTTGAATAGATGCCGCTGGAGACAGCAGAGGACAACGCAGGTTGGGAGGTTGTCTTTCCCGGGTCAGATATCGGAGAAGACACACAAGAGGTGATGTAGGTGGGGGTGATGGTCGGAAACGACTCAAGATTGCTGGGGGTGGTCGTGGTCTTTGTCAGAGAGGTGACCCCAGTACCCCGAGTCATCGACGTCGGCCAATGGTAGGTTGTGGAGATATTGGAAATAGTGGAGGTCGTGCCTGCCGAGGATCCGCTCGTGGGTGGGACGGTCTCACCGGTGCAGGAAGTAGTGGAAACGCTGCGGCTCATCAAGTGCGTAGACGTGAGAGTCGCGGTCGGAGCGGCCGTCGAGCTGAGAACAGTGATGGAGGCACTGAAGCCAGTCGAGAGACCGGACCCGAATGTCGAAGAGCTGTTCATAGTGCTCGGTAGCGTAGTGCAATTGCCAGACCTAGCCACGACGAAGGCAGCAGCAGGAAGGAAGCACTGAGTGAGCAGCGTGAGCTTCATGGTGCCCAGGTGAAGTCTCGCGTGGGCTTGAACGAAAGGAACGAGGTTAACGTGAGAACGACCTCGAGAACGTGGAGGACGCGTGAGTGAGTGGGTGGCAGAAGGAGAGAGCGTGGTGGAGAAAGGAAGAACTGCAGAGCGGGAGACGTTCTTATCTCGAAGGAAAATTTTCAACACCGTGGCTGCCCTTTACCGTCGCGCCTACCTCCGACGATCAGCAGACATGCAAGGTGCTCACTCCATAGATAAGAGACAGGCCCAAAAGGCAAGAGAAGGGGCCAGCACTGAAGGTAGAACGAGAGTGGGCGACGCCGACTTACGAGGCTAAAGCTAGCTATGTCAAACCGTACGGGGATACTTCAGGGACGGCTGGGAAACATGCAAACGCGTAAGGCATTCAACCACCGCGGCATGGCTTATGCGTGTGCATTGCGTCAGGAAAGAGTAAGCGGTAAGCAGTTGCACAGTGACTCCCAAGTCCAGTGAGGGAGGCACTCTGTACTTGGCAGTGACCTCCCGAAAGGCTGTGGGGAGTACTTGGTTGGCGATAGAGCGAGCGTCTCGTCAGAAAAAAAGCACCAGCAAGGGAAATAACAGCCGGCAAGCTATTCCAGTGCAATCAAAGCGGATTATAGAAGCGTAAAGAGACACGACTCCTGAGTCGACGGAAGACCAACCGAGGAGAAGGTGGTCACCGCTTAGAGAGGTATCGAGAGAGTTAGTGAACATTCGAAAGCCGCCTCCTCGCTCCGATCCAGAAGAAACAAGCTGAGCCTCCTGAGATAATGTTGATCGTCAGGTGTCTGTGGTAATGGAGAGGTGGTCTCTGCCAATGTTTCTCTACGTCTTACTCGCGCTAACCGCAGCTAGCCTAGCGCATATCGGCGATTTGTTGAAGCGAGCGCCGGCGCACAACACCAAATCGCTTGACATTTTCGAGACTTCATCGCCAAACGACAATTTGCGACGACGCACCCGAACCACCCCACGAATCTTACCACGAGATAATCAGTCAAAATGTCCAAGCGCGGGTACGTCTTCTACGATTTCGAATCCTTGGATCGCTCCCGGCGCCGAAGCTACACTCCGCATACAATTACGGCGACAGCGACGGCGAAGGCGGCGGCGAGGATCCAACGTTCCCTTCTGACGATCCACTCAATTGAACACATGAGCTGACATGCTACAGTCGCGGTGGAGCCTCTGGTAACAAGCTCAAGATGACCCTGGGTCTGCCCGTCGGTGTACGTCTCGATCCCCAACCTCTACGATTCCATCCCCGCACCGATCGCGAACTTGTTTTCCATGGTGCCGCAAGATATAAGGAATACAAGGAAATGGCTAATTGGGGCACAGGCTGTGATGAACTGCTGCGATAACTCGGGAGCCCGAAATCTCTACATCATCTCGGTCAAGGGTATCGGCGCGCGTCTGAACCGCCTTCCGGCCGCCGGCGTCGGCGACATGGTGATGGCGACCGTCAAGAAGGGAAAGCCGGAGCTGAGGAAGAAGGTTATGCCCGCGGTTGTCGTCCGACAGAGCAAGCCGTGGAGGAGGGCAGATGGCGTGTACCTCTACTTCGAGGATAATGCTGGTGTGGTGAGTGAAGGACTATACGAACGCAGCATTTGGATCGAAGACTGATGATCTATAGATCGTCAACCCCAAGGGAGAAATGAAGGGCTCCGCTATTACTGGTCCTGTCGGAAAGGAAGCTGCCGAGCTCTGGCCGGTAAGTCGAATTGACATCTGCAAGCAAGCATTTCAGCTAATCGGTTTCCTAGCGTATCGCGAGCAACTCCGGCGTGGTGATGTGAGATGTTTCTTTTCCGGCTCTTCGACATTCATGGGTTCACGGAACGGCGAAATGCATTCATGGGGTGACGGCTTTGGACATAGTCATTGCACACAGCTAGCAATGTGATGATCCTTACAAAAGCAATCATGCCGTCCGAGAAAATTATCAGTGAATGACAAGCTATCAATGGACGCTTCGGGGCTACACACTAGTTCGTTGAGGTGATAGACGGAAAAGTATCCCATGCACAATCCGAGCACCATATCACACTTCGGGGGCTTTCACAATATTGACTGCTCTAGGCCTATGCTAGCGGGATCCCTTCCGCAATGACGGGTATTTACTTTTCTCAAACAACCCCAGCGTCAGCTTTGATCAACTCCGCAGCACCTTCGCCAATGCCATAAGCCACCATTTGCGTATGCCCATTATTGAGGATAGGGATCGAGGACACATCGGCAACACGCAGGTTCTTGACGCCTCTCACGCGCAAACGGGAGTCAAGCACCGCGTCTTTGTCCTCAGGCTTACCCATGGCGCATGTACCAGACGCATGATAGCCTATTCCAGGCGACATGGTTAGCAACCAGGAATTCTTCGCGGAGAGACGAATGCCACTTACAAGTCGTACCATGCTCCCTCACATAGCCCTCCCACTGCTCCCTCGTCTCATACGTATGGTGCTTCAAATGCGGCGGCCAGCTCCCCTTGACCACATCCCGCGTCCCCTTCCCCTTGACCGCAATCTCGTTCGCAAGCCGGCACGCCTCGCTCATGACCAGCATGTCCAGCGGATCATCGAGGTACTTGTGATCCACGACGGGGTTCTCGCGGCAGTCCTTGCTCTTCAGCGTCACGCTGCCGCGCGACCGCTGGCTGAACAGCAGCGGGCACATGGCGAAGGCGTGCTGGCCGTCGGTCGGGAAGTCGGTCAGCTGCTTGGGGCCGCCGTAGAGCTCGGTGTTCCAGATCTCGGCGTGCGGTTGCGCGGCGGAGAGGTGCATGGCGTCTCGACCGGGCGGGTGCGGGGCGCTGGTCCACAGCGGCGAGTCCTGCAGGCGGTCTGAGAGGCGCGAGTAGGCGAACATGCCGAAGGGGAAGGTGGAGAGGAGCCCCGTTTTGGTGTCTTTGTACAGCTTGTATGTGCTGGCTGCGCTGGTGCCGTGGTAGACTTGCGCGTCGAGGGTTAGGTCTGGCCGGCTCACTTCGTAGAATATGAAGCAGAGCACGTGGTCCTGCAGGTTCTTGCCGACGCCGGGGAGGTCGACTTGGCATTCGATTCCGTGTTTTTGGAGCTCGGATTTGGGACCGATGCCCGAGCGCAGGAGGATGGGGGGACTGCAGTAGGCGCCTGCGCTGAGGATGACTTCTTTGCGGGCTTTGTAGGAGACCTGGGCGCCTTCTTTGGAGAGGGCTAGGACGCCTGTGGCGGTGAGCTCGCCGTCGTCGGCTTTTGAGAGGATCACTTTGTCGACTGTGACGTCGGTCTTGATGGTGATGTTCTCGCGTCGGAAGCCCTTGGTGATGAAGTCCGCGGCGGTGGATCGAATTCCCTGGTGGATCGTGCGCATTACGTGGCCGCATCCATGGGGCGTCTCTCCGGTGGTGAACATGTCTGGGACGAACGGGAGGCCGCGGTCGATCATTGATTCTTTGACGAGCTCGGAGATGGGCGGGAGGTCGTGGGGTGCGATGTGCAGAGGGCCTGAGGTGCCGTGGACGGATTTGTCTTCTTGGAACCAGGGTTTGGGGTGGAAGGTCTCTGCCTACTCGTTCATCAGTACAGTACATGCTACGCTGCCTGTTCGGGGTTGAGGATTGGCAGGAAGAAAGAAAGAAAGAATACCTTTGCCATGTATCCCCACATCTTCTCCCCCGTCCACTCCTCAAGCCCCCAATCATCATAATCCGTCTTCAACCCTCTGATACAAAGCGTGCCATTCACGCCACTCGAGCCACCGAGGAACCGTCCTCGACTGTGCTTGACAGACCTGTCATTGAGAGCGGATTGCGGCTCGCCGATAATATTCCTTATAGCGCCAACATTAGTCAAAGTCCAAAAGAAGGAGTATCATACAAAAGCACAAAAGACGTCTTCCGGGCGGCTTCCGGATGACTGCTTGAAAGACGTGTTGCCAGGGCTGAAATCCGAAGATAAGGTTTCTACGTACCAGTCGGTTTCGCTGTCAAAGTTTGCGCTCCATCCGCCGGGCATGTGCACGTTTTCGAGGTCGGCATGGTCGGGCCCGGCTTCTAGGACGAGGATGGAGGTGTTAGGGATTTCGGCGAGGCGGCCGGCGATCACGCAGCCTGAGGTGCCTCCTCTGGAATTTGCGTTAGAGCCAGGGACGCATAGCGGTGGAAGAAGAAAAGGCGTACCCGCAGATGATGTAGTCGTATGTCTCCTCCTGCTCAACGCGTGCTGGTGTCATGATCGCCCTGTCGTCGTCCAGAAACCAGACTTTTTCTTATTAAAGTCTTCCGCACGAGAAAATAAATCTGACTTCTACTTATACCACAGTACATCGGTCGGCCCGTATGATGACGGGTGGCACCGCAGGCTTAGGAATCACAAATCCCCAGTAGAATCACGAGGTGGGACATCCTCGGTGTTCTGAGAATCGTACGCCCTGCCCCTCACCTGCAGCTGCAAGCTTTGGTCTTACCCTGATTGAGTCCCGAGGTCATCGGAAGGTGTCCTACAATATTGGCATCCTGGGAACGTGCTTACGTTCCATCAGCAGCTTCCAAAATAGGGAGCTATGCGAAGGGTTGTCGTCTAAGGACTTGATAAAGCTCCTCGCGAACATGGGCCGTCGGCATGAAAACGTCAGCTTTCTTAGCTCGTCAGCCTTGAGCTACGATCATGTTACTTGACGGAGAAAAGCGCTGACTTTTGGTGGCATAAGCCCTCGTCTTGGTGTTTCGAGAAGTCGGTTGAAGGGGTCACTACGCGGAGATGAGGAGTGGGCAAGAACTACCGGGGCGGGGTAGCTAGCGGGGCGCGGGGGGCAGCTGCAGCCGAACCGCTACACGCTCTCTCACCTTTTCCGCCCCAATCCAGCTTCATCTCCTCGCATTTCTATATCGCCCGATGCCACCAAGACGACTTCTTCGATCAATGTAACGAATTGGCGAATGTGTCGAGATTAAAAATATCCTCCCTCGGAGAGCGGCGAGACACAATTCTGCCAAGAACGCCTCCGAAACAGCGCCGCCTCCAAAGCTTCGTCCTCAGACCTTCCATGTGCCATCGACAGAACATCAAACCAATACAGCGAAATGCCACCAACGGCGGCTAAGAGCCGCAAAATGTCAAGCTCAATTGAGCATGGCAAGCTTTTGGAGTGTTTGCATAGATAGGCTTGGCTACCTCGCGGCGTTTGAGCGGAGTACTACCGAGAGAGGTGGAGGCTACTCTCCGCTTCTACTTCTTCTATCCTCCTCTCTGCTCTATTTCTCTCCCGTCCTTGCGCTCGCTGTGGTGTTGGGGTCCTTTTGAGTTGAACTTCGGCCGGTCCGGCTTCTGTCTCTTCGCTTCTTGTCCATAATTTCTATTCCGTGCTGTGCACCGCTCTTCCCTTTTTCTTTCACGATGTACATAGTAGCATTTGCTTCCCTCATCGCTCTCGCAGCATGCGCTCCCCAGCGAGGAGGAGGGAGAGGACGACAGACTGCCCAACAGCAAGCAGCACAGATCCCGCAAGGTATTAGCCAAGCTACCGATGGCTCGATGATCCTCGATGACACTGTCAACGTCAATGGACTGCCCATTCGCTTCCGCATTGCAGCGCCAGCAGATCAGTTCATGGCAGCTTCAGGAGTTCCGGGAGCAGCAGCTACAAGCCCGAATGGAACGATGGGTTCGTGGATCCGATCCTTGCCAGCAGCTCGTCTAATGTACATCTAGGTGCGAATGTGCTCCTCCACGGCGACGGCGGCCAGTCTTTCTTCGACTTCCCCAACCAAGCTGTGCAAGCCAACACCATGGGCGTCGCGCTCCTTGCCCCAGACCCAAATCTCTTCTGGGGAGGCGGTCAAGGACTCCAACGCACTGACGGCGTCGCACACGCCCAAGCGGTCAACGACTTCATCCAGACCGAAATGCCTCAGCGCGTGGCCTTCAACAACCAGGCCGTCGTGTTCACCGGCGTCTCGGGGGGCAGCCTGCTCATGAGCGGTTTCTTCATCCCAGCTCAGATGCAGAACTTCCCGAACAGCGCTGTAGAACTGAACTGCGGAGGCATGCCCCCTCAGGTCGACTTCGCGAGTGCCGCGCAAGTCATGCCACAGACACGCATCCACTTCCAAAGCACGCAGAGTGAACTGCAGTTGCTTCAAGGCAGTATCCCGCAGGCTGTAACCGCATATGAGCAGCTCGCCGCCCAATCAGGTCTCACTGCCGATCAAATCAACACCTTGCAGACTGTCGACAACACACCAGCCGGCGGGCACTGCGAGTTCGACGGCCAGGACTTCGTGTCCGGCGTGCAGACCATGTTGACCAGCTACTCGAACGTGGTCCAGGGCGGCAATGGTATTGTACAGGGGCTGGGCGCGCCGAGCAATGGCCAAGTCACCACGGGCGTGGTCGGCAATGAGAACTTGCAGTTTGTGGGTGGCCAGAAGAGGGAGCTTGAAAGTATGGTTGTAAAGAGATGGGCGCAGGATCTCGAATAGGACGGGAATATGGCTCCACGGGCGGGCGTAATCGCATCTCTTGTTGAGAACGGGCAGGGCGGCCGGTAAAGGGGGCACAGCTACATGCGTAACGATTATGAGATCTGTTCAGTCATACTCATGTTCATTCTACCTCACGTTCCAACTTCCCTGCGCACGTTGACGTGGTGGCTAACAAGCTCCGAAAGGTGTAGATGCCTCAATCAAGACGCCCTGGTGCATGTGAAATCTACCATCGCTTTTCTAGACATAACTACACCGTCCTTCCCCATGCGCCAATGCCAGAACCCAACCCCTTTTACTCCCTATATCGCAATCTGCTCCAGCCAAACTTGCTTATCCACTTGTCCAGCCTCTCCTACCATAACTACACCCCCACTAATTCACAATTAACCGCCGCAATGCCGCTCACAACATACAGATCTACGATCCGCACATGTCAAAACCCCAGCCCAAGTAATCGCTAACAATATACTTAGGCGCGGGGGCTCGAAGCGCCTCGCCGGCGACGTGCCTACTCGTGACGGAGTCGCAATCACAAGTCGTCGCGCGAAGGAGGGAAGGACCTGCGATTTGAGCTAGGCGCCAAGCTTCGATGAGCGAGGAGAGGCTAGTCGGGTAAGTAGGTTTCCCATCATCAGGGTTTCGGAGCATTTTTCCTCAGTACGGCTCGTGCGCGGATTCTTGCGGCCGGTAGATGCAGATGGCATCAGCGAGGCCGCTGTCTTTTGAAGATGCTGGGGGCTAAGCATCTAGCTAACTATATTAGAGGTACGTAAGGTGAAAGGGGGATTTTAGTACGAGTATTGATGTGTTGGCGGGTATATAAGGCGTCATAACTGAATGAGCAGAAGGATTGATCCTTTTGCTCCTGAAATGATGAAATATCAGGACTAGAAAGTGAGACAGTAGTTGATGGATCCGGTGAGCATGCCCAAGTTAGACGATGGTAAGGCTTTCAAATGCATAGAAGTCTGTCGCAGAGACGCCTCATCTATTACTATTTTTTGTTCCAGTCACTAGGCCCTTTCGGACCGATGCATCTTCGCTCATTTTGGCTACTGCTCCATGGCTCTTATTACTCCCCCACAAATAACATGTGCCAGAGACCAGAGGACACACGAAAAGGATTTCGCTTGGTGCTGAGATGGCAATGGCAGGAGCGTGGTCTTGTCTTATCCTCGTTTCCCGGCCCCATATACCCGCCGTCGAGCAAAGACCGCAACTCTGGTTCGCTCTTTGGTCTACAATCATGTTGTCTCAATCCGAAGAACCCGCCTCAAGCCCTCCCCACCCAACTCACTCACTCAGTCGCTCTTCCCCGCAACTCCATACCCCGAAACCCTCACATACGGCGCCGGAATGCCCACCTGCCCATCCCCCGCCTCTCTATTCCCCGCCATCAGCCCGCCATCCACCCACCCGTGGCTCCCCAGCGTAAAACGCTGCCTCCCCACGCTGCTCACCCACGCCTTCGTCTCCACAGGGATCGCCTGGCCATAGCCCGCCTGCTGCGCGGTCAGAAACCTGCCCGCAGACGTGTGGTCGAGGAACAAGCGCATGTGCGAGGGGCCAGCGGAGCCGAAGAGCATCAGGCCGGATGTCGTGAGGAGGATGGATGCGGTGACGAGGAGCGTGAGGAAGGCGGGGATGCCGTAGGCATAGCGGTAGCGGACGCGGCGCTCGTAGGTCGTTATTGTCGGCGTGTCCGTACCGGCTGCGGGACTGGCGTCTCGTTTGCGGAGCGGCGTGTCGTCCGCGGGATGTAGGCCGCGGGTCCCAAGCACCATGTTCGCGGCGATGTCCGTCCATATCAGACTGAGGATCCGACCGGCGGAGGTGGCGTTGCGCGAGAGGTCTTGCCAGAGACGATACATGGCGAGGTTCGAGCTGCCCGAGTAATCGATATCTCCCGTTGCCGAGATGGCAGGGATGCTGAACACCTTACTGAGCGCCTGCGAAGCAAAGTCCTGACCCGGCAGATTCTGCGTCAGCATGCCGCCTCCCAGGGCGGATCCGTAGCCCGGGAGGTACAAAGACTCCTTGCGCAGCGTGGACAGATTGAGGGTCGCTGCGCTCTCAGGGGTGACAAGGCCCCACAAGGGCACAACGTCTGTAAGGTTGAGATCGTAGTGCTCGACGCCCCACAGAGGTTTTGAAGCTTCGTCTGGGTAGGTTTTGTCCTGGACGTTTGTCACTGATAAGCCGGATACGTCGTCGGAGCCGTTGAAGCGGAAAGAGACGGTTTTGATGCTAGCTTTTGCGGTAGAGATGCAAGAGTACATTGGGAGAGTCCATGAAGAGCCCGGGTCGAAGAGTAAGGAAAGACTACCGTCTTCTCGGCGCGGGGCGCCGTACAAAGTGCCACACAGGGCCACCGTATTCGTATAGTTTGCGTAGTCTCTGCCTCCCGAGCCAGAGCAAAGCGTTACTGGATGCATGTGAGATATAGTCGTAGCAAGGTTGATATGGGGAGAGTCAACTTACGAGCATCAAAGAAGCCCTGACTGATGTCCATATTGTAAGGATTGGGGTAGAGCGGGGGCTCGGATGGAAAGTCGTACGTCGTGTTGGACGTTGCTGAATAATTAGACAGTCCCTCTGTTCCCTGGAGATATTCGCCGTAGGCGGACGAGGCCTTGAGTGTGCTCGGTTCTATCACGAGGTTCGTGGCTGTTGTCCCGTCCTCTTTGTGGAGGCGAAACCGCCTTCCTATGCTGGAATTCAGATATTGGAATGCCTTAACACCAGTGGTCTCGTTGGAAGGGTTGGTGACGTTCATGTAGGCCATCGTGATGGCATTATTAAGCCATGCAGCCTTATAAGCGCGCTGCCATAGATCGGGTCGCTCCTGCACGTTTTCCTTCTCCCATCGCGGGTATGTGTGGTTGATGTTGACGAAACCTCCTCTGTCCGTGAGCACCAGATTTGAGATGCCGCTCAAATCCATCATACTCTCTTCTGTGGTGGAGACGATGAAATCCAATGTGAGGTTTGTGTCGACACAGACAGTTTCAGGCTCAACGAACAGGAGGTCCTCCGTCCAAGTGCTTCCGTAGGGCCGCCACGCTGGAGCACTGTGATTCCGGAACCCGATGCCGCCGTTCTTCATATCGACAACGAGCCCTTCAACCGGCTGTATCGCATCGCTCAAGAGCAGACTGGATAGCGGACGATACGAGCCAATGGATTGCGCCGTTCCATTGTCGATTATGACGTAGTCGGGGATCCTAGGTTTCTTTGCCTTCGTTGACGAGCGATATTGGATATCAAAGAAGCTGGATACGGATCCGCTGAACATAGATAACCCGCTCTGAAACACTTCCACGACATGGCTTGGTATATGAGAATCGTACCAATCGGCGTGGACATATGTACCCGAAGCATTTGTGAACTGCGTTATATCGCTTTGAGTGTTCGGGCAGGCGACCGGGAAAAAGCCCCCACAGATCCGACTCCACGTCATATTTGTACGAGGTGGTGTACCCAGACCCATCGGCGAGATATCCTGTACATAGTGGAACGGTTCCGACTTTGGGTCATCTCTACTTGCTATGCTCTCGTATAAGCCGAGCGGTGTGACGATTGCGGTGACTGCTATCAGAGCGGTAGTCAATGCGCCGAAGAAGCTAATTGATGCGATAGACTTCGACGTTGACAGAGTCGCTACTGAATCCGTTTGGAGAAAGTGAGGCCAGAGCGATGAGTGGAGAGAACGGCCAATGACCGACCTAGGGAAGATGGTCAGAGCACACTCCTAATGCTATAGTTCATGACCTCACCAAGAGACTGCAGTAGCGGTGACATTGGAGGATCTCAGACGGAGGGCTCCGAGCAGGATTATGGGCAGTGCAATGGGGATGACAATTTGGACTGAATGGAGAACCCATGTAAGCAGAGACACGTGAAAGGCGAAATGAGCGGCCACGGAAAGAGCACATACGGAAGAAGACAGCCGCGGCGATCATGCCAGATACTTGGCCAACGGAAAGATCTTGGAGTCCAATCATCTTATCGGATGGGATGGAAATGGTTCATGAAGGACGTTAGACCATGCCGAGAGCGTGAGCACTGCTTCCTGAACCACGACATGAACGCGACATATATCATTCACGCGCGGAAACCTGTGGCGAAACGCAAGGAGTCTAGCATGGCCGACGAAAAAAGAACATCGAGCTTGGCATCGCGGGTGTCAGGTTAGAGATCTAGGATGCCGTTGGGTGAATTAACTTTCAGCCTCGTATAATCCCCGCCTCGTATTCGAATGCGAGGCTTGAGTGGTCTTCCCCGCGGAAAGCTCGCGCCATCCGTGGTTTTGCGCCGTCTCATTGGGCAGTCCGATCTAGGTGCTTTATCAGTTCGTTGTCGTCGACCCATTTCCTGAGCCTCACCGGAAAGCCAAGTGCGGCATCCTGTACTGTGTGGTGCAAGAACAATTGCCAGGGGTCGTTTAGGGGTTCTCACGACTGGAATACGGAAGTACGTCCTTGTGACCCATGAAGGTCTTTAGCCCTCCTTCCACCCAAGATGAGTACTGTTGAACGGACACTCATGTACAAGTGGACTACTATCCCGCTACCCTAGCTCAGCTTCCTGACGTCGAGGCGATGAAACTAGCGGTACGAATGAGCAACCTGACACCGGTCGAACGGAGATGGAGTGGAATAAAAATATCATGAAGTCGATTTGCACCTAGATGAATCTTCCGCTCACTGGGCAAAGGTGATGCAAGTATGTACCCGGAACAGTGTTGGTGACCGAAGGGCCTGTGTTTCTCACAACGCGCCGAGCCCAATCGTTTGTAATACCCTCGCAAGGTCAACCTCCACAATCTTGTCCCAGCCTCGCTCAGAACCCCAGACTATACGCTTGTTGTTGGCCTTGACTTCGTCAATCAAGCCCTGCAAGAGAGAGGATCTCTTAGACACGGACGGGTACGCATCGAATTCGACGTCGGCAAGCGAGGGAAGCTGCGCAAGCAAGCTCCTCACAAGGGCTACGCTGAACTGTGTGTAGAAGTTGTCTCCTTCGCCGAAGCCCTCGAAACTGGGATGCGACGTGGGATCGAATTCCACGAAGATCTTCAACAGGTGAGTCTTGGTCGCCTCTTGGAGTCCGAGCCGCCCATCAGCTATCCAGCTCCTCGGCGGCTTGGTCCAACCCGGTCCTAGCCGCAGCTCCAACTTCCTTATCACCGCGCGATATCGCGTTGGCAGACGCGCGAGCAACGGCGCTTTCGTGTGGAAGCGGCCGTGGATGGGGAACACTCGGAACGTGTTGCGCGAGTAGAAAACGCGGGATGCTTCATCGTGCATGCGGCGATTCACGAGGAAGAGGCGCAGGAAGGGCACGACGCTGCGCGCGTTCGTCGGGTCGAGGTCGATGGTCTTGCGGAATATGAGGATGAGCTCGTAGATGCGGTAACGGACGTCATAGGGCAGATCGAAGAATCGGAAGGGCTGAACAGCGACATCTGCTGCTGCGATATCCATCGTGCCCATGCGCTCGACGAGGTCGTCCATGGCCTTGTGCATCGTGGTGGTCATTGTCAGAGCCATGGCCATCGTTACGATTGCTCGCTCTAAAGCGAGCGCTGTCGCTTTAGAGGCGCCTATGCATCCATCGCGCCGGCGGCCACGGATCGTTTAATATACAGTGAAGAGGAGGGTGTCACGCGATCAATCAGAACGAGGCGGAGCCGTACAAACGGAGCAGGAAAAGATGTCTCGGAGCCACGGGACCGGCCGCTCACGGGGGAGGAGTGGCAGTTCTTGAAAGCTAGGATGTTTGGTCTCCCCAGATTAATACAGCCAGGAGCCCATAAAGAGGTGAGTTTCCAAGCCAAATTTCCTGGGTGTTCAACTTTCATGAAGGACAAGAAGAGGCGGCTGGTGCGGAGAAGAGATTTAGCCGAGGCGGGTTGCGCGTGACTAAGCGATTACTCAGCGTTCGCGGACGCCTAAGCCCTCCTTCCTCGTCACTCCCAAACACCATCTCTTTCTTATTAGCAACGCAGAGCTCACTCATCTCTAGTGTCATCCAATGCTGTTCTTCCAGAGTCCAAGCTGCAGCTGACATGGGCAGCTTGAACAGAACAGCACAGCTCTCTCTTTCAACGGTAGGCTATTTCGCAGCCTGTCTATCTCGTTCTGTCCGTGCAGTACCGCATTTCCCCCTCTCGCTTCTCATTTCTTGTAGCTTGCGCCATGGTTTGTGTCCTTCTCTTCACGGTTGAACCTGCAGGGGGGCGTCGTCGAAGAAGATAAGAGCTCGGAAGCTGCTGAAAGCAACGGACGAGCTGGGCCTCCTGGGTGGTATGTACGCCGACTGAGTAGAGATGAAAAGGTTGCGAATCAGGCTTCGGTGCTTCCGCTTTTCGCCAGCTCGTCCGCTCGACGGGACCAAAGATCGAGGGCGGGGCCGTCGCCGAGACTGCACCGTCAATATTTCTGCAAGCCTGCATCTTCAGAAACCCTGAAATGGCCGTCCCTCGCCGTCACGGAGATTTCTGGCTTTCTTGGCGGACTCGGCCAGATTCAGCCCTACCCCTTCCGCCGCACTGTCATTTTCCTGTCTTGGTTCAGCTCGTCTATTCCAACATCGCCCATAGGAGCGTCTCGGGAACCACAACGTGGTCATAAACAGCCATCAGTTCTTCCACACTTTCAGGTTCCCCATTTTCAGCATTTGCAAACTCCACTGCTTTTTCCGTGGCGATGGAGCTAGATAAGCGAATTGTGCTTTGTAGGGATCCTTAATGAGCGCACCGGTCGCGAAAGGTTCTGGACAAGAGATCTCAACGCGGGCGCAGTTCCATTCTTTTACGGCTTATAGCCACCCGGCCCCGTATAGTATCGAACATCAGCTCGAGCGCGAGGATGATGAACTCCCTTGTCGTGTGCCTTTTGTCGTTCCTTACGACCGCTCTCAGTCAAGTTACCGACCAGGTGACTCAGCGCATCCATCAAGTACGTCAGACTCCGGTATAAAATCCGTCTCTCCGCCAAAGAATCCGTTGTCAAAGAGGTCCACGAGAGGCCGGCTCGGATACGGAAGTACTTGACGCGGACGAACCTACCCTCACACATCGAGACCTACGCTGACCATGTCCCCTACTCGAAGGTACGAGAACGCCTACAGCCTTCTTCCTGGATGTATTAATCAATGTGTGTGGGACGTTGGCGATGACGATACACCTGAAATTGGCGGCGATATCGCTATCCATCTGAGCTGCTCAGCGCCCTAGATCAACTAATGTTACTGTCGGCTCTAGTCAGCCGCATACGCTCACTCGTTCATCACCTCATGTGCGACTTACCTCTGCACCCGGCGCAGTCTGACATCGACAGCGGCACGAGCGTGTACGCCAGTTATTGTAGCCAGGCTTTGGGTGCGGCGTATAACCCAGAGAGCGTAGGACAGCCGGCTCCTACAGGTGTCGCTGAAACGGGGCCCAGCAGTGTTGGTGGAGGTAAGAATCTTCGTATTGACGATATCTTTATCTTCAATAGCTGATACCCCTGTCATGGCAGCGACTTCGCGACCAACGTCAGCCATCGCCAAGCAGTCGGGAACTTCCGATTCGGACTCCACGAACACCGCAACGGCAGCCCCAAGTGGCGACGAGAAAATAGCCGGTTTGAGCAAAGGAGCATTCGTTGGTGTTGTCGTGTCAGCATCCTGCAGCGTTCTTGGCTTGCTGTTCGGCATAGGCTTCAAGATCTACAAACACAAGAAGCAGACGAAGATGCAGCGGCAGCATATAGGGGCGTCTAGAGTTGAATACACAAAGGAATAAGACACCAAAGTCAGTGCATCAGGCTATGGCTTCGCGGGTCATCCAAGGGCCGATCAATACACTACGCATGGCTAGCCCAGAATGGTTAAGAGCATAAATTATACTCTCAGCAATCTACCGTACCTACGCCCTCGCAAACAGTTCTTGTCTGGTCTAATTCCTTAGCTCTTCAGATACCCGTTACCGAACCTATGGCGAACTCGTTACGCCCGATTTACGCCCGGACCCGCCCAAGCGCTTATGCAACAACGCGCCGTTGCGGCACAGTTTCCTGGGGCCAGGGACACCACCGAGAAATCAGCCTCGAATAAAGTCGGACCCTGCGGCGTGTACTTTGAATCTGTACTGCCCCATCCTTCATTTTTTGCTAAGCCTCGTTGTTACACGAAGAATTTACGCTTTTCGTTTTCTCTGTCGCTCGGCTCTTTTTCCTTCATATTCTGGGTGTCTTTCTCAAGTTTCTCATCGCTAAGCACCATGTCCCCGCCCAGCGATTCCTCATACTGTCGTCGCTCAAGGTTACATCTTTTCCTCATACTACCTGCCCTCTTCACGCTCGCTCGTTCGCAATGCTACAACGCCAACGGCACTGTAGCAACCGATCCCGATTATGCACCCTGCAGCAACTCGACCTCAGATCCCCTCCACACCATCTGCTGCTCGCTCAACCGCGATAACCCGCCGGGCGGGGATCCCAGCGTCGCTGGGTTCACGCGAGATGAGTGCTTGGCGAATGGTATATGCCAGAACAAATGGTCGCAGAATGGAGGCCATACGACCAGTTATTTTAGAGAGAAATGCACGGAGAAGGACTGGAGTACGGGATTGTGTCTGGACGTGTGTACGGATTCGGTATGTTCTACCACTTGTTTGCTACCTACCCGTCAGGTACGATGGTAATTCATGAGCATGGGGTTGACATAATGCAGGTCGATGACGCAGGAAATTCATACATGACACCGTGCGATGGGACGCCTACGTCGGAAAAGTGGTGCTGCGGCATGACGGACAGCTGCTGCGACACAGATGCTGTTCTTCTACCTAGGACCTTTGGCGCCGCGCTCTCCTCTACTTCTACCTCTGCTTCCGTGGCTACTTCATCTTCATCTTCCGCCACGACTCTCGCTTCATCCGCATCATCGCCCACCTCGGAACCTACAGCATCCCCAACCCTCTCCCCTTCCCCTTCCCCCAGCACTTCCGCCGAAGCCAACGCCGACGCCACCACCCAGCCCTCCTCTTCCACCGGCCTCTCCGCCGGCGCAAAGGCCGGGGCCGCGATTGGTGCCATAGCAGGCGTAGCCGCCTTTTTCAGCATAGGATACCTAATCGCAAGGCGGCGACACGGCTGGACTTCTTGGAGATCGGGACACGCTGGCGTGCACGAGAAGGGGGTTTCGGAAGGAAACCATGACAATGGGTACTACCCTCCGCCGGTGAAGGATGTGACTTATCACATGGCGGCGGCGGAGATCCAGGAGCTGGATGGCGGCAATGTGGCTGCTGAAGCGCCGAGTGGGGAGCGCTGGAAGAGTCAGGAGCTACCGTAGGAGTGTGGGAAAGGAATTGCGTAGGTGTTGAGAATCTGCGTAGGAGTGTTGGAAACTAGTGAGCTACGGTATCGAGGGCTGTCCATATTGGTCTATGTTCTTAAGATGTGGAATTGTTACTGAACGTATTTAATGATTGGAGAGCTCTTCATCAAACTCTGCCATCTCTTCTACGCCTTCTCCAACGTCACCGGAAGTGCGTTGAACCACGACTTCCTGCTTACTTGTGCAGCGCAACAGTTCTCGATGCTATTGCAGACGGCGATGAGGTTCAGCCCGAGGGTGGCGAGGGTAGTCATGAAAGCAAAGCCCGTCGGACGACCCAAATGTCGAGAAGCTTAGCGATCGGTAGAGCGGCGCTGCTTTTCACGCTTGAAACGACGGAGATGACGGGAATGAGAGAATGCCAGTCGAAGCACGTATGCCAGAGGTTCGCCGTAAAGGCCACTTGAAAAGCATTTGCGAAGCACGGGAGGAACACGCTGTGGAGCGCAGATCCTCACTGGCCTGTCGAATTAGTAGGGAGCACCCTTACTGGGAGTAAGCAATGATCGTTTGACTCTTCGCGTCCGGATGAGAGTGATGGCCTCAATTTGCTTGACCCCACTCTCTGCATTGTTGTTCGGCGATTCCTTATCGCGAAGCTCTTCAGCTTCGCTCTGTGATAGTTCGATGTCTTTGGAGGGTTGAAGGTTTTTCCTGACATCTCTATTTGTTGCGACTGCGTCATGCACTGTAATCTGGGCGGAGGACTCGGTCTTGCGCAATCTTGAAGTGCGTTTCAAGGAGACTCCTGCGTTCGACCTCTAAATCCGTCCCTATTGCTCGGGATTCTACCTTGCTTCATAGATTTGCACAATAAATCCGGCGCCGAGGACGTGAAGTACCTAGAAGGGTCGTGGCGGCACACATTAGTTGATGGCTTTGATTTGACGAAAGGAGCCAACACCCTGGTATGTCTGGTGACTTTACCTAATAAGGACCATCTAGCATTGGTTTTCACAGTTGAAAACTGCCTTGTCAGCCTCTCAGATTTCGCAATCCGCGTGGAAGGAATCCAGAGATCATGGACATATGGAGTTCGACATTGGCGTCTTACCGTAGTCCGGATCCCGATTCTTAGACCAACTCCGAGCCGAGTACGATATAGCGGTGGGAATGAGCTCAGTCCCCTTTTCGATGTGCACCGCCAATGTCTTGCATCAAATGACTCAAGTCGTTGTTCGTGTAGGGTCGCAGGTCGTCCACCTGGGCATTAGCCGTGTAGAGAACCGCGCTAGTCTCGCTTAGCTCAGCCGGGGCACATTCGCACCCCACGGATTTCGACGAGCTTGGCGCAACGACACTTCGACTCTCACACACCAAACTCTTGCCCATCCAGTTCGACAAAATGGTCAACGTCCCCAGTACGGCTTCGCTCTTCCCACGGTCCTGCGGCATGGCACTGATAACAAGCAGAGACCCGCCGGACTTATTGCAAGTCGGAGAACAAGCACACCACCCACCGCGTCACGCAGTACAGTAAGTTTGCGCCTCTACATCGTGAACTTTCGCTGACCATCTTTCTCCAGAGGCCGGTAAAGCCTCCGCCTTCGCCCAGGGAAAGCGCCGATATGACCGTACGTTCGAATCCTCCCTCTCCTCGCAGCCCGCGTGCCCGGTCCGTCCTCGCGGATATCTAATTGCTCGTAGGCAAGCAATCCGGTTACGGTGGTCAGACAAAACCCGTTTTCCACAAGAAGGCCAAGACCACGAAGAAGATCGTGCTGAGAATGGAGTGCACGTCGTGCAAGACGAAGAAGCAGCTCCCGCTCAAGCGCTGCAAGCATTTCGAACTTGGGTGCGTTGGCACGATATGCGCGCGTGCGCACGCTGAGCTGACGCAATTACAGAGGCGACAAGAAGACCAAGGGTGCTGCGCTTGTGTTCTAAACTCGTTCGTGGGGTGGGCATGGCGGGAGAGGAAGGAGATCACGGGTGGCTGGCGTTCAGGTTACGGCTGTGGCTGTCAGCATAGCGATTGTCACATAAGACCTATGGAATGATCACCAATTCTCGTGTTCGACACTGGACCTGCTGTGAGAACGTTTTGAGGGGAGATCGATGGACAGCGAGAATTGGCGGACGAGTAGGGGCTACAGGATGCGTGGCATCCGGCGATGGTAAAGGAAGAGGTCGCAAGCTTGATCCAAAACCCTCCGCCTGTAGAGCAAGATCGCATCAATCGACATGACCCTCGAGATCATATAAAAGAGAACGGTGAGGCCTAATGCTACTCGGCTTTATCTGCCGTCCAGATGAAGCAAGCACACACCTCCAACCATGGGGCGCTTTTGGCTGTTAGGTTCGGATGTGAGCCAAAACTATGTTATAGCTTGAGGATTGTGAGCAGCACTGGCGGCGATGGTCAGTATGATATTCATGTCGGGCGCGGGACCTTGATGGAGTCTAGTGAGCTGAAACCCTTTCGGATGCTACATACGCAGCCCGCAAGTTCAAAATCACATGAGCTGCTGGCCTATCCACGCATGAGAAATGACTCCTTGCTATTCCGTTGAACGTAGACCGGCAATGTGGTCATGCATCAAGTGCAGATGACGGCGATCTGGAATGCCAAGCCAGTCTAAGCCGCTTTCGTTCGAAGCGCTATCTGACGTCTCTGAAGGCTGACCCCGTGGCATCTAAGCCCTCAAACAACACACTCCCTTCGGTCCCTCTTTCTCACTTTCTTTCTTCCTTCCTTTCCTCTACCTTGCGAGGGCGACCGTAGCTCTCGCTCGTGTCGCCATGGCAGGCGACCGCCCGCTCCTCTCCGGCCGCCCCTCCTCCGAACTCTCCAACGAGCGCGACATCGCCGAAGAAGATGCCCTGCTTACCGGCCAACCTACTATGCGCAGCGACGGATCGCGAACATGGAAGTTCTGGCGCGAACTGGGGCTCTTCGTCTGGGCCGTGATAGCGACCGCTGTCGTTATCGTGCTCGCGGTTATCTACCAGAAGTCGCAGGACCCGAACCACAGCACCCCGAACCCGACCGGAAAGAGGAATCTCATATTCATGGTGTCTGATGGCATGGGCCCGACGAGCCTGAGTCTGACGCGGAGTTTTATGCAATTCCAGAATGGGGCGCCGTATAGCGAGCAGCTAGTCATTGATCAGCATTTGATCGGGCAGTCGCGGACGCGGTCCTCGTCGTCGCTGATTACGGATTCCGCTGCTGGAGCGACGGCATTTTCGTGTGGGTCGAAGAGCTACAACGGTGCCATTTCTGTGACACCGGAACATGAGCCCTGCGGGACGGTGCTGGAGGCTGCGAAGAAAGCAGGTTATATGACGGGATTGGTGGTCACCACGAGGATCACGGATGCGACACCCGCGTGCTTTGCTGCGCACGTGAACATGCGGTCGGAGGAGGATCGTATCGCGGAGCAATTGGTGGGCGATTACCCGCTTGGACGAACTGTTGATTTGATGTTCGGTGGCGGACGGTGCCATTTCCTGCCCAATTCGACTGAAGACTCGTGCAGAGCGGACAACAAGGACGTCGTGGACCTGGCGAAGAAGAGCGGCTTCACCTACATCTCCGACCGCAAGGACTTCGACAATCTGAAAGGCGGTGGCGGGCTTGACTTCCCCATGCTTGGCCTCTTCGCCGATACCGACATCCCGTACGAGATTGACCGTCGCAATGAGGACGACATCTATCCTTCGCTTCACGAGATGGCAGAAGTCGCTCTTACGGCACTTAGCGAGGCCACCAGGGACAGCGAGAAGGGATTCTTTCTCATGATTGAAGGTTCACGTATCGATCACGCTGGCCACCACAACGACCCTGCAGCTCAGGTCCACGAGGTGCTTGCCTACGACAAGGCCTTCACCAGCGTCCTTGAGTTCCTGAAGAACGAGCCGACAGAAGGAGTCATGGTGTCGACGTCCGACCATGAGACCGGGGGTCTGGCTACTGCTCGACGTATGTATCTTCTGTTCTTCCCTTCTGGACATTGCTGATTACACTAGAACTTCATGCTTCTTATCCTGAATACGTCTGGTTCCCCGGCCCTCTCGCCAACGCCTCCCACTCCGCCGAGCGTCTCGACCTCGAATACAACAAATACCTTACGAACGACCCCTCCGATGACGCTAAGGCAACCTTCATTCGGGACTCCATCTCCAGTGGCCTCGGCCTAAAAGACTACACGGACGATGAGGTTGCGAATCTCGTCAAAGACCCCTCCACCGCGCTCTATCAATTCGCCGACATGATGTCCCGTCGGTCCCAAACGGGCTGGAGCACCCACGGCCACTCGGCCGCAGACGTTAACATCTACTCTTCGGATCCCAAAGCCGCACTGCCGCTCGTAGGCAACCATGAGAACACTGAAGTAGGCGACTTTCTGAGGGAGTATCTAGGCGTGGATGTCGAGTCTGTCACGAAGGAGCTGAGGGAGAAGGGCAAGGAGCTGAAAGTGCTAGATGCGAATGGGACGGAGGTCAGCTGGATGGGCAAGATTCCAGAGGAGGGAGAGAGGTTGGATGGGCAGAATCATCTTGCGAGCTATGGGGGTGACTTTAAGAAGAGGCATCTGCTGCATGGAAGGGGCTGTGACTGTGGGCATTAGACGTCGGGCGGATAGAAAGAGGGGGAAGGATGGCAGTGGATATACCTAGTTTTGCATTTTGGGCGTCTTGCGTCGGCGTTTTTGGGGGCCATGATACCGACCTCCCACGGGACTTTTGGATTAGCTGGTAATTCGTATCAAGACTTTCATTCGATTCCGTATAGCCCTTGCTAGAGCTCTACGGCTACGCATAACTTTTTCTAATCGTCCCGGTTTTTGTCATTGACCTTTGGCATCTTCTTGGACTTCATTAATACACTTAGAAACTCTTTTTATCCAAGGTCCCCCTCCAAAAGAATACGCCTTATCCTTCCCAACCCATTCCTCCCTATAACCCGACCGACTTCCTTTGAATCCCCTTCTCTCATCACTAACGCCCCTGTCTCAGTCTCCTTTCGTCTCCTTTCCTTCCCATCGCGCATGCACGTACGTTACGGAACAAGACATTCCAACAACACCTCACTCCACTTCGCCGCCTCCAATGTGCGCATCGACGACGCCACACTCGCCGTCCTTCCCGCCTTGCTTTCCCTGCGGCGTCCCGTCTCGGCTCTTTCGGCGCTCCGGTGGCGGATCCCCATATCTGTTCGCTGCTCTTCGTCGCCGGTGGTGCGAATGCTGCGGGTGGTGGTAGCGGAAGCTGTGTGCTGCGTGTCTGCATGGGCGATTGTCGGCTGGATAGTCTCACTCCAACTCTCCGTCGTCACCCTCTTCTCCTCATCTCCCTCTCCCTCCTCCTCTCCATCCTCCCCGCCCCCTTCGCCAGCCAGCACAGACCCTCCCCCTCCCCTCCCAAACCTCACCCACTCCCAGCCGCGAAACCCGCCCTCCCACACATGCAGCCCCAGCAGCAGCAGACACCCCGCGACGTCGAAGCCGCCGGAGACGTGGATGTCGATGTTGATGCGCCAGCAGCGCTGGCGCACGGAGAGCCCGGAGCGCAGCGGGTCGGTGAAAATCGCCGGGTAGAGGGGCGTGTAGTTGCAGGCGCGCAGGTTAGAGGGCGTGCTGGTGAAGAAATGGGCGGTGAAGAGGGCGAGGAGGCTGGTGGCGAGGGTGTCGTAGAGTGTGAGCAGGAGGAGGGAGAGCGTGGGGCGCAGGGGGGCGTAGAGTGGGTGGTAGGTGTGTGGGGGGTGGGGAGGGAGGGGTTGTTGTTGGCGCTGTCGGGTGGTGGTGGTGGTGGATTTGAGGGAGATGGAGGATTGCGAGGGGTTGGTGGAGGCTGCTGTGGAGGCTGCTGATCTGGAAGGAGGTCTCGCGCTCGTATGGTCGCTGTTACACATATCCTTCCTAGTCCCCGGCGGCGTCGACTCCGCACCCCCCTCCCCCCTCTCATACCGACATCCATGGTAGTAGTCCAGCGCAAGCAGCGCATGCAAGCAATCAATCGGAATCTGCAGCCCCATCAGCCCCATCACTCCACTCCACTCCTCACACATACCAGCACAAACATGCCGCCCCACAAAGCGCCTCTCCCGCCCTCAAACTGGCGCCTCAAAAACCGCTCCTCCCAATCCTCGGGCATGCCATAGTCGTCGATGAGATGGGTGGTCGAGATGTGCCATAGCAGCATGAGCAGGACGAGCAGGGCGGTGATGAGCATGAGCATGGACGTGAGGATGTGTGTTTCGAGGCGGGAGGCGCGGGAGGGGTGCATTTTTCTTCCCCAGCGCGGTCGCGGTCGCGGTTGCGGTGGTGGATGCGCAGAGACGAGCGAGGCTGGGGATGGGAGAGGTGGTAATGCTGCGTTGATAAAAGTGTGTGGTCGGGCGGGTGAAGTCGTCAGAGTTGGGACTGAGTTGTGAGTCTGGCGATGGAGTCGGCTGCTCTGTTCTTGAAGGAAGGCACCTGTCTTAAGTGCTGTTAGCGCAGTCGCACTTACCACTTCTCTCTTCGCAGCATTCTTTCTTACTTCACTAGGAAAGCCAGCAATGAATGTATAACATACTTCGATTCTCCACTCCCCTATTCTACCTCGTACGACATCCGTCTCTTCATCTGGCCTGAACATCTCACACCGACCATCCGTATCAACACTTTTACTCTGCTAGACGAGGAAAGCGCAAGAACAATCCCTTCCACGGCAACAAAACAAGAAAGTACACAGAGGCGTAAGGGACCAGTGAGCCTCCCATACCCAACGCCTCGCTAATAATCCGCAATGCCCTCCGCGGTGGGTAGATCCAGGGAGATAGCGGCCCGAAAAGTGGGCAACCTTGGCCTGGAGACTCCCTTGGGTATAGACGAACCGAACCGACTCCAGACATGCAATATGAACCAAGAAGGGAAAAAGGGCCGTGCTTGTAAAACATCAGCTGTGAGCTGCTCGGGCTAGGGGTTTCCGGGGTGTGCTCGGTCGAGAAGCGGATACCAATGATGCCAGCGTGATAAGGGGTCGAGAGATACCAAAGGAGTCGGGATAGTGACATGTCGGCGTGAATGCCCGCACGGCCGTGGCCAGCCAGGTATCGTGAAACAAAGGAAGACTACCCTTCTACACTATGACGATTCGCGCTGAGCTCGTCGACACCATTAGAAAGCCGAGGTGGTACAACAATGGCAAAGTCTGCTGGGGATGGTAGTTAATCTAGTAACGTCGCCGGCGGCAAGTAGCAAGGGCAATTCAGCCGGATTCCTGGTTGTCGTCGGCCCAGCTCCATGAATCCTCAAAGCTCGTTGGAGTGTTGCTATAGTAGCCGTCTCCAGTAGATGATGGCCCAGGCTATACACCAAAATCGTTGGAGAAAGGGCCGGAGTTATGATAGTTCCAATCGGCTTGAGACTCGAGCATCCAGCTCATGGGGTCGAAAATCTCGTAGCTGTTTGCGCTCGCCAGGCCATTCGTCAGCTGCATCGGGGCCATGCTCAAGGTGTTGACATGCGGATTGAAGCTCGGTATACCGTGAGTTGGATTTTCAACGGGGACACCTGGGGGAGGAGTGGAATTCGTAGAGCTATCGGGATTGGTGGGATTATCCCGAACTGTGGCATCAAGTTGCTCTGCGGCACCGTTGACCTGCGATTCGCGCCAACGCCAGACGCAGTCAAAGACCACGCTCATGCTCATGCGACTCCGGATGATGAGACCCAGAGGATCCTCGAGCATGCCTGAGCTCTGCCTCCTATGGCCTTGGGGAGGCGCTTGGACTTTGCTGTTGAACATTGTCGCCATTCCCGGGTTGCCCACAACCGGCGACTGGGACATGCTGTGCAGGCTGCGACCCCTTGAGCTTTCCTTCCATAGCTGGGCTAAGACTTCCGCAAATCGATCTAGGAGATCATTCGTCTCGACTTTGGACTTCCGTAACGCTTCGACTGTCTGCAAGACGAACTGGCGGCCCCGATCGGTAGGTAGGCCGGCGGGGAGGTCGGAATTGAGAAGCTTGAGCAAGGCGAATCCGGACGCAAGAGCCATTTGCATGATGTGGTATGGGGCATATATCAGCCTGCTCTCTCGCTGCAGATTGAATACACGGTCCAAGAAAGCGGTGGCTGCTAAATATAGAGCAACCAAATCGTCGCGGCGCTCGAGTCGGGCTTCCCTGTTGAAGAAGGAGAAGAGGTGCAGATGCAGAGACACTGCGCAGTGATGTAGCTCTTCCAATTCTGCGCATAGGATTAGCATGGATTGATGTCAGGAGCAAGTCGGACATACCCTTATTGACGCCATCAAGCAACCCACGCTCCTCTTTCAGACGGTCCGCTTCTAGATGCATATAGGCAGTTGCAGCGCCTTCAGAGAACCGATGACTGCTCATGGAATAGAGCAGCTTATTGATGCGGCTGGCGGCCATCTCCTGCCGTAACCGAACGAACAGATCCGGTGGGATTATGCGCATATGGTCTTCATCGTCCGTCCTGAAATCCAGGGTGGAGTCGTACAGGGTGATGGAAGGCTGACCATAGCCGGTGCAGACAGTCTGGGCAACTATGTTGCAAACGGCCCACGTCCGCAGCCTGTCATGTATGTCTTCCTCCCGGAGACGCACTTTTGTCCTCGAAAAGTCTTGCGGATGCGTAGGTTGGTGCAGGCCTATCTCCATGGCGATCTGCATCATTAGACCGCATAGTCTCCACGTAGGGTCTAGGACGGTCCGATTGGTGGGAAGCGGCCAGTAGCAGAGCAAACACAGCGCTTTCACCACATGATGGTTGGTTTGCCCCATCACCGTCTGGTTCCTCAAATTTGTCAAGGGCTCCTTGAGGCGCTTGAGCAGTCCGGGGTCGGTATCGTAGTGGCGGGCAGCGACGCTGATGATGGCCCAGAACAGCAGTTTGTGGTCTTTGGAGAAGACTTCGTCCGGCGAACGGGTGGGGTCGAGAAACGGTAGGAAGGGGTGATACAGGTCGAAGAATAACTGGAATAGGTCGGTGACCTGCGGCGGCGAGAGCTTGATACTCTCCAGTGTGTGGAACATGGGCGAGCCGCTGCGCAGGTCCAGCAACGAGGTTGCGGCTACCTGCTGGGTCTGCGATTGCAAGAAGGCATCGTCCTCCTCTGTATGCGCCGGGCCTGAGGCAAAAGCGCGGTTCTCGGGCATGGGCTGTGGTGCGTTCACGATGGGCGGCTGGTTCTGCGGTATGCCTCGTCCCTCGAACATGGCGAGGCGCTCTCGCAGGCGCTCCATCTCCCTCTCCATCTCCGCGTTGCGTGTGCGCTTGCCGACGCGCTTGAAGTTGGGCTCAATGACGCAGTTGAGTTTCTGCTTGCTGCATCGCGAGCAGGCCACGAAGGGGTCTTGCTGGACGTTGCACTTGAGCTGTGGCCAGCTGTTAGCGGGGTTCTGGAGAAGGTCTGAATGTGGGAGAGACGGCGGTCCGACGGCATCAGCAACGCGCGGCGCAAACACAGTGGAGGCGTGCATTGCACCCCAGGTTATGGGATCAATTGCCGGTCGCTGCTCGGCCGGCTTTACTGGCGGTTGGCTTCCTGTGCGTGTTGCGCCGGAGTAGTATGACTGGACACTGCCGTGGCATCGAAGCATCATCCCCAGCAGGCCTCTAGGCTTCCGTCGCCGCAAGACGTACCTTCTGCTGCCTGCACTCGTTGCAAGCCCGCTTCACGACCGTGTTCCGCCTGCTGCCCCCGGACCCGCGCCCGGCCGCCATGTTGTCGCCGTTCTCCTGCTCATCCTCATCGCTCGAGGCGGGCCGCTTGAACGTCTGGGAGCGCGCGCTCGTCGGGGAGGTCGCGTACGATACCGGCTGAGTTCCCTGGCCGGGCGTCTTTGGGCTCATCGAAAGCATCATGTTGGGAACGACGTCTCAACCCTGCCGTGCGTGCGTGCCGATATCGCAGGCGTCGCTGGCGCGCGAGATAATATTGCCCAGGCGCGGGGTGGAGGGCTGCCGATTCGGGGCCCGGGCTAGCTAAATTGGACGGCCAGTGTACTGTGGGCAGGCACATCGAAGAGTGAAAGGCTTAGGCTTCACCAGTGTTCCCAATTGCGCGCGGCGACGGCTGAGGTGTCCGCTCATGTGATACTCGTCGGTCGGCAATCGAGCGCAGCGCCTGCAGCCGTCCTGCAGGAAGCCGGGGAACAACCAGTCCAGTCGACAAGGTGCGATAGCGCGCTGTTCACCGCAACCCGCCGCGGTGGGCTACCTAGTAATCACCGAGGGCGTGAGCAGAGCGCAGGATGGGATGGTGAAGCAGCGGTCGCTGCGTGGTGAACTGCACAATTCCAAGGTTTCACCTTCAGTCTCCTCGGCTCCTACCGTGGATATCCGGCGACTTCCCATGTATGCACCAGCTGCGCTGTTGTATCTCTCAAATAGTTGCAGTCTGTTCGTCTCGTTGAACATCTCCGCCTCTAATTACGACAGTAGCAGAAAGCACTCCAGGCATTTCCAGCGAATTGGCCACAACGGCATGTCTGAGAGGCGGGAAATGGTGCAACGAATGCCACCCTATCTGCCACTCGTCGCACATCTAGATCACCACATCAGTAGCAAACAGACTTGCACTTTAGGAAGGATCCGAAGTTGAAGGGACCCAGAAGGAGCAATATTTGCATTTCCCTGGGTTACGCTCGTCGAAGGCCTTCATGAGGAGCTTCTAAGCATAAATTGCAATATGGCGGCATGCGCGCTGCACTGGAATCAGGATGGACATGTCGTGGCTGTCACTGAGATTTTGTGCTACCCAGCTACTGCCTCGGCGGACGTCCGAGCATGATGCAGAAATCGCCTTGATATCGTGTAGTCCTAAGAAAGCCCGCCTGAACCGGGGAACTGCCCGTAATGCACATGAACACCTTTAGCCCAGTTTTCGACACTGATCCCCAACCGCGCCACCGCTTAGCGCTTCTTCTGCTGCGACTCCTTGAGCACCTTCTTCACGACCTTCTGCTCCTCAATCAGGAAAGCGCGGACGATGCGGTCCTGGACGCAGTTGGCGCATCGCGAACCACCGTACGCACGCTGGACGGTCTTCTTGGGGCGGCTGATGGTTGCGTATTCACGGGGACGGAGGGCGGGGATGCCAGCAAGCTTGGTGCCGCAGTCCTGAGACCTATCAGCGAATTGCCTCCGCACTTTCCCATCTGCCACTTACACCGCACTTGGGGGCAGTACCCCTCTTCTTGATGTGCAGGTATCGGAGGTGTCCACCGGGGGTCTGAGCCAGGCTTTAGCACGCGTTCAATCGATCGCCAAACTCCTAAAAACTGACCTTGATCTATCAAACAGTTAGCATTCATGATGCGAATCGCGCAGAGGACAACTTACCACTCGGACGTTCTGGCTGCTGGTGTTGTAGGGTGCCCGTCGGCGCTGCTACCTATTAGTCACATGTCCCATCTCCATATCCACGATTCTCCAATTGTCAACAATGTTCGCGGAAACGTACGTAGGTAAGCCTCGTGGACGGCATCGCGATGGTGTTCCCGGGGAGTCAGACGGTAGAGGATTCTGTGATGGCGGGTGAGCGTCGTTCGGTCGCAGATTGCTGGCGCGAATCTTAGAAGGTGCGTACCTGAATCTTTGAGGGTAAGTCAGTATTGGGGCTTGCGAGACTGTATTGCGGTGGCCGGCTTACCTCAGGGGCGTTGTGATGTTGTCGACGGTAGACGTAAACTTTTGCTGTTCGGAGTCCAATGTGCGGCGGGCTCGCTTAGTCGCGCTAGTGATGCGCCAAGGCGGTCACGTGGAAGCTGCAGCCTTGCCCGTGCGAAAAGATAATCGTCAACCGCCACTGTTTCTCATCCATCACAGGTCCCTCCCATCGCGTGGGGTACTAAATGTCCTTCAACGCGCTCCTTTCGGTCTGATACCCCTTCGCGACCTCGAATCCCGATTCTGCCAATATTGCGCGGCCTCACTCCTACGCGGCGCTCCAAACGCCGTCCGCATAGCCTCAGGACTCGACTCCTGGCTTGGTCGCGGCACGCGCACGATCTTCCCCCTCACTACAGCATAGCCTGTAGGTTGAACTCGGAGGTTAGTTGGAATCTCAATCACGTTTCCGATTTTGCTTGGTTTCACGTCAACGGCTACCGACAACGCCGTCTGAAGCTCCTGAGTCTCCTCCCATATCTATATCTGCACCTACGACACCGGCGCAACGTACCCCGTGTCTCTACTGACCCAGACTCAACCCATATATCATACTGACCCTTCAAAGACGGGCATCCATCTGATCCAGGTAAGACGCGATGGCATTCCCTCCGCCGCCCCCTCCCCCTCCGCCCCCTCCGCCAGGGCCGCCGGGCTCAGGATTCGCTCCTCCTCCCCCACCCCCACCTCCAGGACCTCCTGGAGCACCGGGTACATCGGGCCCTGGTGGTAGACGACCTCCCATAGATCCGCAAGTTGCGAAGTTCGCGCAGAAGAAGAAGGACTGGCTGCGACAACAACGACAGCGCTTTGGCGAGAGGCGAAAGGCTGGCTTCGTGGAGACACAGAAGGCGGATCTACCCCCAGAGCATTTGCGGAAGGTGTTCAGGGATATTGGAGATGTTTCACAAAAGAAATTCACGAGCGACAAGCGAAGCTATCTCGGCGCGCTGAAGTTCATGCCGCATGCAGTTCTGAAACTTCTGGAGAATATGCCCATGCCTTGGGAGAGTAGGCGAGACGTCAAGGTTCTTTATCACACGAACGGATGCTTGACGCTGGTCAACGAGGTGCCCCGCGTCATTGAGCCGGTCTTCCATGCGCAGTGGGCGGCTATGTGGTTGGCCATGAGGAAAGAGAAGAGCGATCGCCGACACTTTAAGCGTATGCGATTCCCGCCATTCGACGACGAAGAGCCTCCTTTGCCTTACTCGGACAATATCGAGGATGTAGAGCCTCTTGAGCCGATTCAGCTAGAGCTTGATGAGGAAGAAGATGGCCCTGTATACGACTGGTTCTATGAGCATCGACCGCTCCTCGATACGCCTCACGTAAACGGCCCCAGCTATGAGAAGTGGAATCTTGACCTTCCCCAGATGGCGACGCTCTATCGACTCAGCCGTCAACTTCTCAGCGATCTAGTAGACAAGAACTATTTCCACATGTTCGACCTCGATAGCTTCCTCACAGCGAAGGCCCTGAATGTTGCGATACCTGGAGGACCCCGCTTTGAACCGCTATACAAGGATATCGACCCGAATGACGAGGACTTTGGCGAATTTAATGCTATCGACCGCATCATTTTTCGGTCTCCCATCCGGACGGAATACCGGGTGTCGTTTCCATTCCTCTACAATTCCCTCCCGCGCAGCGTCAAGCTGGCGTGGTATTCCTATCCTCAGGTGGTATATGTTCGTGCGGAGGATCCCAGCCTGCCGGCATTCTACTTTGATCCCATCATCAATCCTATCTCGTCCCGAGCTGTCGCCCCAAAGAACATCACTGTAAGCCATGAAGATGAGGTATTTGGATACGGAAACGACGAAGACGAGGAGGACGACTTCCAGCTGCCGGATGATGTCGAGCCGTTCATGGCAGACGAAGAGCTCTACACAGCAGAAACAGCCTCGGCAATTGCACTTTGGTGGGCACCTCATCCATTCGACAAGCGATCTGGCAGAATGGTGAGGGCTCAGGACGTCCCGCTTGTGAAGCAGTGGTATCTGGAGCACGTACCGTCTGGTCAGCCGGTCAAAGTTCGAGTGTCGTATCAGAAGTTGTTGAAGACTTACGTCCTCAACGAACTCCACAAGCGGCCGTCGAAAGCGCAGAACAAGCAAAACCTCATGCGCACATTGAAAGGAACAAAGTTCTTCCAGCAGACCAAGATTGACTGGGTTGAAGCTGGTCTACAAGTCTGCCGCCAGGGTTACAACATGTTGAATCTACTCATCCACCGGAAGAACCTGACGTACTTGCATCTCGACTACAACTTCAACCTGAAGCCGGTCAAGACACTTACTACGAAGGAACGAAAGAAGTCGCGATTTGGAAACGCATTCCATCTTATGCGTGAAATTCTTCGTCTGACGAAGCTCATCGTCGATGCGCAAGTCATGTACCGACTTGGCAACATTGATGCCTTCCAACTGGCCGATGGTATATTGTACGCCTTCAATCACGTCGGACAGTTGACGGGAATGTACCGATACAAGTACAAGCTCATGCATCAAATCCGTTCATGCAAGGACTTGAAGCATCTCATCTACTACCGTTTTAACTCTGGCCCCGTCGGTAAGGGTCCTGGTTGCGGGTTCTGGGCCCCAGCCTGGAGGGTATGGCTCTTCTTCATGCGCGGCATCATTCCATTGCTCGAGCGCTGGCTGGGGAATCTTCTTTCACGTCAATTCGAAGGCAGACACAGCAAAGGCGTTGCGAAGACGGTGACCAAGCAGCGAGTGGAGTCCCACTTTGACCTGGAGCTTCGTGCTGCCGTCATGAGCGATCTGATGGATATGATGCCAGAAGGCATCAAGCAGAACAAGGTCAACACTGTCCTGCAGCATCTCTCCGAAGCTTGGCGATGCTGGAAGAGCAACATCCCGTGGAAAGTACCGGGTCTTCCAGCTCCGATTGAGAACATCATTCTTCGCTACGTCAAGAGCAAAGCCGATTGGTGGATATCGGTCGCACACTATAACCGAGAGCGCATTCGGCGAGGCGCTACAGTCGACAAGACTGTTGCAAAGAAGAATCTTGGTCGGTTGACGCGTCTCTGGTTGAAGGCTGAGCAGGAGCGACAGCATAACTATATGAAGGATGGTCCGTACGTCTCTTCCGAGGAAGCCGTGGCGATCTACACTACCATGGTCCACTGGCTGGAAGCGCGAAAATTCCAGCCGATTCCCTTCCCCAGCGTCTCCTACAAGCACGACACCAAGATCCTCATCCTGGCCCTCGAGCGCCTTCGTGAGGCATACTCAGTTAAGGGCCGTCTCAATCAGAGCCAGCGCGAGGAGCTTGCACTGATTGAGCAAGCCTACGACTCCCCGGGAACTACGCTAGCCAGGATCAAGCGCTTCCTCCTCACTCAGCGCGCTTTCAAAGAGGTCGGAATCGACATGAATGACAACTACAGCACGATCAATCCGGTCTATGACGTCGAACCAATGGAAAAGATCACGGATGCATACCTGGACCAATACCTTTGGTATCAGGCTGATCAGCGGCACCTGTTCCCTGGCTGGATCAAGCCGTCAGATTCCGAGGTTCCACCTCTTCTCACGTACAAGTGGGCTCAGGGTATCAACAACCTCGACAAGGTCTGGGAATACCAGGACGGCGAATGCAACGTCATGATCGAGACACAGTTATCCAAGGTTTATGAGAAGATCGATCTGACACTGCTTAATCGCCTTCTTCGTTTGATCATGGACCACAATCTCGCAGACTACATTACGGCGAAGAACAATGTCCAGCTCAACTACAAGGACATGAACCACGTCAACGCTTACGGCATGATCCGAGGCCTGCAGTTCTCGGGCTTTGTGTTCCAGTATTACGGTCTTGTTCTAGATATCCTCCTCCTCGGTCTGCAGCGAGCAAACGAAATCGCGGGTGCGCCGGAGAGCCCCAACGACTTCCTCCAATTTAAGGACAAGGAGACTGAAGTTCGACATCCTATCCGGTTGTACACCAGGTACATTGATCGTATTTGGGTCTTCTTCAGGTTCACGGCTGAGGAGTCCCGCGACCTGATACAGCGATTCTTGACGGAGAACCCGGATCCCAACTTTGAGAATGTCATCGGTTACCGCAACAAGAAGTGCTGGCCCCGTGATTCCAGGATGCGTCTCATGCGTCACGATGTCAACCTTGGACGCGCCGTTTTCTGGGACCTGAAGAACCGTCTACCTCGTTCGATTACTACCATCGAGTGGGATGACACGTTTGCTAGCGTCTACAGCCGCGATAACCCAAACCTTCTCTTCTCCATGAGCGGCTTCGAAGTGCGCATCCTACCGAAAATTCGCAACCTTAGCGAAGAGTTCCCCACCAAGGATAGCGTTTGGTCGCTTGTTGACAACATGACCAAAGAGCGTACTGCTCATGCCTTCTTACAGGTGACAGAGGAAGATATTCAGAAGTTCAACAACCGCATCCGCCAGATTCTGATGTCATCCGGTTCGACGACCTTCACCAAGATCGCTAACAAGTGGAACACTACTCTGATTGCCCTCTTCACGTACTACCGAGAGGCTGCAGTATCCACTGTGAACCTTCTCGATACTATCGTCAAGTGTGAGACGAAGATTCAGACGCGAGTCAAGATCGGGCTGAACTCGAAGATGCCGTCGCGTTTCCCGCCTGCCGTGTTCTACACACCGAAGGAACTCGGTGGATTGGGAATGATTTCTGGATCACACATTCTCATTCCCGCCAGCGATAAACGTTGGTCTAAGCAGACTGACACGGGCGTCACGCACTACCGTGCTGGTATGTCCCATGACGAGGAGACGCTGATCCCGAACATCTTCCGGTATATCATTCCCTGGGAGTCGGAATTTATCGACTCTCAACGTGTCTGGATGGAGTACTCGCAGAAGCGCCAGGAAGCGCACCAGCAGAACCGACGGCTGACCCTTGAGGATCTGGAAGACAGCTGGGATCGGGGCCTGCCGCGTATTAACACTCTGTTCCAGAAAGACCGAAGCACCCTCAGTTTTGACAAGGGCTTCCGAGCTAGGACCGAATTCAAGATCTATCAGCACATGAAGAGCAACCCGTTCTGGTGGACAAGTCAGCGTCACGATGGTAAGCTCTGGAACCTAAACGCATACCGTACGGACGTCATCCAGGCTCTTGGTGGTGTCGAGACCATCCTTGAGCACACCCTTTTCAAGGCAACTGCGTTCCCCTCGTGGGAAGGACTTTTCTGGGAGAAGGCCTCCGGTTTCGAAGAATCCATGAAATTCAAAAAGCTCACCAATGCCCAGCGGTCCGGACTGAACCAGATTCCCAATCGTCGATTTACCCTTTGGTGGTCTCCGACCATCAACCGTGCGAACGTCTACGTGGGTTTCCAGGTCCAGCTCGATTTGACTGGTATTTTCTTGCACGGCAAGATCCCTACACTCAAGATCTCGCTAATCCAAATCTTCCGTGCCCATCTGTGGCAGAAGATTCACGAGTCTGTCGTCATGGATTTGTGCCAGGTCTTCGACCAGGAACTAGAGGCTCTTGGGATCGAGACGGTGCAGAAAGAGACCATCCATCCCCGAAAGTCGTACAAGATGAACAGCTCTTGCGCGGATATCCTGCTGTTTGCCAGCCACAAGTGGAGTGTTTCGCCGCCATCGATGCTCTACGATACTAAGGATTCCATGAGCGCAGCCACCACCAACAAATTCTGGATCGACGTTCAGCTGCGCTATGGGGATTATGATTCTCACGATATCGAGCGCTACGTCCGTGCCAAGTATCTCGATTACACCCAGGATAGCATGAGTATCTACCCCTCGGCTACTGGATTGATGATTGCGATCGACCTTGCATACAACTTGTACTCGGCTTACGGACAGTACTTCCCCGGTCTCAAGCAGCTTATCCAGCAGGCTATGGCCAAAGTCATGAAGGCCAATCCCGCTCTTTACGTCCTCCGTGAGCGTATTCGAAAGGGTCTCCAGCTGTACGCTTCAGAGAGCAACCAGGAGTTCTTGAACTCCCAGAACTACTCCGAACTATTCAGCAACCAGGTCCAGCTGTTCATCGATGATACGAATGTGTACCGTGTCACGATCCACAAGACGTTCGAGGGCAACCTTACCACCAAGCCCATCAATGGAGCCATCTTCATCTTCAACCCACGAACCGGACAGCTTTTCTTGAAGATTATCCACACGAGCGTCTGGGCCGGTCAGAAACGTCTTGGTCAGTTAGCGAAGTGGAAGACGGCGGAAGAAGTAGCGGCTCTCATTCGTTCTCTGCCTGTCGAAGAGCAGCCGAAGCAGCTTATCGTGACGCGTAAGGGCTTGCTTGATCCTCTCGAAGTTCACCTTCTCGACTTCCCTAACATCTCGATTCGCGCGTCGGAACTGCAGCTACCATTCCAAGCCGCCATGAAGGTCGAGAAACTCGGCGACATGATTCTCCGTGCGACTGGACCTCAGATGGTTCTTTTCAATCTGTATGATGAGTGGCTGAAGACCATCTCGTCTTACACTGCTTTCTCTCGGCTGATCCTTATCTTGCGTGCGCTCCACGTCAACCAGGACAAGACCAAGCTACTGTTGCGTCCTGACAAGACTGTCATCACGCAGGAGCATCACATCTGGCCAACTCTCTCAGATGAGGACTGGATCAAGGTTGAGGTTCAACTTCGCGATCTCATTCTTAACGACTATGGCAAGAAGAACAACGTCAACACCTCTTCGCTCACGAGTAGTGAGGTGCGTGATATCATCCTGGGTATGGAAATCTCGGCGCCCTCGATGCAGCGTCAGCAGGCCGCAGAAATCGACAAGCAGCAGCAAGACCAGCAACAGTTGACCGCCGTCACCACGAAGACTCAGAACGTTCACGGTGAAGAGATGGTCGTTACCACCACATCGCAGTACGAGCAAGCGACGTTCGCCTCCAAGACCGAATGGCGGACGCGAGCGGTGGCAACGTCCAACCTCCGGACTCGTGCGAACAACATCTATATCAACTCGGAGGACGTCAAGGAGGAAGGTCACTTCACTTACGTCATGCCGAAGAATGTTCTCAAGCGGTTCATCACGATTGCCGATCTGCGTGTCCAGGTTGCGGGCTACCTCTATGGCAAACCGCCGCGAGACAACGACCAAGTCAAGGAGATTGTCACCATTGTCATGATTCCGCAGGTTGGCAACACACGAGACGTTCAGCTACCCAAGCAGCTACCTCAGCATGAGTACCTCAACGATCTAGAGCCTCTGGGTATCATCCACACTGTCAGCGGAAACGAGCCGCCCTATATGCAGGCCAGCGATGTCACCCAGCATGCCCGACTGATGAACACGCACGCCAACTGGGACAAGAAGACCGTCTCCATGACCGTCTCCTTCACACCTGGTTCTGTCTCGCTCGCCGCTTGGGCCCTTACACCCGCGGGCTACAAGTGGGGCGCGGAGAACAAGGACATCATGTCTGACAATCCCGCCGGCTTCTCCACCTCCTTCGGCGAAAAGTGCCAGCTGCTCCTTTCCGACAAGATCCGCGGCTACTTCCTTGTTCCAGATAACGGTGTCTGGAATTATAGCTTCATGGGTAGTGCTTTCAGTAACGTAGAGAAGAAGCCGGTGCATGTTAGGCTGGATACGCCACCAAGGTTCTATGACAGCGTGCATCGGCCGCTGCATTTCCATAATTTCGCTGAGTTGGAGGACGTTTGGGTGGATCGAGAGAACCAATTTGAGTAGACAGATCATGACGTGATAGGGATTATCACGCTGTAAGCTTATTCGGCGTCGGGGCAGGCAATGGCGTTCCTAAGTGAGCATGGACCGAGGAACAAAAGTGGCGTACAGTGTATATTAGTTTAATTCAGTGATGTGTATTTGTTCAATTTTCAACTTGACGAGTCCTCGCAGCCTCTCTCGTATCATTCTTCCTGGCTCACTTCCGCTCAGTCGCTTTCCGCTTTCGTTCCAGCACTTTGGGTTCCAGGAAGGGTGAGGGAGTTAGAAGAGGGTTGAACTGGATCACTGGCCCCTTCCGTCAGCTGCATTTCGCTTTCTAGATACCAGTTCGTACCTTTGCGTTTGCTCTGCTCTAAACTGAATGAAAGATCCCCCTGGGCTGTTTGTCCCTCGGTCGCAGAGGCTGACGTCAGTGGTCTTGACGCCGGCTTCAGACTTCGCTTCCCCAGCAACACAGTCCTTGGACCACTGCTCGAAGACTCGGGAGACATCCTGAACAGACAGATTATGTGCTTCGCTTCTTCCAAACTGTGCGTCGTCTGCAGAGCGGGGTCTAGAGACGGAGCGGCCCGTGCGTCATGCGCGTTGTGCCCCGCTGTTGCCATGCTGGGCGATAGCCGCGGAAGAAGCAACGACATGCCGCATGGGCATGCGTCTCGTTTGCGTATCTGGACCAGTTGAAAGGCACCACTCGCGTTCTCTGTTTTATCTATGATGGAGACCTGCCTATCGGACCTGTCGTGGAGAACGCGGATGGCGTTACGCTCGGTTGGTAGATCAGCGGTTCTGCGTATATATCTGTGGAGCACTGCGCGGGAATACAGCGGATTCAATTCGATTCTGCTCCTTCAATTGCCAGACCGACATCATGGCGTTGTCACAGCTTTCGACTCCGTCGGCTTCTTGTCTTGCGTGCTACGGCTTGATTGCTCTTGTCGCCTACGTAAGTACGCCTTTTCAGGTGTCCGTTATATCAAACAGCCTGACTCGCTTCAGTTCGCTGTTTTATCCATCTATCGCGTCTTCTTCCATCCCCTCGCAAAGTATCCGGGGCCGCTCAGCTACAAGCTCAGTGGCTGGCCGCTCCTATGGCAAGCTTACACTGGAGACCGACATATATGGCATTTGAAGGACCATGAGAAATACGGTATGCGAACCAGGCTGCTTATCGTAATGGGTGCGGTCAGATGACATGAACGCTCACTGATCTTGGATGTTACGTAATTGGCAGGACCAATCGTCCGCATCGCACCAAACACCCTCTCTTTCAACACCGCGTCAGCATTGAACACCATCTACGCTCCAAGAAACGCCAACGTTAAGAAAGGCGAATGGTACAAGACCTTCGACATCGCTGCCGGCACGTACAGCAGCTTCACGGAGACTGATAAGGAGAAGCATGCGATTAAGAGGAAATGGATGAGTCCAGCGTTCTCCGTCGAGTCTATGAAAAAGAATGAATCGGTGATCATCGATACCATTGAGCGGTTTTGCGAAACGATCAAGCCGGCGACAGAGGGCTGGGGCCCGAAGTGGAATATTTCCGAAGTGACGACTTTTTTGGGGTTTGATATCATGGGCGGGTTGGTGTTTGGGTGCGATTTTCGCAGTGTGCAGGAGCGCGAGAATAGGGACCTTGCGAACTCGGTGCTACCGGCTTCGAAGTTTCTCTACTGGGTACGTCCTTGCCCACATTGTCCTCGGCATGTGCTGATATTGTGGAAAGGTCTCCTATCTTCCCATGGCGGTCGTTGTGCGCCCGCTGCTGCGCACGAAGCTCTTCGAGATCGTTGGCGGCAAGCCAGTAGCGGACAATAACCGACTGATCGACTACGCAAACGCCCAGGTGCAGGCTCGCAATTCGGGGAATGAGGGGAATGAAAAGGGTATAAAGCGCGATCGAATAGATTTCCTGTCGCGTTTGGTGGGTGCTGAGGATAAGAAGACGGGTTGGCGCCCAACGACACTCGACCTGGATGTTGAAAGTCTCAACATGATGAACGCTGGCGCGGATCCGTATAGCAGCGTCATTGCTGGTGCGATCTTCTACCTCGTGCACAATCCAACCGCGCTGGAGAAGGCTACGGCGGAAATCCGGTGCGTTTAGCATCTTCCCCCGGTCCACTATATTGACGCTCTCCAGGTCGACTTTTGCATCACCGGGCGAGATCTGTAATGGCTCGAAACTAAACTCATGCACGTACCTCTATGCCTGCATCGAAGAAACGCTTCGTCGCACAGCCCCGGTCCCTAGCCACCTCCCACGCGTCGTGCTCCCAGGTGGCATCGAAGTTGACGGCCGTTTCCTGCCCGAGGGAACCGTGGTCGGCGTCCCCGCCTACACGATCCACCACAACCCAGCCTACTTCTCGGACCCATGGTCCTTCAAGCCGGAGCGCTGGATCGAGTCCCCCGACAACCTGCAATCCGCCATCGACCACGCGCGCAGGGCGTTTGAACCATATGGGCTGGGCACGAGGCAATGTATTGGCAAGAATTTAGCGTACTTGCAGTTGAAGTTGACGCTTGCGCACGTGCTGTGGAGGTTCGATCTGAGGTTGGCGCCGGACGAGAGGGGCAAGGGAGGGGGCAGGAAGGGACTGGGTGTTGGGAGGGAGAGGGAGGATGAGTTTCAGATGTGGGATGCGTTGGGGTTTGCGAGGGATGGGCCGATGGTGGAGTTTAGGGTGGCTCAATAGTCGCGTGTATCGGGGGTTTGAGGGTCTGTTTTATAGTTTCGGCGCTGCGCGATTTGATATGCTATAATCGGCGTGTGGGGAAGGGTTGCGACGGCTGTAAGGGTCTTCGCATGTGGATGTGGAGAAGCAGCAAGGACACGCTTCAAAGTCCAATCCTAGGGTTGAGTTACTAAGTTTATTGTATGCTGCTCAACCCCCGTACTATGTCAACAATCGGCCATGTTATTACTGTCAAACGTCATATGAACATGTACACGCTGTCTCTCCATACTACCTCTCGCCACCTTCTCCTCATCCTCCTCTAAAGAGATTCTTCGTAACGACACACTACCTCCACGATGAAGCTCCTGCACTTTCTCTACGGAGCCCTAGCTCTTTCCACAAGCGTCTCAGCCTACACTCTCCCAAAAGCCAGAGAGAGCCTCGTCACGAGCTGGAATGGAACCGCCAACTCAACCTCCTCAGCCATCCCCTACTCCTCCGCAACCCCAATCTACAACTCCACCTACAGTACCTCCAAAGACGCAGTCTCATCGCCGAACAACGTCTCCGAGCCGCTTCCATCCCCAATAGCTTCTTCGTGGCCATCTCCAGTCCTCTGGGCCAACAGCACCAGCAGCAACACCAACAGCACCAAGCTCCCACTCTCCTCTCTGAACATAAACACCACCTCCTCTTCCGCCTCGCCAAAAAAAGCGCTGTCAAACCCCGGCCCCGACAAAGCCTCCTCAAACCCCACCCGCGACCCCGACACTCTCGCCCACACCCAAGGCCTCCCGAACCCACACGACGTCTCGCGCACGAAGCTCACCACCTTCTGCGGCACCTCCTCCACAGAGCGCGCGCACTGCCGCGCGCTCGCCTCGCACGTGCACCAGTGCAGTGGCGCGCAGCGCCCGTGCCCGGACGGCCTTGCGCGCGACCTGCTCGCGTCGACGGTCGCGCTGGATCCGTGTGCCGCGGCGGATGAGCATCTTGAGTCGGCGCTGTGTGAGAAGTGGGCGGTTGAGGCGCGGAGGTGTCGCGATGCGAGCAAGAGGGCGTGTGGGCATCATCATGTGCTGTATTTGCTGAGGGGGATGAGGGACTTTTTGGGGCTGGAGGCGGAGTAGGGAGTGAGGATGGGTGGGGATGGTGGAGGAGTGGGGCGTTTGGTTTCTTTGGAGAGGCGCAATGGATGTAATGTCGGGCATTCATTCATGCTGTTACTGTAGTTTACTACTCTTACCATATCGATATAATACTTTGGTGGCTTGGTAAATTTCGTATCTCGGATGCCCGTCTCTCTCAGGCTTCCCGTTGTAATTCTCCGTTGGTATGTGACGATCTGGCTGCGGTTGGCGAGGACACTTTTGTTAAATTCCTAGAGTCCACGTCTGCAAAGGCGGGAAGGGAAGGCCGAAGAGGTTGAATCCTAAGAGCGAGGAATCCTGTTATCAGATGAAGGAAGACCAGGATAGGGTTGCTGCGAGAACCGAGCACCGCCAGGAGATTTAAAAGGCAGAGAAGATGACAAGCTTTAGGTCGCCGCAAGGCGGCTGCCAGTGCTTGATTTCCTTGACGTCGTTGTGGTTTACGATCCTTCGAATTCGTGCGCTCGCGTGGCTCTCGGTGCAGTCAGGGGTCCCCTCGGCCGAACTCCGCTCGGTAGGGTAGGCGATGTAAGCGAGCTTGGCGAGAATTCAGCGTCTGCACCTCACCGCTTGAAGCCGCTCAACGCCGTTCACACAATTGTCGAGGGCGCTTAGGCAGATCGGCAACCGACATCACGCACGAGGGCACTGCTCGGGGGATAGGATGAAGTGGAGGGAGTGAGGCGACTTAGAAAGGGTGACTGTGCGACTACGCTGACAAAGGACGAGCACGCTGTGCAATAGGCTCTCCGCTGGAGAGCATACGGCCTTATCAGGTCGGTGCGGCGATGCTGACGGCTCGATCTTCGTACAGCGAGCGCATCGAGTTTTCGTTGTTGAGACGCTTGCAGCAGTGTGAGCCTCGGGGTGCGACCTCCTCCCAAATCCCTTCCTCCATCGAGCGCAGAATATGTCGACAACAACTTCACAGAGTATTCAGGTCAGGAGAGGCGGCATCGCCGCCCGTCTTGTTGCTGAGCCCCTCAACCTTCCGAAAGGACGGCGTCTATACGAACTGCACGCCGAAGCTGACACCATCACGTTTGCCGGTAGCGTGCGATCACTAGTTGGTATGAGGAATCGTTCGTTCCGGGTTGTTTTTCTATTCGCTGACTATAATTCTCTTAATGTGGGCATTGTAGGTCGCCGCACGGACGTCAGCTCAAATTGCATTTCAGCCCCCATGGCAGGCCCTCAGGGACCCACAGTCAGACGCTTGAAGAACAACGCGACAAATCACAATCTCTCGCTCGATCTTAGCTTCGCATTAGAGCGCTCAGCTGCAATCCTGCGGCTCAGAGCACTCTAGCTAGGTTGAGGAAAAGGTCCCCGTACCACGGCGAATCAACCCTCTCCACGACGATTACGAGCATCAATATGAGAGATAGAATGCTTCCGGAACGCCTCTCAGCTGATTTTTACAGCTTTGGTTCGCGCCAAAGGCATGGTTATGAGTGGGTGGCACTGATGGGTAAGGCTTTCTGGAGCGGTGCTTCCGCATCCCGGCACTGTGTTCCGCCGGTTACTATTGATAAACGCCTGGCGGCCCGCTGCCCAGACGGTTTCTGTTCCTTCTCGGTCGGTTCCTGAAGCGTTGCTCCACCTTCCGCAAATATGGATCATGTTGATGGTTCTGGGAGACATGCGGAGGCGATCGGTACGCCGACGAGTCCTCCTCGGAGGTATACCTCGCCGCTGTCTGAGATGATCGACAATACGCCGCCGATGCCTGTTGAAGCTCATGGCTTCCCGTGAGTGCCATACCTACCCCACTGGAATATGGTGTTCCGATCTTCGAGACGACTTAGCAACCATCTGACTAGACTACAGGCCGTACAACGACAAGAAATATCCACCCAGCTCACCTACCGACTACTCCGCTCTCGAGGTTGTTGAGCCATACCCTTCCCAATATGCCCACTATGACAGCCCGCCGCCCGGTTCACCTCCTCCCCACGCTATGTCGCCGCAATTTGCGCCAATGCAATTCAACGAAAAGGGCGAACCGATCACCCACGATCAAGCAGTACCCGCCAAAGAATCGAGGACGTGCGGTATGAGGAGGCGTACGTTCTTCATTATGCTGATCGCTTTGGTTATCGCTATTGTCGTTCTTGGTGTTGCTCTTGGTGTGGGACTGGGCGTGGGATTGAAGAAAGACTCGTACGTGGTGGCAATGCTTTTAATTCTTGCAAGGCTGACGGGATGTTAGTGATGGAGATAATTCCTCGGATCCGTACTGTCTCGATCACCCGGAGCTCTGCATTGGCGGCGCGCTCGACGCCAACTTCTACTCCAAGCAAGGCGCATTCAACGGAACGGGCATTGCGCTGGCAGGCGAATCATGGAACAAGGATCAACGCCGCATTTTCACGCTGTACTTCCAGCACCACACCGGTGATTTACGTTTTATGCAGTATACAACGGATCGGCAGTGGATCGGAGGAACTAAGTCGGAGACTGTCGCAACGGATGCAAAGGATTCGACGCCCATTTCTGCCGTGGCATATGCCCTGAACCACACACAATACGTGAGCAGCACCCTGACTTGTGTCGACCTGGCTAACAAAGCGGGTATAGTTCCATCTCTTCTACGTCTCCAAGAATAACACAATCCGACAAATGACGTTTAACAACGACACTTCTATTTGGCAACCTGGCCCGCTGAGCGGCTTGAACCTCGAAGTATTTGACTCGCCCAGCGTCGGACTGCAGGCCTGCTGGAAGGGCAACTTTTACGGCGACTCCGACTATTCCAAGTTTCCGACGGCCAGCGGCCAGGCGAACGAGATACCTTTCGATGAGCGCGTCGGCATGAACCTGTGGTACGCGAGCGACGAGTCAACGTTCGAGCAGTACGCGTGGTACAACGGGCAGGACATGTGGGTAAAATTAAACCCATGGCAAGGCAAAAATGGACATGCGGGCGTAGGCTGTTACTCATGGGGCACGGGCACAACCACCTACGCGATGATGGTCAACAAGAACAACGACACCGAGATCTGGTGGAAGGACACAAACACCACGACCACGTCCGAAGATTCCCACCCAATCAATTCGTGGGTGAACTCAACAGACGCCGCGATCCGCGGCGTCTACCCGTCGACATCGCTCGGCTACACAACCTACTTCTACGCGCAGATGGCGGACCGCTCGGTGCAGGGCTTCAACATCACGTACAGCGCCGAGAACACGACGATCGAGCAGGACGACACGTTCACCATTACCGATCCGGGGGGCCCCGTGCCCGGCCTCGGTGGCACGCATCTGACGTGCACGGCGTTCGCGGAGACGCAGATGGATGGCAATGTGACGAAGACGCTGTGGGATAGTCTGTATGTGTTTTACCAGACGGAGGGCGACGATATCACGGCGTTTACGCGGCCGATTGCCGGCGGCGAGTGGACGAAGGGCAGCTTGAAGATACCGGATGAGTAGTGAGCTGAGCCGCGGTGCCTGCGGTTAGGAGTTCTGGTAGATTTCCTTCTTCTCCAGCGCGTCGCTCTTTGTTGCTGGATGGATGGATGGATGGATGGATGGCGGGTTTGCGCCGTGTATATACCTCTTCTTAAAGCTAATGATGACGATGATGATACCTCCCCTGCGCGTCTCTGAGCTAGTTTAAGAGTCAGTTCGTTTCGCGTGGTACATAATCTAGATATGGAAAGCGGCTACTTTTCGCTCAATAGATCGAGTGGTCCGGAGTCCCTCTACTTTACTGAAGCACTCCATATCCTTACCGTAAGCCGCGTGAGCCACGACTCCCTTCCACTCTGTAAAGTTTGTAAGCTTCGCAGAAAGGGCGGGTATGGGCAGGGGGGCGGTCGCCACAGTCGGCCTTTGAGGACCGTTAGCGAAGCGTGGTCTCCAATCCCATCCCTTCACACGACGGCCTTCCGAGCGTACGCGCAACGAGAAGGAGAGCACGTTTCAACTTCTTGGTAATACGGCGGCCTCTCCGCCTTCAGGGTATATGCTGTAGCATTAAACGATGCAGCCGTCGAAGCCTGGGGACACGGCACGTCTGAGCGACCGCCCTCGCGAAACGGGAATGAAGTGTTTCCGTCGATGAGGATAGATAAATAACTGGGATGTTACTGTAAAGGACGGATATGGAAATGCTGGAAGCGGCTATTTTGTGCTTCAGTGTTATTCTGATGCCGAAGGACTTCTGGAAGGGCGTTGTGTTGACGCAGTCAGAATTGCCGATGCGAGTAGTGCCCAGCGAGAGATGAACGCGTTCCATGACTTCGGACAGACAAATATCGCTGGGGTTAACTGCAGACTGATGGACGAGTGACGGAATGCAAAGAAGAACTCGTGATATCGATGTATTCTCGTTGCGTCGTATATATCTCGTGTGCTTCCACGCACCGGCTGCCCCGATATCAATAGCGAATGAGGGTATCGTATCGTACAATTCCTCGATCATCAACAGTATATAGCCATCTGTTACGCCGACAAGCACTCCGTATCAACACTTATAAGTCATCACCGCCCTCATAGCGCCTCAAAAACTCCCACATAGCCCTAACTACAGCAACGCCACCACCCTGCGTCTCGACGGTGCGGCCTCGCCCCCGATCATTGAGATCACTCGTAATGTGGACGTTGCGTGGAGACAAGGGCTGGAAGATGAATTCCTCGCCCGTCCCCGGGTCGGAAACGTCAGAAAGCGAATTGCGATAGTCGAAAGCGTCCCCGGGGATTAGCGGATTCGCCTCAGGTGGCCACTCCGCCTTTCTCCGCGCATCTGGGTCCGCCTCCGCGCCCCACCACGTGCCAAACTTTCCCTTGCTGTCTCGAGTCTTAAGCGCGGCTTGTGCGTTGTGGACCACCCACGGCGCATACTCGTTGCAGCTCTGGTGATGTAGTTTACCCGTGGCCGGCGAAGCGCCGAACGTCTTGCCGCGGCGGACGGGGACGAGAGGAAGCGGCGTGCAGAATGTAGTTAGGTGGTGAAAGAAGATTCCCTTAAACGTGTGCCCGTTTTGCGAGCAGGTGCCGAAGGGGTCGCAGAGCTCGGTGAGGATACCGTGCGCACCGAGGCCAGCCCAGCCGCCGGCTGGTACTGGGAAGAGGTAGGGATTCCTTGCGGGGTTTTCGTGCTTGGATGGGGTCGTGAGGGAGACTGTCGGCGCGATGTCGGTGTCTGTCCAGCCAGTAGCGTGGATCACGTTGCGGATAAGTTCGTGGCCGTCTTCGAGGTAGGTTATGTTTCCCGTAGCTTCCCAGAGCCCGCGGAGACCAGAGAGAATCACGCCTTGGTTGTAGGTGTATACCATTTCGTTACGGTCATCGCATTCCGTTTTACTGTGGTTGCGGTAGTAGTCCTTAATGTGGAAGCCGTCCACGTAGAGACCCTGGTCATTTGTCATCCCAACGTTCTTGAGCCAGTCATAACCATTGATTGCATTCGCGAGATAGATCGGATCGTATGTTGGAGACGCTGGGGTTCCGTCTGGGCAAGCGGCAGGGTCGCGTTGTTCTTGTGCGTGGAGTCTCTTCCAGTCGGGGTGTGCTTGATCCTTCGCGCCTAGGAACGGGGAGCAGTTATCGTCGCCGGGGAAGTAGAGATACATGTCGATGCTGGCCGAGATGAACAGCTCGTTCGTGATGGCGTTCTTGTAAGGTAGTAATCGTGGATTCCACGTCAGGCCTCCACCGCAGAGTCTCCAATCCCATCCCTTTTCGGCCAATTCATAGAATACCCTTGCGCGATGTGCAAACGCAGGTATGAACTGTCGCGCGTACCACTCTCCATCTCCGTTCTCACCGCTAGGCGGATAATGGCTGTCCGAATGTGAATCTATAAATTGTACGCTCTCCAGCCACCCTAAAACCACCCACAGGATATCGTCGTACGCCTGGTTCCGTATCGCAAAGTGGTCCTCTCCAAAGTAGTACGTGATGATATGACTGAAGTATTTGTTGATCTCATTTTCTATCATTTGCGCTTCCACATCGAGTTTCCGCGTCTTGTCAAATGTGCCCGGCATGGTGTAGGTCAACGAGTGGGAAAGCGAGGAGAGCGTTGCGGAGACATGGGTCCCCATTACGGCGGCAGTCCAGTCAATTGCTGTGGTCCACTTCCCGAGCCAAAGCGAGAAGTATTCGGTTTGCATTGTTTCGAGCGCAGCGTGGAGTTCTTGGAGGGCGTTGGTTACGGCAGTGGGGGAGTAGAAGGCCGCGTGCTCGCGCACGGGCTCGTCTGGGGGAATATTGGGCCGCAGTGGGTGGAAAGCATTCTGATTTTCGGTCTCGTAAACCGCTTCTCTCTCTGCTGTCGAGATTTAGTGACTGCTGGCGCGGAACAGGCTGGAAGGAGAGCTTACTGGGGGCAGCTTCCCCGTTACTTTCTCTGGCTAACGTAAAGAAGGCCAAGAAGCCGAGCAGGAGAAGCATGTCCAGCCATAGTCGCTCATTGAAGGCGACCCAGTTTCTCATGATTGCGAGCGACAAGAAGCGTCGGATGCCCCAATTGGAACGAATGGCTGTGCGGGCTCGAGCTGAACGATGTTTGAAGGGAATCGCAGGCCGCCCTGCGAGAGAGCGGCGGGTATAAACGTGCTAGGAAACGGACATAGGATCAATAGAGCTCATACAGGCCAGGACCCAAGCGATGCGATCAACGGCTGCGAAGGTGGAGGAAGGAGCGTCAGCTCGTGCGGAGGGATGATGGCATGGAGATGTTCAAGCTCGGGCCATGTGCTTTCGAGTCATGGCCCCCATATTTGAAGGAAAGACGGCGTTCTTGGCAGCTCTGGACGTGGTGCACTCGACCTCCTGTCTAGAAAATTCCCCTTCCATTACAATGCCTTCAGCACAGTTTGCTCGCTGTCAATGAATATACCTGGGCATGTAGGTACCCGCGCTGTGAGATCTGACGGGAACTAACCAGTCCCATGAATCTCATTCTGCAGGAACCAGAGAACCCCGCACTACTAGCCTCCTTCGTCCAACCCTTCAGATTCATCGACCTCTAAACCCAATCTCAAAACCCCATTGTGAGATTGGGCTTAGTTCAACGACTGGATCTGCAACTTCGACGGAGGAGGGAGGATGGGAAACACCGGCCCTTGGAAGAGGCGTATGTGCATGGCGCTGGTGTACTGGAGTTGTGAAGCAGAAGAGGTTGGAGAAGATATGCATTGTTTAAGATTATTATGGAGAGCATGGCAATGTGTTCTGGGTGTGCAGGCACTCTATTCCAAAATTTGTAGCTACAATTATAGGTAGAAGGCACTTTAGCTATGGGCTGAAGCGTCACTCTGCGAAGATACAACCTGAACGTTTCCCTCCAACTCGCTTAGCACAAACGGATCCACGCGGCTTCTCCGCTCCACTGACCCAAAAATACCACCCATGAGGCGCCAACATGCCCACGAAAACTAACTGGATGCAAAACAAAAGGCAAAAAGGTATGTTGACAAGAGTGGGACTCGAACTATGAGATGTTAGTAATGTTACTGGAAGGGGTGGAGAACGAACATACCCCACGAGGATTGCTCCACTAGCACCTGAAGCTAGCGCCTTAACCACTCGGCCATCTTGCCATGGAATTATGGTATTTTCAGTGTTTTATTTATTTATATAGCAGAGAGAAATTGTGGGCACGCGATTAGTCAAGGCGAAATCGGGTACAAAGTGCGGAAAGAGGGGCGACGATAACCGAGGAACGCATCACGAGCAAAGCTTGGACCCGGGCATGCCGTGATACGTGGGGCGACGAGGCGTAGTGGGGTAGGCGTCATGGCTGCTCGGTCCACACTTCGACCCGAGGCCTCCTCTCTCCAACACCACCTTTCAACCTGAACCGCCCTCTCATGGTGTGGAATTCTCCGGGTAGAACGACGTGCGTAATAGCTACTCTAGAGGCCTTCGCGAGTGCGTAAAAGGGACGAGCTAATCTTCCTTACTTGTACGGCGAGCCCTTAGATCCGGAGAATTCCCTACCGCAAGAGCCACCATGGACATCGGTGTCGAACCATCGCGGGAATAGACTTGTATGCGTTTGCTGGAATTATTGAGCTGTGGTCTACGCCGTAGCAATAGTTCATCCCCTAGCCTACGCTCCGCATCCCCTTACGGTTTCCACGCGAAGAGGTAGGAGATGGGAAGTCTTCAACGCCAGCAATGCCGTTCGTACGGCTACAGACCGGAATCATCTGTTACCGCTGAAGGCTTTGAGCTGTAGCTCCCGAAATGCACGAACCAGACGTTGGTATTCGTAGCACCCCGCTCCCACGCTCTTTCTACCCACGAACTGCCACACCCCATTCACAAGACGAAGGCACACGCTTTCTACACGCCGAGTACTTTAAGCTTCACCCAATACACTATTAAGAGTCTGAATCATCTCGTTGTAAAAGCCAGGAGGTAGCATTCACTCACAGCGCGAAAACCGACCGGGAACAGTTGACACCATGAAGGTCTTCAGGCTGCCACATGTCAAGCTCAGTTGATAGTTATCGTTATATACTGAAAGCCGATGCGATGAGAAAGAAGCTGGAGTTTACGAACCAGGTCGAGGCTCCGACCAACCGCGAGAAGGCGTATACATCGGCGTAGCTCAGCCTACGTGTTTACTTTCTCGATCATTCGCGTGGTGGGTGGTAAATGGGCTGAAGGCCTCTAGGATCACGCATGCGGGGACTGGAATCGGTACATATATCTAGGTCTCCCTTGACAGACACTGGATACACAGCGACATTTCTTTCGGAGCATGATACGTCCGGCGACTACGGAGGTCTTATGCTTCCTCTTGTAAGTCTCCCAGCCTCGAAAGATACAAGTTCCCCTGAACTTCGCCTCACGGCCCGTGTCCTTCAAATTTATCCCCACTTCGTCCAGCCGCAGGGAATGTACTTCCTAACAGCTAACGGGTGTTTGAAGATACCTCTCACATAATCCTCAGATCCCCAAATCCCTTCAGCACATCCTTATCCACCCTGCTCAGCCACTCCTCCTGGAAATGCTGCTCGCCTCCCACACCTTGGATAGCCTGCTGCAAGTGCTCGCGCACAAAGGCGACGAGGTTGATGCGGTGCACGGGGTCCGAGTAGATGAGTTCGCGCTTGCGGGCGTCTTCGGGGGCTTCGGGCTCGTTCGGGATGAAGGGCGTGGGTTCTTCGGGCCAGTAGAGAGAACTGAATCGCAGCATTAGCAACAGTGGGAAAGTAGGACGAATGGGTCCACATACTCAGCGCTCATATCATCCATGCCATCCAGCAGCTCGCCCAGCACATCCGTCCACACGACAATCAGACTCTGCAGCCGGCCCAGGATCCACGGCGCGCCCGTCTCCAGCAGTCGCGTCAGCACAAGCGTCATGAGCTTCTTACTCGGCGGATCGCCAATATTCTCAATATGTCCGCACCACTCTTCCAGCAGCCAGTCTAACGTCTTCTCCAACTCTGCGCCACCAATCGACGACAAGGCTTCCAGAAGGACTGCCGGTGACGCAAGCCCGATCCGTGCGAGGACAGTAAAGTAGTCTGTTTCCACGACGCCGTCGACGGCACGAGAGGGCAGCTCGCGGTACGGGCCGTGAGATTGGTGGTGCGTCCATGCGCCATGGAGACCTTCCATGATCTTCGCGAGGAAGCCGGTGGAAATAAGATCGCCGACGAGGACTTTGACAGCCTGCTCGCCACCCAGACCATCGGCACCGCGGATAATGCATTGCATGAGATGCGAGACCGTGCCGCTGGCTTCTGGCTTCAAATTGCCGATCAGCTCTGCCAGCGCACGGAGCAGCTCGGGTCGGAAGTTGTCAGCCAACACGGACGCCGGCGAAAGGAGCAGATACGCCTCGGTAATCTCGATGGCTTTGCGAAGGGTCTCGTTGTCCATCGCAAATAGTGGGAGGAGATACTGGAGTAGGTTCAATAGTTGCGGAGGCGCAAGTTCAGGAGCAGAGGGTGTCTGCGCGAGTATGGATGACCAGAGGTCGAGCGCGTCTTCGAGGAGGTAGACCTGGGTTTCAGAGCCCGGCTCGATGGCACTCTGGATGATGGGAAGGAAGGACATGTGGAAAGAGCGGGACTCAGCCTTCATGGCGTTCGTGAGGCGGGCGAGGATTGTGAGGATGGCCTGCTTCATGAGATGCTCCTGGCCGGACTGTTCCCATAATGGTGGAAGGAGGGAGATGATGTTATTAGCATATGGGGTGATCTAACAATAGTCAGCGCGAACTTCTCAATTCCTCCAAAGAACTTACATGGTGTTCAAGCCTCTCGACTATGATGCTAATGGTATTGAGCAGCGCCATCTTGGTCTCTTGCAGCTCGACTTCCTGCACCAGCGCCATTAATCTCTCCAACATAACAGGGGCGTACGGCAAGAAGTTATCTGCATCGAACTCCCACTCGTCAGCAACGTCCTTGAACTTCCTTCCAGCGGTAACTCGTACGACCTGATCGTTGAGCGGATCATTCTTGTCCAGCAAATGCTGATATATCTGATAGACAATCGGTTTCTTCTCTTTCGCGACCTTGATAGCTATCCATTGGGATATGATGATAGCTATGCGGCGGCGGATGATGTTGAATCCTGGCTTCTGTTTCTGGGCCTCGGCAACCAAAGTGTTGGTGATGAACGAATCGAAGTCGAGCTGATCGTGGAGGATGTCGGCTGCCAGACCAATGGCGGTGTATACAGAGTCTTTGAAGAGAATATCCTCGTTCTCTGGTGCTGTTGCTTGTTAGCATAAGCGACCTGGCTGCGATTGTGAGGACTCACTAGCAACCGAATGGAAGACTTGAAGCAGAGGCTGGATGATCAAATCTTTGAAATTCTTTGCGAGGTCTAGGAACAGTTTCTCTGCGCAAGGCCGGATCGCGAATTCCCAGTCTTCCCCGCCCTCTTCCATCTTCTCCCACTCGTCGGGTTCTTCCTCCCACATGCGTAGGTCACTCGGCCTGAAAACGAAGAAGCGTGTGACAAGAGCGGAAATTATTTCGCGGACGAGATCATCAGTGAGCAGCTCTGACTTGATCATCTGCGTGGCCTTGTTGCGCTCGTCTTTCTCTTGTTGATGTTTATAGCGGAAAGTGTTCGCTGGATAGAAGACCATCCTAATGCAGGCGCGAATCAGAAGCAGACCCTTCAAGCCTAAGCGCTCGAGGATGGGGGCATCATCCTCTTGGTCGCCGTCGGTGCCAATCGTGGCGCCGTCCAGAGACTTCGAGCCCCACGTCTCTCCAAGTCGCGAGACAAGACTCCAGTAGGCTTGAACAAGATCTAGAGAATTCGGTAATAGGACAAAGTCCGCTGGGTGCGTTGTGGCCATTGCTAGATGGAATTTGGCGAGCTGCATCAAGTGCTTCTCTACAAGCTTCCGGACAGGTGGTGCAAGCGGGGAACCTTCTTCCATCACGTATGGAAGAAAGTCGGCGAAGTGGCTCCGGGACAGTGTCCAGAATTCTTGGACGTCCTTCTCCCTCCCGGGAAAGTCGTAACCTGCGATGATCAGCCGCCTCAGGATCTTGATGGCGAGCAGGCTGTTCTCAATGTTCTCGAGGGCACCGCCTTCGTCGTCTCCGCCATCGCGGAAGAAAGCCTGCCAGCTCTGGACCTTGTTCATGTAGATGGTGCCGAGAACATTCAATATCTCCGGCGTCACACTCTGTAGATTCTGCCGGGTTCTTAGCAGGCGCCCCGTGGACAGCTCCTTCACAATGTATAGCAGCACGAGGAGGGTGCGAGGTAGTTGCAGGCGGAAAGCATTCGGATCCGTGGAGGCGCGGAGGATTTGGAGCAACTGTTGGAAGAGGTCTGGCCTGTCAAATGTCAGCATAAGCTACCTTGGAACCACATGCGCTGTTGTACCAGTCCACCGGGAACTCGAAGCGGACAATCTTCGCGACCACCAAGGCATTTTGTAGCGCTAGACGCTGGTCTGCCTCATTGACGGCGCTCTCAAGCAGCCTCGCCCGGATCGTTGCCTTGTCCTGCTTGTGCACAGCGCTGTTGACCGTCAGGATACGTTTGCTGTTAATGGTCGTCAAAGCATACTTGGTTGCCGTCTTGCGCCAGTATTTGTCGATGCCGTTCTTCAGCTGGATGATGGCGAGGTAGCGGACCTCGTACGGTAGGGACTTGTCGAGGAAGACGGACTAGAAAGGCATCAGCGTCCAAGTGCATGCGACTCTCGAGGTATACTGACCTGAAGCAAAGGGTAGTAGCCCTGCGCCTTTTCCCACTCCTGCAGCTGCTTGGTGCCAGTCTGGATCTGCGTCGGGTCCGTCGAAGACGCCGAGCGCAGGACATGGAAGAGAATGCCCTCGGTCAGAGGGTTTGCCTCCCCCGGCACCTCTATCACGCTGAATTCGACGTCCATGGCTCGAGTCCGCCGGACTGGAAGCTGTCTCAAAATTGCGGCGGTGGTGGGGTCAATCGACAGCAACCTGTGCGGCGTGGAGAGAGTCGAGGGGGCGAAGGGCGATATATGGCGGGCGGAAGCTCGGCAGCGGAGGGGAGAAGTGTCCTGCTCACCCAGGCACAGGAAAGGGCTTGAGGCACACAATGTTCGAGCTTGTTTATTTGCTGGCGTGGACTTCACCAAAAAGCTCCCCGCAATGCTCCGAATCGCCAAATTCCGTCACACCCGCTCCGTATCAGCAGCCGCGTTCCGACCTATTTCCGCGCCCTGTCTGCTCCATCGAATACGCCCGTCTCCACCGATCTTGCACGTGAAGACCCAAAAAAGAGGGTTTCCCTCGATTTCTCAAGACAAGATGCAGCCAAGATAGCTACGCTAGCATTCTCACCTCCGCCCCACTGCCGTCGTCGGCTGGAGTGGCCCTAGACCTCGGCCCAGGCCTCTCAACGCGGATCACGCTATCACGTTCACATTCTCTTTCAACCACCACCTCCCCCTTCGCTGTTTCCTCGCTCTCCTCCCTCCAAATGACCCTCAATGCCTTCCGCAGACTTCGCCGCCGCTCAAGAACGCATAGCTGCCCGCCGCGCTCAACGCGCGCGCGCGAACCATGACGCCTCCACATCTGCGCGCAGCTCCGCAAGCTCGGTATCCCGCCTACCCTTCCCCTTCAACACACTCGGCACCACGGGCCTATCTGCATGGAACGCGATAAGAGGCCGCGAAGGCACCCGACCGGAGTTCCGCGTGGGCCAGGTAGACGCGGAATTGCTGGATGAAGAGCTGTTGGAGTTGTTGAAAGGGCAGGTTTCGGAAGGACTGAAGTACTTTGGGTCGCATATCACGGACACATACACGCCGGAGATTCTGTTAGGCCTGAGACTGGTGTTGTTCAAGCTGAGCATATGGAACAACAATGCGAGTTACGGCGCGCATCTACAGGGGCTGCGGTACACAGATGCGAGAAGCAGTGCGCCGGATCGGCCGCTGCCCAAGAAGTGGCAGAAGGCTGCCTATGGGCTGATAACAGTTGGGGGACGTTACGCGTGGACGAAGTGGGAAGAGTATCTCCTCTCGACCTCGGAAGACTATACCAGGCCGCAGTCGGAGACGCTGCGACTTGCCTCGCGGATAACCGAGTACATAAACTCAGCACACGACGTCGCATCCCTGGCCTCTTTCCTCGTCTTCCTCGTAAACGGCCGATATAGAACATTGACAGACCGTCTCCTGCGCCTGCGTCTCGCGCCGACATCGCACTCTGCCAGCAGGGAGGTATCCTTCGAGTACCTCAACCGCCAGCTCGTCTGGCACGCCTTCACCGAATTCCTACTCTTCCTCCTCCCCCTTGTTGGCATCTCCCGCTGGCGCCGCATCCTCTCCCGCACATGGCGCAAACTCCGCACCTCCATTCTATCCCTCCTCGGCAGAGCACCCTCCTCCACCGACGAGGATGACGACTCGAAGACCGCAGGCGAGCTCGGCTTCCTCCCCGAACGCACCTGCGCCATCTGCTACCGCGACCAGAATCCCACCACTGCGACTGAACAAGACATCATCTCACAGTCTGCTGGCGGTGGCGGCGTGGTTGGCTCCGCGGCCACGGATATCACGAACCCGTACGAGGCGGTGCCGTGTGGGTGTATCTACTGCTTCGCCTGCCTCGCGCAGAGGATCGCAAACGAAGAGGGCGAGGGATGGACATGCCTCCGCTGTGGCGAGCTCGTGAAGGAGTGTCGCCCCTGGAACGGTGACGTTATCGAAGAACGACGCACCTCCCACTCCCAGGCTTCGCACGCAGCAGGCAACGGGAAGAGCGTGGGCTTCGCAACAACGCAGGGCGAGGACGACCACGAACAGCATGTACGTGCGCAAAAAGAGGCGTTGCGCGAAGTAGAACCGATCCCCGAGCAGGACATCACTGGCTCTACCGCGAGCGAGGAGGGCAGAATGGGCCTTGAGTCTACGCGCGGGCTTGACCTCGGCGAGAGTCTTGATGAGAGTGCGGAGTGGGCGCGAGCGAGCGAGGACCGGAGCAGCGACGAGCAGAGCGAGGAGTATGACGAGGATGAAGAGGAAGAGGGCGAGGAACTGGACTATGAGGGGAATTAGATTAGCACTGTTTGTTGTAGACATCGGCTTTTCTAGCCTACGCTGCGCAAGTGTTGCGCTTGCTGAATGAATCTTCTTTGTACATGCTTCAGTCAGCCAGCGTCTTGTGCGATTTCGCCGGTGACAGCTCGGAACTGGTATCCACATTGAACCGCACATTGCATCAGGAGCGGGAAGATGGTGCGAGGTAGATAGACGGACAAGCTGCAAGCACTTCGCTTTTTGACACCCAGTTCGGACGCATATAATACAATGTGATGTTATGATCCGCCGCCGTCGCAGACCGGACCCTCAGTGGGGCTTTTCTGAAGCATCATATCTGTTTTCCCCCTATATGGCCACCCTCGCCACAAGCAATTCTCGTCAAGAACAAGCGCTGTGGCCTTAGAGCCCACCCGTCGAAGAGACGAAACCGTAGATACGAAGAGAGAGAGACAGAGAGATCGTCCCTATCACGTCCGCATGAAGTCTGCAAACCTCGGCAGCGCCGCCATCTTCTCCTCCGGACTCACAGCGTCGTCGAAGAACACCAGCTTGATATTCTTATCCTTCTTGCCCTTCTTCTCCGCCGCAGCGGGTTCCGCAGCTGGAGTTGGAGCTGGAGCTGGGGGCGCAGCGCCGGCAGCACCCTTCGTAACGTCTGCAATGAGGTCGTCCAATGACGCTGATAGCGCGCTTGGGTCTGCTCCAACCGGAGGTGCTCCGTTCGTAGGCGGGAACGCACCTGGTGGTGGAGCGCCGAAGCCGGGTCGCTGGGGAAGACCTGAGCTGCCGGGGATGCTGCCGGGTCGCGGGGGATATGCAGGTGGGAAGGCCTGGCCTGGCGGGAATTGCGGTGCTCCTGGGGGAGGAAATTGTTGGCCGGGCAGGAAGGGAGGTGCTGCGGCGCCTGGGGGTGCACCGAAGGGTTGAACCGCGGGCGGTGTCTACAAACGCATCTGTTAGCCCTGCCATAGAACGCGACCGTCGCTCCACTCATGCACTCACCGGAATCTGCACCACCTCCGCAACAGGCGGCGCCGGCGCGGGAATAATCCCATTCGCCCTATCCTGCCGATACTTCTCCGCCCTCTTCTCGATCTCCTCCAAGCTCTCGTTAACCCGAGCCCGCTTATTTGGCACCACCGCTCCATTTGCAAACGCCCCGCGCGCCGGATTCCCCGTCATCCGCTGCCGCTCTGCCTCCTCCGCGAAGTGCTTCTGCGTCACCTGCTGGTTGTGCTGGTCCACGATCTCCGCCGGCACGCCCTCCATGCCGAAGATCTCGATGTCGAGGCCTTGTCGCCCGGGGATCGCATTTTCGACGTGCGTGAGATTCTCTTTGTGGACTTGGTTCATGTGCACGGAGAGACCTGGGGCGGACGTTAGTATGGAGTCGGGCGAGAGGGGGCCTGGATTGTCGAAGCCGAGTGGTTTACTTACCTCCGGCTGTGTTTAGGCGCCGGCCGCAGCGGTCGCATTTGAAGTGCTTGGCCTTCTGGTGCGAGATGAGGATCTTGAGGTCGTCGAAGTCGCGCTCGCAGTAGTAGCACCAGGGCCGCTCGAGCTTCTGGTTGAGGTCGGGGTACCTCTTTCGCTTCTTCGTCATCGTGGGCGGCTAACGCAGCGCGTGGGGATATAGAGGGTCGTTCAGCAACGCGGGTGGACTGGGAAATATGGGTCAGGTTCTCGATGTTGGCTTCGAGGATTGTCGAGGAGCGGAGCTGCAGGTGAAGTTGGGGAAAAGGCTTGGCGCGACTCGGAGCTCTTGGCGCTGCCTAAACCTTCTCTCTCTGGCTTCACTCCGCTTCCTCACGCTCACACACCCTCTAGAGAGCCTCCTTCATGTCAGGAGAATCATAAGACGCGTGTTCCATCATTTCTACTGCAGCTTTGATGACTTCTACCTAAGCAACCCGCACACCAGCCACTTGGTCTCCGACACCTTCACAAGTCCCCTTGGGGAGCATCCCTCATCTTCGCGTTCTGCGTCGATGCGGTGCATGCGGCTGCACCAATCGCCCGTGCTTTCCGTTGCAAGAACAAAAAAGGTCCTTCATAGTTCACACTTCCTCGCTCTTCCGAGATCTCCTACGAAGAGTGTGACTCCTTGCGCACCTACATATCCCTGCACCATCCCAACATCTTTTCATATCAAAAGCACCGAGGTACTATTCAGACACCAGAGCCATGAGGTTGAATCCTAAGTTTGCACCCTGCTCGCTCGCAATCATGTCGCGGATGACGCGGAGGCACGCGTCTGAAAGCACGTCTTCTTCCGTCGAGAGAGGGCCAAGGTCGAGCGGTCGTTTGCGCATGCCGTCCATTTGATACAAATGCCCGTTCTGCTGAGACTTCACGAAGCAGATGTAATGGTAGTCGACGTCTACTTCGGGGTTTTCCGGTGGTGCTGTGTCGCCTTTGCTAGCCACCGAAGCGTAGGCTTCTTCGAGCTCCTTGCTATCTTCGAGCGCTAGTCCCCGCTCGTCTGGCTTGAGAGGTGTGCAAGCCTTGAGCAGGCTGGCCATGAGAGCTTCGTCTCCTATGCCGGTTAGTTTTAGCTGTTGATCACGGGATGCGCTCCCAAGTGCCACAGTAAACATACCCATCAACGCCCTTGCACTGCCGTTGCAGATTCCGTGGAGAATAGCATACAGTCCACAGGCGTTGTTGATAGTTTGCTTGAAGAAGACTACTCCCTCCCCGTCCCCACAGCCGACGTACTCGGTCAGCCTAGCATCTTCGTCCACGACCCGCTTCTCGTACGCTCTCGTTGTCGGGAAGACCAGGACAAGCGCGTGGGCTGGGCGCGGAATCAACGCGAGCAGCTCGGGATCATCGAGCGAGTAGACATCTTGGAAACTGAGGGAATCCGACATGCCGAGCTTGTGGATGAGCTCGGTGAAGACATCTGGGTTCGATTCGAGGGGAAGGAAGTGCTTGCGCCAGTGCCGCTTTGGTTCTGGGCCGTCTCCGTTCATGATGAGAGATGTGCTGGGGGAATCAGCGCAAACGAGAACAAGAGTTACAAGTGAGACTGCGCGGGAGGTGACAATGTAAAGCGAGGAGCTGCCAAGCCGTGATTGGTCAGGCAACTTCCATCACGGTGGAAGTGAGTATCTAGACTCTAGGCACCCCACACCCGAGTAGTCCATGTAGACGCTGGAAAGAATATGAGATATGGATCACGTCACGGTTACTGGCAAACAATCACAAGGTTCGTTTCCCGAGATCATTCTCCTTGGTCTGCTTCATACTCTTTCACGGGCAAAAGGGGTTGGATGGAGTAGTATTGATTCACGAGTTCCTGATCAAAGTCAACATTTACGAAGGAGAGGCAGTCGAAAGCCGAATTGAGATGGAGAAAAGTACGGGGCTCAACCTAAGGGGCTTGCTCGTCCTTCGGCTGAAGCCTTGCTATTGTACCCAGCGCCACCCAATTCACTCATCACGGTACGAGCGTCACGGTCGGAAACAGTCTCGCATTCTGTCTTTCTCTGGTTTCCATGTCGTCGGAGAGAAGAGGAAGGATAATGTGCCGGCCAGTGCCCAAGACCTGCCTGACGATGATTGGCCAGTGACGCGAAACCTAATCTCAACTCGGACGGGAGGCGCCGGCAACATACAGCTCCTCTTCCACCTCACCTCGCTGCCTCCGCTGCTGCGTCACCTCTCTCTCCGACGCGATGACTCCGGGCCCAATGCCGTACGACGGCCCTAACCGAATCACGGCGCCGAACAGGGCCACCCGGAAGGCCGGCGTGCGGTAAATGCTATCAATTCACCCTTGAAGGCTGCTTGCGCTACCGATCCTGCGTTTGCTGATTGCCCGCCCGCCTGCTGAAACGAGCATAGGCGCTTCGTACCTACTTTATCCACCTTCCCCAAACACACCCGATAAACAGGCGTCCCCGGAGCTATCCCTGCACGCGCAGCAGCTATGGCATCGTCATCGAGCTGTCTGTTTAATACTTATTGAGCCCAAGTACCACCTCTTTTCCCAGCTTCCCGCGTTTGTGCCGCGTTCCGCCGTCATGCGCTTCTCTACCGTCGTTGCCGGGCTGCTGTTCGGTCTCGAAGCAGGCGCAGTGCACGTTGGACACCCCAGTATTGGTCAATTGACCCAAAAGGTACCATCTTTCGGCCCAATGTAGTGGAGCTATGGATAACATTTCGCAAAGGCCGAAGAGATCAGGGCGCGTCAATCGCTCGCGAAGCGCGACGTCGACCCGGAAGAACTGTACCCAGCCTACAATCTCTCGGTGCCCATCGACTTCTTCCCGAATGAGACGCGATACGAGCCGCACCTGAATGGCACCTTCAATTTGCGGTACTGGTTCGATGCCACCTACTATAAGCCGGGCGGACCCATCTTCGTGCTTTTATCCGGAGAGACGTACGGAACCGACCGTCTGCCTTATCTGCAAAAGGGCATCGTCAATCAAGTAGCTCAGGCCACCGCAGGCATAGGCGTCATTCTCGAGCATCGCTACTACGGCACCAGCTTCCCCTTTCCCGACGTATCCGTGGAGAACCTGCGCTTCCTCTCCACCGAGCAAGCACTAGCAGACGTCGACTACTTCGCCAGAAATGTCAAGTTCGAGGGGATTGATGCGGATCTAACTGCACCCAACACTCCGTGGATCGCCTACGGAGGCTCTTACGCTGGAGCCCAGGCCGCCTTCCTGCGTGTTGCATATCCCGACACTTTCTGGGGCACGATCTCTTCATCCGGAGTCACCGTTGCCATCTACGACTACTGGGAGTACTTTGAACCCATCAGGCTATTCGCTCCACCGGATTGCGTTAAGAACACACAGACGCTGATTGACGTCATGGACAACATTCTCATGAACAACACGGACAAGATCAGTACTCTCAAGGAAACTTTCGGCCTAGCAAATGTCACCGACAACCGGGATTTTGCGAATATCTTTACCGCAATCTATGGCTGGCAAAGCACCAAGTGAGTTGCGCAACACACGCCGGGCGCCTGCTGAAATTGACCATTGCTAGTTGGGATCCCGAGGTCAACTCGCCGTCCTTCTTTTAGTGAGTACTCACAATAATTCTCTCACGTTCCGTGCTGACCCATGCCAGCTACTGCGGGAACCTCTCTGGGAGTCTCAATTACCCTGAACTCGAATCTAAAAGGGCGACCGTGGCAGATCTTGTTTCTGCCGCAGGATATGAAAACGACACACTTGTCGAGGACATCGTCCTGAACGGCATCGGTTACTATGGCGATACTTCTGTAGCAGCTTGGAACGCATCAGGGGAGTCCCAAGACTCATACTTTACTCAACTCAACGCAACCTATTGGCAACAAACCGATCTTGACACAGCGAACTACTGGAGGAGCTGGTATTGGCAGGTATGCACTGAGTGGGGATACATCCAAACGGGCAACACACCACCTGACATCATGCCTCTCATTTCGCGAACCCTAGATCTCGACTATCTTACCATCTTCTGCCGGGATGGTTTCAACATCACCTCTCCGCCGGATACCTCGCAGGTAAACAAATACGGCGACTACAACATTGAGTACCCACGCCTCGCCATCATCGGAGGAAACGCGGATCCCTGGAGGCCTGCTAGTCCTCTCTGGTACCCTGACTCGAGGAATTCTACGACGGAAAAGCCATGGCTTGAGATTGCGCATGCGGTCCATCATTGGGAGGAGAATGGCATCTTTGCGAATGAGACGACGCCGATCCTGCCACCGAATCAGATCGTGTACGCTCAGCAGTTCGTCAAAAACTTCGTGATCGATTGGCTGAAAGGTGAGTTCCAAAAATCGGTGCTGCTCCCCTTGATTGGATGGACACTGACTGTACGCAGAGTTCAGCACTCCCGAGCACTATGAGCTGTAGTTGCGTGAGATATATGCATTGGAAGGAGAACAATGTGTGGGAATAATTTCGTCGCTAAATAATCAGTACTGTTATACAGATATCGTGTCGCGGGACCGCGCCGTGATGGGTTTCACGCCTAACACGTCGAGCGATCGTCACTGATCCAAAAATAGTAGTGGACGGATACAGTACTTAATCCACGCAGTCGTTCCGAGCCATGACGTCGCATCAATCACGCCTTTCCTCACGAAGCTCATCACGTTCGCTGTTCACTTATGGTATCCCATCCTACCATTGGTTTTCGGTCGCCACCGGTGCTATTACAGGTCGCGCTGAACTGTATGACGCGCGCACCCCGGAGGCTCCGCCCAGTTCTACGAAAAGTCTCGGATGATACGGCTGCTGTTCTCGTATCCGATCGAATGTAGTAGCATTGCACGAGCTAAATTTCGCTTTCCTTGACAGGTGCCACTCGCGTGTACAAGAGCCTTAAGCTTCTAAGGGTCTCATAGGTGCGCCGGGAGATCTTCGCTTGGCTGACGGTGAGACAAAGCCACAACCGTCCATGGATCTGCGTCTTCCAATAATGCCACCGTACCATCCGTAGCAATTGTTCCTGTTTAGCATCTCTAGTCGACTTGGAAAAGGTTAAGGAATGGATGTGAAGCTGCTAGACTATAAGTACCACTAACTGCTTTCGAAGTCACTCCACTACAACACCTTCTCCCCAGCTTCTCTACCACGATCTCCCCTTTCGGAAACCAAGAAATAGCATCGATAACTTACCCCACGGCCTCAGTATCGTTTAACCGAGCCCACCGTCCGCAATCTCGAAATGCGTTTCTCCACCCTCCTCACAGCACTCTCCGCCAGCGCCCTAAGCTCCGCCCGCATAATCGGCATCGCGGCCCCCTCAACCCTCGCACCCTCCCAACCGTACAACCTCACCCTCATCACCGAGAACTACATCCAAGCCGTTGCCGACATCGCCGTCGCATGGGGTCTCGCACCCAGCCCCGGCTACCCTTTCACTCTGGGCTCCTACTCCTCGTCCGCCTACCTAGGGCCCGATAAGTCGAACACGCTGACGAATGTCACTATTCCGGCGACGGCACCGGAGGCGTTGCAGAATTGGATGGGCAAGGAGATGCTCCTGAGTGCGGGGGTGTATAGTTTGTATGGTGTTAGTGGGAGCGTGTCGATGGCGAACTTTAATGTTACGGTTATGGTTGGGGAGGAGACAGGTGCGGAGTTGGTGAGGAGCACGGGGTTTGTTTGGGGGACGGGGCAGTGCTAGGGATCTGGAGGGTTGGCTGGAGTGGGATTTGGGAAGGGTCTAGGGACGGGGCCGGAGCTTCGGGATTGCGAGCTGGAGGTCTGCGCGGGGAGCTTTGCATAGTTACCGTATTGAGCTGTTGCAGAACTCGCCGCGTCGACGTTTCCCCGTGTCACTCACGTGTCCGGCGTTGTGGTCATGGAGAGACACCTTCGACGAGGAAGGTTTTCGGCTGCAATTAACAGATGAAAAGCACGTCGCTTCTTCAAGAGTGCTTGAAGTTCATTCACACATCGGGATGCGAAGACATCAATGCCGGCGACTTGAATTGAGAACTCCTTCCAAAACCCCAATGCTTATCAGCCTGGCAAAGTAACGGAACCCCACCAAGAAGAGATCGGAAAATTGCAGGGCTGCGACCGCGAGGTGGCGTACTATTCTCCCGTACTGTCCTACGACTGCGGAAGATGGCAACCACCCCCGAAGACAGATTCGGACTCCTCGTCGGAGATGAAACTGTGCTGCAATGTCTAATTTACAAGTTCGGCGGGGGTGACTGCACGTTCGAGGCTGTGCCCGATGGCTACCTTTTTCCGAACCCAATACTTCGGGGGTTGAGTGGTATAGTGAGGGGGTTGTGCTTGCAGGGTTGCACTGTATAGTCGATTCACGGGGTAAATTATGTGCACTTCTGCACCGTTGGCACAGCGCGAGGCTAGGGACTGATATGGGGGATGTTGGCGTTATGCGCTCGATTCTTCGGGCAGGTTTGTTTTGAAAAAGATGGAGTCATCACGAGGACGGCAGAGAAGAGGAGCACTTGGATTGACAGCTTGGGCTGGTACATACCGTATCTAAAGTGGATTATCAGTCGAGAGAGACGAGCCCATTACGATTCACGCTATCGAGAAGTTGTACCTCGGATCTATCATGATAGTACACCCGCGACGCCATTCTAGCCTTGTAACACCCATTCTATTCCCCCGATCATAGCTATCATCGCTCATAGCTTAGGCTCACTCCCGTAAGCCTGCGCCTGACTCACGGCGGGCTTCCACTCGAAGTGATGCTTCCCCTCCATCGGCTTCCTCACCTTCTTCGACCGATCCCCCTTCATATCAAACATGTGCGAGCCAAAGTAATCCAGCTCGGCTTCGTAGAAACTCGTCGGCAGATCCGTCCCCGAAACAATCTTAAAGTACTCCAGGCTAGCGCTCAAAGCGGGAGCCACCTGGTCCGTCTCAACTGCCTTGCCAACCACACGGCGTAGTGAGGCGTAGCAGCTCCGGACGTCCTTGGCAGTCCGCGCGTTGTGCTGCAGGTTGATGGACTCGGCGCTTGCGGAAGGCGCTTTGAGCACGGGGCCGAGGATCTCGTCGGACAGGTAGTCGGCTTGGATGATGCAGCCTGCGCGCCAAATCTGCCACACTTCGGCGTAGTTGATGTTCCATTCATGCTTCCTGTCCGCTGCGGCAATGATATTGAGGCCTTGCATGAAGCTCGCTAGGCAGGCAGCATACGTCGCTTTTCGCAGGTCTTCAACGAATGCAGACTTGTCTTCCACCTTCAGGCTTTGGGGTGGAAAGCCCCCTTCGAACACCTTGTTTGTCTGCTCTCTACTACCCCGGAAGGCAGATGCGAGACGGAATGCGTGGGCTACGTTGAGTGTGAAGGCGGGGACGTGGAGATCGATGGCTTCGGTGTTGGACCAGATGCCCGTTCCTTCTTCGCCAGTGACGTCTTGGACTACCTTATCGAGGACTTCGGAGATGACGAGCGGGTGTTGTGAGTGTTGTGGTTTGGAGCTGGAGTCGGGCTCGCGTTTGTGGGAGAGGTCGGCGCCGATGGAGACGAGGAATGTGCCTTTCTGTGGAGCTGCCCGTCAGTGCTACCGTTCCTGGGTACTCGAGACATCGAAAAAGGCTTGTAATGAGAGACATACCAGTTCACCCTTCGCGTTCCAGTCAGCAAGCACGTTTCCGATCTCCTCGTAGCCCATGCCCATCTTCCGCATTATGCCCCAAGCTTCGCAAATGGCGCTCATCATACCGTGTTCAATGCCGTTGTGCACCATCTTGACATAGTGCCCGCTTCCTCCTTTTCCGACGATGCCCACGCATGCTTTTCCATCCTTGTCCTTGGCGGCGACCTTTTGCAGGAGCGGCAAGACCTCCTTGAGAGCGGACTCATCTCCACCGGGGCACATTGACGGGCCAGCTCGCGCGGCTTGGTAGCCACCGCTGACTCCGCATCCAATATAGCGAATCCCCGGTTCTCTGCACTTGTTCTGCCGTCGCTCGGTGTTCGCAAAGTGCTCGTTGCCGCAGTCGAGGATGATGTCGTTCCGCGAGAGATGTGGCATGAGGCCTTCGAGCACCTTGTCGCCGACATTGCCGTGTGGGAGGGAGAAGACGAGGAGGCGAGGCTGCGAGAGCGAGTTGCAGAGGGCTTTGTAGTCTACGTCACCCATTAGTGCCAATCGAATAGAGTGGAATCCTCATGGAGTTGCTTACCCTTGAACTTCTTCATCCTTCCATGATATCCCGCTTTCTCAGCTTTCTCGATCACGGCATCTATCATCTCTTCCGCAGGGTCCGATAGGGAGACATTGATGCCATCTTCGGCAAACAACAGCGCCATCCCGCCGCCCATACTCCCACACCCAACCATGGCAATCTGCGCCATCCAATTAGTCTCCAGTTCCCAGCAATTCCAAAGCCACACCCACCGAAGTGAATTCCGGCATCTCCGTGGCAGTCTTGACTTTCTTCTTCCTAAGGCTCAAAACGTCCGAAGCAATTAGGAAGCTGGATAGTAAGCAGGCAAAGTACAGGCAAGCGAGACTGGAGAATTGAGGTAAAGAGGGATCTTGATAGGAAACCCAGCCGTCTAGGTTTTCAAGAAACATGGTGCCGGGATTGCTGAAACGGTGACGGCGTTTATAGCGAGCGGTGATCGCGATGTGACGAAAGATTACCTTCCGCCCGCACTACTGGGTGACGTCGGCGGGGTTTGGCTAGCTAAGCTTTGCGGCTAAGCGGGAGCTATGGTCTGTGGTTGGGGAGGTGCGAATCCGTGGCCATCCCGTATGTCGGAGCGGCTTCGAAAGGCTCGCATTGTGAATTGGAAAAATCGGGCTAACATTGAAGGAGCTGTATCTAGTGTATGCCAGGCCCCAATGGAAACCACCTGGGCAGCATTGGAGGTCTCCAAGCGGACATGGTGAGAGCCTGAGTGCGTCGTCTTCTACGGGGCTTGACGACCGGGCTGTGTAAGTCCGAATGGGGGACCGACATCTCATGGATTAGAATGCGGCCGGGTAGAAAAAGAAGAAATGTAGTGGTGAGCGGTGCAGGCGGAGGAAGTTGGGTGATCTGAGACCAGCTGCCCAGGTGGCAGAGAGTGCTAAGCTCAGACAGGACTAGCGCAGATCTCGAGGATCTCTCCAAGGCTAGGGCAGCTTTTCACGAAGCTCCGCACGCCAAAGCAACTCCCCACCACAGCTCACAGCCCACGGCTCACCACTCGCCGCTCACCAGACTCGCAACCATGGCCGACGCGGAAATGGAAATCGACCAGCTCGAGCGCGCCCCCGGCGACCTGAAAGCCGGCGACGCGCGCACCCAAGCCGGCGCGACCGCCGTGCGCTCCATCGAAGGGTGGATCATCATCGTCACCAACGTGCACGAGGAGGCGACCGAGGAGGACCTGCATGACATGTTCGGCGAATTTGGCAGCATCAAGAATCTGCACATGAACCTGGACCGGCGGACGGGTTACGTTAAGGTAGGCTGCCTGACCAGCATTGTGGTCTGCTGAGTGCTAACGTGCGCACAGGGCTACGTCCTCATCGAGTACCCTACTCTCGACGAAGCGCAAGCCGCCATCAAGGGCGCCAACGGCGAGGAGCTGCTCGAACAGAAAATCAACGTCGACTTTGCCTTTGTGCGCCCGCCGCCGGTAGGCAAGGGCCGCGCGAGAGACCAGGATAGACGAGGGGCTGGACGCGGGAGAGGGAGGAGTAGGAGTCCGGGCAAAGATGCGGATGACATGGAGGATTGAGCCCACGTCATTCGTGACGATTGGAGTTTGGACAACACACCGACAGCGAGGCGACGGACTCTGCGCAAACGTGAATACCGGGGGCTATAGGGCGGCATGAACAAGGTCCAATTGCACATTCATAGGCAGCTTCGGCGTTTGGATCCGGAAAATTTGAGCTCACCAGCCTGTCTCAGGGACGAGGCAGGTTGGTATTTTGCACATAATTTGGTGAGTAGGCTTTTCTATTTATCTTGCAACCCGACTGACATGAACTAGGTTGCTCTGATGACGTGATGAGTGAGCGGTGGTAGTAGTGGGTGCTGACCGTACACGGCCTTTGGGGTGTGGTCGTTGGCTGCTGTCCTCTCTTGGCCTTTCTAAAACAGGGGTCTGTAAGCAACAGCGCGAGGCTGTGCTGACCCCGAGGCACCCTCGCTGGTTATCGTTCGCGCTCGCTCTTCTGATCACCTCGAATACCTATAATCCCTTTCCAGATTCTAGATGCGCGCCCCGCCGTTCCCTTGCTAGCCATGACAAGACGATATACATATCGACCTCTGCTCACCGGTGCGAACAGCATCCGCTTACTCCGGCTCTTGCCGGCCTCAGGCAAGGCTGATATCCGCTGCCAGATCTTCGACTACCAGCATCCACCAGAACAAGCATATGGCCCATACGAGGCGCTGTCCTATACATGGGGCGATACCACGGACCTACGAAGGATTTCCATCGAGGACGACAGCTCCGAAACGTTCTACTTCAATATTACGGCGAACCTTTATACCGCTCTGCTTTATCTTCGCGAATCAGAGATTTCGCGAACGATCTGGGCCGATGCCATCTGTATCAACCAGGAGGACATTGAGGAGCGGGGAAGGCAGGTTCAAATAATGGCTGGCATCTATTCTTCAGCACGTGGTGTGGTGATATGGCTGGGAAAGGAAGGGAACTGCAGCACTGCTGCATTGAAGATGATTCGAGCCAGTGCTATCACCAATCAGGATCTCACTGGCGACGGCCAAGCGGTTGCTACCAATGCAGCTCGTTGGCTCGACGGCCTCTGGCTTGGAGAACGTATGCTGGGTGCGCTACTTGCTCTATTGAGTCGACCCTGGTTCCGACGAATCTGGGTAAGTAGAATACTTGGCTATTTATGTCGCATCTGGTGATAGCTAATGCATGAGCTAGGTCCTTCAAGAGACAGCGGCGGCAAGGTCTATCACTATCAAATGCGGTAGAATGGAAATCACGGGATCTGAATTCTGCAGAGGGCTGCGATCGTTGTCTGACTTTCCCGAAGTCGACAAGCTTCTGCGACGGCCGATTGGACCCCTACTCCAATTAATGGCCGGCAGCGCCCTTGGTGGACAGGACGAATACCGCGAGGCCGCTCCCCAGATATGGTCCAATCTTAGCCTGAGGCTATTCCCTTTGGCGGAACTTCTGGATAAATTTCATGCACACGAAGCGACTGACCGGCGAGACAAGATATTCGCGCTACTTGGTATGAGTACGGACCACGCCATACTCTCTAGCATAAGGCCCGATTATACTAAATGCTGGTCATCGCTCTTCCAAGCGCTGATTGCGCATATTCTAGGGCCGCTTGTTTGGATAAGAACTTGGGACGAGCAACCTCAAGCCGTGATATATGGTTCCGGAGTGCCACTGGGGATGATCACGCGATGCAACGGCCGGGAACTCGTTCTGTCGACACGTTCACCTTATGTTAACAAACCCCCCGGAGCGGTCATTTATAGCGCTACCTGGCACAATCCAGCCTACGCGAAAGGAATAAGGCCACGCGATGTCGTTTGCCTCTTAGACGGAGCACAGAGACCTATGGTAATCCGGTCCGAAAAGGATTATTTCAAGATCATTGTCATATCTCTGCCACCACCGGTCGAGATTAGAGCCAAGTCCAACGATCACGAACGTCGCGCGGATTGGCCGGAACTCGTAGAAAATAGGCCCACCGGGCGGACTAGTCGGAATTGCGTCCTGCTCTGGGATTTGAAGCCCTTCACCCTGCCTTTGGAAAATAACGTTCCGCATGTACAAACAGATACCCTCTTCGAAGCTATTGGCGTTGAATCAACATTTCATCTCGGGCTGCCGGAGCCTATACAAGACCGCCTAACGAGAGAGCGTTTTGTTAGGGAGATTATGGACGATACCTATTGATCGTCAATGTTGTCTCTTCACAAGCTGAGCTTTCAGAGGATCAAATCCCAATCTCCTACCAGCGCATTAACAACACTCCGACTTCCGAGGCAAACAGGATGCGTGCTTAAGAGTTATTACGGGCTCTCCCATGAAATCAGGCTCAGTCGACCACACGCAATAGTTACCGTCATAGCGCGAGCAGTTCGGGGTCTCAATGCCTTGTGGGTTCCGCAGGACCGTGGCTTGTTGTCGTTATCACGAGTATGTCGCCTACGTTCCCTCAGTCGACCTTACTGGCCACTCGGAGACTGCTCGATAAGGGGGAATACACTTTCTTCAAAAAGGATCGTCCGCCACACATTAGGTCTAGGAACCTTGGTATCGCACATATTCATGCAAGTCTTCTTGACCTGGAAAGAGAGAAACACGCTTTCCCGTGCCGGAACCACCCAAGGTCACCTCGAATCAAATTCGGTTCATGGGCGAAATCGAAACACTTCACGCCTTACCTACTCCAACTCGAACGAAAACTTTCCCAATCCACCCGTCGCGACCACAACAGGCGCCGTAGTATCCGGTACAAACCATTCCTCCCCCGGCAGCGCCATCGGTGCGGAGAACCCCAGCATCTGCGCCACGCCTTTCCCACACTCCCAACATGCTCCTTGTCCCCCGCGAAACATCCTTGTCCGCACACACTCCGCGCAGAAAGAATGATTGCAAGGCCTCAGGATGCAATCGCAGAAATTCCTCCTACAAACCGTACACGCCACATTCCGAGATTCCGCCACGGACGTGTTCACGTCGAACTTCTTCTGGTAATCGATCTCCGAGACAGACTTGATGGATGCGAAGTTTTTGGCGCCGGTGGTGGAGGCCGTATTGTTGCTGTAGGTGTCGAACCAGGGAATGCCGGCTGCGAGATATGTCTGTAGTGTTACCGGCGTGGGTGGGCACAGCATGCCGGTGATGGCTTCGTACGCTACGGAGTTCAGGAGCTGGACGCTTATGAGGGATGTGGCATCTTTGTTGAGTGTGCTTGCGCGATAGATGTCGTTGTCGCGATATATCTCTTGGCGTAGGCGACCTCCCGCTGCAAGGCCCATGGCCCACGATTCTTGGTCTGGCTCCGGCTGTGGTCTGCTGGGTGCCGGAGGGTGGGTGCGAGGCGGAGGGCTAGACTGGGGAGTAGTAGCAAAGGAAGGTACTGATGATGGAGACGCTGGCGACGACATGGGCGAAGGCGCTCCATATCGCGTTGGTGGCGCTGCGGGTGCTGCGGGTGCTGCGGGTGCTGCGGGAAGTTCTATTGCCAGTGGGGAACTAGATTGTGGCGGGGAAGGAAGAGCTTCATATGCGGGCGCCGAAGGAGGCGCACCGTATGCCTGTTGAGGACTAGAGTGTGGCATAGAGGGAGGAGCTCCATATGCGGGGGCGGAAGGCGCAGTGTTAACGGCCATTGGGAAAGAAGTGGGAGGAGGCGCAGTGTATGCTTGTGTAGGAGGTGGAGCTCCGTATGTAGGCATTGACGGCGATGATCCAGCTTGCATAGCTTGAGAAGCTTCGTAGGTTTGCGTAGGCTCAGGCGGTTGGAAGGTCGGTCCGTGATGACCAGGAGTGGGTCCAGTGGATAGCAGAGTAGGCGCCGGCCTTGGGAATCCTGAAACCATAGAAACAGAATCATCCGGTGCAATCTCCTGATCGGGTCTTGGGCCGTAACCCGGGGTGTGGTAAGAAGCCTGGGGGTGGTGGGAAGCAGGGTAGACCGGCACTCCACCGGCGGGCTTTCTCGCATCAAGCACCGGATCCTCGAATACTCCACTTTCCGCCAACGTGGTATGCAAGGGAACGAGCTGCGTCCCTCGCCAGAATTCATAATTCGTGAGATCTTTCCCTCGAAAGGTCGTGGCTCTCGCGACATGATGTAGAGTGGTGAAAGGAGAGAACTCCCCAGTCTCAATCTTGTGCTTGAGCATCTTTCCCTTGACTGTAATCTGCAGTCTAAAGTTATACAGCGCCGTGATTGTAGCCGGTGCTCGATCGCCCATTGGGATCAACTCCCTCAAAAGCTTCTTCTGGACATGCTGGATCTTGCCACCCATACAAGGTAATCCCCTTCCCCATCTCTGGGCCACAATGTTGTCGCCGGCCCGGATGTCGTAATACGATGGGGTGGGGATGTCAGGCCTGTCCTGGTCGCTCCAGTCTATTTCCCATTGTCTATGGAACAGCTTCAGCGTCGGATGGGTAGGGGTGACCTCTATTTGGAGCCCGCCAACATCCTCCCGGCCAGTCATTTGCTTTTCCACAGAGTATCCGCTTCCGATCGGCATAGCCACGAATTGTCGAACAATCCCATCGCCAACAGCAATACCATCCAGATGTTTCTGCGGTGGCACCATCACGTAGTCCTGCTTCTTCTCCTCGCCATACAGGCTGGGTGCATCCCATTTCTTGCCGCTAACAACGTTAATCCCGCCAGCGAATACACGAACAGCGTACTCTGACCCTGCTGGCGCCTCGAACGAGATCCACATCGCCTCCCTCTGGAACATGGGAAAGAAGACGCCGGACTTGTTGGCTATGTCTACGAGACTTGGGTTGTTGGATTTCCGCAGTTTTGCTGCATAGGCAGCTACGTTTTGGACCGGGAAGAGCCCAAAGTCTGCGGGAAGTAGGTGCACTCGACCATCTTCGGGGACGCGCAAGGTCCTGTGGAAGCCAATCCGCAGGTCTCCGTTGTTGACGAGCAGTCTGGAGTGCGCGCAGCGGACCGAGAGTTGCAGTCGCGATAGGAATGCTGAGAATGGCTCGTCTACATGGATGCGCAGGCCGATGTCGGGGTCGTAGCACGAGCGTCCTTCCGTGACGAGGACGGGCCATGCGCTTTCGTCTTTGCCCACCGGTACTGAGAGGGGAAGAATAGAAACGCCTCCGCTTGACCGCCGTAGGAATCCCACAGCAGGTCGGTACCCTACGTGCAGTTAGGTACTATCTTATGCAGAATCGGGGAAGGCGAGACATGCCTATGCTTGCAAGCTTGGAGTTGATGTCGTCCAAGAAGCTATATGTAGATGTAGATATTGCATCTTGGAAATTTCCGCGTTGACCCGCTTTCTGAAGGCCATTTACTTGTACCCTTGTGATGGGATCTGGTTTATCCTGGATCACTGGGTCGTACTTCTCCAACGGCCTTACGAGCGGAACATCGCGGCGATTATCAACGGGGGGTGGCACCGGGGACGGTGTTGGCATAGGAACTGGAGCAGGAACCGGAATATAGTGGTGATTTGAAGGATCATACGGGGCCGGATAGTTATCAGCGGCCAATTCAACAGGCGTGTTAACCTTCGAGATAGGATAGCTCGCCTCTAGCTCGCTGACATGGTGAGTCTTTTGACTTGATTCCGGTGTGAACGTCGACATCCAACTTCCAAATCCGCTAAAGGTTGTGATATCATCCTGAGCAGCCATGCCGCACGATTGATGCTGTGAGACGGGGGTGTGACGGAATAGCGAAACGTGCACGACGATGCGGGACTCTACGAGCATCGTGGCCAAGCCGCGGTATTTATGTCCGAACGTCTCTGCGGCTGAAAAATTAAGGCTGAATTTCGATGTGGGACTGATCAGGCTGGATGCTATCGAGGAAGGGCTGGCCTAGCCTCAGCCATGTGCAGCCACAGCTCGTATCCGGCGCTCCAGAACGCATCGGTAAGCCACTCAACCAATCACACTGTCGCATTGACAACATGGCAAAGCGAAGGTATACACTTTCGAAGAAACACGCAGTAGTATGGGAAGAACCTTGGAAACAATATTCCAAAGCGAGGATGACTGGGAAGCTTAGCGCGGCCGTCAATCGTCCGTCCGGGTTTACTTCTATCGACACCTGTTCATCTTCAACCTACCGTTGTCCTAGTGGCAATCATCCTTCCCAGCGGCTGAAAACCACATGAGGTCGCCCAGATCATGAGGAAATGGTCTCTCTAATCGTACATATTGCGACCAGTTTTCACCGCAAGAGGGCGCCCCGATCGAGAAAATGTAGCTCTCAACGTCCTTGCTAACATGGCATTGGTTCCTGACCCACTTCATCAGCTGAATGCAGGGAGGCTGGGATATATGGCTCTTACCTGGAGGAGAAAGATACAGCAACGGGTAGCAGTTCTGGAATGAGAGTTGGCTTGGAAGCTTCTAGTGAGCTGAGAACCTACTCGTAGCATGGTCGAACGCCTTCAAGAGAAAAGGCATCGTGCGAAAATCGGTGCTGAGAACAGCCATTGACAAAGGCGGGCCGTCTACTGCTCCCAGTAGCTGAAGCAATCGAGATCAGAGAACACAACGAGTGGTACGGAGACATGATAACTTACTGTCGGAGCCAATGGTGAAGTCAAGCCAGTCATAGGAAGCCACACCAGCCGCACTGCCGCTACTGCTTCCCACTGGTGACTGGTACCCATCACCTCTTGGGTTCCATGGTGCCATGAAATCAACAGTTTCGGCTGGATCTTCTCTGGAAGTCATAGAACTGCATTTAGTCGAGCCGACCAAAATGGCTCCAGCATCGAGAAGTTTCTGGATGGCAGGCGCGGTGTGCTCTGCCGGGCTGGCAACGGCGTAGAATGCGCGGTTCGACAGAGCCATGTGAAGCCCTCGAAGGGCGAATAGCTCTTTGACTCCGATCCGCTTGCCTCGGAGGGGGAACGCGGGGGTCGGAACAGCTGATAGTTTTGAAGGAACTGCTATGCTCAATGATTGTGGGTAGCTCCCTGCGATCTGCAGCGACTCGAAATGTCTTGCCGGTTAGATGCTGACGACACGGTGCACAACAACTTGCCTCGAACAGACGAAGCCGAATGACCACAAAAGAGGTCGCGCATTCCGTTGTCGTTAGGTCATTTGTCGGTCCTAGCTCGACCCAAACGACACAACTTCGTCACAATCCGTTTCCTCCAGGGCTGTACGTTCCTCCGGTGATCTCGTTGCCTAAATGGCCCCAAAACTCGACATGGATGATCTCGCGATCGACACTGCGCTGCGGCCTCGCTATTCGCGTTCTTCCACTCGCCAAGCAGGCTCCGGCCGTCGAACAGCTTCGGATGATCAGCTTCCGCCACGGCCGCGATATCGAGAAAAGTGAGAGCGAAGTCGATGTGGGTGCTGGGGATCTTCGACGTAGCACCTGCTGGGATGCCTGGTCCCCGTACGACCATGGGAATGTTGGTGTCTTCGAGGTAGGGGCGAGACTTGCCGGCGAAGAGGCGGTGAGTCCCAATGTGGTAACCATTGCCGGAGGTTGCAGATGACTGCACGCGTTAGTATTCTTCTTCATCGCTCTCGCGAGAGCGGTCTGCATACTGGACGTATTTTCCAGATGTCCAGTCTTTTCCAAATGCTCTACCATGTCCTGCACGATCCCATCGAGCCCCTGTATCGCCTGAATTCTCGACCGATAGTGGAACTCTGCCTAGCCGACTTCGTCTCGCGACAGCATTTTAAACTTCTTCAAATAGGAGGGCTTGTTGCTCTGCAGTTGGTCGCTCGAAGGGTTGAAGTTCTCCGGTTTCGGTACCGTCGGATTCGAGACGTGATTCTTGTGCCATTCGAGCGGGATGGGTGGGACACCATTCTGGACGTGGGGAGAGGTCGGCACAATACCGAGGAACCATGGATCTTGCCGCGAGGTGAGTCCTTTGAGGCGGGCAATACTGATTCAGCGTGTCGGAAGATAGGGATGAGCGGCGCGCGGGTGACGTACGATTTTGTGCGAATAACATCGGTCTGGTGCCAGCCATCATAGAACATCGGTATCTCGTCGTTTACTAACATAACTACGGTGCTGTACACGTATGTGTAGGGCTCGAGCTATAGCGTGCGGTGAACCATGATATCAACATAATCCTAGCCTTTGGGCATTGTCTTGTAGTTGTATAGATTCTGGCCGTCCATCATCTTTCCAATATCTGGCCTGGTGCGCTTCAGCACGACCCTCGTTGTTTCCATTAAAGTAATAATGCACTCGCACTTAGTCTTATAACCGCCTAGTTGCCCTAGTCATTGAGGGAGATAGTTGCTATCTTCCTGGCCAACCAGCCATTTCTGATATCCTCCGCTTCCACCAATGTCAGCTTTCCGAATTCCTCTACCACACGCCTTAATTATTCTTTGGACACTTACCCTAGTGCTTTTACATAGGTGATATTAGTGTTATGCGATGCCTGTCCGTGGAGCAAGCTTGCACGACTTGGGTAGCAGTTCGATGTCGTGGTAAAGTAGTTGGTGAAAAGCGTCCCTTCCTTGACGAGCAGGTCTTGGACAATAGGTTAATAGGAAAGTGAGTGCAAGCAGCGGTCCTAATCGTCCGCGATGATAAGGAGGATGTTGGGTTTTGCCGTTAAGGTGAGTACAAGGGCGCTGAGCGTGAGGAGGGATGACCACACGATCATAGCTGTGGATACTGAGGAATTCTTGATTAATTTCAGAACTCGAGTTGGAGGGTCGTCGTGTTTATAGCTGGTTTTCAATCATGTTGGATCGAAGAAATTGCCTCATTAGGTCCTTGGTGGCATGCCCACTTGTCATTCTTCAGGTTCGCTTTTAGGCAGTATAAGCCCGCCCTCTTTCTATTTTCATATACGAGCCACGTTCCTGTTGATTGTACCAATTTTGACTACCTAAATAGCGCGGTAGTTGCGAATCAAAGCTCAGGGTTTTCGGAAGACAATCGGCATGTCACGTGGATGAACGAAGGGGCATACCTAGGTAATGTTCCTTAGGCGTCCGTGGAACTTGGGGAGAACATTAAAGAGACATCGCGGCGTTGATCGCCTGGAACTAACAAGCCATTTGGGATGCAGAAAGTAGGTCTAAAGCATGAGATGAGGGAAAAGAGTTTTCGGCTTTGCCGCTACAGGCATGGTTGCGGGCCGATGCGATTGGCCGTCCACCGTTCACCGGAAACGACTGTGACCAGAACGGCCAGCAAATCGCCGATTCTGCGCACGCCAATGAGGATGGGCTGTGTTTATACCACCCCAATGTGCAGGCTGCCTAGCCTCTCTGCTCACGTGACTCTGCGGCGCTGTGGCTTAGCTCAGCGCAGGCGTGGCCCAACCTTAGCTTACGTACCTACGGAAGTAGACACCTTGACAGCACAAGAAGACTTGTGCCGGGAAAGGCTCGTCTTTATTTTTGTGACATTTGGCGTGCTGTGCAGATGGCTGGGCTCTGAGACAGCCAATGGCTTGTGCTGTTCGGTTGCACCTGCAATGCGAGGCTAGGGGCTTTTGGGTACCCCACAGCTCCAATAAATTCATAAGTAGCCCGTCCCCACCCGTTGCGTCCGGTCACATAGCAGTCGACATTGTCAGGCTACTGTCACGATGGAAAATATCCTAGAGCTTCACACAAGGCGTCGGGTATGCAATGTGCTGATCCTGCTCAAGTTTCCTGCTGACCTGGTATTTGAAGTCCCTTGATGCACGCCTCATTCGAGAGGAAATTGAGAAACGACTGCCATCGTTCGAACAGATCCGACAGACAACCAAACAGCCTGGTCTTTCATTCGGAGTCGTTTTCGAAGGAAAACCAATCTGCGAGCATCATTTTGGAGTGAAGGACCTCAGTTCTCCCGACCCACCAACGTCGGATACGTTGTACTCCATCGCTTCCTTGACTAAGGGGTTCATCACCACTTCGATCGGGATTCTAGTGGCCGAGGGCAAAACGTCATGGGACTCAACCGTCTGTTCGATTCTCCCAGACTTCGCTCCGCTTGCAGAAAGCCCAGGTCTGCCGATGGCCACTTTGCGAGATATACTGTCTCACCGAACGGGGGCGGCTGGCTTAGATCCGTTGGTTCAGGGACTGCATTCTCAGATGACTCTTGACAAAGAGAATGCCATGAGTCTAGTAAACGCACTTCCCGTTCGAGGAACGTTCCGCGCGTCTTACGCCTACAACAACGCTCTCTACGGAATAGCCGGAAAGGTCATTGAGAAGCTAGCAGACGTCGACAGCTGGTCCGACTTTGTCAGAGAGCGCATCTTGCAGCCCCTAGGGATGCGGGATACAACGGGAGCGGATGTTGACATCGAATCGAACAATGTCGCTACTCCATACACCGTCATTTCGGATGGGAGCTTGTTTCAAGAAACACCACCGGCACTCTCCGGCACTTCGGCGAATGGAGCATCTGGTGGACTGAAGAGCACTATCGGGGACCTTTCTAAGTGGTGTGTCGCCATCACAGACACCTTCAAATATGGAGATGAGCAGGATGCTAGCCAAGAACGTTGGATTCCAAACAATCCGATTAGAGGGCTTTTAATAGCAACATCGGCGCACAATATAGTCGATCCAGCCTTCCCCGCAGATGAACACTACTGCCTTGGATGGTTCCGGCAAACGACTCCGGCTAGGCTCGGACTCATCTCTCCCAATCGGTCTCTGCGTTCACCAGTCTTGGGAAAAGAATCGCTGCCTGTTACGATATACTCACATCAGGGGGATGTTCCTGGCTACACATGTTCTCTATACGTGGTCCCCGAAGTGACGTTTGCCATATTCGCTCTGTCCAACGGAACCGGCCTAAGTGACTGCACCGACTGGATCTGTCAGGACGTCATTCAGGGGCTTTTCCAACTGAAGCCTGCAGTTGACTTTCTGCAAGAGGCAAAACTTGCTGCCGACTCTTACAAGACGTGGTTCAACAGAACGCTCTATCAACCATTCCTGAAGGCTCGAGATGAAGGGTATCAACCGACCTCGGCTGAGGACTTCGTGGGGCAGTACATTTTGGAGGGTTGCAATTTCAAGGTCCACATCATCCTGGACGAAACTGCACTGGTGATGGTCGTCAATGAACGACCCAACCAACGTCATCCCCTCCAGCCATTTCGCCCTAATCAGTGGAGCTTCATGCCAAAGAATTTGGATGAATATCTACAAAGGGGTTATGGACTTTTTGATTTAGTTGACGAGTTCGTGCTAAATTTCCATAGAACGGGCGATGGACATGTCAAGGAACTGACCTGGCGAATGAGCAGTGTCATAACTCGTTTTGTACGGAGTGAATAGCACTCTAACTAGGTCCGCCACAGACCAGTGGCAAACTCAAAAGTCAGTCATTGCTCGAAACTGCTTGACAAAGGAACTTGGAATCGAATGAAACGCTTCGAGCAATTGCAAATTCAACGCCATGTGCTCCTCGTCTCTCGTGCCATCGAGCATGCTGAAGTACAATCCATCATCAATTGCGGCTGCCCAGATTAACATCTGAAGTGCAACATGCGTTGTGGAACTCGTAGACTGAGCGAGTTGCTGTACAGGCGCCAGAGATAACATGTTATTGTTATGTTTCCAAAACAACCCAAAAACTTGGTAGACAATACCATACTCCTTGCATATCTCCCAAACATCCGAGTTGCAGCTGTGATCCAAGACAAATTCATTCTGGACAAAAGCAGGCTTGATGGTAACTCGCTCAAGAAGCTGGGTGAGAGACCTCGCATCGACATGGCATATACCCAAGTATCTGGCAATGCCATGCTCCACAAGAGTTTCCATCGCTCTCCAAGCATCCAACGTATCTTCGAAAGTATCTAGCTGACAAGAAAGGAAGTAGGCATCCACGATTTCGACGCCGAGGTCGCTCAGGCTTCGCTGAATGCTCTTCAATACCTGCAAGGCCAATTCGTCCCCCGGGTCGTATGGCCATGGGTCGGATTGATCGAACGCAATCGAGAACTTGGTTTGTACCCAGATATCTTCCCGTTTTAAGCTGAACTGAGGGGAGTCTGAGGCGAGCAACTCGCGAAGAGCTTGACCGTCGAGCTCTTCATCGTGGAACCGTCGAGTGGATGTAGTATCAAGTCCTCGATATCCTTTCTGGAAGGCGGCACGAATATCGGCTGGCTTTCGGTGCTCTCTGATGCTAGATCCATAGATAAGTCGAGGAAAAGCATCGCCATTGAGAAGAGTAGGTTTTGCAGACTGGAAAAAATTCGACGGGTGAGGCTTTCCTTCCATGGCACTTAGCAGGAATTCAGCTGCATGATTTTGATCGAGTGAAAGACTGTCGTCGAGCTGAGTTCAGCTCGCAGGTTTGTCCCTCCAACATCCGAGAAAGACCGTCTCACCGATCGCTGCACCAGGTGCGCGCAGCTCCGCGAGCGCCAAAAATGAGGCGCTCGTCCCTCAACTCAACAAAACCTTCCATCAGCCTGCTGACACACGCTGTCCCATCAACTGCCTCACAGAACGCCGGAAACAGTTAAGAGTGCCCACACATCTGGGCACGACATCGTACCATGTAGCATGCTTACCCCGCTTCTCTAACGCGACTTGGAATAACCAATATGCAGCGCGTTCCGTACCATATGCGTGTATTACCCGGCAGCCAGTAGTTTCGGAGATACAGAGTGGGGTCATGGTTGCGCAACAGTAGTCCAGTAGGCCGCCGGTGGCCGCGTCCTTCACTTCCTTAATCCTTTTGTCAACAAGGCAGACGCTGATAAGGCCGCATCATCGGGTTGGATGGATGAAAAGCTGGGTTCAGCCACGAGCAACATGAATTGACCCCACGTGTTTCTTTCTCTGTGTTCTGACGAAAATTGGAATGATAGTACGACTTGCCTGCATGGACTGGTAGGGAATGGGGTCCCACGTCATGGCTTTCAAGGTTGATGCACAGCTACGAATCCTGCCTGTTTGAAGTCTGCAGTTTGCGGCATTGTATCACATGAACCGATTGCCTTGCCTTGATGGCGGGTGCGGAAGAGTCGGTAGAGAGGAGCATCCCCTAGTTACTATCCAGTGACGCTCGAACACTCGGCAGCTAGAGGACCGCCCACTTTTTTCTTCATCTGCTCCTCACCGAGTCCAATACTCTCAAAGGTGCCGTCAAGCCATCATGGAGCTAGATACGTTTGGCTCTGTGAGATATATGGATCGACTAGAGCTGTACAAGACCGAGAAACCATATGTCAGTTCCCTCGAGCCATGGAATGTACCAGGAGCCAAATCCAACAACCTTTCCACAACTCCAACAGAAGTCGCCATTCGGAACATGAGGCCTGTTCTGCAAGACTTCTCGATACATTGCCAGGGGTTTCAAGCCGCCACTATGCCAACTTCAATGAAAGAGGCGGATTTCTACGACAGTAACCTGGTTGAGTCTACCTATTACGACGAATGCGAAGTCTTTCTCAAACGCCAGTTTGGCGCGGAAAAGGTCCAATTCTTTGACAATACGGTATGGGTATAAGAGAGAACTGTGGCAATGACTCATGAACCTTAGCTTCGTCGAGTTGACAGAGAAGACTCGGATCCATTCAGACAACTTCAATCTATTCAGACTCTCACTGCTGCAGCAGATGTTCACGTTGGTGAGTACTTTCATAATCGTTTGGGTGTTTTTGGGACTAAATAGTGTTCAGACCAAACCCCGGCGTCCGCGTACCGAAGGATCAAGAATCTATTTGGAGAAGAAGCTGATACGCTTCGTGAAGGGCGATTCCAGATCCTGAAGTAAGTATTACAGCAGCTTCATGGGCCTTTGCGCGCCAATGCATACTTATACCTTACAGTATATGGAGGCCCCTATTCACCCCCTTATATGACCACCCCTTGTGTCTCTGCGATTATCGCTCAACCGACCCATCGGATTTCATCGAAACCGACATGCCTTCTCCACAATGGATCGGGGAGCTTTATCAGGTTGCTCGGAATCCAGCCCATAAATGGTGGTTCTTGCCTGGAATGATGGATCAGGAGGTCCTCATCATCAAATGCTTCGACTCTTTGGCGGAGGAACAAGAGGGCACGATTGCAAAATGTGAGCTTTCTGTGGCAAATTTTTCACACAACTTTGATTAATAGCGGCTAAGGTACACCACATTGCTCGTTTGTCTGGAAAGAGACTCCGCAAGGCACGCGTCCCCGGGAAAGCCTTGAGGTTAGGGCTGTGATTTGGTCACCGAACTAGTCCTGGGAATGCCCTTCAGCAGCGGACATTTGTTGTGCCATGTTGTTTTTCACTTCACGAAGCTGACAAGGCTGAACCTACGCAGACGATAAAGAATGAAATTTGAGATTTTATCACTTTCCATTTTCCCTTCCTAGTCAATTTATGCGAGTCAAGGACATGGTTGATCTGACGCAGCACGCTCAACGCAATAAAAGACGCGAATGAGTGATCCCAGTTTGTATGGCAAGGGCTGACCATCGCAAAGATAACAACGGCCCGGAAGAAGATCGACCTTAGAGACACAGTTGCCAGCTGGTTCTGCATACACTAGTTAGACTTCTCGTATCTGTTTAGCTTAGACGTTGAACATACCAGCTTCTCAGCACCTGCTAGGCTAACCAGCCTTGTTACTGGCACCCTTGCGTCCCAGTCTCTCTTGCTCACTCATTTGATTCAAGTATGCAAGACGACGATGTTCTTGCTCCTCGCGCCCCACCTCAGTCTGGCGGGCTTGCTCTCGCTTCGAGATCTCCTCGGTCAGCCAGGTCTTCCATGGCTGCTGTCGTGCTTCGTATGTGGGATCCATAGCGAAAGATGGTGTGATGGCTTCTGTCAAGAGATGTACCTGGACGGTATGATGCAGGTAGAGGATGAAGAGTTTTGGTGGGCCTTGAGAAAGAATACGGCTATTAAACTATTCGAACAGGGTCACATGGGCGTTTAACTAGGAAACGCTTGTGTGACTCTGCCTGCGCAATGGTGTGCACACCATCATGCAACATGAAAAGCCAGCTTTTGCAGAGTAACCACTCCCATGGAGGTGTAACACCAGCATGTGGGGTGGAATGCATGCAGCCAAAAGCGTCGTTGAAAGATATTGCCTCCTCATGAATGTTATAGGCGGGACGGCACGAGAACATGGATATTGAGACATCTAACCAGTCTTGACGCCTATTCGCACATGCACATGGCACAGCGACGGGAAAGCCTGCTTGGCGTAAGCGCCCGAATAAGTAATTGGAGCACATGTGCGCTTTTGGGCCGCAACCTTGGAACCGTCGCCATTTCTGCCTTACCTAGGTACCGTCGCTTTCGCATCTCTCGCTTTTGAGCCTCTTTGTTTGCCCTTGTATGATGTGGTTGTCAGACTCTCTTCCTTGTCGTCGGTTGGAACACTACAGACCCACCTGGGCACCGTTGTGTGACGTGTTGTGAAATGAGTACGGCAACACTAAGTCACGACTGGAGAACAGCGTGGTCTGTCGCTGCAATCCCACCTTATCCCTCTGTTCAGAAGTTCCTTGATGACATTTTGTCTGGTACCATGAAAACATTTTGCCTGCATCTTTTCCGCAAGTCTTCGACTAGCTCGTCAAACTCCTCAGGTTCCGAGAAGGGCCAGACTGCCTTCACTTCCAACCTCGATCTGCTCGGTGATGAAGGAGCCAATGTTCAGAATGATCTCTGGCAATTGACGGTGAACGAAAGACTGAATAATGCAAGCAATTGGGCTGATCCGTCGTTCTATACTACACTTGCTCACGCCACATGCGAAAGCTCTTTGCAAGATCTGAGAGACAGGTATACTGCGAATGGCCAGGTTAAACGGATTCCCGCGATTGCCAAAATACTGAATGGGATTTCGCCTTTTGTTCAAGGAGTCACGTCCATGACGCAGGGCTCTGCCACGGCGTCACTTATTTGGGGTAGCGTTCAATTGGTAATGCAGGTATGTTCACGGGGTGTTCGAAGTTGATTCTACCGTCGCTCACGTCGATTACAAGTGCCTTCTGCTTTTCACTAATCTCTTCTCGAACATCATGGAAATGCTCTCCACCCTATCCGATGATCTTCCCCGGTTCAGAGCATTCAATGAAGTCCTTCATACCCCGAGACTCAATGAAGCTTTACGACAAGTTTACAGGGTCTATGTTGACTTCTGTTTTGCGATCATCAAACTGTTACGATCCAAGAAAAGATGTAAGTTCTAGAATAACAATTAGAAGCTCCCAGACCGCATACGAAGACTCACGGAGAATAGACGTCATAATTCAGATGGAGTGGTCTTCTGTTGTGAAGGAATTTCGGGCATCCCAAGCTGCACTCAACGCATCTCGGAATTATTTCAATGATGAGGTCCGTCTTGCAGATGTGCAAGAGCAAGAAAAAAGACATCAGGACCTGGTAGTCCGTATTGAGAGCCTGTCCTCTCTCGTCACCGACAGAACAGTCAAGACTGTCAGCACTTTGACCTTACAAAGAAACCACCGATTCACAGGAAGAAGGTCGGAGCTTCTTCAGTTACACAACAGTCTTCAGGTGAATCGCGACCGAGTCGATCAGTCCCACTCGCCGTCTCGACGCTCGTGCGTAATACATGGCATAGGAGGGATTGGCAAAACACAGACGGCGGTTGAGTACGTATACATCTACAAGGCAAGCTATTCACACATCTTCTGGATGCACTCGGAATCAAATGCGACTCTGCTAGAGTCCTTCATGTCCGCCATGCGAAAACTAGAAATGTACGACCAGTCACTTCAAGTCGAAAGAATGATTGAGAAAGGGATCGATTGGCTTCAGCACTCTGGTATGTTTTTTGTCAAAACCTTATCTGGTTAAGCCTAATCTTTGGCAGGGACGAAGTGGCTTCTGGTGTTTGACAACGCCGAAACTTTCTCGACTCTGCGAAGATTTTGGCCTCCCGGAGATCACAATGGCGCAATACTTGTGACTTCTCAGAATCCGGACTTCGCCAACATTTGCGATGACAGCATTCACCTGCAGCCAATGGAGCCAGAAGAAGGTCGAGAACTTATCCAAAGGTACTTGCGTCGCGGTCAATCAGAAAAGGAGGCTGCCGAGAAGTTGTCAGCGCAACTTGGAGGGCTGCCATTGGCAATTGCGCATTTTGCTGGTTATGTCACTCGATCACAATGCCTTATTGACGACATGAACGCTTGCCTGCGGCAACGATTCAAGTCTAGTCAGGTGTGGACGGTGACAGACACGTCGTGCCTTACTGAGTATGAGCACACCCTGGCCACTGTGTGGGATCTCGCTTGGAGACGTCTTGGACCCGATGCTATAGAGCTTGTCGAGTTTCTGGCTTTCCTGGATGCTGATGCAGCTCCTGAGAGCATGTTCGTTGGACCGGCAGAACACGAAACCAATGGATCCCAATGGCAATTCTGGGATCGACATAGGTAGCCGCTTCCCAATTTTCGAACCGGATAAAGTCACTGACAAGTGTTTTATTCTCCAGGTTCAACGAAGCTATACGGTCCCTTCGCGAGCGTCATCTCGTCGAGCGCGACACCAACCACAACGGCATTGTTTGCTTGCGAACGCACCGAGCTCTCAAGCGGCACATTCTCCACCATCTTGATACCGATATTTCGAAGAGACAGATGATGTTTGATATGGCGGTTGAAATGGTTCGTCGCGTATTCCCGGTGCCGAGCGTCGCCAAACGAGGTGACTCAAGCATCTGGGAACTGTGCGATAGATATGTTGCCCAGGTCATCAGCCTCAACGATGTATTTGTGCAGTCATCCCCTAGGGTTGGTGGCAATGCTCAGTACGCTGCGCTGATGAGGGATGCAGGGTACTACCTAATGAACAACGGGGAGCAGGTAGATGCAATCAGCATTCTGGAGAGCGCAGAATCAGTGTGCAATGACTTAATTCGCCAGGGGGTCGAGGAAGCGAGAATTACCAAAGCCGATGCAATCGGTACCCTCGGTATATACTGCAACTATATGGGTGTTCAAGGGAGAGAAAAGTCTAGACGATTGGCCTTGGAGGCCATCAACTTACGGGGCAAGAGGTTAGCCGACATCCCAGAGAATAGATGGACTCACCTAGACCACACCAACCGCGGGCGTAGTTACGTCGATATGTGTATATCGTCTACTATGCTGAACCATATGGACGACGCCAGGAAATACGTCGACCTAGCGGTGCATCATTATCATCAGGCCGGCGGTGAGCAAGGACTCCCAGCTCGAACAGGCTACGCAACAGCATTTCAAGTCCTCCTATCAAATACAACCAAGAACAGCGCTCAGCTGCTAGAGAAGGCGGAGCATGCGCTCAAGGTTGTCGTTGGTGCAGTTGGCGAGGGCAACTTCATGGCTCATTCCACCAAACAACTAGTGGCCATGTTCTATTTCAGATGTGGCGCTATAGAGACCTCGCTGAGGATGCATCAAGAAATACTTGAGCCTCGAATCAAATTCAAAGGAAAGTCCAACTCCGATACCTTGACCAGCCGATACTATGTCGCTGTTTGTAGTCAGCACACTGGCGATCTGGAACTTGCAGAGTGAGTCAGTTTGTCGATCGCACGGGTAGTGCTAACTGATTTAAGGGTGAATCTGAGAGCAATATTGAAAGATGGGATTATAGATGTGAAGTGGCGAGAAGAAGATCTTGCTAGAGCGACACTGCGACTAGCACTTGTCTTGCTTGGACAGAGTAGACGTCAGGAGTCGAAGAAGTTGAGGGATAAGGCTTTAGCGCTATTAGAGAAGAGTAAAGAGAATGTTCTCGCTGGGAACGAACAAGCATCCGACCAGGAGTTGATGGAGCAGATTGACTCGGTAGTATGTTTGTATAACGGGCGAACGACGGGGTTCTGGAGTGATGGAGAGCATTGGTGAGATGAGGTTCGCAAAACGAAGTATTCTTGACGTTCATGATTCCGTCTTCCATCCTCCATCGCGAATGAGACACCCGCCAATCACTTTAGCGACCCGAAGTAGCTGTCTGTCACAACGTCTCGGCAATACTAACGAGACACCGATTGGCATGCCGTGCTCTCCTCTGAACGCCGGTATGTTGATGACAGGCATGTGAAGAGACTGTTCGGGCATCAGTTTTCGCGCTCAAACCGCGAAAATATTTCACTTACCGCCCACATGGAGTTGAATACCGGGCTCCCGGTATATTCGATGCCTAATGGCGCCTCATCAACTACACTAGGAGTAATGATAACGGTATACTGTTCAGCGATCTTGTCGAATCTCGGTCGCAGTGTTGCAACGCTGTCTTTGGCGTGCAAATGATCCTTCCAAGACAGTTTGGACGCATTCTCCACGTAGTCGGCCAATTCTTGGTCAAGATCTTTCTTGTTCATTCGATATTCGCCCAAGAATGAGGCTCGGGCATCTCCAGCCACAATCTGCTCGTGGTAGTCGGGCATTGAGTCAAATTCGTGAGGAAGGTGTACTTCCTCAACATCTGCTCCATGCTTTTTCAGGATATCTGCGCAGAGCTGCATAGCTGCAATCGTACCCGGTCCAGCTTTTGGCCATACTACGGTTTTGAGCATGCCAATCTTGAATTCATCGACAGTCAAATCCTCCACCACATGCGTGTCTTCATCGTCAGTCAATGCATACACGTTCGCAAGCAGTTCCAAATCTTCCAAAGAGCGAGCGAAAAACCCGAACGTATCGACGGAAATCGAGAAGATCTTGAGGCCTTCGGGTGAAATAGCGTTCCATGTTGGCTTCATTCCGTATATCCCGCAATACGAGGACGGGCGGATCACGCTTCCAGCAGTCTGAGTACCTACCGCAAGTGGCACTTGGTAGTCTGCGACTGCTGCTGCCGATCCAGATGATGAACCACCTGGTGTACGAGATGGATCATGCGGATTACGGGTTTTTGGGCCGACGTTGATCGCTGCAAATTGAGTCGTGGTCGTTTTGCCTACGCAAATGTCAGTTTGTTTCTAGCACAAGCGGAGAGATGTGTTCACGACCGATGATAAGAGCTCCAGCTTCCCTGAGGACACCGATGGAGGTCGCATCCACGCACGGTTGGTTGTCTTTATAGGCGGGAGAATTATGTTGAGTTGGTAGGTCTATGAACCATTAATGGATGATTTCCTCCCAGTGGGTTGAGCATGACCTTTGGTATTGATCACATCCTTGACTGCAATGGGGATCCCATGTAATGGTCCTCTACAATCTTCGGGAACATTATCCAACATCTTCGCTTGACGAATCACATAATCTGGGTCTAGAAACGCCCATGCTTGAACGTGTTCGTCCCGTTTCCGGATACGTGCTAGGAGGCTGCGAACGTATTGCTCCACCGTGATGATCCCGGGTCTGATCAAGGACGCAATCTCGGACGCAGTGGAGCGGTATAGGTCACGGTGTATACTGGAATCGGCAAATTTGTCCGCAGCCATGACCGTGCTGGAAGTTTTCTGTAGCCAAGCAAAATACAATGAGGGTATAGGCGTAGGTTTAGTAGTCTAGAAAGGATATAAGCTCAATCGTTAGTCAAGAAGAGGTAAGATTGTCGAGGCAAGTTAAGTCTACATAACATCGCATTCAACTTTGACCGGTGCGGGGTGAAGTGACGTGGCGTGCATGCATGTGTAACGAGATCTCGACACACAGCACCCCCACATTAGGAAAACTTTTTTTTGGCGGTTCTGCAGGTTACTGCGCATAGCAGCGCATCTGTGCTTATAGTGCGTACAGTGCGAAAAGATACTTAAAGATAACGTACTTTATCATCGAACCGCCCATATCATCGACCGCCCACGATTTCTTGGCAAGAAAAATCAACGAAAATTAACCCGTATTTCTTAAAAAACTTAGCGAAACCTTTATATTTTTCTATAAAAATTTATATATATATTCCTTATAGTATATTACACCTTATACTAAAGTTACACTAAGATATATTACGTAATTAAAAAGCTATACGTATTTAACTAACTTTTAAGAAAAAATCTAGTTTACTTCTAGTAAGTACTATTATATCTCTATAATAATATATAAAACTTATAGTATATAGTATCTATATTATAGTAAAGATTTCTAGAAAACTTTTATAGAGCTAGCTCTTCTAGGTATAGCGTAATAAGAGATAGAAGTTTAAAAAAATCTTTCTAGAGTTTTCTTCTCTAACTATAGATATATATATAAATAATCTAGCTATATAAAGTTATATACTATAATAAGATTATATATACTATAAGCCTTCTATATATTTAGAAGTAATAATTTTAAGATAGTTTTAGTATATTTCTTTCTTTCTATACTATACTAACGTACTTTATTAGTAAACGCCTTATATTACTAAACGCTCTAAAAATACTAAGCCTCTACTAAATACTACTATTCTTATTATAAAGCTTTCTATAAACGCCTAATTAACTTTAGATAAATCTTAGATATAGCTTACGCTCTAGGCTATTTAATAGAATCTAGAGCTAAGTCTATAGTATACTATAGCTCTCTATAATATAGAGTAGAAGAAAGTTTACTATTAATACTATAGAGTTACTCTATAATATAAAAAAATATCTAATTTAATAAAGCTTACTATAAATAAAGAGTAGATAATAGTTAAGTATATACTTAATCTAGATATATAAGAATTTACTCTTATTATAAAGTAGGTAATATAGTAATATAATATATTATACTATAAAAAGTAGAAGACTTAGTAGGCTATAGAAAATATCTATATAGGCGCTAAGGCGCTAGCTATAGTTACGTAAGTAGTATCTAAACTTAAACCTATATTAGTACTATAATAGTACTCTTCTTCTACTCTACTATTTATCTTAAATAGCCTAACTCTAAGAAAAAATTCTCTCTATCTCTATTAGAGCTTAGCTAACTTTCTTACCTATATTAGTAGTTCTAGCTTTTCTAGGTATATACTATAGAAGGCTAGAATTACTTTATCTTAGTCTTTAAGGTCTATTACTAGTTACTAGAAAGGCTTATAATATTTCTATTTAATAAGGTATTATAGATCTCTATAGTTATTATAGCTATTAAGTAGCTTATTAAATTTCTATTACTTAGTTACTTTATCTAATCTATTCTCTTATTCTAGAACTCTTCTACGTAGGTAGCGTAACTCTACTTTATTAATCTTATCTTACTCTAGAAGACTCTTAACATTATATTAGAGTTATAGAAGTAAGTAATAGAATACTAGAAAGATTTTTATAGATAGTAGTAGGTCTAGTAGATAAGCGCGTAGATAGACCTTCTTAACTTTATATAGTTCTACTATCTTATTATTCTCTTTCTTTATTAGGTAGTTAGTTTTTATATTACGTGTATTAACGTAGATCTTCTAGCCTTTCTTATAGTATAGCGCGTCTTTTTAGTAATTATTAGTATATTACTTATACTAGTTAATAGACTACTATATAAGAGCTTTTAGTTAAGTAAGAATACACTTAAAGTAGTCTATAATAGCGTTAGTATAGTAGAACTACTATTTCTATATTAGAGATAAGTTTAGTAGATATAGTTATAAAGACTCTAAACCTAATTAGAGATTATAGCTATAGTTTATAAAGAATAGAAATATGTCTATAGTCTTTAATACTATATTATTTATTATAAATTTAGTAAGAGATAGCTATTAGACCTAGTTATCTTAGTAGAAGTTTATAAACGCGTAAAGGTATTATTTAATACTATTTTTAACTCTTTTTGTTTAGCTATTAGTCTCTAGATAGAAGAATAATAAGTGTTTTAGCTTAATACCTAGCCTTTCTAAGAGGTAGTACTAGAATTTAGAAATAAACTATATACTTTAGTCTAAAACTATATTATTTAGCGTACTATATAAATAGTATATATAGCTTATAAAAGTATCTACTAATTTTTTTATAAATAGTAAGAAGACTAGAATAAGATAGCGTATTTTAGTAAAGTAGTAGATAACTACTAGTAGATACTTATATATTTACTTATTCTTTTTATATAGTAGTAATAGAGTAATATAGTTAATAGATATATCTAACTAGGTATAAAATAGTACTAGTAATAGTTAAAGAAAGTCTTAAGAAGTAAGACGTAAACTCTTAATACGCGTATATAGCTTATAAGCTCTAACGTATTTCTTAATATCTCTAGTAACTCTAGGCTACTAGTAGTCTCTTATAACTAGATTAATAGTTTTAACTTAGCTAGAATATTTAGTAAGGCTAGTAGAGTAAGTTTAGTAAAGAATTTAGGTTTATAACTTATTATTAGGTAAAGTAAATAATTAGTTTTAGTAGTAGATTTGTTTATTAAGAGTTCTATAGTCTAGTATTAGTATTCTTAGCTCTTTTTATAGTATTCTTAGCTATTATTTTACTTATTTATTCTAGAGAGTAGATATTATAGTCTAGGCTATATCTAACCTTTAGTACGCTAGGTTAATTAGGTTATTAATAGACTTAGCTATAGCTAGTAGAATAATATTAATTAGAGTAGTATATAGATTCTAGATATTCTAGACTTTCTTAAGAAGGTCTACTAGTATAACTAGGTTAAATTATTTTAGAGGTAGTACTATACGCTATTTATTCTTAATATAATTATTATTTATATCTATCTTAGCTAGATAATCTCTAGGTTTCTAGCTTAGTATATTAGAGTAAATAGCCTTTAAGCCTAGTTAGTATATAATTTAGAAGTTAAACTATAAAAGAAATTCTAACTACTAGACTTAACGCTAGCTTAGAGTTTTAGTTAAAGTAAAGTATTCTAGGTTCTTATAGTCTATAATAACCTTAAATAGTTCTATAATACCTTATAGCTCTAGTCTCTATTCTTTAAGTATCTTAATAATAGTAAGAAGCTTTTTATTATAAATCTTATAGTTATATTCTAGTATAGTATATTTACTAGAAAAATAAGTAATAGAATATAGAATACCTTCTTTATTATATTATAAAAGAACTTTACTAAAAGCCTAGTTAGAGACGTTAGTTTCTAGAATAGTACGTCTAGTATAATTAAATATAGCTAGTACTAGAGCTATAGTAAAAGCTAACTTTAGATTTTTAAATATATTTTACTAATTATTATTCTAGTACTATAGTAAGTTATTTCTTATAAGCTTATTTAGTAGGCTAGTAATTTTAGAGAAGTTCTAGATAAAGCGTCTATAGAAGTTAGTAAACTCTAGAAACTTTTATAAATTCTAAAGATATAAGAGTAGTAACTAATCTTTAATAGTTTAAACCTTAGCTAGGTTTATCTTAATACTCTCTAGAGAGACTATTAGATCTAGGTACTTTATTTCTATAGTTTTAAACTTATATTTATAAATGTTAATTTATAGACCTATATTAATTAATTATTAGACTATTACTTAGACGTAGCTCTTATATTTCTTATAATTAGCTAAATAGATTAGAATATTATTAAGGTAGATAGTATACGTTTAGTCTAGTAGGTTATATAGCGTATAATTAATATAGTTCTAGAAGAAGGCTAGAGTATTATATAGTCTAAATAGTATAATAAGTAACTTATAGAGCCTAAATTAGATAATAAAGATAGTTTTCTACTTATAGCTCTCTATAATATAGAGTTTATTAAACGTAGTAATAATATCTAGTTTTATATAAACCTTAGTATTATATAATATATCTAGAGTTTTATATATAAAAGATAGTAGATATTAGTTCTTAATAGTAATATTATTAAGATCTTAGTAGTCTTAATAGATATAAATTTCTTCTTTTAGTTTTACTATAAGTAATAGTAGTACTACGTAGCACGTCTAGAATTCTTAGATAAATCTCTTATCTAGATTATTATTACGCTATTTTCTAATAACTTATAGTTCTAGTAGAGAGAAAGGTTTATTTTTCTAGTATAGTAGCTCTTTCTCTAGTATAAGTTTAATCTTATAGTTCTAGACTTACTATAGTAGTAATTTATTTACTTTACTAGGTAGAAATTCTTTATATAGGTCTACTAACTATAATAGTAGTATCTTAATAAGATTCTTTTTTAGTAGATCTAGTTTCTTTTTTATAAATTTATTAACGTTTACGTTAGTAATACCTCTTATATATAGTAGAGTTTTACTTTTAGTAAGAAGCTTATATATTTCTCTAGAAGGTTTTTATATCTCTATATAGTTAAGCTCTTTCTAGATAATTTTTATAGCTCTTATACTAGAGTTTTAGTAGAATTAGAGAAAGGTTATAGTAGACGCTAGTTAGATATCTTCTAGATTAGACTACTTATTCTACTACTAGATAGTATAGAGTAGCTATAGAAGTAAAATACTTAATAATAGAAGTAGTAGCTTCTATAGTAGTTTTCTTCTTTACCTTAATCTAGTAGTAAAATAGGTAGAAGCTAGTTTTTCTTATAGTTAGTTTAGAACTATAAGAGTATAGTATTTAGATATAGTACCTTTTTCTATATTAGTATTATACGTATAATAGTAGAAGTAGCTAGAGGTTAGACTTACTTTAATAGTAATTAGTAAACTCTTTTATAGTTAGTTATATTTAGTAACTTCTTTATA